CCCGGCGATCGTACTCGCCGCTGGTCCATGTATCATGGAGCTGAATGCGAGGGCTGAAGATCAGACTCTTAGGAGCCATTGGGGGACTCGGTGCACCCTTCGATTCAGTAAAGTAATCCTCGCCGGCGATCTTGACCCGGCTTCCGGACCGGTCTTCGGGTGTGCTGGGAGTACTCGAGTGTGGTGATTCACTGCTGGCATCTCTCTGTTTGGCAGGTGTCGACAAAGCAGGTTCGGAATGGGTTTCTGCATAATCTGTTAGATCTTGCTTCTTGGTGGCTTTGAATTGTCAACTCACTCTTCAAAATTCCCTTCCTAACGGCTGCCAGAACCTCTGCCCGCTCGTTGTCGCTTCCCACGATGCTCTTCCGCGATCCATCTGAGCTTGTGCCGCTCGCACCAGCTCCAGCCTCCTGGGAATTTGGTTCCACCTTGGGGAAGACCGTACCCCCGCGGGGAAGGTCCTGGGGATCAGCATTAACTGCAACATTGTTCCGGTCCGCCTCGACATTAACCATGGACACCTGTGGGGCGCTAGCGTCCACGGGGAGGCCATCTGTCGAAGTAGTGCTCATAACTGACTTGGGACGGAACAATCCGACCAACGATCGTGTCGATTTCTTCATACCCTTGCCCATCTTGCGTAGCATTACTGACGCTGACGAAGCGGTAGAGGAAACGGACAAATTATCGTTGGAACGGTTAAATAGATGCCCTTGGTAATGCGAGTAGATACTTTCGCCCAAGCCACTGGCTTCCTGTTGCTCTGCAATAGCGGCTTGCTCCGCGCCTAGCTCCTCCTTGAGCAGTTCCCGTCGTGTCTGTTCCACTGAGAGTGCTTCCTTTTTCTGCGCATTATTCGAGGCCTTGAGCAGCTCAGAAGCACTTCCAAATGAGAATGCACGTCGCAATCGCGACTTGCCCGGTCCCTTGGCGCCAATGTTAGCTAACTCTGCGGCGCGCTGTGTGGCAGGGCTATGTGCGGGACCCGTGGGCATGTTGCGCTCCTTGGGAGCGGCTTGAGGTGTCGGAGGGTTGGAAGGACTGGCGTCGGCCGAAACGGGTTGCGATAACGGCGAGGGTTTGTTCACTCTTGTGTCATCGGGCTTGCCTCGAGTTGACGAGGACGAGTCACCATCACGAACCTATCCAGTTAGTTTTGGTGTCAAAGAAGAAGAATAAAAAACGTACAGTAGAAGTCGAGGACTGTGCCGCAGGGGTGCTTCCCTCGTTCTGGGCAGGCCGGGTTTGATCAAAGTAATCCTGGCCAGTAGTGGAGGGCGTAGGCGATGCGGAAGGCAGATGAAGCTGTAGATTAATGAGACCAGCATTATCCATGTTACCCCAGCTCCTTCGTCGATATCTCTTGGCCAGCTCCGTCTGCGGTCTATCAGAACGAGTGGTATCATCGGCACTCGAGACCCGGACGTGCCCCCGGGCAGTAGGATGGCCGGGGAGAGAAGCCAGTTGATTATCGTCAACACTTGACCCCGACTGATGAGAAGCGGAATTGGTGGACTGTGCACCCGCAGCACCTTCCGCCCGTCGGTTTCCACGACGATAACGATCTGGCGAGGGTTTGGCGACAGTAGGAGAGGATATGTTCATCAGGGGCGAGGCTGAGGGGAGATTCACGGTCGAGAGGGGTCGAATAGTTTGATCCGATGTGGGCTTGCGAGTGGGAATGGCCGAGTCGTCCTTGGAGAGATGCATTGGAGGCGTCGAAGATACAGGACCAGCTGCAGGATGATTCACAGAATGCGAAGAGCCTCCGGCATGAGCCGTCAGCGGCGGAGCGGACGGGGCCGAGATGGTACGGTTCTCTGGCCGAAGATGAGGGTTCCAGGACTGACGGTTCTGCGGGTTGGGGGTATTGGGGGTATTGTAAGAGGTCACAGCCTGGTGACCATTAGGTCGATAGCTCCCAGAGCTGCCCGCCGGGGCGTAAGGGTTCCAAGACATGGAGGGATTGCGAGCGGTATGGTGGTGATGTTGATGATGTTGCTGCGAGGAAGACGAAGCGGGACGAGTCTGCAGCACAGGAACCGTACTAGTTTGCTGAGGGATCGTCTGGACCAATGCAGCCATGATGTTTTTTTGTCTTTTAATGACTTCTATTTGCTGTTTCCTCCACCACGTATCCTCCCAGGGTTGGATGGTTGGACGCGTGTTTTGAGGACGATTCAGGGGATGACGAATCTCGACAAGCGAACGGGTACGGTACCGCGCAGCGAAATCGACACGAAACAGGGACAATCGGAGAAATCAAGGGTCTAAAATTGGATGAATGTCAGCACACTGCAGTGAACGAGGCTGTCAATTGTCCTGTATTCTCAACCCCTTGGCCTCCCTGTCACGCAAGAAAAAAAAAAAAAAAGATAAGGTCTTATCAGGGAGTCGTACCTAAGAGGATCGATGCAACAGGAAACGAAACACAGAATGCGGTATGACGAGAATCGAGGAGAAAAATGCAGGTTCTTCAAGAAGACGAGGGACGATGGACGAGGAACGAGAAGATGAAACGGTGAGACGACGACGACCTTAAGGGCGAGAGAATAAACGGAACAGCAAGGTTCCAGGATGGTCGGAAGGCGACGTGCTGCTATTGTCGAGCCATGTACGACCGTTGCACACCACCCGGGCTGATACAGAAGATGATGAATTAAGATGAACGAAATGAAGACGAAGAGATGTCAAGGAATGTTCAAGCGAGGCGACTGATGGGCCGATCACTGCTGGCCTTTGGGGGGGTGGTTTGGTTGGCGGGCGGGAGAGGGAAAAGGGGGAAAAGAGAGAGCGCGCGACGTCGGGAGGGGGAGAGACACAAATTACAAGAAAAAGAGATAGAAAAGTGATGAAAAAGAAGTAAAGGTCAATAGAATCGAGATAGAAAACGAGAAAAGAAAGAAAAGAAAAGAGAGAGACAAGAGAGGAGGGGAATCGGGGAGAGGTTGTGAGACGAGAGAAGATGGGCGGATGGTGGATGGATAATAGGGGACACCACCAGTATTACTAGTAAGTACTGGTAGACAGAGAAAGTCACCACGACCTTTTCTATTTTATTTCATTTTTTTTATGATAATTCTTCTGATAGTATTCTTAGTGGCAGTATTATTTCTGCTATTACTAGTACGGAGTACATCATACTATCACTATTATTGCACATTGTGATAGCGGAGCCGACGGGAGACACCCAGAGGATACTTCTTTGTTTTACTTTTGTTCCTGACAGCCCAGCATAACGGGTATATTACTTTTTCTTTCTTTGCTTTCTCTCTCTCTTTACAAGTACTCTACAACATCACTCTCTTCTAAAATACTGCTATATTACACTCTCCTGAATCCACTGTCGTATCGGTGCAACAATTAGCCAATCACAGCCAAGTTCTGCCTCCGGCCGGATCCACCTCCCCTAATTCGACACTATTCCTGTTTGGGACTCGACTCTGAGACTCGATTACTTGAGAGTTGCAGGCAGAGGAGAGAGTATTCATACTACTATTTAAGCTATATATCACATTGCAGAATAGTTTCTCACTGATTAACAGGGCTTACCAGTTACGGCAATGCGCTATAACTACAGTGTATAAAAATCAACGTTAGACCCTTTTCTCCAGTGTCCGCGGTTGCTCGGAACATGGAGATAAGAGTAGGCAGTCCTCGGATTTGCACAGCATACTTGTCTTGCCTCCGGACCATTGACATTTGGCACGGTTCTGTGCGTACTCCTGTTATCTGCGCTCTGTGCTCGCTACAGTATCAACCCCGATGCTACCGTATCAAGCCTGAAAAATTTCCTGGGATACGACGGCTGTCCCATGGATCGAAGCTCCTCCGCCGAACCTAATCGGCGCCATGGACCAGTTGAGTGATGTCAGCCGTGATAGCACGGCAGTGCTCACATTTATGAGCTGAGCTGAGCTGAGTGAGCACGAGCTAAGCACGAGCCGGGTACGGTACATGTGCACAGATGGAATACGCCATACTGTCTGTGCTAGTCAGCTGGGGAGTGCAGTACGGAGTGATTGATCAGACGATTCACGGAATTAATGGGTCTATCCGCGGCTAATTCTCCGGTAAATGTTCACTCGGGTTTCAGCCGTTATGCTCAGAAACGGTTCCTTGCCGTCTTCTCTCCAGAGTCCGATTCATCCTCTGTTAAAAGAAAAGCGCAGATCACCAGAGTTCCCGTGTGATCGACACCGCCAAAACAACCACTCGCGTCAACGATTCATGTCTTAATCAATGCACTGTGCTTGTCGGAGTATTGTACATAGTACGGAGAATGCACACTGCCGTACTTGTACAAGTATGTACTTCATTATTCTCAATTAATATCCATTCGGTTTAGATACATCCCCGTGCAAAATACCCAAAACGACCATGACAATGCCAATCTGCGGATCAACCGCCTGACAACGTATCCACGTCTCCATCGCATACGTAGCTTATCAGATGATTTTTTTTTTTCCACAGGCGACGGTAGCGTAGTATAGCTTCCCCAGATTCTGCACTGCAGTGCTCAACAGTCTCGGCAGGAACGCACAATACTTTTTGAAAGTACGTACTCTGTACGGTGCACATCATGCCACGGCGACCCCGGTGCCGGTCTTCCGCATGTATCCCAGGACAACCATCCACTCTTTAAGAGTACCTGCAAAGGTTCCACAATATACATTCGCCGCTCTCAGTACAATAACTTATAGGCAGCGACTTAACTCCTTACTCTACTGTGCTCTTCTCTACGGAGTAGTACACTCAAAGTAGAATCTACAAACGAGAAGTGCTCGGACGTCGAATCCATGTAAAAATCAAGTGACATGCACGTCGCCCGGAAAGGAAGCCAGCTCCACTTCTTAATATGGAAGGAGCGTGATCGCACTTAGGGGTTCTGATTGGCTGCTTTATCCGAGCATCTTATCTGAGCTATTTTTAGACAACGGTCTTTCTATATGTCTCAGTTAAGCCCTTGCAAGAAACCCTATAGCGATCCAATGTTCGTAGGCTATCAAGATATCTGTGATCGATTTAGACCTGTATGGTGGGATAGTAGCTATTTCGTGCTGTAGTTCTTCCGTATGCCTCAATCTAAGCTTAACACTCACAGAAATCCCAGTCATCGTCTGCGTAGTACACTTCACCCTCATCTTCATTCTCGCCCTCTTCCTTGTCCTCTTCCTTGTCGTCATCGACAACATTCTCTTCCTCTTGCACTTCCTCGTCTTTAGCCTCGTCCTGTCTCTCGTCATCCTCGTCACGAGGACCTGCTTCCTGATCGACTTCCCGATCTTTACCTTCGTTCTCAACGCTCTCGTCCTCTTTATCTTCCTCCTCGACGTCGTTACCCTTATCCTCTTCATCTTCGCATTCGTGTTCGTTCTCTTCCTCGTGATCCTCGTCATCTTTTTCGACATTCTCCTCGTCATATTCATCCTCACTGTACTCATCCTCATCATCATCATCCTCACCATCCCGCCCATACACAAATTCATGCACCCAATCCTGCAAAAACCGACCCACTCCCACAACCTCCACCAACCAATCATTCTTCCTCTCCACCACCCTTTCCAAACACTCATTATAGTCTACAAACGTCCCCAGCTCCGCCGCGCACTCCCGATAAACCCTTGACTCCATATTCGGTAGTGGATCCTTAAAAGCACCCTCAACAAGCTCCCACGCCGCCACATCCCAGTTGTAATATTGGATGACGATTTTTGTGTCAGTGTGGGTGTCAGGCTTGGTGCGCTCATACGCGCAGACCACAATGCGTTGCATGTGGAGGAGGACTTCGATTGCGTGATCGTACTTCCTCAGCAGGTCTGGGTATTCCTCAGCGATGAGAATCATGTCGTGTTCGAAGGAGGAGGGCGGGGTGTTCATGGATTTTCCTCCGTAGACAAAAGATTGTTTGAGAAGGTCGCGGCGTTGGTGACGGCCTGTGTCGCGGAAGTCATGGCGCATTAGGTTGACATGGATGCGTAGGTAATACTCAGCAACCATCCGGTCAACGTCCATCCCCGGCGTAGACCGATGAGGCCGGTGGGTGTACGAAGTGTAGTAAGTCGTCGTATCAGACCGACGAGAAGCACGAGCCCTAGCTGGATCAGGGACGTACTTCTCCCACGACTTCTGCCGAACCACACCAACGGCCCAATCGATGACCTTCCAGTCAATCAACCGCTCCAACTCCCTCGAGTGTCCATGCACAGAAACGTCCCCGACATTCTTCAGACTGCAAAATGGCACGACCATCATATCACAATCATCCGCCCACGGCACAAAGAAGCTCTCCTTCACACCACTAATCGTAACCTGCTCATGGTGCCACTCCTGTCCATCGAGGCTCTCAAGCACGATACTCACTTTCTCAATTGTGGATGCACGACGACGTAGCATATCAACAAGATTAATAACCTTGTCGAACAGAGTAAACAGCTGCCCCGGGTTATCGCTTGTCGGTGCATAAAGTCTCACAACAACCTCGTTAGTCTGCTGAGAGGGCAAATCATACAGCCCCTGCTCACGGGCACCATGCACATCAGCGATAACTCTCTTCGCGGGCTGGTAGTGCTCCGTGCCGACGCTGATTCTCATCCACTCCCACGCGAGGGGTGAGAGCTCGATTTCCACACGAGTCTTGGTGGCCATGGTGCTTGGGGTCTCCTGGGACAAGGTGCAGTTGGCGTGGAGGTTGTCAATGTTTACTTTGGGGTTGTCATTGACGGGACGGGTGTTGAATGGCATGTTCAAAAGTGTGGTGGGAGCGATGATTTCAGTTTCTGCCATTGTGTATACTTGCTTGCTTGTGTAGTGAATAAAATCAGAGATGTTGTAGAAATGTTCGAGGGTCGGCTTCTGGAGTGATGGCTTTAAGCTATGTTTTCTGCCTATTTTGTTTACGTTGATGAATTTGGAGTCGGAGGTTATAGGCATCTCTACCCTTTTTTTTTCTTTCTTTCTTTCTTTCTTGTATGTGTGGATGCGTCGGAGTCTTGTTTGGGATTGTAAGCTGCCTACTTAGGTTGATACTTGAGATTGGCATCATAGCTCATCATATACTTTCATTCAGGTATAGCGAAGTAGAGACGAGATGTAAACAACGGACCATGATGCATCCCAGCTGTGACTCGTGGTTGATATATCTATTCTCTTATTTTAGATATCGCTATGTAATTACTTTCTGTAACGAGAAGACCCCCTGGTTTCTTGAGGTCTTCGCATTTAGGTTTCTGAAACGCGAATGCCAATCTATAGTATCCACGCCCAATTATAATCGCAGTGAGAACTGAGATATTTGGGTTTGATGCTTTGTTTGGTTAGAAATCGATTGTAATTTATCTTGCTGGTTGTCATGGCTAATCCTAACCGTCACGATATACTTGAATCATTTTATAGTTAGCCACTACTTTGACTTCAAAAGTGACCATATATACAAACTTACTACTCCATAGCACACTGCAAGTCACTAAACCCACAACTCGAACAACCCCAACTCTCAGCATCCCAATCCCGGTCTCGAGCATGTTTCCGACCCTGATACTCTTGCATACGCAACCGATTTCTAACAAAATTTTCCAAGATCGCAACCCTCGAATCTCTCGCTTTCTCCAAACACTTCTCATAAGCCCTAGAACTAAAACCCCCATAATGAGGGGCAATACTAGCGAAATACTTTGCCTTGTCGTGCTCGCCTTCAGCCTTATACTCATCCCACTTAATTGGTGGCACGTCTGCTTCCCAAAAAAAGTATTTATCGACCATCTTCCATGCCCTACGGTCCCAGCTAGGGCTTAGTGTGGAGGAAAGGTCAGTCCGCCTAGTCTAGTTTGATATTAGGCACATACCACTATGCGCTAGATTTCTTTGAGAACCTTCATGTCGCGGTCATACTTCTCCACTATACGGAGCAATTCCTGTCCAATTGAAGAAGGGGGGGGGGTAGTTGTTGATGTGCCATAGATGAAGCATTTCTTAAACAGCTTGCAACGGAGATTGTTCACCGTAGGACTGCCATTCATCTGCCAGAAATTGACGTGGATGCGGAGGTGATAATCAGCGACCAGACGATCCACATCCGTCCCTGGTGTATTCCTTTTCTCCCAGTCATCGTATAAGGCTTGGGAAGTTCAAAATTTGGATCAAAGGCCTCCGATGTCTGTTTTTCCAACCACATTCTCAGCTTAACTAATAACCTCTCGATCAATCAGGTGGATTAACTTGTAGAGTATGCGTTGAATTCAAGCTTCTTAAGACTACACAAGGGGACTGCCATCATTTTGCAGTTATCGGATGATACTGGATAGCTTTTATCTTCTTCTTGCTCATAACTTGTCACCCAACAGTGATGTCAGTCCTGGCGACCATATTGCTGGAACTCAGCATCGATTTTGCGGATCGTGAATGCTTTTCGATGAACCTTCACCAGATCCATCGCCTTACTAAACAGCACAAACAAATCCCTCGGGATATTAGGATCTGGAGCCCCAAGCCTAAATCCAATCAACCCGATGGAATGGTAGACTGTAATCCCTCCCCCACTTCCGGCAGATCCTCCGCTTTCCTAATACTCTATTTGTTCTTGGGTGATGTTTGCCTTGGTCAAAGAAAAAAAAAAAAAAAAAAAGTGATGCTCTGCGGTGTATGTTATCGTTATCCACTCCCATGGCGAGGATTTTAGGTGGATTACTAAATTTGTATTAGAGTGGAATATGGGTTATTATTCCTTTGTAGAGGGCGCGGCTTATGCGGAGGATTGCAAGGCATGTTTTATGTGTTTCATCCCCACCAGTCCTTTACTCATGTAGGAAGATTGGTCTATATTAGTTCCCTGATTTCTAGGAGAGGCGGTTGAACTGGCCCAGTCTCTATGGCTGTTGTTTCTTTTGCGATCGGTTAATTGGTAGACGAGTATTGTTTGAGCTTGCTCAAGGTCAATTGTCTCTGCCTATTTACATCATTGATGTAGTTGGCTCAGGGCTCTTACCGACAAGTAGGCAAAACTCTCTTGAAAACATCATAACATATAACTTCAGAGGCTTAAGTCAAAAGCAGCGTAATCTTGGATTCGGTTAGATTAGCTGTTTCTATAACCTTTGCATACTACTCATAAACTGATAGGATCAATTCAATCAATCAATAACAAGAGCAAGATGTCTACAGTACTATTCGAACAACGCGTTGTGCTGCTTCTCCTTTACGCGGATGAATTCCTTAGTCGTCTCTAGGACCCTAATAACCACCGCAACTTTCAAGCTCCTCGTGCGCACCAATCCTCGACAAACCATCCTCCCAGTGCCAAGCTGGAATCCCGTCCTGCGTTTCTCAGACACTCGCGATAAACATCAATTTCATTAAACACATCCACTACGTCATCGTCAAACCACATCCCCCAGAACGGCATAAGGCCTGTTCCATAAAACATACTCTCCTCGATTATTTCCCAGGCCCTGCGGTCCCAATCTGAATCAGGGGTGTCGAACGGCGTTACTCCCCGGGCTTGAACTGGTCGTATGAGCAGACTACGACCCGCTGGGTTCTTTCAAAGTTATCCACATTGGTGTCGAAGCTCTTCATCAAATCTGGGTAGATGGTTGCTATTAGGATTATTTCTCGCTCAAAGGGAGCGGGGTGATGGGTCTTGGAAGAGCCGTGGGTGAAGCACTGGTGGAGAATGTCGCGGCGAAGATTCCTCGCTAGGGGAGTGTAGTCATTCTGCCAGAGCTCAAGGTGGATTAGGAGGGAATATCCAACCAGCTTCCATTGAACGTCTGTCCCGGGTGTGTGGTCAAATTGGAGATAGTCGACGTCAGGAGAGACAGGAAAGTAGGTCTCCCACGACCGTTCAGAAACCACGTCCGTAGCCCAGTTTATAATCCTCCAATTGATCAACTTGTGTAACTCCTCCGAATGCGCCTCAACAGAGATATTCTTGACGTTTCTCAGATCGCAGAACGGAGCCGTCATCGCGTCGCAGTCATTCGCCTCTGGCATCGGGTAGCTCTGCTCCTGCATGTCCCCCTCTTCATCAGACTCCCAATGGTGGTGCCACTCTTGGTTACCGTTCTTCTCAAAAATTATACACAAATAATCAATGGTAGAGGCGTTACGGAGGAGCTCTACGAGCTTAGTCACCTTGTCGAAGAGTATGAATACCTCAGCCGCACTGTCAAAGTTCGGAGCGTAAAGCTTGATGACGATCTCGCTGATTATATGAACTAGTAAATGCGGGAAGCCTCGCGTGTGTGCATTTTCCATGTCTTTAATAACCCATGTCGCCGTGAGGGCCGTTGCTAGGAGGTAGTGTTCTGTTATGAAGGTAACTCGTAGCCACGCATCAGGGCACGGCATGAGTTCGAATTCTAATTCAGAATCATCGTAAAGCGTGTTAGATACTTCATAATGGAGAGCACTACTTGTACGAAAATAGCTAGGTCTTTTTCAAAATCATACTTCGCGCCCTCGCTGTCCTCGCCGCAGGGCAGGAAATTGAGCCAGGTGCGCTCGCGTATTTCGACGGGGAGGCTGGCAAAATGGCCCAAAGGTGTAGGATCTATCTCCATTCCTCTCAACCAGATGCTCTTGAAAAATTTTCTTTCTTAGGAAATAGAGTGTGCAGAAGAGTTATGGTAGGTGATTAATTTTCTAAGGATGACTTCTGTTTATCAACAATGCTTACATCGTTGGTTTAAAACAATTCAGGGCTATTATCAGATAGAACAAAGAGTACCATAGGCAGCACTGCATAGTCTTCTTAGCAGTAGTCTTTTCTTTGTCTGTTGTGGGGATGAAACGCGGGTTGCCGTTGGCATTGTATCGGCTTCTCGGTTAGCCCTAATGCCGCTTTCGAATATCCTTTTTTTCTTCACCAAAACTATAGTTTACATGTATGTAGTGGGAATTAATGCTGGCATTACTGTTTAAAATATTTGTATTGCGGGTAATGGGCGTGTATAAGAGCAGTTTCGAAGCAGTCTTGTATATTGTCGTCAACCAGTCAGCGTAATATCAGACATAGCAACGACCATCCTGAAGCATCATTCTCTGGTATGGCATCATAGCATATGAAAAACCTCGAAGATGACTCTTCGTTTCTCATCATACTAGTTTATAATTTCAATTAGACAAAATAGCAAACCAAACAAACTCAGGCCAGATTCGATATCACGAGATGACAGGCTCCGCACAAGCTCCCCGTGCTCTTCCTATTCAAACAACCATTGCCCTATCAGCAGCGATAATTAAAGACTGGCTCAAATTACCTTTATCTAGCAGTAATCCTGTTTGGGGCATGGGTGAATCCTTTACCAGTCAGGTGGCGTGCTCGAGCAGCATCGATACCCACTCGAGCATTCACCTCAGCCCTCAATGGAAATCCCCGCTACCAGCCTTCATATTGTTAGACCCTTTCTTCGGCATGGGTCGGAGCTGTCAACGCACGAAAGCAGGATACTTACTCCGTTCCGTAGGTTAAGGATTGTTTATTGGGCTTCGTAGCCCAGCCTGTTATATAAGCCCTAGATTTCTTCCTTCTTCTTTCTTCTGTCTTTTCTCTCCTCTCTTCCTTTCTTCTTCACTTCTTCTCACCAACTTTATGATTCTCTACAATCATTATTATCTTTCCATCATTTAATACTTATCCTCATCTACAATCTATTGACAGCCACATCAATATGTGCCACCCTGCCATCCTCTGGTACGGGTGCGACCACCTCACCCTCACTCAGCTTAAATGCCCCCTCGACGTCCTCAACATGGAGCACATTTCTGACGAACTCATCCTTGCTTGCTCAGGCAACGCCTGCTGCCTCTGCGCCCTTCCTATGATTCCCAATATCCAAGAACTCAAAAGCAACTGGCTCTCTGGCTCAAAGGTTGCCAAGTTTTTCAACGTGGAGACTGATGATAGAAACATAGAGAAATTCATTATTCTATTTTTCGAGATGGGACATCATGTGCAGTGTGAGGAACATGCTGCTTTGAGACTCGATGTTGCTACTACTTCTCGTTCTCCTCCTGCTTCTGAGTCAGGTACTCCTGCTCCAGAGCCTGCTGTTGAGCCTACCCAAGTTCCGTCGCCTCGATCTCCTGTTGCGAAGGTATGGAGCTGAGTATTTTGAGCGTTAACCTTGAAGACTAATAGTAGTACAGCAGAACAAGCGTGGTCATTCTGCTTCTCAAAACAAACTACCTCAGAACACCCAGAAAAACAAAGCCTCGACCTCAAAGCAGTCTGAGACTACGACCACATCTCAGACTCAGACTCAGACTCAGGTACGAGCTACAAGTCCAGTCGTCGATAAAAATCTAACCTAAAAGACCCAGGTCGTTCAAAAGCCTCCTCACTCCCAACCTACACCCGCGATCCAGCCCAAGCCCATGGCAACAGCGGCTAAGGCCACAGCTCCGGCTCCGGCTCAGACTTACGCTAACACTCAGGTGAGAGCTTCCAATTCCAGTTCTCGATGAAAAAAGCTAACGATAAGTCCCACGTCCAGTGCCCCCAACCTACACCCACGTTCCAACCCGTTCTCACGCCCCAAAACTTTTCTCAACAACCTTTCCCTACTCCTATCTCTCCCCCGCTACTCAAAACCAAAGAAGACACCCTCCTAGCCGAGACTTTTCTTCAGTGGAAACATGAGCTGGATCTTTCCGGTGGCGACTTTACGGACGTCGATTTTGAAGATATCCAGGCTTACATCGAGCTGGAGGAAAAGTCTGGTACCAAGCACGAAAACCAGGGGCCGATTCAAGGCCTGACTGGAGCTGGTGCTGTTTTTGATGCAGAGTTGCAACAAGTTTCGCAGCCTCCAACTGTCCATCATAGTGTCAAGGCTCAGGGTGATCGCATTGAAAATCGTGCTCATGCTGGTGCTGCTCTTGATACAACCGTCCAACAACAGCAGTCACGCCCTATTCAGCGGCAGGCTCAGAACATTCAGACTTGTTCTGCCGTTGATGCCACTTTCCAGCAGCATCGTATGAGCCCTGTGCATTATGACGCTCATTTGCAGACTCCGAGGCCTGTCAAGCCCAATTTCCACGCCCAGCAACCACAGCAAAACAGCACTCCCCTCCACCACACTACTCAAGAACTTCCCAATATGAACGTCAACGTTCAGCTTCCACTACAGAGAGCTCCAGTTCAGAATGCTGCCGGTTCCAGTGTTCACACCCATCCAGTCCAGCATACCGCTCAGAGACCCGTCAACGTGGACACTCACGTTCAACTTTCACTTCAGGCTGCCCAGATCCAGCATCCCAGTAACGATGCCCACCCACAGCATCCCATTCAGAAACCTGCTTGCGTGGATGGCCATGCTCAGCGCTCACAGCAGCCGAATGCTTCAACTCAGCACAGCGTGCAGAGCGTTCCTCATCAAAGGGCTCCTCCACAACCTGTTCCTCAACAAAACACCGCTCCCCAGCAACTTCACAATACCACAGCTCACCCCGAACAAGCTACTACTCCCTACGACGGTACAAACTGGGGCGATAAAGGTGTCTATCTCCCTGACAAAAACGTCTACTTTGCTGGCGACAAGCCTCATTCTCCGAAACTCGACGCTCTTCCGCTTCCTGAATTGGGTACTATTTTTCCTCGTTCTGAGAGCGACTCCTTGGTTTTGAAGGGGCATTTTGACGAGCAGGCGTCGTTCTTGGAATTTACAAACATCGATGAGCTCTGCAATGAGTCTGGTGATGCCATGATGCTGGATGTTGCAGCGTCTTCAGAGCATTATATTGCAACCGTTCAAGGTAGCCATGGACAAAACAGGCACCAACCCGCTGATCCTCTGTTGTTGAACCAATATGGTAGCCAGGTGGCCTACGATCGTGTCCAGACCAGCGACTCGGGGCGAAGCACTCCATCTCACATGAATATGAACATGGACACTCAACAACCTGCTGTAGTGCATCAATTCGTTCAGCAACCCGCTCAAATTGTATTCCACCGAAACGACACCAATTCCAGGACTCGACTTTCTTCTGAAGAAATGCACCAAATTGCCACCGTTCCCAAGCCAAAGCGCAAGGGTCGTGGCAGACCCAGGAAAGCTCAAATGGCTTCTGTCAAGATTGTTGACAACGGCAACAGCAACGGCACCACCAGCCCTAGCAACGAGAACGTGAGCACCGCCAGCACTACCAGTGCCACTGATATGCCTACTGCTAGTACATCCACTACAACTATCGCAAATGATCCAACGCGTGGCATATCTAAAGCCACTGCCGCTACCTCCCGCATAACAAAACAGTCCACCACAACCCCTCCCTGCCCATCCACGACAACGACCAAAGCTCGCTCGCGTTCAAATAGTAATACCAGAACCAACACAGCCACCGCCTCCGCCACAAAAATCAAAGGTCGCGGCCGCAGCACCAAGAAGAATGAAGACAACGAGCCCAAAGGCACCCTGGTTACCATCGAGAGACCCCCGGCCGATAACACGGCTGATCCGACGGAAGAGTATATACAGAGATATAGTAACCCGGTGGCGATGCTGTCTCCTTGTTCAAATTGAGCGATTAAGTTGGCGCGAGTTGAGTGGAGTCGCACTCGAGTGAGGTGTACGGGACTGAGGTTGGTTGGGGTTGATGCATATACGATGGCGGATGGATGGACAATACATGATATATGGGCTTTTCTATTCTTTTCTTCTTCTTCTTCTTCTTCTTCTTCTTCTTCTTCTTCTTCTTCTTCTTCTTCTTCTTCTCGATAATTTCGCAGTTTTACATTCGTGTTCATTCTTTTCCTGCTCACTTTTTCATGGTTTTCAGGTTGTCCTCTTGGTTAGTCGGTTAGCGATTGCGATGGCGATGGTATTTATACGGGATTTCTATGGATGAGCAGGTTTACTCTTATTCTTCATGATGTTTTCATTTCTACCGTCATGGTCATGTTCTTTAAGCGATCTTTTCAAACTTCATTTTCTCATTCATGTGGATACTTTCAATTTTTCAGTTCGTTCGGTACATATTGGATTATGGATTGTTGATAGGAAAAGCGGTTAGGGCTCAATTGGCGAAGCTTCAAAAAATTCAATTCAGGGATATAAAGATTCTTTTGTTGTTTCAGATTTTTTATTCTCTTCACTAAAAGCTTTGAGGTTTTTGTCTTGAACAAAAACCGGATAATGAACAATAGAATGGACATGGTATTGAACTTTTCAGCATCTATCCTCATTACCCTGGCATAAACACTTCATAATCATAAACCTTAAGACGAGAGAAAAGAGAATTTACTAAAATCCCAAATCCCCCTCCTCATCAAACTCCCCCGAAACATCCATCCCCTCCCCATCCTCATCATCCTCGTCCAACCCCTCGAAGATCATGAACTTCTCGTTCTTCGCATCCGTCTCTTCTTCAACGACATTACCGTCCTGAACCTCGCAATCCTTGAGCACGCTCTCGCGACCGATTTTGGACCGTCGTCCGACGATACATCCCGTCAACTGGCATCGTTCGCCGACCACGGCACCGTCCATGATGAGACAGCGGGTGAGGCGTGCGCCGCTGGAGATGTGACAGTTTGCGCCGATGACAGATTCCTTGATCACGCATTTTTCTTCGACAGTTACGTTTTCTGCGAGAAGGCAGTCTGCTTTGGTGACTGTGCAGCGCTGGGCGATGCCGGCGGGGTATGCGACTTTTTGGTTATGAGCGAAGGGCGAGGAGGCTGTGCGACCGGCTTCTTCGACGGATTCCAGTTTGGCGAGGCGGAGGGTGATGGAGAGGAGAATGGCGGAGTTGTCGATGCGGCGGAGGAGCGGGGCGGAAGGCATGGAGGAGTGCACATAGGCGAGCATTGGGGGGACGATGAGGTCTTTTGCGGAAGATTCTTTGGCGGCGGCTTCGAGGCTGGAGTTTGTGCGGGATGGAGCGAGTTCGGGGACGCTTCCTGGTGCGGTTGTGTCGCGGGATGCGCCGGCACCCGCCTTCGTGGTACTCATGGCTTTGAGGTCAATTTCCTCCTCGAGAGCCGGGCCATCGTAGCTGATGTTCTCGCCATCTTCGTGCTTCACGGGTTCGAGGATTTCCCTCAATCGCAGTTTGTCACCTAGACCTGCCTGCCACCCCGACTTTGCCCACCAACCCACCAGGTCTTCACTAACACTCTCGAACCTTTCGTTCAAACGCGCAAGATCCTTGACCCAATGGGGGAAAACATAGATGTGGGCATCGCGATAGCTAGACAGCATCTTAACTTGCGTGTGCTTTTTGACCAGAGAGTGACGAATGAGCAACCCCTTATCCTCTTCCATCTTCTCCTTCAATGTATCCATCGGCATGGACAGCACAAGCTTGGACAAACCAAACCGTATCGAAGCCGGTCCATCTAGCGGATGCGATACGGCAGGCGCCTCGTCCTGCTCGAGAGGAGTCGTAGCCAAAAAGTCCGTCACTTCCCCCTTGACACTCTCTTCCCTGCCTTGGGTCTGATAGTACACACCAAGTCCACCCCGTCGGCCACCTTGCTCACCACCCATTCCAACGGATCTCGGACCGTGCGTATGGCGACCGTCGCGAACTGTCGACCCGCCCAATGCACTTTGCGAAACCATCCATGCCTCCAGAAGAGACTCGCCTGGGATATCACAAATAAGGTCACAGGGAAGGAGGAGGAAGTCGGACTTGATGCTCGATTGAACTTCGGGGAGACGGAGCAGCTCTGCGGTACCAGTCGTCAAGGTGAGATCGGCCGGTGCGAGGACGGATGCGGAGGGCGAGGGGAGGGAGGTAAGGTGAGGGTTTTGCGAGAGAGCTGCTTCCAGCGGCGCCTTGCTAGCGGGAGGTGTGATAAGTGTAATGTCTAGATTAATCAAAATCAGTCAGTCGCCAGATCAACTAGGTCCAAGGCGTGTGCATACTGGTAATTCCCATGCGATAGCACCAATCCAATGGGTACCACAGCATCGGACGGTTCGCAATTGGGATCAGAGCTTTGGGGAACTCCTCTGGGTTCGAGGTGAAGGTGTTGAGGGAGACGCCAGGTCCGCACAGAATGAGAGCCTGGAAGCCTGTCGGGGGCACAGGGACAGAATGAGGCATGGCAACTGCTCGTCCAGTTGAACTTTGGTATCGTGGTGAACGCGGGGGAGGGGAAGTGAAATAGATGAGCTTCTAACAGAAGTGATGTCGTTTATATCAGTAAAATAAAAGCCCAGTGCAGCCGCGGGAAGCTCTCTATTAGCTCGAAAGGCGTATATTCACGAGGTCAGATGGAAACACTGCGTTCTGTCCTGACTCACTCTAGACAGTCAATTGTGCTTTTTTCGAGAAACCGCCCAGCATCACGTGCCGATAGCAGTGCTGAGTCATGGTCCGTGCAAACTATGCAAACCGTAAATTACAATACTGTACCATACACCAACACCGCGGCAACCCCAGTAAACATACGTCCAATGATTCCTCCAGCCACATGTTTCTCGGCTCTCCGAGGCTATGGGATCAACCTCCGTCTTTCCCAGGTCGTCCCTCCCTCCTTCCTCTCCCTGCCTCCAACCTCGTCTTCCTTCGTAGGAGAGACATGCGATGTGACCTTCACGATCCGCCACCCGATCTGAGATTCTATGCGTCTGGCTTAATTGACGTCTGCGACAGCAATGTCTTTACCTGATGCTCGCCGCCGGCGTGGAGCTGGCATTGGTTTTAGCCCAACGGGGCAACGAACTGCCCTAGGATACTGGGTACCACTTGCTGTGACTGTTGGCGTTGCAACAGCTGGTATCGCAGCATGGATTTGGAGTGAGCGGAGCGATGAAGACGAAGAAGACGATCTCGGCGAGCAATCCCGGGACGATCTGGACGAACAAGAGGATGGATTCCCCACCGCGCGTGGTCCTGGCGGGGAAGACATGCCTTCTGATATAGCAAATGATGATGCTGGAATGATGGCTCGTATGCACAACACTCTACGGCGGACTCCCAGTCCCCAGCAGATCTTCGACGGCGCCAGCAAACGAGTTGCGGCCGGTGTGGCTGCTGCAGGGGCGTTCGTCGGTGGACTTACTTCAATCCGAGAAGAGAACAGAGGCGACTTCGAAGATCATTCGAGATGGTCAGAAGAAGTAGAGTCCAGGGACAATGAAAGATCTCAGCAAGCTGATGAGGCCCCGACGATGAGCGGTGCACTCCCGACTCCACGCGGAGCAACTCCTGGGAAGAAAAAGAGCGTTGCCATTGTTGTGTCCTCTGCGTCATCCAATAGTCTTGAAGACTCCACCTTTGAACATGCGGTAAGTTCCATTCCTCGGTTTCTAATTAACAAGCATGCTGATAATGTTGGAACAGTCTGTTCTATCTCACCTTCCCGAACACATCGACGAAAACACCAAGGTCTTCGTTCTGATCTATGCTCCCGATCTGAAGCGTGGTGCTAACAAAGGAACCTCTCCCAACCAACCTCTATCTGTCACTTCATCCTACTCTAATATCAACCCCGAAGACGCTGCTTCCTCCGGTGAACTGCCCACCGTTGAGCCCCGCCAAATGGACGAATCCGAGGGCAAGACACCGCTTTTCAAGACCTTGTACTCCCAGGCCCTCGCGATTGTTGAGAAGGAAAATACAATCATGCCGTTCAGCACTGAATCCGGATACGTGCACCTTGTGCGCCATCTCTCGCCAGAGCTTGTATATGTCCAAGAGTCCCTGGCAGGCAAGGATGGATGCGCTGCTCAGCATGTCTCCGGATGGGTCCGACAGGTAGTTATTGTCGTTGGCGACGAAGGTGGCCGTGGTGGTCTCATCGACAGTGACGACGAATCAGCCCTCGCGGAGAATGGTGAGAAGTGGTGGCAGAAAGAAGGTGTTACCGGTATTGGAAAGCGCATCGATGTTGTGGATGTGCTCCGTACTGGATTGGACTGGCGCCGCAGAGTGCGCGGTCTGGACTAAAAGAGCCGTGCATGCTTGAACTCAACTGGGCGGCCATGTCGATATAGTTAATGGCTGAATAGTTATACCTGTTTCCTGTTTTCCCCTTGTGTCTTTGTCGTGATTGGCTTTTGATTCCCCCTGCTTCGTCTTTTGTTCGCTTTCTCAGTTAATGTTTCTACATAGACGGATGATTATTGATCTCTGTCCTAGTTACGCCTGAATGAAAATAGCTCTACGAATCTAACTAGTATGCCATTCTGTCTGTTCGATCCCATGCCTTCGACCTCGGTAAACATCGCGCATTTCATCGCACCCAGTATGCGCCAATTGTAAAAATTTTCCTGCTCTCGCGCGCAAGGCTTTTACCATGTATATAATTCACTGGGAAATCAATCACTATTCTCTAGCAATAATAATCGAAGTAATGTCGGGCTATTCATTGCGGTCGAACTAACCGAAAGCGGTAGTCATGTGAGCAGCCGGCGTCTCGTTCGTCCACGGCTTGGCATCAACCAACTCCCTCTTGCAGAGCCTCACCGTCGTCCGATGGCCATCCCCCGACGGATCCCCCCGTCATCCCCGCAATTCTCAGCTTCTCGGACCCCGGTGTCTCGTTTGGCTAGTTTCGCTCGCTTTCGTGCATCTTTCCGCTTCGACTCCGGCGAGTTCGTTGTTGTCCGGTCCCGTCCTCCGCTCCCCACATGTCTCGCGCATCGGCTACTATCTCATTGACGACGTTAGAAGCGACGGCGTTCATTTATCATCTTTAATCCCGCGGCGCGATATAATACGGGAAGTCGCATCAACGACTCGCTGAATTTCCCCCAAGTCGCATCGCATTAGACGGGGGATCTCGCAGCGCGACCGCAATCCAACCATGGCAACGGTCATCACCAAACCCGCCTCCCACCCTCCCAAGATGAAGCGACCACCCCCGCCTTTGGGGGGTCAATCTGGGCTCAACGGAATCAGAGCTCCTCAACAATCCCCTTCCTCCTCTTCTCCTTCCTCTGCGTCGAAGCGTCTCCCGGGGTCTGGTCAATTGGATGCGGCGAATGCCACCGGCGGTCAAATGGCGAATGGCGTCAATGGCGCGTCTTTTTTGAACGTTTCCAACAACAAGGGTCCTCTGAACCGACCGAGAAGGGATGCGCAACGAATCGCTGACCATCCTACACGGGTACAACGGTCATTATCGAAGACAATGCCGACAGACAATGACCGCCGGGTAGGCAAGTGCCCTGAGCCATATGGTAAGGCGCCTATTGTGAAACGGGTTCCTGTTTACGGCTGAACTAATGACTATGATTAAGTGAAAACGACGCCCTATATCTTGAAGAAATACGCAAAAAATCCTCCCTCCCTTATTGTCCACCTCCATCCGACCCACTTTCGTTTTGAACAACAAGATGGAAGCTTCCCTTATAATTCTGAGATGAAAGTAATCATCGAACATATTCGCGCAGGGACTGTTCCCCATGATATGATGGAGGAACTCTTGCGAGCCAATGTTCGATTCTACGAAGGTATTATTTTGGCCATATACAAGGTGACCATGTCATAGCGCTAATCTGATCGCTAGGTTGTTTGATCGTTCGCGTGGTTGATCACAAGTCGGCCACAGCGCAGGCCAGGAAAGCAACGGCCACGCAATCGAATGACAACAACTCACCTTTTTCGATCCACAACTACAACGAGCATATTACTCCATCACCTTTTGTGCCATATCCTAAACATAATCAACTGGCCTCTGAGCAAACGGCCTCAAAGACGGAGACTGCAACCAATGGTACTCCTAACCAGAACAAGGAAGTTGTTAAAGATGCGTCGGCGAAAGAGGCTCAGGCTCCGCTCAAGCCTAAAGTTTTTACAACGGTCCTTCATCCTACCACTCGCTCGCTGCAAGCAGAATTGACGCTGCTTGCTACTACCCCTGACCCGAGAGCTGCCAGGCAACAAGCGGAACCTTCGAATGACCAGACCAACGGTCACGTCGCAAAGCGACAGAAGATGCTGGTTGAACCGCAACATTTGCTGGAATGCGAAGCTAAGCTGACTAGGGCATTGGCGCCACCACTCTTTTTGGAACCTGTGGATAGTTTAGGAGCTGTACAAGACCTTCTGAAATTCATGGAGAGCCCGATGCATCGTGATCCGCCACCATCGCCCAAGAGACGCAAGCGAACCGTGGCTGAACTTGAAGCGGATGAAGCGCTGGCAGCTGAGGAAGAGCGATTCATGCTCATCATGGACGAACGTTTGGAGTCAAGTGTTTCGAACGGTGCAGGAGGGACGAAGTCCGCTGTTGATGAAACCAGCGGCGGTGCGCCATTCGAGCCGCGCTTCTCCCGATTCAAGACGCTGGAGAACATTCGCATGCAGCACGAGGAGAAGGCGAAGCGGGAGCACGAGATTAAGCTCAAACAGGAGATGGCCAAGAGACAGCAGCAGGATATGGAGCGAGAACGACGTCGGGTTCTGGAGCAACGGCAGGCCGAAGAACACGCCAGAGAAGAAGCTCGACGACAGCAGCTCGCGGCGCAACAGGCACAGGCACAGCTTGCTGCTCAGCAGCAGCAGAGTCGCCTGGCCCAAGCGAACGGTGTCAGTCAAGGGCAGCAGTCTTCTCCGGTGGTTCGCAACCAGACACCGCTCAACGTCTCTTCGCCCATGGTTGCAAATACGATGGCTACACAAGGGGCTGTCCCTATGAGTATCACATCGTCTGCACAAGGTGGAGCTGGCAGCCCACCGCGACCTCCGTCAGCTTTGCAGCACGCTCACCCGAGCGTCATAGGGCATCCTATGGCCCCATCCAGAAGCCAACAAGGGGGACAGAGCCGGCATGGAACACCGCAAATGACCCAGGGAACGCCTGCGATGTCTCATGCGACTCCGATTATGCGCAATGCGACACCTCGGATGAGCCACGGCAGCCCAAGCCACTCGGGTATCTCTCAAACTCCGGTAATGAACCAGAGCATGATGACCACGCCGCAAATGGGCAGTGGTGGAATGGGCTTGACGCCACAGCAACAACAATTGTTGTTGCATCAGAGACAACAGGCGATGATCGCTGCCCAACAGGGAAACCTTGGGCACAGCGGACTCACCCCGCAGCAGTTTTCCCAGTTGCAAGCCAACGCACATGCACAACAAAACATCCAGCAATACCAGCAGCATCTGTTACAGCAACAGCAACAGAACCAGCAGCAACAGCAACAACAACGGATACCGAATCAGCACGCATACCAGGCACAGCTGATGCGCGCGCAGCTCACTCAAATGCAAATGGCGCAGAATCAACAGCAGCAGCACGCGCAACATCCACAACCACAGAACCAACAGGTTCAAGCGCAACAGAACGGGGGCCACCAAGGCAGCCCCCAAATGACTCCCCAACAACAGCAGCAACAAATTCTAATGGCAGCAGCACAAGCCAACGGCGGCCATCTCCCGCAGAACTTCCAAGGCATAAACATGGCTCAGCGCTATACCCAACTATACCACCAGCGACTCCTCCGCCTCCGACAAGAGATGGCGCACCGGTTCACCGGGCAATACGGACCGCCCTCGCAGTATCCGCCGCATATTGCACAGCAGTACGGCCTTGGACTCGAACGCAGCGCCAAGGTGTGGGTCAACGAGCTTATGAAACGAGAGCGCGAATCCGTACAGCAGCAGCGTGCTAGCCAGGTCGCGGCTGTTCAGGCGCAGGTGATGCAGCAGCAACAACAGCAGCAACAGAATATGATGCGAAATGCATAATGTTTTTTTTTTTCTTTTCTTCTGGCGTGGTCGGGATCGTCCACGTCTTTAAACTTTTATTTTTGCTTGCATTGAATTTATCATTCCCAGGATTGTTTATGGTTTTGGACTGTATAGGAAGACTGGCGTTGAAGTTCGTTACTTTTTGGCTTTTTACTCTTCTACTAACTTCATACCTTTTTTCCTTACTAACTACTAACCTTTTCGCGTTGGCTTATTTCGCTTTTCTTGTCGTTTGTGCATCGTGTACCAATTGGGAAGGCTTATTCAGGGGCGGACAGAATATACCATTGTACAGGCGTATGTTGGCAACTTGTATTCAATAGGTGAATTGATTTGAATGTATCGTGGTCCTGGTAGAAGTCGTGGTCATCCGTAGTGTGCTACTGATCGATCCTATAAACTTGACTCTTCAGGTTCAGATAAACTGGATAGGATCTATCCGTAAGTTACTCATCGCACGTTACTCTTATCCCTGGTACACGGAGTAAAATAGAACCTTCGATGGCTACTGCAGATACGATAACCACCTCTTCCATACCCCGTAGTCATCTCAGCAGAAACGAAATTAAGAGGGGAAATAAAGTCCATTATATCCTCTAAGCCATCTATACAATAACTCAAAAAGAACATCTCCAAAATCAGACTGTTGAGCTTGATATATTTTTTGATCACCCAGTGCAGAAACCTGCATCGTGCCAAAAGAAAAGGAGTCATCATAGAATGGAGATGTTCACAACAAACATTAAAACAAACGAGCAATCTGAGAGTACTGCGACTTGCACATAACCAAGTCTGTGACATCGCATTGCAATGCCAAACCAAATGCCAAAGAGCAATGGTGATACAAAGATGAAGGAATTTCCGCAAATCCCGTTGTGCGACGCGCTATTTATCCTTCCCTGTGATTAGTAATAACCCTATCCACTTATGATTATGCATAAATGCACAACTTGTATAACGTGCCCTACCTCGACTATCATACTGTAACGCTTGTTCCAGCTTGACTGGCACTGACACTGACTCGTAGCCAATAATTAGTAACTAGTTCGTCTTCTCAAACTGCCACAGGATAGAGGCATTAAGGAAAAGAAGAAACCGGTTTTGAGACCCGGCTGCGTGCATATGATATCAAATTTGTCTGCAGAGTTATTATGAAATGGGTAATGTAATTGGTAGGACAAAGTGCAGGCCAGTTTTGTTTCTGTGAGGCTGTTAGTATGGTTATGGAGTACATAGTCGGTGTACGATTACTATGGGGGAGTTATTCTTGTGTGGATGAGGCTTGGGAGTATGGATTACGGATATTGTGGAGTGGATGCATGTGGCCGAGTGCAGAGGTTTATAGACGTCGTCGTGCATACATTGATAATTCGATAATGGTAGATAGCTTTCTGCAGACACAAGCGGAGGTGAGGTGAAGCTCGATCAATGCTGCAGACTTACCCAGTCCACTCGAGTATGTAACCGACTAGGCATCAAAATATCACATTTCACCTCTACTCGCTTTTTACTGTTGTCTCCGCAGAGTAGCCAGAGTGGCATGCCTCGCATCTTCACCGTACTTCGAATACTGCAGTCTCTGCGCGGGGACATGCCTTGGTGAGACACTGCAGAGAGATAGCGGTAGGTATATAGCTTGTGTTGAGCGAGTTGATATTGATAAGATGGCTGTCAGTTCTGCTAGATAAAATGGATGGTGATATATCTATTTGTCGGGATGAGTTTTTCGTCCATTGCGCCGAGTACTTTGTACTTGTAGTCTACTTGTAGAGGAAACAAATTCGAGAAATAACTGAATAGAACATCACGAGATTATACTTACAACTAAGACATACATATATACCTATTCACCTCCAAGTACACCGTCCCTTCCCTTCCCCTTTCCCTCCCCCCTCAACTGAACCTCGGTCCACGAAAGAAGTCCAAAGTACAAGTACTCTATCAAAAATAAACACCACTCACTACTCGTACATAATGCACTAAGCATGCACCACACATAACTAGCACAGCATCTCTATCCCGGTACTCGGTGTCCTGAGTACGTCAGACACTCAACTCATCACACACCTCATTGCATACAATCACATATCACTTCTTCTGTCCGCTAACGCAATCAGGATTCTCGACTAGTGGATACTCCGTTCTCCGTACGGACTCGCGGGCTTGTACAGGAAAGTACAAGTACATGCCAACCATGCGAGGCGCCACATGCCTCTAGACCACAAGTAAAATTATTCCGTAATAATCAGGTCGTAGTCGTACTGTGGACAACGACTGAGAGTGATATATCACTCTCCATATCTTCTCTGCGTACAAGTAACAAACTCTTATCACCTGGCCAATCGGATGGTGTCCAGAGCAGAGTTAACAAAGCTAAACTACTTGTAGACTGATCTGCGGTTCCTATTCTAGACCTTTTTGAACGCTTGTATGGTAAGTATGGTATGTATGGTTGTGTGTAACATACGGTACTGGCACTAATGCACACACATAGTCGATACCAGTAATGTGGAGTCAGGAACAGAATCGGGCAGAATTCTGTACAAGTGGGTGAGAAGCGGATAGCGACATTAGCTATGTATTATAGTATTATTGTCATGAATCTAATCTAATTCGTATTATTCATGGAATATTGCTCAACAGAAATGGGATCGATCCGTCAGATTCGGATCAAACAAATAAGTTGGTTCGTACAATGCCTCCCAACCCAACCAGCGCACACCAGCCATGCAATATTATTCAAGAGGAATGGTAAGATGCAATAGACAAAAGAAATGAAGAACACGGAGTTTTACAGGGCAAACGCCTCAACGCGCCAACCGGGCCAAGCCGGTGTATGTAGATCAGTACAAAGGAAACCACAAAGGAAAGTAGAAAAGAAAATATGCAATCGAGTCACACAAAGGAAAGGCAAACAAAGGAAAGTAATGGGTATCATCGTTCGCTCACTCGGTCAAGTCACACACTTACTCGTCCCAAGCATCCACACTCAACTCCCGAGTATCCATCGGGTCCTCCAACTTGGAACCATAGATAGGACGGCCATCGGGAGTGAGTTGACCCCGAAAGTCCGGGTCGAAGTCGGGGCTGGTCTCGTCCAGGGTCGCAACGTACCTGTTGCGACCGCCTCGTTTGCTGTGGGTCTTGGTGTAGTGAGCGTTGAGGTTGTCACTGCGTGAGAAGGCCCGGTGGCATCCCGGAACCCAACACACATGCGGCTTCTCCTGCGAGTGGCTCTTCATGTGCCGTTTCAGGTGCTCCTGACGCTTGAACCGGCCCTTGCAGCCAGGCTCCTTGCACTTGAACTGGACCTGCTTGATGATCGGCGGGAGGTTGTCCAAGGTAAAGCTGTTCTTCGACGACTTCTTGCTGAGCTTGCGCGATGGCTGACGCGACGGACGGGGCATCCCGTCGCGGTAGGGAGACAGAGGGAAATCATCGTGGAAGTCTCCTGCACCACCCGATATATGGCTCATCGGCGTCTCCGTCCCCGATGGGGTGCCCAATGAGCAGGAGCGGACAGAGGTCGTAGGTGTTTGCTTAAAGGCGTTGAGCGAGGTATGGAAGTCAGAGTACGACGGCGGTGGTGTGACAGGCGCTTGCGGGAAGGCCTGAGACGGTGTGATGGTTTGGGGAGCCATAGACTCGGTAGGCGGCATCCAGTGCAACATGTTGCCCATGGACATCGAGCTAGACATGCGTTCAGGCTGGCTGAAAATGGGTCGCGATAAACATGGGTTGGTGGCCGATTCCGGGAGATACGGTGTATGACGGTAGTGAGTGCGCGTCATGCTTGGGTAGGATGCCATGCCAGAAGGGTACTGCATCCCATGGGGGTTCTCGTATGCCTTGGACATGTCGGATGGGATCCAAAACTGCTCGACGTTGTCATCATAGCCAGGCAGGTACTCAGGCATGGGCATGCGGTCCTGGGTGTCCAGGGCATACGGCATAGTCATGGAGTCACCAGTAGTCGCGGTCATGTCAGCCAGTCGAAAAGCGCTCCGCATTGGCGTAGAACCCGTATTTCTGTCGTAATGCTGATTAGGGTGGACGGAGAATGAACCGCCTTCGTGCCAGCCGGGCGAAGTCAACGATGTTTGGCTGTACATGCTGGTGGGGGTCGGTGAATCAAGCGGCGAGAAGCTGGAGGCCATTGAGGGACACTCGCTGGATCCCAAGGACGGGCAGTCAAGTTCCAAAGGCAAACGGTCCGCGATGGTACCCTGAGATCTCATCTCGTCGGTATCTTGGGTGGTTTCGAGGTCCTTTCGAGGGATCGGTTCAACCTGGGTGCCTGTGCAGGATGGTTTAGCCACTGACCAGTGCAGAACAATAGTATTATGATTATGCAAGTCGTAATGAATGTATGCAGTGACCAAATGATCAGGATAAGGAATGTTTGTCAAGTAGGAAAAGGGCGAGTCGAGTGTGGAAGAGAAAGGAGTGCAGAGTGCAGAGCGACAACGAAGGACTGCAATGTAGTACAAACAACTGAAGGAATGAAGGACAGTGCACGCGGGTTGAAACGAAGCGCAAAGAGAATGGATGAAGTACAAGTAGATAGGAGAGAAAGAAGGTAAAGAAACCCAGAGTGATAGAGAGAAAAAAAAAGGAATGCTAAGCCAGGAATGGAGGACAAACGAGAGATGAAATAAACAGACAGCTCAGTCCCGAATAGGACAAGCCGGGCCGATCACACAACGACAGTATACAGTAGTTCACTTACCCTCGTATGCCATTGTCTTTCTGATTCGTGTTTAGAACTCTAAACAATAAACGGGGAGAGAGAGAGAGAGAAAAAAAAAAAAAAAAAAAAAAAAAAAAAAAAAAAAAAAAAAAAAAAAAGGCGTATTGTCGCGTGCCTAGGAGAGAGAAACCGAAGTCCAAGCGAGACCTGGAATGTTACAGTATGTCGAGTATAGAACCCAGTTCCTCGAGTAACGGCAATAGAGCTGGAACAGCGCCTGGATCGCGGTTTAGGACAGTGGCCCTTCGAAGACCATGCGCGTCGTAGGAGAACCGACGGACACGCTGAACGAGTCTCAGTTTGCTCAACGAGGGGTTAGAGTGGGATAGTTATAGACGCAGGAAGGAAGAAACAGTCGCAAGGGGATTGTATAGAACAGACAAAATAGATGCTGTTTTGGATGAAGTCGAAGGGAGGAGTGAAGACAGGATAGAGAGACAAGAGGATGAAGGGAGATTTATATTAAGAGAGATTAATTCGAGAATGCAGTATAAAAGAAGACGTTGAGGTAAGTCAAGAGTCGATGGAAGATGAGAAAGAAAGTTCGCGACTACAGCCAGACAGACAGAAAGACACGCCTTATCCCTCACTTGGGGAAATAAAATAAAATAATTAAAATAAAATATAAAATAAAAATAAAAATAAAATAAATCATAACAATAATTAATTTGCAGTGGATCATCTGCATCAGACTTCGTGCTGTGTATGTATGTATGTGTGTCTATATGTGTGTATGCACTAATGTGCGTAGAAAGAATGGGGAACAACATCACTGGAATGCTCAATCTTCGAGTCCACCAATGACATATATGATATCGTATCTATTCTATGCAGCTGTAGCAAATCTCCATTTGCCCCATTCCAACCGTCAGGGTTCGCTTGTATGTACTCGTACCTAGTACCTAGTATACACATACAGAGAGGGCCCACGATCGCCGGCGATCTGGTGGAGACGAAATGGCCGAAACTAAGGAATACTCAAATGCCTGTTTAGGAGGGATAATAATGAATTTAGCAGTAGGGATACTGATAATCGAGATGGTGATGCTGGGAGTCACTCTCCCAACCGCTTACAGTCTATAATCGTTAGCTAGCCTTACAATAATAATAACCACCATCTTTCAGCTGTACCACAGTATGGCATTATGTGGCGTAAAAAAAAATAATAAATTAAATAAAAATAAAAATAAAAATAAAAAATAAAAATAAAAAATAAAAATAAAAAAAAATAGCAAAGCGCCACTCATTTAAAAACGCAGTGACAATACCATTTAGTGCCATTCTCCCCCATTGTGCACTACTCAGGTTCCAGACAAGACGGCATTTTTCGCGGAAGTCGATCCCCGGTTCCAGCCCCAGATTCTGGCAGATCAACAATGGCTGGAGGAGGATTCGGCCCATTGCTCATTGCTGTACATCTGGGACTTTGTCCACCTTCCACAGCAGCAGGCATCTTGATTCGGACCAACCAGCTTCCATCCTACCAGGCCAGAATGACTACCCGTGTGTCGCATCGTTCTCGCCACATAGCAATGATGAGAAGTGAAACGAGCCAGAGACATCACGTCTCGGTTACCACCAGCCTCTTTCTCTCCAACCTACTTTGTACTCTGGTGAAACAAGACAGTCGATTTGCAGGGATCGACTGTACATAATACGTACAAGTACTCCGTACTTACCGATCGGATGCACATCACAAAGGAACAAGAACCCAAGAGAAGAACAAGATCTTCGTCACCGGCAAGCCAGCCGCACCTATCACAGATCTCGCCGGGAGAGTATATACTTTCATACTACCAAAGTCAAAACCTCTCGGGGAGTACCCACTGCGCCAGAAAACGCTTTGACACAGTCTGTGTGTGCTTGTGGATTGGAATGTGGAGAGGCTCTTGATTAGGAAATAGACTGTCGTAGTTGTACCAAGTCCAGCTTCTCGGATCGCATTGTGACTGGCCGGGAGATCTCAACGGCTTCGTTTATTGGATCTCTACTATTATCCTGTTTAATTTAGTCGAATATATTAAGAGAGGGAAAACAACAATGGAATGGAGACGGAACGATAGGATAGACGACATTTGGTGCTCTGGCCTACCGCCAGGTCTGACCTGTCACGAGTCAGTCGTTATGCAGTTTGACCAGTCCATATCGTATTTGGCTTATCATATCCAAGAATAAAGTCATCCGAGGCATCATACATACCAATCAGCGTGGAAGAAAAAGCGACGACAAAATATTATGTATGAAGAATAATGAATTGTCTTTTTGTGAGATCATCGTGGCATGCCCATTGTCTCTCACGAGTCCCTCTTCTGTATGTCTGGTTGTCTGTATGTACGCAGCCTGATCCGGGAGGGGTGCCTCGTGAGCGGCTGAATCTCGACACGGTGTCTCTTCTCATTTTTTTTTTCTTCTGATTCCTTCCAGGTCCTCCAGTGCAACCCTCCCAGACCTGAATAACGATGCAATGTCACGTTCTTTTTCCAAGGAACTACCCTCGTCGATCTCTGAAGACGCATGGAACAAGCGGAAGGTGTGTGTGTCACATTCCAAGGTGCGGTGTGTCTATACCGTTCCGTACATTGACAGAAACTAGATCACGACGTGAAGGATGTGAGCTCTCTTTCGTGTGATCTTGCCAGAACACTGCCGAACACGAACAGAACGATGATCAGGAGATCTACTGACGTTGGTTTGACAGCTCTCACGGTTCTATTAACTTTGACCTCCACCGGGGACGGAGTACTCCGCTTGCTCGATTCTGCATCCCCTGAAATCCTCGACTCGTCTCTTTCTGAAGATATCCCATAGTAGTAGATGTTCTCTCGTAGCGTATAGCGTATTACCGGAGCATACAGCGCTCTATGCTCCGTAAATCTCCATAGAGAATTATATAAATGTACAAGATACAGTACAGGATACGGATCGGTCAGCCCTGTGGAGAGTCTAAGACCCGCCTGTTTGTCTGGTTTTCAGGTCCACTGTGGCTGATTATTACCGTCAGCCACTATACCGCCACCTATGCGGACAATTCACCGCCATCAATATTGATCTTCGCACATAGACAGACGTGGGAAATAGTTCCTCTCTCGATGGCTCCTGTCGCATGGCAAATGGGATCTGTATACTATGAAAATCCAATCAATGCGAGTCATTCTACCCCGGATCTCATACCCGTCTTCTTCGCATGGATGACGTTGGCTATATTGATATTTTTATATACATTAAGGAGTATCGATTTTGACAAGCGAGCAGCGCGTCAAGGTAATGGCCTAGACGAAAACTATGCCCAACTATTGGTCAGATGCAAACCCGCAAGGATGGCTTGACACTGACCCCAGGTTTCCCTGGTTCTCGCCTCCGTCCCTGTAGTCCAGAGGCAGGGACAGAATCCTGACAAATTTTCATCCATGGAACAGAAACACTCCCCTTCCAACTTTGCATTCAATATATTGGCCCGAAACTCCAATCTCACCGTCTTCTCTTGTGCCTTTCCTATCCGAGCCGGTTGCGTTTGGACTACAGCTATACCGGCCAGCCTTGCCCAGATCGATCGCCGTCATGTGCGGCACGAAAATCAGGACAACGCATTCTATAGTAATCAGGGCAGCAAGGGCGGGTGATCCTCATACATTGACACTTTTACCTTTTTACCGCTAAGTATACTCGGTCCTCGAGTGAATTCTGTACAGTCCTCTGTACTCTGCAGTGCTGTCATGTACATTCTCCGGAACGATGGACAGCATCCCGACATTCCTCAAATGCCGGTATAATCATCCGTCTTTCCAGATTCCAACATCGTCACCATCATGGTCCCCGACGCAGGAGCATATGCAATAACAAAGTTTAAAGATGAGCACAGATGTCCATAGAGGAATAAACTGATACCCTCATCCAGCCATCGCTTCAATAATATTAATCTACGATAGCATTCTTCCTTATCTTGGCATAGGAATGGTTCTGACGCTGATCCTCCGCCACATTGATTCGGCTTGGTTCGTGGTGCATGAACTCACTCCGTACGTACATGGGGGTACAGATACATGCTAATTTCAAACCTGGAACCATTGCATGACCTGCAGGAACTCCACTAATGAAACGAATCATGATTCCCTCGGAGCCACCGGCGCACAAGCCTCGACCGACAGGAGGCTTGACTGGGGTTGGCTCGATATTGGCGATAGCTTGTGATCTATTGGGGAACCGACCATTGACGGTTGATCACGGAGTATTCTGCAATGCTCTGAGCGTCTAAAGTTGGGCTACAGGCAGAGTAAAGATCTACTCGAACCATGATCTGCGCCGAAACAAGATGAAAGTGAAACACTCTCATGCAGTTTCACTTCTCTACTACATTATCCCCATAGTCCCTTGTCTCTCATTGTCGTAGGACTCGAATTGCACCTATTGCACCTCGAAACCCCGAAACGTCAACCGAGGTCTTTGTCTCTCCGACTTTCCAGACCCCTTGCATACGATGATTTCTCTTCCAATAATTTCGATTTGAGTTGCATTGCATCTGCAGCGCGTTGTATCCCTCCCACCGACCATTGGTTTTGCTGTTTTCTTTTCAATAGCGCTTTTTCGGTTCCTGGTACCTGGTTCTTTTCTCGTGCGGTGTGGCCGCCTATCCCTGCCTACCTGCGTTTTCGCCCAACGGTTATTCCTCCTAGAAGTAACAATACTATTGTTTTCAAGATACCGTTATTAGATATTTATTAGGTCCTTGCTCTGGCACTATGATATCATTTATTTATTCCTTTATTAACCAGTACTCCGTACTCGCTCTGGCCATGCCATATGGCCGCATCAGTGCTTTACAGAACAACCCAACAAGCAGCCCCTCTCCCAGCATGTACGTAGCAAATTAATTTCCTCCGCCTAACTGGACTGGCCAAGTCCATGCATGCATACATACGTAGTACATGAATACATACAGATAATTACATTATGCACATACCAAGCACGCCCTGCTCTGCTCTGCTGTTCACCGTCCGTTGTTCGGCCGACCGGCTTGTCTGGTTATTTCGCATTGTGGTGTAATTTCAATGTGTCTTAGCGGTCAGAACTGTACGGCACTATCGAGTAGAAGCCCAGTTGAAGGACAGATATTTGCAGAGGATGCAAATGTGTATGTGCATACCTGCGATATCTACGCGTTCGTTGGTTGGTTGTTGGTTGTATATTCGGTAGAATGGTCTTATTGCTACATACTGAGGATTATGGAGTTGCGGAATGCGCAAATCTGCTTGTCTTAGTTGTCTGGTTGTGTGGATAAGTTGTTGATCACCGTTGGTGGTATACAGTACTCCATACTCTGGCATGAGTAGGTGTAGAGAGTAGATAGACTGTCTCTTATGGTACCACATCATAGTAACATACTAGTCGGTCTATCGCTTTTGGGCTTTTGGGCTTGTCGGGATAAGCGACTCGCTCTGTCGTGTCTTGTTGCCTGTAGCAATTCGATGTAGACGAGCACCCTGGTGGATCTGGCATACAGATGGTTATTTCCGGCAATAATCGCAATATCATCTCTGATTGCAGCAACAGCTAGGACCACTCAGTATCTCCCATAACCAGACACGCACCCGGATCTGCTTATCTTTCGATTTCAATGGTTCAGTAGGCAGCTCCGGGAATGGGGCGGCATGGAACTTCACTCTTCCCAGTGATGGTTATAGTATAGGAAGGCACTATTTCCCTAGTTATCTGGCTCAGATTCACGCTGTCAGTATTAGATATTGTGCAAATATCCCGGTCCAGGGTCCAGCCACGCTTATCTCGACCCATCCATGGTTCAAAGCACTCGGTTCTTGGTCCCTGGACGACAGGCAAACAACTAGATGTTCGGAAATGGCCGTGTGCTAATCCCCAATCAGGAAATATGTGCCAGCAGATTGAGCACGGTTAATGCCAATTAACCCCAGATCCTCATATTCTCCTCTACACCATCTTCCCCGCTGTACGCTATTTCGCTCTGTTCCAAATACGACATTGTCGAGATAAAGTTTGTGCTCGTGGCAGAATCCCCTCATCGACTGCATACGTCGCGCGGGATAATTCCGTCAAATTCCTCGGCAGAGTTATAGATTCTGGTTATATCAACCATTGAGTCCCGATAGAATCGCTAATAGCTTGTCACGATAGCTCTGCTGCATTCAATGCTCAGCATGAAGCTCTCCAATATCCTGGCCATGGGCCTGGTCGCCACCACTCAGGCCATCCCCACGAATCGGAACCAGCCCAAGAAGCAGCCGAACTTTGTCTACATCATGACAGATGATCAGGACCTGACGATGAATTCGCCAGCGTATATGCCGCATGTCCAGGCCAGCATCAAGGACAAGGGAACCTTTTTTGCGAATCATTTTGTCACTACAGCACTCTGCTGTCCATCGCGGGTTAGTTTGTTAACGGGGAAACAAGCGCATAATACGAATGTGACGAATGTTTCACCGCCGTGGGGTCCGTTTTGTCTTTATATATATATATATTTATTTATTTATTTATTTATTTAAAGGGATTGAATACTGATTGTTGATGCAGGTGGATATCCCAAGTTCATTGAACGGGGGTTTAATGAGGACTTCCTCCCCGTTTGGCTGCAGAATGCTGGGTATAATACCTATTACACGGGGAAACTCATGAATGCGCATAGTATCGACAATTACAACGCTCCTCATGTGGAAGGATTCAATGGTTCCGATTTCCTGCTCGATCCATATACCTATTCCTACTACAACTCCACCTACCAGCGCAACCATGACCCTCCTGTCAGCTACGAGGGAGATCACACCACCGTCGTGACCGCAGAGAAGACACTGGGATTTTTGGAAGATGCGTTGGCAAGTGATAGACCCTTTTTCCTGGCTACTTGTCCGATTGCACCACATGCGAATATTGAGCCGAATGCGCTGGCAGCTGACGGAGATACGCTGATGACTGCTGCGATCCCGGAGTCGAAGTATGAGCATCTTTTCGAGGACGTCAGAATCCCTCGTACAGATAACTTTAATCCGAAAGACGTATGTTGACTGTCCGGTACAAGGAGAAACAGCTAACACCTATAGTCAACCGGAGCAAACTGGATAAAAACCCTTCCCCTCCAAAACCAGACTATAGTCGATTACGAAGACCACTACTACCGCCAACGACTCCGCTCTCTCCAGGGTGTAGACAATCTCGTCAATGCCCTGATTGAACGCCTAGAAAGCAGCGGTCAGCTAGAAAACACATATATCATCTTCACATCCGACAATGGATACCACATTGGCCAACATAGAATGGCACCGGGCAAGTCGACCGGTTTCGAGGAGGATATCCGGGTTCCGTTCTTCATTCGCGGGCCAGGTGTTCCTGGGGGCCGTGTTGATAACACGGTTACGACACATATTGATCTGGCCCCGACATTCTTTGAGTTAGCTGGGATTCCGCTGAGAGAAGATTTTGATGGGACGCCGATGCGTGTTGCTGAGGAGTCGAGGGGGGTAGTGCATGAACATGTTACGGTGGAGTACTGGGGGAGTGCACCTGTAGAGGGAGAGTTTGCCAGTGTTGGTGAGTACACATCCAGAGATTTGGTAAGACACAGCTGATAATCTGTAGCATCACCGCTGGGCACGAAGCGAAACACATACAAATCGATCCGCATCCTAGGCGAGGGGTATAATCTCTATTACTCTGTCTGGTGCAGCAATGAGCACGAACTCTATAATCTAGCAGTACGTTCACTTATCATAAATTTTCCTTATACGCAACTAACAAACCAGACTGACCCCTATGAAATCCAAAACCTCTACCCTGGCCAATCCACAAACACAACCTCAACAGATCCACACCTCTTCAACCGGGATCTATCGACCCTAATACCCCGCCTAGATGCCCTCCTCATGGTCCTGAAATCATGTAAAGGAAGCACATGTCTTAAGCCGTGGGATGTCCTACATCCGGGTGGGTTTGTTCAGAGTCTGAGCGATGCAATGGATGAACAATACGATCGATTCTACGAGGAACAGCCGAAGGTAAGTTATAGTAAGTGTGAACAGGGGTATATTATTGGATCGGAGGGGGCGCAAGATGTTTTGAATTGGGAGGCGTGGGCATGATGGTGATCTGGTTGCTGTAGATATTGTAAATACCAGAGGCCAGTGTCAAATGGTGATTATGTACTATATCAGGTACAGATCGACACCGATCAAGCGATAATCTGGTACAATCTGGAGCAATCATCAGCGTCAGATCGATCCTCGATGATCGGTGGCAAGTGGAATTTACTAGCAGTACTTGTATAATCTCCGACACAGGGTCCTCAATAACCCGATTCCATACATCGCACACATCACAACCCCAGAAGCAGCAGTATCGTTCAATCAATCACCCCTTGATAAAAAGCAGCGCGATCCGATACTTATTTGAAGACATCACATCACAATGCACATTGTCCAACACCGCTCCCTATTTGGCCAACCCAGAAACCAAACTATCTCGGTGATTTAGTCCCGTCGGCACACTCCGTTCTCCATCCTGCACAGCTATCTAGAGATAATCAATCGTTGCGGCACGATCCGATGAATGTTCCTTAGCCCTATCAATTGTCAAATCAGCGCGCGGATTGGACACATGTGGTACAGATCTCCGACATTACCGGAAACTAGTATAGCTTGAAATCTTATCAGCTACACCAATATAAAAGGTCCCTTCAACCCGGCCAAAACCAAGCATACTCACACCAAGAGAGAAACAAGCAAAATGCACAAAACACTCCTCCCATTCGCGTTCACCACAGGCACCCTGGCAGCCCTGCAATCATGCCCGTCAGATCTCCCTCTCAGCTGCCACAACACCACCACCATTCCACCTTCCGATGCATGCTGCTTTAACGCTCCCGGTGGTACACTCCTCCAGACGCAATTCTGGGACTACGATCCGGCGACTGGTCCGAGTGATTCATGGACGATTCACGGTTTATGGTACCTGTCCCTATTCCTGCATTGTTTTATCCAATGGATGAAATCGGCGCTAATGTTGATGGAAAAGGCCCGATAATTGTGACGGAACGTACCAGCAATACTGCGATACTTCTCAGGAATACACGAACATCACCTCGATCCTGCAGAGCCAGGGACGCGATGACCTGCTGTCGTATATGGAGACGTATTGGAAGGATTATGAGGGTGATGATGAGAGTTTCTGGGAGCATGAGTTTGGGAAGCATGGTTCGTTTACGTTTCTCTATGGCGTGAGGGAACGGGCCCTAACGGTGATATAGGAACGTGTATTAACACGATCAAACCATCTTGCTACAACGATTACTCCCCACAGGAGGAAGTCGGTGATTACTTCCAGAAGACGGCGGATTTGTTCAAGGGCCTTGACACATACAAAGTGCGTAGGGGATTTATTCTGTTTAAAAGGTGTCTAACTAATTTGCAGGCCCTCGCCGACGCAAACATCATCCCCGATAGCTCCAAGACCTACGAGCTCAGCGCCGTCAAGAAAGCACTTGCTTCGCTGCACGGTGGCTATGAGCCGCATATCGGCTGCAGTAATGGGGCGTTGAGTGAAGTGTGGTATTTTTTCAATATCCGCGGAAATGCGATTGATGGGGAGTATGAACCGACTAAGATGCGTGAGTTTTCCGTTTCTTTGATTGTATTGAAGGGTAGATCGGCTAACTGTGTCAAGTTTCCGAGACACAATGCCCCGACACTGTCAAATATCCGCCTAAGAGTTCTTAGGTGTCGTTCGTGGACTGGATCCGCGAAGTATCATGCATCGGTTATCGTGTCAGCCTAGTTAGGCTCTGTATATAAGTACAGTCTTCTGTCAGATCAATTAGACGAGATGCCATACTAGACATTCGACGTAGCGTTTGCACGCCGAGCGAATTCGTTTTAACGTAGTGTAGCCATGTCTTGTACGGGGAAGACCAATGGTCTAGCGGTATCGATTCTGACTCCGACATGAAGACAAATGATACCATAGGTCTGGCGGTATCAAGCCAGAGACAGAAAGAGCAATCCAGTCCTTGATGATCTTCATGAACGTCCTCTCGATGACCTTCTCTTTCATTCCTTGCATCGCACGATCACGATCCTTATCGCTCCCGCATGCACAAGTGTCGCAATCGCGGCTGTCAACCTCAGGCACGTCGCTATAGCTTCTTCAACCTCACATTCCTCCTCTCCTCTTCTTTCTTGGCATCCACACGATCCAAGAATTCCATCCGACCAAGATATCCCTCCTTCGCTTTGCTGTGCACCGTAAGCTCGTCCTTAATCCCAGCCTGATCCACATACGCTGCCCAATCCAGCCGTGATTTCTCGACCGTATTGATCTTCGGGCCCCGTGTTTTCTCCATTGCTTCCGCAACTGGATGCTTCTCCCAGCTCTTCTTGATAGCACCGGTCGGGTTGGGGTCGAAACGGGATACTTTGCGGAGCGGTCGACGGAGCTTAAGGGTGGCTTTGACATTAGCGGCAGCGTCGACATCGGCTGTAGTTACGGCGTCGACATTCTCGCCTTGGGCGAGGAAGATCTTCGCTTCGGCGGAGCCTTTGGGAACGACTTTCTCTTCCGTGATCATTTCGCCGGCGAATTTGTAGGTACGTTTGATTTTGACCATTTCTTCTGGGTATTTGGATTGTTGGTGTGGTTCTTTAACTGCGGCATTCTCCTGGACCGTAGCTTCTTTCTTTTCTTCCTGCGCTGGAGTGTCGTCAAGTTTCTCAGTGTGTGTAGGAAGCACGACGGTGCCGGGATCAGTAGCGTTCATCTTCTCCCATAGCGCGTTCACGTCGACTGTAGCGCCGTCGATTTTCGCAAGTGGTTTTCGCTCTTCTTGTCTGCACGAGTAAAAGTCAGTATTCACGTACATAAAGCATAATATCCAAGTCAAACGTACGTTCGCATCTTCATGGCCCTTGTTCGAACAAACCCCCCAGTCCCACCCTCCTCGTCATCATCAAAATCAACTTCCTCCTCCTCATCCTCATCTTCACCACCACCTTTCCCTTTAGCTTGTTGTCCCTTTTGTTTCCTCTGCTTCCTGTCCTTGGCCTTCTGAATGGTCGCTTCGTCGCCAGAATCCAACTCTTCTTCATGCCCATCCTTAATCACTTTTTTCGTCTTTGATGCTGTCTTGCGTTTCTTCTTCGCAGGTTGCTGGGCTACTTCGGCTTCGGCTTCGGAGTCTGAGGATAACTCGGATCCTTCGTCTTGGACTGCGTCTAATTCGAAATCTTCATCTTCGGCGGAGTCATATGGTTCGTCGCCGAGTTCGAGATCGACATCTTCCGGTTTTGCGGACATAGAGCGTCACTGTAGATTTAATAATATTATGGTCGGTTAAAATCGTAGAACATGAAGCAATGGAATATCAGCTGTGCTATGTAGATAATGCCCAGGAATAGATGCGATTGAGCGCGAAAGATATTCTGCCAGGCGGTGTGTATGATACGCGCTCTCTGTCCAATGAAATGCGTCAAAAACTGTGGGGACAATATGTAGACACGCTAAACCTAATACGGATACGACTCCAAGCAGATCTCAAGATTAAAGCAAGCTTTCAATAACAATACAAATGCTTTTGACCGTGATCGGAAAGAAAGTTATGCCGCCGGATTAATGATATTCTTCGGTGCCATATGTACACGCCGACGTCTTCAATCGGGCCGACCCGAGCTCGGTCTCCTCACTGCCGAGGTTGAGGGGTAGGGGTACATAGATAACTAGCTATCTCTCATCTTACCGCTAGATTCGTTGGACCATCTGGATCCATCAACTTGACACTGATTCATCACAATGGCACCAGCTGAGAGTGTTGCTTTGGTAGTCGGTGCCTCGCGTGGCATCGGCCGACAAATCGCCATAGATCTAGCTAAGAATGGCTACGCTGGTATGTTCATCATCTATCACGGACTAGAGAGGGAAAGACAGCAAAGCTAATAAGTCAGTCGTCGTGGCCGCCAAAACCACCTCCAACGCACACGAGACCGTTCCCTTCCCACCAAATCCGAATTCTTCAGAATCAACCATCAACACCGTCGAGCGCGAGATCCGCGAATCCGGCGGCGAAGCATCCGCCCTCCCCGTGGACGTGCGAGATGTCGCTCAAGTCGAAAATCTAGTACACGAAACAGTCCGCATATACGGAAAGCTAGATGTCTTGGTCTACAACTCGGGGGCGATCTGGTGGTCGTCTGTTGAGAAGACGCCCGTCAAGCGGTTCCAGTTGATGCAAAAGATCAATCCGGAGGGTTTATATGCTTGCGTGCAGGCTGCACTGCCGGTCTTTGGGAAAAATGGATGGAAGGGGAGGATGATTGTTGTCTCGCCGCCGATTTATTCAAGGTTCTTCCGGGGGAAGACGGCATATGCTATGGGTATGTTTGCGCTTTATGTGGCTTTCTGTGCGTCTTGCTGACTCGTTTTAGGCAAGATTGGAATGAGCGTCTTGACGAAAGGTCTAGCGATGGATTTTGTCCGTGAGGGCCGATATGAAATGGCTATCACTAGCATCTGGCCGGCCACGGTAAGCCAAACACTGCATCCATTCATCCAACTCCTAACTAACATGAAATTAAGGCCATCGAATCAGCCGCAACTGAAATGACATCTTCTAATGAAGATAAATCAAACCTTAGGCAGTCAGTAAGTTATTGCCGCCTCTGTTTTCTAAACGAAAAAATAAAAGGCACTAACACGTCTAGACGATCTTCTCCGATGCCATTCTAGGCATGCTAAACGCACCAGCAGAATCTGTCAACGGTCTTCTTGAACTTGACGAAGACTTCTTGCGCAAGTATTACGGTGTATCAAATTTCTCCAAGTACTCTGTTATCCCCGGGGCTAGTCCACGAAGGATCATGCCCAATGAGCTGCCGACGTTGGCAGTAGCGGAACAGGATGATGAGGGGACTAGGCTTGACAGTACTGCTCTGAGACAGGCGAAGTTATAACCTCAAATTCTCCGTAAATTTTGGATTTGTCAATATACTGAAAGATTGTATACCAATAACCACTTCTCCGGCTTTTGTACAAACATTCAGAAGACACAAAATGTCTTGATGTCTTTAGATAAGCAGAGATGATGCCAATATTAAAGATACTGAATAGGATAAGGGCACTAGATCAGTCAAGCGAATATATCAAGACGTATTCAATCTAAATTCTGAACATCCTCCCCTTCTTTTCTCATTCTCTTCCCTTGACAACTTTCCCACCATTCAAGAACCCTATGTCTATAACTAATACAAATCTCAAGAGGCTTTCCAAGCATGACTAACGTCTCTTATTTAGTTTCTATGCCGATCCACGCCTGCAAGCTCAGGACTGAGGAACATGCATGGAACTAGGGAGGGTGACGACACACCTGCTAGGTTCAACACACTGCAGATGTTCGAGATGACATCTGATACACCTTCGCTTGAGTTTTTCGAAATTCAATTTAGCTTCTCAGGTCGAATCCCCAGTGTATAGTGTATACGGTCCACAAGAAGATGGACGAAGTTGACCATTTCTATTTTCCCCCTTACCGTTCTTAGTCAAGCAAGCCAACCAGACCACAAGTGGTATTCTGTATCTATTTTATTCTTCTTGGAAAGAGCCCTTTTTATACCTGAAGAGGCAGTTCCAAGAAGATTACACGAAAAAGATGGATTGAAAAACGCACTGAAGAGCAAGAAGTCAAATGCATCTATAATGGAGCTGAGGAAGAGTAATCTTGGAAAGTCGTATCCTTCTGTTGGAAACGGTTAAGGGCTCTATTGATCACCGGGTGAGCGAGTTTCGTGAAGATACGTTTCGTGTCGTAAGCATCAAGGCGGAGACAAGCACTGTGATTGATTCTTTTCCAAAGCCTTCTGATATGAAAAGCTCTAAAAAAAACTCAAATGCAAGCAGCGAGTCTGGGCAAACCGATTTCCAACCGTTTCTGAAAATACATTAGCATATCTAAGCCCTAATATGACTGGGATACATATTTCTTCGTTCTCAGGGTATCTCCTTCCTTCTGTAGCATCTATGGTTGGTAATAGAAACGCTTCTTATACGTCACTCTAGCCATCCAGCCGCTTTGCGTGATCATATCCTAGAAAGAGTTCGCTTTCTCTAGATCATGCAAAATCCGAATCTTATGACCTGCCTGCCGAAGTATTTCCACCCAGCGGCATGAGATTGCGCATTACCAGGTCAAAGCAATGCTAGTTATATACCAAGAACGAAGAGGGGCAGCGTGATTTGGAATAGCAATTCGACATTGCGACTCGTCCATCACTTTATAGACTGCAGACTTGAATACAAGAAACTGAATATATTTAATAAACTCCTGATGCTGATCGTAGCCCTAAGTGTCTGTAGTTTTGAGAAGTAGTTTAGACCGCAAGAAAAGGCTATTTGAGCCACCCAAAAGCTTGAGACCACTGGTGGACAATGAAAAAGTGGAGGAACATCTTTGACGAGCTTCAAGAGATATTCAATAAAGAATTCAATAGATCCAGAGCCTTTCGGACAATCTTAAGCCGCTTTTTTTCCAGAGATCGAAGCTCAGATACTGACATGCGTCGGATTTAGAAGTTGATGGACAGACTCCATACCCTCAGGCAATCAACAAAACTAGGACTGACTTGGATAGGATTTTATGAAAACGTGGATGGAAGCAGCTGGTAGAATGTGACTAATTTCAAAGAGAGCGCCTGGCAACCATCTTTCTATTCTTTCTGCCAGGGCCTCCGCCCCATGGCAGTGAATCTTGTTCATTGTCTCCAAACAGTGCAAACGCTCCAAAATCGAAGATTCGCAGTTTTTGCCTTTGGCTTCGTCGGACCTTCAGACAATAAGTGCACATCAATCATCGACTCGCCTGGTATATAGCAATTCATTTTGGCAGTGATGTACTGTCAAATTCCCATTCCATCTAAGAAGTTGTAGTTCCGGTTTTCCCTTTCTAGACAAGTCCGACGTCACTTATCACACGTGACCCCGACCAATAAGAACGCATCTAAAAGCCCCTCCAAACGGGTCTCCATAAAAAAATCCGCGGGGAAAAGGAAAAGATACGGAATCATTGCAAATGAGTCGAGCCTGCCAGACGATATTGACTCGGAAAAGCAGCAGCATTGTTCCAATTGCATTCGGACTCGGATCAAGATATACATCCAGCATGCCTCTTGAGAAGTTGCAGGGGGTTAAACTCCCCGCGTCCGCGGATTTTCATGGTGCGTATATTCGGATAAAATGGATTACATTGTATATGGCTCGATATGGTGCTGATTGCTGGGATTAGTTCATCTGCGTGATGGCGATATGATGGATCTGGTTACTCCTACTATCAGACAGGGAGGAGTGAACACGGTTTTTGTCATGGTACGCAACTTCAATTCGTATCTTAACGTGCAAGAAACAACATGAACGAATAGATTAACATAAAACCAGCCAAACCTCGTACCACCAATCACCACCGTTGACCGCGCACTTGAATACAAACAACGCCTGCAAGCTATTGAGCCCAATGTAAACTACCTGATGTCTCTGTACCTCCATGAGGATGTGACCCCAGAGACCATTGTCGAGGCGAAGAAGAGGGGTATCACTGGTGTCAAGAGTTACCCGGCGGGTGTGACTACCAATTCTTCTTCGGGTGTTGTCGACTACTCCGTGTTCTACCCCGTCTTTGAGGAGATGGAGCGCCAGGAAATGGTTCTCAATCTTCACGGAGAGGCACCCTCCACAGGTGACGTGACGGTCTTGTCGGCTGAGGAGCGCTTCTTGCCGGTTCTGGGCCAACTCCACGAGCGTTTCCCTAAGCTTCGCATTATCCTGGAGCACTGCACGACGGCTGCAGCCATTGAGGCTGTCAAAAAATGTGGTCCCACCGTTGCCGGTACCATCACGGCTCATCACTTGTCCATCATCATTGACTCCTGGGCCGGAGATCCGTTCTGCTTCTGCAAGCCTGTTGCCAAGACCCCCGCGGACCGTGACGCACTCCTCCGGGCTGCGGTATCTGGTGACCCGAAGTTCTTCTTCGGCTCGGACAGTGCGCCCCATCCGGCTGCCTCCAAGCGCGGCGGAGACAGGATCGCAGCAGGCGTGTTCACTCAGCCGTACACTACCCAGGTCGTGATCGATTCTTTCGAGCAAGCCTGTGAGAATGGCATTCTCAAGGAGTCTGACATAACCCCTGAGATTCTTGAGGGTTTCCTGAGCAAATTCGGCCGACAATTCTATGGCATCGGTGAGGAAAAGAACGAGTTTATTACCCTGGTGAAGAAAGGTGAAAATATCGCAAACATCCTGCAGTCTGAAAAGCTGGACGTGGTTCCATTCAGACGCGGCCAGGAGACATGGACCGTCTCGTGGTCGTTATAGTTTTCTCTGCCAGTTGAGTGGCAAACAACAAAATACCTGTCATGTTTTCTTTTCAAACACTGTTTCTTTACTCCGGCTTATTGTCCCCTTGCGTAAGGATGCTCGTCACGGCTTCGAGAGCATGCGCTTCTGAGTTGCCGATTCGTCGTCCTGCAACAATGGGATCACCATCACTACCCACGGCCAGTTGACCGGCACGCTCCAGGTGAAGCCTGATTCTGCTTTCAATGTACTCCTTTCTCTCGTCCCTCTTCGGGTCTTTCTCCGCCAATTCGGCTGATTTCGGTAGAGTAGCCAGCTTGGGACGAAGCTGTTTCAACATCGCTTGTAGGGCGGGGAGCTGCGATAAGATGAAGGTGGTGTTGGTCGTAAGAGGGGTGTGGTGAGTATTGGGTCCGGTAACGGCACCGACGCGTAACTGTTGCGCTGCGGGGTTGGACATCAAGAACGAAATGTCCAAGTCTTTGCCTACAGTGGCCGTGGAATCCCCATTGTTTTTCGCAGCAGACACAGTCGAAAGGATGGATCGTAATTGGGAAATAACGGCGTCATTGCGAGCACGCTCTTGCTTCAGTGACCGATTGAGTTTTCTCGTTTCATGTAACTTTTTGCGGTGTTCAAGAACCGTCTCAGGTGTCGGGGTATCGGGGCCCGGGTTGAAAGAAAGACCCTATCAAAAGTAACAGTCAGCTAGGCATCCACAATGAGGACCTTGTGACAGCTGCATTTCGCTGCAAAATCCAGTATCGCGTACCTCATAGTGCCTCAATCGAACCCAACTAATCAGATCCTCCGGTACGGTGAGAATGTTTCTCAGCACGTAGATTTCAAATTTATCATATGCCTTGTCGACAGTCGATTCGAGCAACGTCTCCAGCTGATGCAGGCCATTTTCGATTTCCAATTTCGCCTCTGGATAGACCACATTCCCGTCTTCGTCGGTGTCAGGGATGGTAGAACCATTGTTTGCGTGCGAGAAGCCCAGGCGTTCGGGGGGTGTACCGAGCAAGCCTGATTCGAGACTTGAGATCGCTTGGTATATTAGGTTGTTGATTGAGTTTATGACGTCGTCTATGAGGGACTAGCGATAGTATTAGATATGTGGTTTCTCTTCTATACTGATTCGCAAATATTGTTTGGGGAGCGACGAGCGACGAGCGACGCATGTCTCGGAAAGACACTGCAGGGAAACTCACTAGGGGCGTATAACTGAAATGCTCAGTGAGCAGAGAAGTAGTCGCGTCATTCATCTTGATAGAATTCAGCCAAACACATCATCCATTCCCGGTGTGGGAATCAAGCGTGGTGAGGTGTCGTCCGATGAAGGACGCGATGCGCGTGGATTGCGGGAAACAATTGACTTTGTCCCCGCCAACTGCAGAGCCAAGACCAACCAACCATCATAGAAATATTTGGGTGTTTTCAGCGATAACTACACCTGACAATGATCTGCTTTACTGGATAGGCTTTTTAAAAGGCTTCTCGTATCTAGTATAACTTGGAGAGATAAGACTGTTCGTTTCTCCATAACTGGGTATAATGATCACCTTATTCAAAACAACCTGAGATATATATCCAATAAGATGTGATTGTAACATAGCCATAACACACCCGATCCGCCTAGAAAGTAAAGAGCTTTTTATGCAATTGTATTAACTATAAAAGCTCGAAACATCGCTCTTTTGTAAGTTCACCTCTACAAGATAATCATGAAAGTATACTGCAGTCCAAATTAAATTGGCTTATCTAACATAATACCTTAGAAAGTATTTAACAACGTCCGATATGGTGTAATGGTTAACATCGCCGTCTCTCACACGGCAGCTCGGGGTTCGATTCCCCGTGTCGGAATTACTTTTTCTGCCTTTCTCCTTTAAGGCACTGAGGATGTAATTTCTCTTTGATTTTTTTTTTTCTCCCCTGTTCTTTTTTCTTCTTTTTGCTCCTTCACGAGTACTTTCGGCGTATCAACAAGGCAGTGAGTCAAATGACTCACTGAGCAGTCATGCGATGCCATTGACTCATTTGCATAAGCTGCAGGGTTCTGGGGCTATGCTTTTTTTTTTTTTTTTTGGCCGTCACCGTAGTTGGATATAGGACAATGTACGTAGTACAGTCAAAGCATGGCTAGCCGCGAGCTGGAGTAGCTAACCGTGCATTTATATAGAAGAGAGGACTGGCCATCCTCAGGATATCTATTCCTCAGGTCTCTAGCTGTTGATATTATAGATACATACCAATCGCATTATCATGGCTTCTCACGCCCCATTGACTCCACCAGTGGAGCATGAACTATGCTCCCATGAACTCGCCAACGAAGAGAATAACCTCACTCCTACGCCGTCGTCGTATAAGCATGCTTCTAGCAAGCAAGTTTCTCGCGGAACAAGTCCTACTGCTCCAGAGCTAGCGGACGAGGTATACAGGTCACCACAATCCACATCAAAAGAACCAGAATCAACGGAGAACAGACTCAGACCGGCAGCAGGTATGGAGTATTTGAATAAAAGTCTTCCTGGATCGCATGCTGATCATTTAACTGAAGATGTCATCAACCGCATAATCTGGGATGCCAAATTCGACAGTGACGACTATATTATCGGGTACGAGGACAGATTCAATGGTCGTCTGGAAACTAGTCTGGGATCCTGGAAGAAGGATCTGACCGACGAAGAGTTTATTCCGCAGCATCGAATTATATATATCAAGCGGAAGTTGGGTGAAGAAATCGTGTGGGATAAAAGGAGGAGAACCGACAAGATATTCTACAGTGGGAATTCAGCATACAGTTGGCTGACATTCCTTACTTAGGGTATATTTGTGTGCTGTATGTAATTCATGAAGTCTACCATACTTATCTTAGTGCTGTGTGCATACTATCAGGTTATTATCAGTCTATATGACTCTAAGCTCGCAACCCTAGCTTTCCGTCAGTTCCAGAAAACGGGACATACCAAGAGTGATACAAGTAATGATCAGTATACCAATAAGAAGTCCCATTAGCATTACGCCATCGAATTCTCTGGCACTTTCTCGTTCCCTTCCATGTAATTGCCGTTTTTTGTTGTCGTTGCTGTTGCTGCGTCGTCACTTCCCTCACGGGAAGGTGCCACCTAGGCCTTCCCAACCCGGGTCAAATAGAACGGAGATTTCTAGCTCTTTCTTCTCCTACTATCTTTCATCATACTCCTACCCGTCACTGTCTGCTACATAGTCAGACATCCCTTAGCCATTCCTTGTCTTTATTCTAGTATCGGATACGATTACTTCATATGGTCACATCACCAACATGTCTTTCTATCGCTTTAAAAGACAAAGCTACTCGCCAACCTCGTCTACGAGTCTTTCGCCAACGAGCCCTGTAATCGAGAACCCCATCACCTTCCAAGCCCTGGCCGCGAGGATGGTCCCCGATGTGAGTTTGAGGAAGAAGAAAAAGCAGCAAAAACCCCTCGTACTACCATCAATGTTTCTGGAAGAGGATGCCGACGATGAGGATACCCCGCCTCCCAAGCTGGTGCGAGCCCCCTCTGCGGACGAGAAGACAGAGAATGTGTCACGGACAAATCGTGGTGAAGCACAGGTGTGCAGGAACAAGACTCAGTACTACGATGGTATCTTCAACGACCGTGGACCGGAGCATCCTTCAACAAGCTTGCTTACCAATGGTTCCATTGTTGTGGTCGAGATCAAGATCAGCACCAGGGTACGTTGTCTTTCTGCATGATACCAATTCTCCTCAGGACTAATGGCTTGATTTAGGTCAAAGAGGACGAGGCCAAGCTCGTGTCCCATCTGACATCTCGTCTGGCACATGTTTACCAACGGCCTGAGACCTCTATGATGGTCGTCATCCAGCAGGACGTCCGCCTTCATTTCGGTAACTCGGCTATCCCTGCCTATCTGATGAAGATCTTTGCGCACCCATACCTTATTGCCCCAATCACGAACCTGCGCAACACGATTTTCATCCAGAAGATCCTCCACGAATTTCTCGACATCGCGCCCAACCGTGGAGTGATCATATATGCTTCTGTACCCGAAGAGAATCTTGCGACAGACGGAGTCACGATGTTGGGAGATCTCGTTCGTCTTGAACGCGACTCGCGGGATTCAGGTGTCTTCAAAAGCCTATCGCGTTCCATGAGTCGAAAGCTGAAGTCCAATAGCAGCAGCCCACGTCTATCTGTCGTCACATCCTCCTGTGACAAAGCGGATGGATCTCATGAATTAACACCGGTCTCGGACAAAGATGGCCATGTCAAGGAATCCTCTGGCGAAGGCGACCACTCCAAATCAGTCAGGAAGTCCAAGAGCCTGCGTGATTTTGTATACCGCCGCGTTGGAGATCGTGGCTCGGAGGAAGAAACGAAGTAGGAGGTATCATTAGATCGGCAAAGAACTGGCTATGGTATTTTCTTGATATTCGCTGTATGGTAGTGCATAGGTACTTCGCTCTTTTGCTTTTTAAGTTCGAATATTGTTGATAAGGGACAGTTTTAGTTAGCATAGCGAGAAGAATCAATCATTCACTATGGTTTCTTGTTGCCTAGGGCCTCTATACCTAGTTTTCATCACAGACTGCCACCATCGGCTTTCAACACCTATAAGTCCGTTCAAATTCAGCTGCTATAACCATGTCCACCGTCACGGAGATCGAGGGTGACCTTTTTGATGCGCCAGATGGAGCAGCGCTAATTCGTACGTGATGCCTATGTCAAACGCGACAGCGAAATCCGGACTAATTTTATCCATCCACGAGGAAAGACGCCTGTAACAGTCAAGGCTCCTGGGGCGCAGGAATCGCTGAGGCCTTTCGAGAGCGAGTAAGCAAAAGAGAACCTAACTCAATGGTATCTGTACCTGCACTGGACGCTGACAAGCTCTTTCCAAAACAAACAGTACCCCGCCGCATACTCTGTTTATCGATCCCACTGCCTAAAATATTCTCGCAGGAAGCCCCAATACAAAACTGTCGAACCAACCGACCCCGAAGAAAAACCCGTCAAATTCCGCTTACCCACGGGAACAGCGCTCCTCATCCCGCCCCAAGAGAAAAACTACGCAGCACAAGACAAAGACGAAGACAAAGAAGGACAGAAGCGAAAGAAGCACTGGATAATCTGCCTCTTCACATCTCGCAAATACGGGAAGAGGGTCAGTAGTCCGGCTACGATATTGGCGTATACAGAGCTTGCTGTTGCGGATTTGAAGGAGCAGCTTGAGGAACTTGAGGAATGGGATGAAGGGGAGGCTAATATCAAGCCGCCTAGCGGGCTGTGGTCTTGTCGGTTTAATTCTGGGCTTTTTGATGTGGAATGGAGTCGTTCTAGGAGGGTTTTGGAGGATGTGGGTTTGGAGGTTACGGTTGTGAGTCCCGCGGGCGAGAAACTCTGATAGACTGTTGGAGAGTGTCTGGATTCGTGGGAGAAAGAAATGATTTGGTCTCATAGTGCGTTGTAGCCAGTTCCATAGCCGATTGTCTACTTTTGCTATGATATCACATGATGAACTAGGCCCAAAATGGAAGGATATTGGTCTCCAGAACGCGGATCTCTAATCGCAAATTACCCACCCAAACCCAGCCTTTGCCCATATAATCACTGGTCTACTTACAAAGGAATAGCATAACTGTTTCTATATTTATATTACAACCATGCCGGTTGAACGCCAACCAGCCCAAAAACGCCGACGACTCCCCTTCAATCCACCACGGCGCGCGTCTCCCGGCGAGGGACCCTCAACTCCAGCACCAACAACCAAATCAAAAACAAAAGACACCATAACCACCTCCTCAAACACCTCAAAACCAAAACCCAAGCGCAAATCAACAACAGCATCATCCTCCCGCAAGAAAGCGCCATCCCCCACCCCCTCCGCCTCATCCTCCGACTCCGCCCCCGAAGACAACAACAACCGCGAACATGACCCCGAAGACGAAGAACCCAATTACATGCTTGCAGAGATAATCTACGGCAAGGAATCCGAAGACGTAACGACAAGCGACCCCGCAATTCCAGGGAAATTGCTTACGAGATTACTGCATCATAACTTCCAGAATGAGAAGACGAAGATCGCGAAGGATGCAAATGAGGTTGTGGCGAAGTATATTGATGTTTTTGTGAGAGAGGCGCTTGCGAGGGCTGCGTTCGAGAGGGCTGAGGGTGGGGGCGGTGGGGGGGGTGTTGGGGATGGGTTTTTGGAGGTATGTTTTTCTTTTGAAGGTGCTAGTGAGACGGTTTGCTGACTGATATTCTTTGGATAGGTCGAGGATCTTGAGAAGATGGCACCGCAGCTTGTTCTAGATTTCTAGATTTCGATATCATGATACTTGGGCATTGGTTTGGAGTTATTGGGTTTAAAGAGATACCAATCATATATGCTACAATAGGCATAAGAATGCTAGGCATATTTGCATATTTGTTCTATATGACAATGGTCGAGGGTATATTTGCGTTTGTATTCGCAATTTAACGAGAATAAGCACGCTGAATGTTGTGTCTATGCGCTTTTATGAATGCACGAATATCAAAATTGTACCTGATGAACTCCGCCCCAAACATGACAAAAAAAAAAGTCCATCAATCCATTCAGCCACTCATCAGAGGAGTGGTCAAGACGTTAGCCGGATCAGCAGAGGGAGCAGCAGACTGCTCAGCATCGGCGTTTGTTGCCTTCTCAGAACCGTTTTCGTTAGATTCGTTTTTCACGGCATTTTTCTTCAACTTGAGAGCCCCGTTCTCCAAAGCCTCTTCAGGCAGAGGGCGAATATGAGGCTGGCAAACCCAGAATGGCCTGCCATACTGTGCAATGGTTGCTTTAGATCCCGTTAACTGAGCATCAGGCGATTCCGCAAAGCGCTCAGGGAATTGCTCGTATTCGTCGAGACCGCTCTTGACGGCCTTTTCAACAAGAGATAGAACATGTTCGAAGGCAGTCATGTCCCCCGGTCTTGATCTTGCGAGGGCATCACGCACATTCGTGTGCAGGCCGATCATCGGACGCAGGAGTTGGAAAAGGTGTCCCTGCATCACTCCCAGACTGGGCGAGTTGGGCCTCTTGTTCTTGGACTTGGACTGCTTTTGCTTCTTCTTCGGAGGCCCATCTTCGGGTTCTTCTTCTGCTGTGGTTTCTGGCTCTGACGACTCTTCTTTAGGATCCGATGGGAGATAGAGAGGCTTTCTTTCAGGACCCGGTGTTTCGAGGACATATTTGTAGATGATGTCCAGATATCGCCGGAGCACTGCGTCTAACCGATAGCCCCCCTTGCCGTTCTTGCCTCTCCAATATTCTCTTCCTTCACTTCCGACTGGAGGAAGTTTGCCGAAGATGGACGGATCGGACAAGTTCCCTTCAGCGCTCATCACGCCGTCAGCACCTGTTTCTTCAAGGCAGCGTTCCAGGTCATCGTGGTTCAGGTTGTTGCCGTTTGCGAATATGACGGTCTCCGGCGGCAGATTGTCACGAAGATACCGGATGTAACTCCAATCTGCCAGGCCAGTGGCGTGTCCCTTCTGTTCCCTTCTGCGTCCATGGAGTGTGATGATGTTCGCGCCAGCAGAGAGGATCATTTTTGCGTATTCGAGTGTTTTCTCTTTCGTTTCTTGGATTCGGAATTTGGCTGTTATGGGTATAGGTAGTTCTGTGTGTAGGCGGTTGATGAGTTTATAAATCAAACCCCAGTCTTCCTGCAAGAATGCGCCGTAATTTCCTTTTTTTGCAATGCCCTGAGGGCAACCGAGGTTCAGATCGACAGCATCACAGTATGGAGCTACATGACGCGCAGCTTCTAAGAAATCGTCCGGGTCATTTGCGCAAAATTGCACGAAGAGAGGTCTGTCGATGGATGGGTTGCCGTCGAGGAACAAGGACTCATCGTTCTGACCGGCCGCAGCGCGAGTGGGTTGGAAGTGTTGAGAGCGCACAGCAGCCTGTTCACGAAAAAGGCGCGCATGGTACATTGGCGAGTAGGAAAGAAGTCGTTTCGCATCCTCCGGCGCCATGAATGAACGAGTAAGCATACGCCATGCCTATTCAAAGAGTACTGTTAGCCCATGGCTCGGAACTCAAAAATAGGTATTGAGGAAAGAAGAATTACAAATTCAGAACGATCAACCATAGGCGCCACAATATACTTGGGGCTACCTATGCTCTCGTAGAACTCCCTCCCAAGCAATTTCTTCCTTAGCTGGGAGGTCACATCCACAGGCGCATTCTGCGCTTCGGAAACTGGCTGTGTTTCGGCGGAGGCGGCCATTTTTGCGACACTAGAACGCTCGAATTGAGGGATGAATCGCCCCAAGTACGGGGCAATAAAACGACTAAGCCCTATATTGGCTGAGAGAAAAGAAATTTAGAAAAACAGAATTGGGATCGATCTGGGCTGCGGTGCCGTGGGGAAATGCGGCGACATTTCGCAAAAAAACATATCGATACGGAACGGACTATTGATGATCCGTTTTATCTTATCCAGAAAGCTTGGCGTTGTCCCGAAATGGAAATATCAATAAGACCCAACTCGAACCCTTAGTCTTATCTCCCGAAAGATGATCATTTCTCAATATTCACCGTGGAAAAACGCGTATAAACTCGATAGAGCTAGAGGTACCAAGAAACATATTTTATTCTCTGTTGATGCGCCTTTGATACGTCATTATTGACGTTGTGTTTCTGTCAACATGGACTCCACCGGAGGAGCAGGTATGGTAAAAAACGCCTCTTGAGACGACGCATGCATCCCTGACAATCTTGCAGGGCTATTACAGGTATCACTATCCGAGGATGGGGCGTATGCTGTCCAATTGAACGCGAAGGATCTCATAGTCCACCTAAACCCCGCATCGTCAGGGTTCAAAGAAGTGGAGATTGTTAAAACAAAAGAGAGCGCAGCAAAATTCGTCAAATTCTCACGACCTAGTGCCTCAAATGGACGCGTACTCTGGGCCAGTGATTCTCGCATTGTACTTTGGCAATTGAGCCCGTTGCAACAGCACGCGGGAATCGAGAGCATTGAACCCGGTGTGTTGAACATTGATTTTGGCGGGGACGAAAATGAAGTCATTGTGTTTCACGCGTGGAATACAAAATTGACCATCTATTCTTTGGATACTGGGCGAAGTCAGATCATCAAGACGCCGAAATCATCGCATTATAATAATTTCGGGTATCGACCCAAGACTCGACAATTTGCAATTATACTGAAGCCCGACGCTAACGATCTACTCACTATCCATGAATTCCGGTCTTATGATCTTATAGGACGGGCTGTTCTACCAACAGTAGATGTCCAGGGTCTGAAATGGAGCCCCGATGGCCGATGGATAGCTGTTTGGGACGCTGCAAGCACAGGCACGAAAGTGCTTGTCTATACGGCCGATGGACAGCCTTTCAGGACATATACCGGGCCACCAGAATTGGATGATACCGTCGACCTTGGGGTCAAGAACATACAATGGAGCCCCGTTGCTCCTAACACTGGTGCATCTGAATATTTGGCTGTGGGCAAGGTCGATGGCACTATAGACCTTCTCAAAAACAAAACAGTGAGACAAATCCCTTACATAGCTCAGGATAGGTCATGCTGAATAGTCTAGTTTACTTGTTCTATTTCGCTTGCACATGTCGCCCCAGCCGATCAGAATTCTTTCGTGGTTTGGCGAGAGCAATTTACAAATGCAGAAGGCGACCTCGAATACACAGAAGTGCCGGGTCCATCTGCACCCGCCATGCTTGCAGAAACTTCTACCCCACCGCGCGGCGTATCGATAATTTCATTCAGCTCAGAAGGAAGCCTGCTCGCAACCGTGGACCAGACACGACCAAACATCGTCTGGGTATGGACGCTCGGGTCAGCACCGGGACTTTTCGCAGCTCTTTACCACGAACATCCAGCTAAGCAGGTTGTGTGGCATCCTTCAGAAACAGCGCTACTTATAACAACGGCGAATAATGTCACAGCGGCTGTACACTATTGGTCTCCGGATGGCCCACCTGTAGTTGTGCGTGTTCCTGTGTCGAGGAGTGAAAGTGGGAAGTACGATGCGCGATGGCTATCTTCAGGCCAGGAAGGTGATTGGAGGTTCTGGTTTGGTACACCGGAAGATTACGTGTTGGGAGATATCGAGGACCAAGGAATTATCCCGCAATTTCGGGTTCATTATTCTGTTAATAGCAAGGTCCCCGCAGGGAGTCATGGCACGAGTATGTGAATATAGATGATTCGATGATTATAATCCATACGAGATGAGTGTCAAAATTGCGCTGATGTTTCCAGCTTCCAATATTCAACGGGAGTATCAGTTTTGCATTTCCGAAGACGTACTGATATATCGGCAGCCAACTCTTCCATCTTGACCGGGTCCCTTGTTGCACGAATTTTTTGTTGGACATCTTCATCCAAGCCCGAGCAAACCAGGGCTTCCGGAGAAGACTTCCATTCTCCAAGGCCCTTCTTTCTTGTCTCAAAGATAGTGATCTCAAGAAAAACGATGGTCAGAATAAGTAGCCAGGAGGGAAGGATAATCCATGCCCACCTGACGTGGATCTGGGTTTCAACTATGAACGAAGTGCCATTGGCTGCTCTAATATCCTCGACTGTACCAAAATCGGCCTTGGCGTACTCGAGCAGTCATTCCATTCGCAAGGCTTTCAAAGATATTCGTCAAGCTGGAGTCAAGAGTTGGCAGTAGGAATTCGGTTGGGAGCCCCATTGATGTAGTCATTCCAGCTCAATCTCCACAGCAGTGAGTCTCGGGGACATTGCTTATTGCTATCCTATCCTTAAGCAGGTTTCTGATTTCTGACGAGACCCATCCGCTGATAGTAAAACTGGAATGTGTCAGGTCATCCCCATTAAAGAGCAGCAAGCATACCGTTTGCCGGCTGATCACCCTTAATGACTCTCGTTGTTTGCTCCAAATACATCTGTCCACGGCCCAGTGACACCGGCAAGCTGACTAGAATACAGGTATTCTGCACAGTAGACATCTGCTGCACGAAGGGGCCCACCGCGATTGCTGAGATGGTAATTAAAGCCCCCCAGTGATGCCCAGTGCCTGATTGCTCAGCTTTGCCTGATGGTACATCGACAAGAAGATAAACCTCATTCTTGATCCCCATGCAAGTGTGATAGATCCCATCATTCCTCTGCTGGTCTAATAGTACGAATTGATATCCGACAAAGGCTAATATCTTGTGCTGAGATGGACCCACGCCATTTGACTGAGAAAAGACGCAATTTTCCCCAGCATAAGCGTATTGAAGGCCTGGATAATTCATGAAAGGACCGAGTTGATCATAGCATGGCCAGTCGGGGATCGGCTTTTCGTCATAATTGAGGGGGACCACGACTATACAGACAAGGGCAGCGAGACTGTCAATGCATGAAAAGATTTCCCAGACCCAATAGTTGTTCGTCCAGCCCCAAAAGGAGGTCCCCACCGTTATTCTCGGGTTCTTGCAGTCTTTGGGAAGTGGCGAGTTTTGCTCATGATCCCGGTTGAGTTAGTTTCAAACCTCAGTCGAGCTATGACGTGATATCAATTCTGTCTCGATTGAAGTTGATTTTACTTGCTTGAAATACTAATGAATGATAACTTCTGTCTCTTGGATTAAACGACTTTAAGTGTCTATTCGAACTGAGGCTATGTCTATGGTCAGCTTCAGCATTGTGTGCCCCGTGCTGCAAGATTATATGACAGGCAGGGATCTAGTGTAAGCCATTATCATTCTTCTCCTGATGCCTTCTATCGATTGACTTAACTCAATAGTTTTAAGTAGCTAACTTGTGCGATTTGTACGGGCTTGCGTGGTCAGTTTTGCTGACGGTATTGGTGTGCACCGCTATATTCGCTTTTCATAGCAATCGCACTAAGACGCGCTCTGTACCTAAACAATTTGTTACTCATGTTTGATGTCGAAGATATATATGAAGAAGGAATAACTTCCCATGTAAATATCCTCCAAATAATCGAAGTGTCGGCGTAGATCAACGTCCCCAAATGCCAAGGCCGGATCGCCAGGATTCATGATTAGGTCAGCATCGTCACGTCCCCTCTTAAGACCTCTTATCGTTGTGCTGCTTTCTGCATCTTTCTTGAGTGGATTCTCATAAAACCAAACGGGGATATATCAGAAGCCCGTGATTCCGGACTCAATTGTTTCTCTCCAGCTCCGGAAAGCTATCTCCCTTCGGCCATTCCCCGGAAATTCTGATCTTTCCCCGCAAAGATACCAACTCATCTGTCCTCCTAAGCTCCACCGATTAACAGTTACGACCTGCTTTTATATGGCATAGCCAGGGATCAATTGGATTCAATTTCCCTGTCCACTCAATCATCGAGTGATATATCCTTTGACGTTGTTGTACCCACAGTGGCCATGGGTCTCAAGATTTGAATTGCAGCAGTTCTCTCCGGCTCTATTTCTGTTCTGCAAACCACGCCAGTAGCTCATTCGAAAGAGAGAGTTCTATTCTCGGTCTCGCCTTGAGTTGTGTCTGAAGGCAATAGGTTGGTTTTGCGAGTGCTATTTCTGCCTTTTGCCATTATTAGATCCCAATTCGTTAGACAATATGGAGGTAAGAGATCTCCTATTTGCTCTTTGATAGTGCAAGAGTCAAACCAAGAAATATCTAAACCTGCGCATTTCCCATTTTGCTGTGTTATTCTTCAGTCAACGTGTTGTGATTGCAACTTGTCTGGTCATATTTTGTTGTCCTACAATGTCCATTTGTGTGATGATCGCTCTGCCTTCACTGCACTAACCAATGCCTCACTGTACCGAATCACGCCATACTATCTTGACCTTGTCTACCTCAAAACTTCTGTCTCATATTCTCCGAGATATCTATGGCCCCTCTTTACCACTTAAACACTTTTTTGGAATCATTGCTAACATGGGATTTCTGAAAACCCCACAGACTTCGAACCAGGCCCTGGTGGCTCCCGGGAAAGCCGGTCAGTCAAATAGCAAGACTCAGGATCTCAAGCCTCGTCTTCTTCTTATGGGGTTGAGAAGGTAAAATACCGCGTTTCCAAGCATCCAAGAAGCAACATTAATAATATAAAGGAGTGGAAAATCGTCTATCGCTAGCGTTGTCTTCCACAAAATGCCGCCGAACGAGACGTTATTCCTTGAGTCTACAACTCGTATCCAAAAAGACTCGATCCAGTGAGTGGCATGCGTTTCCGCTTTACTTGGACCTAATCTCATCCTATGACTAGCTCGTTCATGGACTTCCAGGTCTGGGACTTTCCCGGTCAGCTGGAATATTTTGAGCCTTCCTTTGACCTTGAGGACATCTTTGGGAGCCTTGGGGCTTTGGTTTGGGTCATCGATGCGCAGGATGACTACCTGGACTCTGTTGCACGCCTGAATCGTACAATCTTGACTGTTCAGCAATACTATCCTAACATCAATATTGAGGTCTTCATCCATAAGGTAGACGGGCTTTCGGACGAGTACCGTGGCGATACCTTCCAGGACATTGTGCAGCATATCTCGGATGAACTAAGCGATGCCGGCTACGAGAATGCACCAGTTCACTACTATATGACGTCAATTTACGACTACTCGGTATTCGAAGCATTCAGCAAAGTCATTCAAAAGCTCATTCCCAACCTATCCACACTCGAGAACTTGATCAACACGCTTGGTGACAACTGTGGATTCGAAAAGACCTATCTCTTCGATGTGCTAAGCAAGATTTACATTGCGTCCGATACTCGTCCAATAGATATGGCATGCTACGAGATGTGCTCGGACTACATCGATGTAATTGTCGATGTTTCTGAATTATACTCGTGGGATCATCCGGACCGCAAGCCCAAGGGTGACCAAATCCAAGAAGCAGAGAGCCATGTCGTTCTGCATGACGAGACAATGATTCATCTCATGGAAATGAACAAGTATGTTTATGCTCCCTTTCTCATTGCTCTCTCAGTCTACTCATGATTGCTAGATATCTGTGTCTCGTATCTGTGCTCCGTCACCCCGAGGCCAAGGAGAAAAAGGGTCTGATTGACATGAACTGCCGTACATTCCAAGATGCCCTTCAGGACGTGTTCACCCGCGGGTGGGACCAGGATAAGGACCAGGAGATTGAGAGCCAAAGGGACCATGTGTAAGATTGCCTGGGGGTGGCTGGGCACATGCCCGAAAATTTTTGAGATAGCTTGTTTTGTCGATATTCCTGTCGCGTTTTCAGGCTTTTATCCTTCTAAGCTGTTCGACATACCCATATTCTTCTGATAGCATCAATTGACTGAATGATCATACATTCTGAGCAAAATCAGGCTAGGCAAATTGTGATGGCCGGATTGACAATAAGGCATAAACTATAATAATCCAGGCACCAACACGACCCGCTTTAATTTTTTTGTCCTTTAAATAGTCGCGTCTCTTCCAAAGAAATTTCTTCACCACCCACAGCTGCACAAAATGGCTTGAGTATCCGATTTGATGCTCAGCGGCCATTTTTCTTGTTCTTCACTAAGCGCCTCGATCCGACACTAACTAATGGTGAGTCTCAAATTATTCCTTCAGCACAGCAATGCCCTCGACATCTTTTATGATGAAAACTTTTCCTACATTCGCAGTTTCCACGCTAGTCATCGTTTGAACCCATTCTAGATGGCGTTGAGCGCAATTACTTCCTTGGATGTCTGACCTTTGTCGAGTCGCATTTGCTTGCTTCGGTTGATTTATTTGGTCGAGCTTTTGCTAATTGTTGATTAGTTTTTAGGTGATTTCTGTCTTGCATGTCGATTGATGGTTGCACTGGATTATACCATACGGTGGTGCGTTGGAGGTTGTCGAGCTATACGAAGTCTTAATGTTGGATTCTCGAGAGTTCTTTCAAGGGATATATAGTTCTGCGCCTGAGTTGCGCTTGGTCGTGTCGGGCCAATAGTAGTTAGATAGAAATTATATCGAGTTATTCTCATTGGAAGACCATCTGCTTCGCCTGCACGTAAACGTATAGCTATCTGAATCTGAATCCTCTAAAATTGGTGCCTGTAGCAAGGATAAGCAACCAAATCAATATAAAACGGCCAGTGTCACCCTTGGCCAAAGCGGCGGAGAACTCGGAAAATCTCTTGTATTCCCAGAAAACAAAACACATCACCACCTTTACCAGATGAATCTTTGAGGAATCTCCGAGAGACCAATTAACCATGTCAGACCTCCGCCAAAGGCAAGTCGCATCGTCCGCGCCAAAAGAAATTGACGGTCAACCCGCAATCGACAACAAGCCGAAAAAGCAGAAGCACAATGGCAATAAGCGCACCGGCATCAGTCTGTTGGATATCGTCCGCGTGCTGGTCACGCTGGTGGTAGCGTCCTGCGGATTATCATATTACATGACCTCGTCCGAGTCTGTTCTCTGGGGGTATCGTCCCTGGTTTACGAGGTGGCCGGTGTTGGTCCGATACATTGTACGTTCTTCACAATACCTTTCCCTTACGGATCCTGGGGAAAACTAGTGCTAACAGTATGAATAGAAAGGACCTCTCCAACTAACCCCCTCCGACCTGGCTCTCTACAACGGCTCCGACCCCTCCCTCCCCGTCTACCTTGCTGTTAACAGCACCATCTTCGACGTCTCCGCAAACCGCATGATGTACGGCCCCGGCGGGCACTACAACTTCTTCACTGGCCGCGACGCGACGCGCGCCTTCGTGACGGGCTGTTTCCAAGAGGACCTAACGCACGATCTCTCCGGTGTAGAGGAGATGTTTATCCCGATCGATAGCGAGGAGGAGATTGGGAGGCTGAGCAGTGGGGAGCGGAAGATCCGGCGCGAGCAGGATGTAAGGATGGCGAGGGCGAGTGTTAGGAAGCAGGTGGCGCATTGGGAAGGGTTTTTTGGGAATCATAAGAAGTATTTTGAGGTTGGTAGGATTGTTGGATTGGATGAGGTGCCGAAGGTTGAAAGGGAGCTTTGTCAGGCTGCGCAGCAGCAGAGACCGGAGAGGAAGGTGGACTAGTAAAATATTGCCTAGGGAGTTGGCGTTGAATGTATATTGCATGTTTAAAATTTGCGAATAATATTCACGATGTGATTCTAGAACGATGTAGAGGGCTTCCGTTTGATACTTCACGCACAGAATGCGAATAATCCATCCCCAGCCCAGCTCCATATAAAATCAATCGTCTTATTACGGAAAGAACAATGAATTGAAGGGATGAATTGCGTTTAGTCCGTTACTTGACACGGCCAATAGCGCGACTATTCGTTCACTCCGAAAATCATCGAACCACTATACATCATTCGCCCAGCCAGAATTCCCGAACTTTTCATGGAGATATCATTCGTAAAGGAAAACAAGAAACCGCGAGAAAATTATCGGAAGGAAAACGTTTACTCGGCGGCGACGGCGCGGGCTAGAAAAAAGAAAAATAGCTGTTAGAACCTAAGCCACACCTATGCATAGGTCGAAAGGCGAAACGTACTGTAGATGCCGAGGTCGTGGTGGCCGACGACCTTCTTGATCACTCCCCTCTCCTCGAGATCAGCCAGAGCCTGGCGGGCCAAGCTACCGTTGATCTTGAGACGGTCGACAAGGGTGGCGACAGTGATGAGACGGTAGGACTGGACATCCTTGTTGAGCTTCTCAGCGGTAGACTTCTCAAGGACGACGGCGTGCTGGGCCTTGTCCTTAACTATACGGCGAACCTATGTCAGCCTCATTCTGCGCGATTGTCTCTCTTATCGTCCGTTCGTTCTCCTCGTGTATCGTCCAAACTCGAAAATCCGAAATGAAATATATTTCCATTCTTCTCGACGAAGAATCTTCGCAGGACCGATAACGGGAGGGGAGGTAGGATAGGGAGTGAATCATGGGAATAGCGTACCCTTGCCCTTGGACCACTTTTTCTTTTGGGGGGCCTAATTTATCGTGTTAATACCATTCTGGAATAAAGAATGTCGTGCTGCTTTCAGATAGGACCGCAAATGCTCACCATTTTGACTCTGTCTGATCTGGTTGTTCAACGGAAGAGAGCAACGCAACAGCAACGGCCAGAAGTTTCAAAGCCAAGTGCGAAATTCGAGTGGGGAATGACTAAGCCCATGCTTCTTGAACCCTAAGCCCTTACTGGCCGCACCTCGGTTAGCGGTGCTACTGAGGCGGTGTGTACATTTGGGTATCATGCCTTACGTGTCGGGCACCAACAGATCCAGCCTATCGTAATATGACGTCAGTGATAAGGTACGCTGGCACTGGGGGTATCCTTATAAGCCTCCATTCAAAATGTCACTAGCGTTGCAATTCTGTCATATACTTGTCAATAATATCGGAGTTAAGCATGCTTATATCTAACATCTTTCACTACGTTGGCGTGGCCACGACCTGCTACTGGGCGATTCAATTGGCTCGATATGTCTACTGCTACATCCGCTCCAGCTCCCTCCCCCGCTATAACCCTACCGGCAAAGACGCATGGGCTCTCATAACTGGTGCTAATGATGGGATTGGTTTTGGGTTTGCTGAAGAGCTCAGCGAGCGTGGATTCAATGTATTCCTGCATGGTCGGAACCGCGAGAAGCTCAGCCGAAGACAAGAGGAGCTACAGACGAAGTTCCCGAACATCAAGTATAAGGTCATCGTTTCCGATGCGGCTAATATCCACGAGAATATCAACCTAACCCCTAATGAGATTGGCGATGCAAACCTTACGATCCTAGTGAACAATGTCGGAGGAGAAAAACAGTCATACCGGGGCCTGACAGAGCTGTCGTATCAGGATGTCCGAACTACCATCAACACCAATGCCACTTTCATGACACAGATTACCCGAGTTTTACTCCCAGTCCTCGAGAGGAACGGCCCCAGCTTGGTCCTCAACGTTTCTTCGATTGCGGCTTATGGCATGCCATTTGTCCCCGTGTACAGTGCAACAAAAGGATTCGTCGACTCCTTCAGCCGAGCCCTTGACGCAGAGGTGAAGGCGCGCGGACAAGACGTGGAGGTACTCGCAATTCGAGTGGGAAGTGTGCGGAGCCAGAGCAACGACGTCGATGTGGGCTTAATGGTCCCTGACTCGCGGACCATGGCTGCCGCTTCTTTGGAGCGTGTCGGTTGTGGCATTCCGCTGATATTTGGATACTGGGGTCATGCGATTGCGGGCCTCAGTCTTGATTTCATTCCCAGACCTTTCATGGTCAAAATGTTGGCGAACACCATGGATTCTCTGAAGAAGCAAGCTGAAGAGAGGCAAGCGAAGCGGAACTAATGCGCATGCCGCTATGTATAACAGTACTCCCACCATCTTAGTCGAATTGTTTGCATATGATATCCGATACCCGAGGTTTTCGAAGTATATACAGTACCTTTGCATGTGTATGCACGTACGTACATGGTACTCACGATGTGGCCTAATTTTCTGTATATACATAGCGTACTCTGTACACTGAACCAATATCTTTTCTTTCCACCGTTTATTCCATTTCTCTCCCAATCTCTTAGTAGTTGTATAGATTGACAGGTGATCCCAAACAGTCCGCTGATTGGTCGCCCCTCCGCCCACCGCCTTCTGGCATCATTTAGCAGATCCGTCTTTGTTGACAGTCATAACAGTTGGCACTGCTCTGGTTAAAGGCAACACAAAAACAGTCATTCCAATGACGAGCCTAGTGCCTCGTGAGGCTTACTCCCAGGATGAGCTTGATCAGCTCTATCCTAAGGACCTGAAGCTCGAATTGGTCCAGGTGGTATGTTGACGATGTCGCGGCTTATCGGAGGGTTGAGCTTGGGCTAACCTGGACAGTTTCTTCGTCATGGTGTGGATTTCAAAGTGCTCGTGGATCGGCATAGACTGATGTGCTCTAGGTGAACGGACGCCTGTCTCAGCGCGGTTTCAGAATGTATGCACTGCTTTCCCCGCATCTAAAAGCCCCCAGAACTAATAGTATACAGACAGGCCTTGCAGCATGTAACTCATCCCCTCCGATACTTCCTACGATTCCTGAACTGACTTGATTAGACTGGCCATACTGCAATGTAGCGCGCCGGATGATCCAAATGGCAACCAGCAGCCAAGACATGTCGACATGGGACTCATTCGCATGGAGAAGGAAGATGGAGACCTTTGGCGGTAGAGACGAAGCTGTGGTTGCGCAGGGAGCACAGGGTGAAATCGAGGGTATCTGGTGCGACACTAAATTTTCATCTTCCTGCTTGAATAGTAGATGAAAGTGCTGACTGGAAAAGCCAACCCGGCGAGTTAACAGACAAGGGCCGAGAGACGACATTCGCGCTGGGCCAACGACTGCGACGTCTTTACGTGGACCAGCTGGGTTTCATGCCCGAGGTGAAATCGGATGCCGAGGATATGTATCTGCGGACTACCCCCCTCCCTCGAGCCCTCGAGTCGCTCCAACAGGCCTTCTTTGGCATGTATCCGCGCAACGCACGAACCCTCGACTTCCCTCCCCCGGTGATCGTGGCACGCTCTATTTCCGAGGAGACACTGCTCCCGAACGAAGGCAACTGTCGGCGCTTCAGACAACTTGCGCGCCTTTTTGCAGACCGCGCAGCGAAGCGATGTACGCCTCTCCCCCCTCCAATATACTAGATACTGACAACGTGCAGGGAATGACACCGACGAGATGGCCTACCTCAACACCCTTTGGTCAAAATGGATGCCTGCCAACTCTCCCACCATCGCTGTCGACGCCCACCCACGCCTCTCCGGCATCAACGACACAATTAACGCAACATACGCCCACGGCCCCGCCACAAAACTCCCCCGCGAATTCTACGACGCCAAAGCCCGCGCAATCACCGACAAAATCGCCAGCGATGAATGGTACTCCGGATACCAGGAGAGCAATGAGTACCGCCGTCTCGGTATCGGAGGACTTATGGGCGACGTTGTCGATCGGATGGTTAGTACCGCCGTGGATGGAGGCTGGCGGAGCGAGACTTCTCCTTCAGGCTCTGCGGAGAACGGGAAAGCGATCAAGTTTGCTATGAGCGGATGCCATGATACCACCCTTGCCGCTATCCTGGGTAGTCTGGATGCTTTCGACGGAAGATGGCCACCATTTACATCTTCTGTGGCCATTGAGCTCTTCACAAAGACCGAAACTGAGCCTCAATCCCAGAACAACGAGGATGCACAATTGCCCAAGAAAACATCCAGTTTCTTTTCCGGTCTGCTAGATGGTTCCTCTACATCAACGTCCTCCCTCGCTAAACCATCCACCTTATCTCGTAACCCTCTCTCTGTCCTCCCAGACTCCGCTAGGAGATCCATGCAAGAAAAGCACTACGTGCGAGTCAGATACAATGACCGTCCCATGCGTATTCCCGGATGCGCTGCGAAGCCAGAGAACCATCTCCCCGGTAACGATACATTCTGTACATTGGATGCATTCAAGGATATGGTTGATAAGTTCACGCCACAGAACTGGATGGTCGAGTGTACAGAGAATTTGGGGGAGGGGCTGTATGGAAAGGATGATGTGGAGAGGGTGAAGCGGTTTGCTTAGACAAAATGTTGATAAAGATGGACAAATGTACATAGTACATGATACCTAGCTATGTGGTTTTGGCTTTGGTTTGCTCATAGAATAATGCCTGCTATTTATTCCATAAACATACACATAAACAAGTGCTTTTCATATCCAATCAAATCCAAGCCAATCCCAAACAATCTATAAACATGAACCGAACCGAATGTAATAATATACAGAGCAATAAGCTATACCAGTCCCAAGTATGTATTGTATCACTTGTCATCCTCCGGCTCACTAGTACTCCACCCACTCTCACTCTCATCCGCACTCCAAACACTGGGCCCAGTCTCCACATCCGCAGCAGAAACCTCCTGCACAGGCAGCTGCTTACCCTGAGAAAGCGCTTGTCGTTCAGCCTTCTTCTTCCCACGCTTCGAATCAATCGGCTTCTGCTCCTCCCGCTCTTTCTTTGCTTGGTTTGCCTCCTCAGTAGATGCACGCTCGAGAATATCAAACAATTTCTCAAGAGCTGGAGCGTAAGCTTGAGCAATGGGAATATCACCCACACGCACGCGCATGTAATCAAACACGGCTGTTGTAGGTGTGCGGTCTAGGACTGATGAACGGGTGGAGGGCGAGGTATGCTGGTTCGGACGGCGGAGGGTGATGACATCCTTAAAGGATTTAGGAGCTGTGGATGAGGTGTCGTCTTGGAGGGTTTCGGGTTCTTCGCCCGCATCTGCATCGGCGGGGGTATCTTGGGCTTCTTCGTGCTTTACGGCACCTGTTTTCTGGTCCACGTAGGCAACCTTCTGGTATCGCTGGCTGAAGTGCGTAAGCAGGATAGTCCGTGCCTCCATACGGCGGCCAACTTCGAGGGCTTCGGAGGTGGTTGAGTGGCGCTTCGCCATGGCGGATTGGTACATATCATCTTGGAAAGTAGCTTCGTGGATGAGGACTGTGGAGCCCTTTCCAATCTCTGCGAATGATTGCGATGGACGACAGTCACCCGAGAACGAGACTTGGAAGCCATCCGGGAAGATAAGTGAGGCAGCCATTGCGCCGCGGCAGTGGGATACTCTCGTGGTGCGGAAGTCTTGAAGGCCGGTCGCGGCGCGGAGTTGAGTTGTAAGGGGGGAGTTGTCGTCGTCGAAGCGGAGGAGAGTGTTTGAGGGTTTGCCAACATCCCGCATCTGACCAGGGTAGCTGCCATCGGCGCGAGTGTGGCGGTAGACGAAGCTAGTGAGTATACGCTTGTTTCCGTCCATGTATGGATATGCTGAGAGAGGGACTGTCTTCGAAAATCCGTAGTCTTCGACAGCCGCGTACTCTTCCAGCCAGCTAATCATACTTTCCTCAGATAGAATGAATAAGCGCTTTTCCTCCAGGATCTTGCTGACATCGTCTTCGATGTATTGTCCCTGCGAGGGTACGCCTTTGGGGTAGTTCTCCTTGTACCAAGCCTTGATGAGAGACGCAGTACCCAAGTGATGATCGGCGTGAAGGTGGGAAATCCAAATCATACGCAAGTTGCGCAGCACCTCCCGCAATTCCTCAGGATTATAAACACGCTTCAGCTGTCCAAGAGTGTTCTCACCGCAGTCCAGCAAGTAATAACCGTACCCAGGAACCTTGAGTAGCGTAGCAGAAACATTGCGGTATTTCGATGGTGCGGAAGAGCCAGTCCCCAACGCGATAATCTCCACATCCTGTCCAGGGAGATCTTTCCGGACATTCTCCAGCTTTTTCAAGAATTCTTGCTTCTTCATGCGCTTGCGGATCGTGTCGACTCGTTTCTCGACCGCACGGGGAATTTTATCTACCACTTCCGCTGGGTTGAGTCTTTGCATGACCTCAGAACGGTTGACTTCGAACTTGGGTTCCATGCCAATAACGAGACCTGGCTCTGATGGTTCGAACGGCGAGGACTGGATGCTCTGCTTCGTAACCTCCGATCCGTGTGTTGGTGTTCCTGGCTGCGGAAGCGTCACGTTATCATGGAAAGGAATCGAATAACTATCACCCTTCAAGCGAGCCAGACGGATTGACGATCCCGCAACACTAGGCAGGGCAAGGTAGTTCGGGCAGTAATCCGTACTGGAGACGATATGCTTGGCGTTTGGCCTCTTCTCAACAAACTCACGCAGCTTGGGATGATCGCCTACACCAGGTCCCAGGATCCAAAGGAAAGCCTCCAGATCTGTCGTCACAGCTGGCGAATTCCACTCTGGGCGGTTAACCAGGTTCTCGACATAGTCTACAGATGGCAAGTCAATGATCGCCAACCCCTTTCCAGGCCGCGGGGGTCCCAGAACCATTTCCGGTGTGACGGTCTTTCCATCCATAGATACAACGCTTTCGCCTTTGGTCAGACGAGCATAGTCGGGACCTTTGCGGATCTTCAGCGCTTCTGCTTTCTTAGGGTCAAACTTGCCACGGACATCGTGATTCCGCACAACGTAGGAAAGAGCCTCGTCACACCAGGTAGTTGGGGGTAGTTTCTCAACCGTCGCGCCCGGCCAAGGTTGGCGTACGAGAACCTTGATATTGGGGAGTGGCTGATCGCTTCCCGGAGCAGGACCCATATACTGTTCGAGTTGCTTGGTCTCAGGATTGCGAATGAACATGGACGCAGGCATCTTCACCTCGGCCAGGGGAGTCTCGATGAGCGCATCCATTCTCCACGATGAGTTGAACATATCAGTGACAACAGACTGCCTCATGATCTGTTCCCTGAGTCGCCGGTCACGCATATCAACCCCATCCTCCTTCTCCTGAAACTCATCCAAGCTTCTTTTCCTAGGGCTCTGCTGACCACTTTGTAAAGTTTCACCACCATCCTGCCCCGTCGGTGAAGAACTAACAGGCATAGCCCACACCTTGATGTTATTATCAAACCACGATGGCTCTTGAAACGCATCCTCATTCGCCACAGACCTCCTCTTCCCCATCGTCTCCGAATCATACTCCCTCATAAAGACCGGCATTCCCTTCCGAAACACAAATCGCCTAGCAGTCGCCAGACTATGCGTGATATTCCGCCCTCCATGAATCGTCAAACTGCCCCTCTGCGCCACAACCTGTCCATTTTTCTCCGCATATGGAACACCATGCTTTGTCTGCTCAGCCGTCAACCCTTTTGCCTGCGCGGCGGTTTCCAGCGCCAGATTCGAGTTGATAAGGCCGTCCGCCTGAGTCAGGATCGTGCCGATTAAACCGCCGTTGTTCGCCCATTCCGTACGGCCAGTAAGGAATGCATCGGTTAAATAGGTGAGTTTGACGCCACGCTCCGTACACGCCCGCTGCGTACCTTCCGATAGATGTCCGAAGAAGTACCGCTTATCTGGGAAATGCAGCAGCAATGTCGTGCCGGGGGTATCGCCAGTCGGCGTCGTGAGGACCTGGTAGTAAAACTTCATTGGCGCAATTCCAAGTGGTGATGGCCTTTTATGATCGAATCCGTTCGATTTATACAAATCAGACTGGTAAATAATATAATTATTGTTCGAGGAGCGAGAAAGTCGTCGAGACTCGGAGCGGGGCGCTCGAATAACGTATGCGTCTGGAATTGCGGGTGTGCGTTCAAAATGCAATAGCCGAGGCCACTGGGGTTCAGAGACGAATGGCCGGAAGGTAGTCTTATTTTTTGATTTCGCTAAGAGAATGGCAGCTGCAGAGAAGGAGCGAGGCGTTTGTGGAAAGAAGCACCCACGAGAGGCTTGCGAGAACAGCCTCCCGGTTCGACGGAGAGAAGCCAATTTGGCTGGGGGGAAAGAGGCTTTAACAGCAGAGGAAAGGCGAGACGCGCACCATGTCACCATAGAGCGTAGTGAGTCACAATTGCAGATAAAAATGACAGGGTTGTTCTGTCGTCGACATACGGGAGGCGTGCGGTGCTTCGGAGTTTGCTTTTTTGCCCGGGTTATCTTTTTCGCGGTGTTTGCACGGAGTACGACTAGCCTACAGTGACAGCAGTGGTCATATTATGGGGAGTATGATAGCACTCATTTTGATGATAATTTCAAATTCAGTCTATTGTAGTCAAATTGCAAATATCCCAAATTCCCAAATGTAGCCATCCAAATCCCCGGATATTACAGCCAAACCAAACCCATTGAACCCCGTCAACAATGAAGAAAAAGAAGCACGAAAGATAGCAGGTTAAGACAGATACATAATCATGAACAAAAGAAAAGTCAAGTGTCCTTGGAATGGTGCTCAGCAACCTAAAACACTAAAGGAACGACTCTAGAGAAAGCAAACAAATTTACAAAAATCTGGTCCGAAACAAGCGCGGCGTGGGGAATCATGAAAGATGAGTAGTCACCATAGAAACACGTTCGAAAGATGCTTCCATGCTGAGACATAATTGAGCGAATCGGGCTTCGGTAGTCTTGGAATCACACTCAACCACAAGCTCAAAGGCCGGGGCCTTCTCCGATTTGACACCCTCGAACGACTCCTCGGTATGTGTTTGCGACTTGACGGAGTCGACAAACAGGGCAAAGGCAGGATCCGACTCGTCAATCTCAACGTTGGGGTTCACGACACCAGTCACTTCCTTGGGCTCCTCGACCTGCGGTGCGCGCTCAAGGACAGGGGCTTCCTGCTTCGTAGACTCCGGGAGGATGCTACCAAAGCTGGATGACTTTCCGGAAAGAACTTCGGCATCAAGAGCAGGACCCTCGGGCACTTCCATGACGGCAAAGACGGGGGTGTTGGCGTAGTTGATGTCAATTCCAGAGTTCCATCCCCCGTTCAGACCCATGCCAGTCATGTCCATTCCCTGGTTGGGAACCATGACCATACTCTGCTGCATCTGGAAATCTTGGGGAGTCTGGTTCTGGGTGGCCTCGGGGATGTTGGCCTGCATAGGCGGCTGCGAGGGCTGTGTCGGCTGCTGCTGCTGCTGCTGTTGAGGCTGCGACTGTGGCTGCGATTGCTGAGGCTGCTGCTTGGAAGTGGTCTGGAGCTGAGGCAGACCGGTGACGTTCATTTCTTCCATGAAGTTCGAGAACTGAGGCGACGCCAAAAGCATGTGAGCAAGGTCGGTCAGACGAGCGTTCTCCTCATAAAGAGCGCGGTTTTGGATGCGAAGTTCGTGGGATTCGTTGGTGCGCGAGGCAATTTCGTTTTCAAGCTGGCCGATGTATTCTATTCGAGTTAGTTTGATCAGGTCTTTTTGATTCAAAGGATGCTAGATCATACCCTTTCGGCGAGATCGGAAAGCACGAGCTGAAACCTTGTTACGGAGCTGACGACGCTCCTTGCTGCTGAGCTTCTTGCCCTCTTCGCTAGCAAGGAGTCTCTCGTCCTCGTCCATATCCTGCTCTTCTTTCTTGGCCTTGGCCATCTGGGGCAGAAGGGAAGGACTGGGCGAGTCGGACGGCGAACTCATCGAGCTCTGTCTGATCTGCTGGAGAAGGCGAGAGATGCGCTCCTCGACAACAGGGTCGGAATTCCGCTGAGCACGGGGCTGAGAGGCGTTGCTTTGCTGGGCCTGTTCCTCCATGCGACGCTGCTGGAGTTGTTGTTGTTGCTGCTGCTGCTGTTGCTGCTGGCGAAGCATCTCATGCTGTCTCTGTTGCTGAGCGGCCTTGGCCATGGCTGCTTGCTGCTGGTGCATACCCGGGTACATACGACCAACCTGGGTCGAGTGTCCAGCGGGGACAGCCTCCTGGGAAGCCAGAGCATTAGGGTCGACAAACTGGGCCTTGTTGGGGTTTGGCGAGAAGAAATAACCGGGAGCCGAGTTGATGTTGTCGCCCTCCATGTCCATCTCAGCTGGGTTACGGGCGGGGATGGCGTTGAAATCAAGGGGATCCTCGCGCTTCATCTGGGGATACATGTCTCCTCCCATGGCAAACCCAGGGCTGGCACCGCCATAGCCCATGTTGTTAGCATGGTTGAAGGACATCGCATGAGCCAAAGCGCCTGGAGGAAGACCAGTCTGCTGCTTGTGTTCGTCATATTGGTGGCTCGGAGCCTGGAAGGCAATCGGTGTTTGACCATTCGAAGCGAAGCCGGCACTGCGAACATCACCAGCGGCGAAATCTGTGCTTGGAACGGCAGGTTGACTTGGCAGCGAAGCCTTTGGCCTGGGAGCTTCGGTAGCGTAGGTGATCTGGTCGAGGTTGAGGAAGGAGTCGATGTCAGGATCGTAGCAAGTCGTCGACGGGGCGACGGTCGGGTGTTCGGCCAGTGTAGCCATGGTGATGATTATGTGGTTATTCTCTTTTTTTTCCAGGATAGAACAAGCAAACGAAAGTGAATGATATCGCTCAAGAAACAGAAAAAAAAAAAAAAAAAAAAACGTTAAGGTTGGATCTGAAAAAAGAAGAGAGAGCGTAGTGGAAGCGAGAGACTGATGAAGAAAGGGAGATGATTTGGTCGGGTCTCTCAAGGGGTTAATTTGGGACTGGCAACAGACCAAACCCGAGATCGGAAATGATCAGAGGGGGGGGGGGAATCAAAGAAGCCCAGTATGGAAATAACAACGAGACTAGAAGTGATTAACTGGTCGCTTATTGTCTGATAGTATAGAGGCGAGATCAACAGTCGTTTCAATGGTTGCAATATTGATGTGGCTATGGGCACGGTAAAGAATCTAATAAAAACTGGCAGTAAACAGGAAAAACAAGGAAAAGGAAGAAAGGGAGAGACGAGAGGCGACTCTGCGACCGCCTACACGGAACACCACACAAACCAACTGCGCAGCCATCCAGGAATAGAAACCAGTCCGTTTTTGGTTAGTGCGCTTGCGCGTCCTCTGCTGACTTAGAATAGCCCCGCTTGTACGTATTTTATGATTGGCAAGCTCGGAAATAGGCTTGGCCTGCGCCCCATCAGGCATTCTCCATTCTTTCCGTTTAAAGATTGTTGGAGCCTGAGGACACTATTTACAATGTACTACCGATCTTCACGGAGATTCAACGTCTCTAACATCTGTCTGTGATATACAAGAAGCACAGAAGACACCATCTGAAGCAGGTCATTTCACAGTGATGCCTGGTCATAGTGTCCCACTCCGCACATAGCACTCCCCATCTAGTCGCCAGTGGTCGGTAGTACATAGTACTATTACACTAAAGGATCATTATTCCCTGTTCCATCCATCCCATCTCATTTGCCAGGTTCAAGCGCCCCCCCTCTCATTGACTTTCTTTTTTCTTCGCCTCCCACACACTTGCACACTTGTTCGTTTCAGGCCAAATACAAAATGTTATCGCTCGGGGAGGCTACTGAAACGAAATCGGACCACTCAATAGGCTCTAGAACCCCCTAAACCCTCAGCAGTATAGTGGTCGTCGAGTGCAGCCATCCGATTGGATTGCCTTGAAGAGCCCTAGGGAAAGTCAATGGGCCAATTAATGGGACTGGGACCAGACTCCCGGATGCTGTCCGTCTCCCGTGAATTTGCCTTTGATGAATCAATCTGGGATTGGTCCTCAAGTTGACGCGGGTAGTCAATCTCGAACGTACCCCGTATTCATCCTGTACTATACACATATTTGTTGTACAGCGCAGAGTGCATCATCTTCAAATCAGAAGGCAACCAATTCCCCCAATCCCAACTCTTTGCCTGTTTGTCTTTCTGGAACGCCTCCCACCGTCTCCTCCCACCCACACTCGGTCCCTAGCCAAACCCGTCCTAGTCTCGGAACACTATTGTCGCAGTGGGGAATGCAGGCAAAGCTTGGCACGGCAATCGACGCTCCTCATTCAACGGCACTGCCCCCTAGTCCTCGCTCGTCTATCCCTGCGCGTTCCCGCCCTTGTCTCAGAAGAGCACACTGTCACTTCATTGGCTGCGTTTGTCCAATGAGTGGTTTTTTACTCAGCCCTTTTTGCGTTTGTGGTTTGTTTCCGCATATGGTAATCTACCCCGAGGATGGGAGCAGACACGGAGATACAAAAGTGCCGCTTAGTCAGAGTGTCAGGAATTAGGATGGTTACAACATACACGGGAGAAGAAAAAGAAGACTTTTACAGCGGTTCCAGTGGTTGAGAACAAAAAATGGGAACTAAAAACAGGTCGATGTTCGTAGGGCTTAGCACATAGCCCATTAATCCACTATGTTGATCTTCTCTGGTTGCCATATATATTGCACGGAGTAGTACTAAATACTCCGTCAGTGCTCTGTGGCAATGATCCTCTAGACGATCCGTATTGCAAACAAATTATCCAAGTATGCTCCGCAACAATCAAGCATCAAAATTGCCGCGATAAACACGCGACAAAAGCTATACAGAAATTGAGTGCCTGCGGTCGCTGATCTAGACCTGTCAGTTCAACGAATCCAACCGTCTGACTTAGCGATTCTGGTCGGTTGGCATGGTCGGGCTGTTGACTGCTTGCAAGTATTCTCTTCTCTCAGAAGCCAACCTTCAATTTGAAGCGAGTGCCATGGATACTGAGGGCGAATGCCTCTTGATCGGACCATTCACACTCTCACAACTACAACGAGTTGATCATGGCCTGTCCAGAATTCCTGCGACTTCCTGTGCAGGATACCTGCCGCGATCTCCATTTCACCACCGAAGCATCCCTTCGCTTGGCTTGGAGAAGCAGCGTGAACAGTGAACAAACAAAAAATTATAGGGCAATTGAGAGCTACTCATCTCAAACGAAGCCAACAGTATCTTTTCATACCTGGTAACTCCCGACCAGTCGGTATCTCGGCTGATGATGATTCCACCAGTAATTTTAACCGTGAGAGGCTTGTTCTTGGTACCAAGCCAGATACTTACTGGCTGGGAAGTGGTGTTGCTCATCTTTGAAATCCGAGACAGGCGCCTCACTGCTCAGAAGAGCTGATCACTGTTTGGCCCAGCAGTGTAGCTATCTTGAACAAGGATGCCCTCATAGGAGTCTGTAAACTATCAGTGAAGTCTTTTTCTTTGGTCTAAGAAGAAATGTGAGCGGTTGATGACATGTACTTCTGGGGTAATTGAAGCTTTTCACCTCGAAAGAGACCAGTGGGGCATTTTTGCTCTGGTCAAGACCTAGATTATTCAGACTCTCTTGCGTTTTGCCTAAGGAAGCACCATGAACGGTTAACCAAAGACCTGGATAACTATTTCTCACCTCAAAGAAACAAGTGGAACCGTTCAGTTCCGTTCCTGGTCGAGACCTGACCACTCTTGGCTGAGGGTGGTTCATTGCGCGTTGTCAACCGGACCCATTCTGAGTTCATTTTCTGTTGCCGATTGACAGTAAAGTTGCTAGGTAGAAGAACATTAGCTGTCTAGAACTTTTGCTTTGCTTGTATGATTGTGCTGTTAAGGCAGCGTACCTTTCATAGGCGATGTGTAATTTGTTGATTGTTTTGGTTTTTGCGAAGGGAAGTCTGGAAGCCATATTTATCGGTAAAGATGCTGCGGATTGAAAGGGCGATGAGTCTGTCTTACCGTAAGACAGATTTTGGTAGAATATGAATGAGACCTAATGAAACAAGTCTTGATTGTAATGCACAGAAAGCTACAAGGGCACAAGAATGCAGGGAAATAGCTAGTCAGTCACAGTAGCCTGTAGTGGATAACAGGCTGACAAAAATGCAATAATACCGAAACCATATCATCCTCCACTGTTGGACCGCACAACATTCAAGTACCTGAAAAGTCCAATAGTGGCCCTCAGAAACCCCCGTCAGTGATCCTGTCCCCAGAGATCAGACCATAGAGCGAAAGACCGTAAACCTTTCTTCTAAAGGATTACCCTGCCCAAGGCTATCGATGTAAGCACGGGAGATCGCCGCTGAGTTGATTTGAACCCTAGCCACTACTGCCCGTAACGTAAATGCCGTGTGAACCATGAACTCCGGGTTCTTCTCGAATGCTATTATCGCTTGGACAAAGAGATGTGGTACTTTGCAGCAGATTGTATTAGCCTTTTCCTTAACTGTCATAGCCTGCCACTTATGTTGGTAAGTTTAAGATGTGATAATAGTGGAACGGTTAAGATAAACCGTAATGCTGATTTGCAGAAGTGAAAGCTTGTCATTCATATCAAGATTATGCCAAAGACAATTCGAGAGAAACAGGAAGCCTTCCTTGTTGCAGGAAGAGATAGAAAACCGGATTCTCGTCTCGTATGAAGGATAGCTAGTTTGTTTTCCAGTAAGTATATCAGACAAACTTCAAAGTGTATTGTGGCACTTTTATCACACTTTTTCTCTGAACGCATCAGGGCACTCGGACCTTGAGGTGAAGTTTGGTTCGAAAGAAATATGGGAACGGCCAATGCTGCAACAAATAACCCATTGCTTTTGGTTGCGCTTTTCTTCCAACTTCCAATATCATTTGCTCGCCTGTTTCGGAATATACCCAAGTATTGCAGGTCCTCTTGGAGACAAGATACAAAATGCTGTAGAATGCTTGAGATATTCACCATCAACCTATAAAACGCAAACCTATATTTGCAATTACTGCGGACATATCCACTGCAGAAGATACCTAACCAGCTTTTTGTTCCGATTGCGGTAACTGTACATTCTACCACAAAGCATGTACCACAGACACCAGGATATCGAGCTACCTTGATCTTCTAGGGCGTGCTAAGCTTTTGTTTTCTATGGTCCCCCCCAAGACTCCTCAACATCAGACTTGGCATCGACCATCATTGATATTTACGACAAGAATGAACACAGGTGTGGAGGAAGCGACTAGCGTCTCAAGAAGGAGCTGAAGCCCTAGGTTGTGTAGTGGAAGGTAATATTACTGATCAGGTTACAGGGCTATTTTTTCCTCCGCTCTATGGGGGTGATTAATAGCCCTGATAGTGTTACTTGAATAACTGATGTTAATGGTATATATTAGCTGTCAATGGAAAACCCATTGCTTCTATGATACCGGTCCCGTCGAGAAAACGTTCTCTTAGTTCCTACTAAAAATCAAACTTTCATCACTAGGTCGACGTAATGGCAGAATTTAACCGACAAATGTTGATCATATGTGGTTGCAGGAGGATTTAAACAACAGAGCCGGACTTCGCTTATAAAAATATTTCATTTATACCATAAAAATCACGCCTGACCTTCTGTAGAGAGGCCTTGGCTACCAGCCGTTCTTTGTAAGAACTGGCATGTTTGTTCCATATCCAACGTGCCTTAGTGTGCCTAATGGTCTGAGTTCGGACCATGGTGTTGGCTGCGTACCCGAAACAAGGCCATCACGCACCTTTCCTGAGCCATTGGATTCGGACAACATGGGATATGTCTGCTTGCCATCCACTCTTGCCGAGGAGCCGACAACAGTTCCATGTGAGGAGTAGTCGTCGGAAGGTCCGATATATCGGGAACCCCAGCGCCATTCTTCCCTAGTTTTCTTTTTACATCATCATCACCAGCTAGAGATGATTATCGGGGCACTGCTTTATCTACACACATCCTAAACCAAAATTGGAAGACTGCAAATATTCCCCCAGCGGGGATAATATATAGGAATACACTCATACATGGATTAGAGATATCATCCTCTTAAAAGAGAGGAGAACCCATTTGTATTAGATTCCCTCAAACTATTCCCCCGTTAATTTATCTTCCACTTAGCATTACAGAGGCTTAGGGTTACTATGATATCTTTTTTCAATTGTTTGCTAGTAATATATGATATACTAGAATTAGGACGTTACAACTCCCATGGATTGCATTGCTCTAGAATACAATTGTTTGGGCATTCAGCTCCCATAAATAACAAAACTTTACTTACAGCATATCGAAGATAATGAACTTAACATCAAACTATGCATACAGCGCTTACTCCTCTGGCACCTCCGACTCATCAAACATATACGCCTGTCTCGATCCCCGTCGTTGACTATCCTGCGCCGTCTGGCTACTAGCCGTGAATCCGCCTCCGGAAAGACCACTCTTGGGGGCGTTGGTCCGCTGAATGCTGTTAGCATATTCTGTGTGCTGCATAGGAAAGGAAAAGCATACCTGCTTGGATGGGTCCATGTTTGCAAATATTCCCTGGCTACTCTGTTGGTTACTCTGCTGGCCACCCTTGCTGGCCATTTTCTGAGCTTGGTCGTGGGGAGGGAAGGCAAAATTGCCGGTATTCCAATTTCGGTTTGAGGACATTGTATAATGGTACATAAAATAATTGATTTTTTTGAGACGATTGATTCTAAGTGCACTTGTCTGTCTTGAGACTGACTAGCTTTTTTATACCTTGTATCCAAGCCGGTGGCGTCCGCTGCCATCGGGTATGATCTATACTATATGCGGGGAAATGAACGCATTGTGATGTGGAATAAACTGAGTTTCTTAACTTGAGGCCTCTTTTCACAATTGAAACTGGTACGTACGATTTGGTGATGCTATGAGTTCAATGCCATTGGTTAGATGGTGATGTTTGGTTCTTGACATATGCCAAGAGATCTATGATATGACTGCTTTTGAATACCGCCCAAACCATGGAACTCTAAATGAAGTATCCAGAGAATAAAACATCAGATTTGCCCCCATCAGAGAAAAAGAGTAGTCATCTTGACTCACACAGAGTCACATTATCTGCTGCATAACATGCACAAAAATTCGGATAAGCCCGCATTTCCCTTTTCGGACCCCGACACACGCCAAGGACGTCGTCTCAACCTTGATGATGGCCCTATACCTCGCTATTTGTGCGTTCAACAAGACTATGAATTTGTTGTGGATACCGGCTATTTCCGGAGTTGCTATTCCCCTGGGGTGATCCTCGGATGCAGGGTGTTTGTTATATAGAGCTGTTTCTACACAAGTCCTAGATCTCTTGGCCCTACATATTCTCTCCTCTATTGCTTAACAGGAGGAATTCAATTTAATTTCTAATTGGCACTAATTGATGCCATGGTCCCGCCTATCCTTGCAACTTGCAAGCAAACGCGCTTCCATCCTCTCGATAACAATCCTTCACAGGAAGTAAGCCGATTCTTAAATCAATATATCTCTTTATCTCTGCTTGCCCTGCTAACATCACGACTTTCAGATAGATGTCGACGGACTCAATGTCTCGGTAATAGCTACCCCAGACACAAACGATACCTCAACAGAAACTTCATCCAAACCATCCAAGCCCAAGGGCAAATCAAGAGCCAAGGCTGAAGCTAGGGAGCTCATTGTGGATGCTCATCTGCGTTTGAAGCCGGGAGTTCATTACGGCTTCCTTGGACGAAATGGCACCGGGAAATCCAGTAAGAGGTCCTGCACATTGCTAGTCCGTTACATTGCTAATTATGGATTTACTTGACAGCTCTTCTACGGGCCATGGCGGACAAGCTAGTCCCTGGTATACCTCATGCGACTCGCATTGCTATTCTGCAGCAGACCGATGCCGATACTAATGGGAATCTGAATCCGGGAAGCGGAGAGCAACGTGCAACTGTGCTGGAGAGAGTGATGGGGAGTGATACTTCCAGGAATGAGGTGATACGAACGATGGAGTGTAAGTTTCAGTCTCATTTTGTCATATCCATACTAACTATATCCTATCTTCAAGTCTTATCAAAAAGTTTCGACACCGATGACCCGTCCCAACCGGTCCGCGCAATTCGTACGATTCGTCACGAGAAACTCTCGAGTCAACTGTTTTTGGCCCAGAAGAATGCAAGTTTGAAAAGTGGAGCAAGAGGACTACAGGCGCGCAAGGATTTGAAGGTCGTCGAAGAAAAGGTTCAAGCCTCGAAGGAGTTGTAAGTCTCTTGGTCAATTTGTCGGAGGTGTATTCTGATTTCTTTAGACTGAAGCAGGAACTCGACGCCGATGCAATCAAGGCGGATACACAGGCTGCGGTGGACACACTGCAAGACCTCCAATCTCAATTTGAAGCTGTATGCTCAACTTTTGATGTGAAAAACCGGTAGCTAATACACCGAGGTAGATGAAACTGGTCGACATCGAACAACAAGCCCGTCAGATTCTCATCGGCTTAGGGTTCAAGGAATCTTGGTTCACAAAGTCATTTTTGGATTTATCTGGTGGCTGGCGCATGCGCTGCATGCTGGCTAGCGTACTGATCCAGAATCCAGAAGTCATGATTCTCGACGAACCAACCAACTTCCTGGATCTTTTGGGCGTCGTCTGGCTTCAGAACTACCTTCAACAGCTACGCGAGTCGTCAGAAACCACAGTAGTCCTTGTCTCTCACGACAGAGACTTCATCAATGCAGTTTGCGAAGAGATCATGATACTGAAAGATCAGAAGCTCATCTACTTCCGCGGAAACCTGTCTGCCTACGAGAGAGATTTCGAAGAACAGAAACTCTATTGGGGACGCATGAAGGAAGCACAAGAGCGCCAGGTAGCTCACATGGAAGCGACCATTCGTGAGAACATCAAAGTCGGCAAGAAAACAAACGACGACAATAAGCTGCGACAGGCCAAATCGCGCCAGAAGAAAGTGGATGACCGGATGGGCATCCAAGTGAGCCATAATGGAGGACGGTTCAAGCTGAACAGAGACCTTGTAGGCTGGCACCTGAATGCCCGTGCGGAAATCGAGGTCCCAGCAGATGAACGAGGCGCGTCGATGAAGCTCCCCGATGCTAGTGAACTACGGTTCCCAGGTCCGTTGATATCTCTGGAAGGGGTCCTCTTCAGATACAAGAATGATGAAGCCCCTGTTCTAAATGGCATTGACTTTGTTATGCACATGGGGGATCGGGTCGGTATCATGGGTCTTAACGGCTCTGGGAAATCGACACTGGTCCGTCTTTTGGCAGGTAGGACGTTGCCGACAAAAGGGAAATTGGCGACCCATTCGAGACTCAAATTTGGCTACTACGCACAGCATTCGATTGACGAGCTTCAGGAACAAGGCCAAGCTGATCCTGGTCTAACTGCTTTAGGATTGATGACAAAGGAGGTTGATGGTGCGTTTAACGAAGGAGAGATCAGAGGTTTGCTCTCATCTATGGGCCTTCAGGGCCGGATTGTTTCTGATGTACCGATATCCCGGCTATCAGGTGGCCAGCTGGTACGAACCCTTACGCTCTGCTTCTCTGCAAAGTACTGACTGAATTACCAGGTCCGTTTGGCCTTAGCCAAGGTCGTATGGAACTCACCACACTTGCTCATACTGGACGAAATCACGACCCACTTGGACTTCCACACAGTGACTGCACTCGCATCAGCGCTCTCCTCGTTTAACGGCGCAATCTTGTTGATATCACATGATCGTTTCCTCGTTCGATCGGTGATTGAAGGGAAGCGAGATGAAGAGAACATCCTGGATGATAATTTTGAAGGTGTTGATGATAGGCAAGAGGAATCGCAGGACAGGCGACGAACTGTGTATGTTATGAAAGCTGGAAAACTCCACGAGCAGCAGGATGGTGTAGAACAGTTCGAGAAGAGCCTCGTGAAACGAGTCCAGAAGATGCTTCCGGCACTGGGATAGTGCTGGACCCTTAATTGAAGCTCACTATTGGTTGTCCCTGATAGTTCCGAATCCTCAGACGTAAAGTAAATATCATGGAGAAATAACCAGGTCTAGGATGTCCGAAATGGAAAAGATAACGGAAACAAGATTATCCGGCCCATGCCGATGGCGGCGACTCCGCGGAGCCCAGTTATCCTGATAAGAACTACTACCGTTACTAAGGTGCATCACGATGATTACCATTCGCTAAATTCGTTTCTTATCCTACCCTAGATCCATACCCTCTGCGGAGTGTCATGCGTCCTCACTTCTGTTGGATACTAAATAGCATCTTTTCCGTTGAGAATGGCTGAGTGTCTATTGCGCCGGCGGGGCGCCTTATCACCATCGCTTGCGTCCCTTGCCCGGATCGCTGTCCGACCACATCATCGGCGACATAGCACGAATGTGACAGCAGCGACGGCTCAACCGAACGATGAGATCCAGTCATCACTTGCTTACCCTGCTACTCCTTCTCCAGAGAAGTCCTCGCCCTCGAGATGGTCTGCCCTGCGATCTGCGAAACCGTTTTCCGAGTTCCTGACAGACACATTCAACCGCCAGCATGATTATCTACGGATAAGTGTTACGGAGCGATGCAATCTACGGTGCCTCTATTGTATGCCCGAGGAGGGTATAGAGCTCTCTCCTCAGCCTCGTCTTCTTACATCACCGGAGATTGTTTACCTCTCGTCGCTTTTCGTCTCGCAGGGCGTGACCAAGATCCGATTGACGGGCGGGGAACCAACGGTCCGGAAAGACATCGTCCCTTTGATGCAATCAATTGGAAACTTACGACCAAATGGATTACGGGAGCTGTGTTTGACGACGAACGGGATTTCACTGCATCGGAAACTCGATCCTATGGTTGAGGCGGGGTTGACAGGGATAAACCTCAGTCTAGATACACTCGACCCGTTACAATACCAGATTATGACCAGGCGAAAGGGGTTTGATGCCGTGCTGAAAAGCATTAATCGGGTCTTAGAGATGAACAAAATGGGTGCAGGGATTAAGCTGAAGATAAACTGCGTTGTCATGCGAGGCCTCAATGACCGGGAGATCGTCCCGTTCGTTGAAATGGGACGTGACAATTCCATTGAAACCCGTTTTATAGAGTATATGCCGTTCGACGGCAACAAGTGGAGTGAAGGAAAGATGTTCTCTTATCAGGAGATGCTAGCGGTCATCCGGGAGAAATACCCTGATCTGGAAAAGGTGACTGATCACAAGAACGACACAAGTAAGACATATCAAGTACCTGGCTTCCAGGGCCGAGTTGGATTCATTACTAGCATGACCCATAACTTCTGTGGAACCTGCAACCGGCTGCGCATCACCAGCGATGGGAATCTGAAGGTGTGTCTATTTGGGGATTCTGAGGTCTCCTTGCGTGACGTTGTTCGGAAGGCGAACAATGGCGAACCGATCGATGAAGCAGCATTAAAAGAGCTACAGTTACTCAACACCGTGCAGACAGCGGCACGAGCCAGCGATAGTGGTGACCTTGTCAACCCCCGAGAACGTGAACTTCTCGACATCATCGGTATGGCAGTGAAACGCAAGAAGGCGAAGCATGCTGGCATAGGAGAACTGGAAAATATGAAGAATCGGCCCATGATACTTATTGGTGGGTAGGCGTATCCTTTCATCCTTTATATATATATGCATCGGGGGAATGTTATGAATCATGACTACATGCAAGCATTTGCTGTGATTTTGTTTTCTTTGCAGTACAAGCGGGACGTCCAGCTTTGACTTGTATATAGCACATTGTTTTGTTGGATAAGGCTGATGGAGGACATTAGATAATAAATCGACAAGATATCGGATTCAATTGGCAACACCTTCGAGAAATAACCCGTGGTCACATATCCCAGCACACATTCTTCCGTCCAGTGTATCATACGCAGGTCAAGCCCGATTCTACCATCAGCGTAGTACCAATGTTGCTGAAGGACACGCAAGGTTCCCCACTAATGCAGACCGCAAGGAGAAAGCCGAAGCCGAATCAGCTCTCCCAACAGTCTCCGACCCAGACCTCCCGCATCTAACCCCTTCCCAGAACGTCCACATGACCCAAATCAGCCAGAAAGCAGTCACTCCGCGGCAAGCCACCGCCACCGGCCTGGTCTATTTCTCCAACTTACGCCCATGGGAACTTCTCCGAGAGGGGCAAGGCACGCACAAGGGTGATGTGTATAGTGTCGCTCGTATTGCGGGAATCATGGCTGCTAAACGAACTCCGGATGTGGTCCCGCTTTGTCACCCGGGCATCGGGATCACGGGCGTTGAAGTGGACGTGAAGCTGCTTCAGCCGACGACAAATGGTGACGATGCGATGAAGTACGGTGCCATGTCTGTGAAGGCAACTGTTGGCTGTCTAGGCCGCACAGGAGTTGAGATGGAAGCTATGACAGCGACAATGGGAGCTGCTTTGACGGTGTACGACATGCTCAAAGCCGTGGATAAGGGGATGGTCATTCGAGGAGTGCAACTGGAGGAAAAAAAGGGGGGGAAGAGCGGACATTGGGTGCGAGAGCGAGAGATTGGCCATTAGAGTACATGTTTGTTTTGCATAGTCGATATAGAGTAGCTATGGTCAGCCCTACCGAGTGCCAAGCCGGATGGTGGATTCGGCCCGGTTCAAGTCTTTCTCGCCAACGGTCAGCATTCTCCTTTTCTCACTTCCATCATTCGTGTCCAATTCAGAAAATATTCACTGTTAGAAGACCGTTGAAATGGAATAACACACGCTCCCCTCCAGTTATTATGATAAAATCCGCGAATCCATCATATTCAATTGATTTATCCCTCGCCGCGAATCTCGCCGCTGCAGAATTGAATTACCGCATAATATCGTCCCTCATCATCTCAACCATATCACGACTTTTAGGCCAGGCATTCCTCTCGTGTCGAATCGCTAAACCTCGCATCAATCTGACGCTTTACCCTCGAAACAATACAATGACTTGTGGTACTACTAGATTAAAAATTCATCGAAAGTTCAGAGTCTGGTGTTGTGGGTAGCGGTGTGCGCTACACATTTAAGGATACTACTGTTGAGTGGTCTTATTAGGCCTTCTTGAAATAACGTTTGAGCTTGTTCGTTGCGGATTTATGCTGCAGCTGCAGGGCTTTCTGTCCAACCAACCAGCAAGAGCATTCGGGGGTGATCCCCTGTATTTTGTTGGAAAGGAACGAGGAGAGAATTTTTTTTGTGTGTCGCCAGGATGATCCGTGCGTACTTTCCGTTTTCCTTTTCTGATTATTTTTCGTTTATGTGTTGTTGTTTCAATTGTTGGTCGAAGCTAATATGCATGTATAGTTCGCGAATGGCGACGACCGCTTGGTCGCTTCATCATGGCAGTCCTTCCGCCATGTAACTTTATCGTGCTCCATTATGCCTACTTTATTCTCACGCCGTTGGCCTGCAGTGCTATTTTCTGGGGCTCGTCGACACCCGCGCGCAGTGTGGCTTATGTCGACTGCTTGTTTATGTGTGTCAGTGCCATGACGGGTGCTGGGTTGAATACTGTATGTTCCAATAAAATCCCCGGTGTTTTCAAATACGGATCACTGATGTGTTTCAGGTCGATCTATCTTCATTGAATTCCTTTCAGCAGTCCATCTTGTTTGCACTTCTTATGCTGGGGCATGCCATCCTTATTTCAATCACGGTTCTATTTGTTCGGAACCGGGCCTTCCATTCTAAATTCGAAGGGATTTCCAAGAATCCTGCGTTTCAATGGCTAGCCAGACGCACATCAGATCTTCGCGTCCAAGAAGCCTCAGTTAATATGGAAGATGATAAAGACGGATCAGCCAGTAAAGACGGAAATAAGGCAAATGTGACTGCTCAGCCTGTGCTTGCGGAGGCTCCGTCTTACCAGGACAATGATGACCGTATTCGATGGGCTGATGATGACCAACTTACTATTGGCGCAAGGAGGTCTCATCACAACCACCATGCCCATCGTGTGTTTCCGATGGTCGGAGTCGGGGCTCGACTGGATTTGAACAACCACCCTAGAGATGTCACGCCCAACCTGCCGCTTTATGAAGAAGAGAAATTTGGCGGACTGAAGGGTATCCTCCGGGGAACACACAAATATTTTACTTCCAAGGGTTCTGTGTCGAGGAATTCATCATTCCATGGCCTTACTCCTGCCGAACGGGACAAGCTCGGAGGCGTTGAGTACAAAGCAGTCTCTTTCTTGTCGGTCATTGTTCCGATCTACTGGCTAAGTTTCTTGATCTTCGGTATTGTGGGCATGGGCGGTTGGTTAGAAGCAAACCATCCCGAGATCTCACGCAGCAATGGGCTGTCGCCCTTCTGGACGGGTGCTTTCTTTGCTGTTTCTGCATTCGTGAACAGTGGCATGTCCCTTTTGGACGCAAACATGACAGCCTTACAGACGAACACATATCCACTTGTGACAATGGGTATGCTGATTCTTGCCGGAAACACCCTTTACCCGTGTTTCTTGCGGTTCATTGTCTGGAGTATGAGGCGTTTGATGCCAGATCGGCCGTCATGGAACTCGTGGAGGATCACGCTAGATTTCATCCTGGACCATCCTAGAAGAGTCTATACGAACTTGTTCCCTGCACGCCACACGTGGTATCTGATGGCGAGTATCATCATTCTGAATGGAATTGATTGGGCGTTTTTTGAGCTCCTAGCCATCGGAAACCAGGAAATTGAGAGCTTGCCGACGGGATACCGCGTCTTGGACGGTCTATTCCAGGCTCTAGCCGTACGAGCTGGAGGGTTCTATGTGGTGACCATCTCTGGCCTTCGTCAGGGCTTGCTCGTTCTATATGTTCTCATGATGTATGTTTCAGCATTTCCGGTGCTGCTGACGATGAGAAACACGAACGTCTATGAAGAGCGTTCTTTGGGCATTTACTCCCACGATGAATTAGTGGAAGAAACCAATTCCAAGTACCCGAATTTCTTCGTCAGTCTCTTCAGGCACCACATCCTCGGTCGACAAGACCCGACCACCATCGAAGGATCCCGCAGCTACTTCATCCACCAGCAACTCCGCTCCCAACTGAGCCACGACATCTGGTGGATCGCCATGGCAGTCCTATTCATCGCCATTGCCGAATCCCCACACTTCCAAAAAGACCCGGTTGGCTACTCGACCTTCAACATCATATTCGAAGTTGTCTCGGCATACGGCTGTGTGGGAGTTAGTGTTGGGTATCCCGGCAGGAACTCGTCGTTCTGTGGCTCCTGGCACACGATCAGCAAGTTGATTTTGGCTGCTGTTACTTTAAGAGGACGGCATAGGGGCCTTCCTGTTGCAATTGATCGGGCAGTTATGTTGCCTAGTGAGTCGTTAGCTTATGCAGAGGAGGAGGATGCTGCGTTGAGGCGGGAGCAGACACGTACTTATGGGATGGATAAGATGCCTATGGGGGCGGTTTAACCTTCAGCATACGAAGATAACATGTTGCTTGGGTGTAGTTGGTCGTTGATGAAGTGTATCAATTTTGTTTTTATTGCTTATTTTCATTTGCTTTGTGCTAGACATTGATTTCTTAGCAGCATTGCTTCGCTACTCATATATTAGCCTAGAATATGCTCAGCTGTGAATAAAAGTTGCGTTCTGGTTTACATCTCCTCCGGTGTAAACTGCACGAGAAAGCTTCAATCTTAACTTTTGTATTGACACCAGTACATAGAAATAAAAAGGGTAGTGTATCCCAATAATTACAGATTCGACATAAAACAGCAATATTCTACTCCTCTTCCATCTCATCCTCCATTTCTTCTTCATCCTCACTCTCATCTTCCAGCTCCCCTTCATTCTCCTCCTCACTCTCCTCATTTTCATCGCCATCAGAAGCGTCACCCTCATTCTCACCCTCTTCGCTATCATCATCACTAGGACCAAACCCATCCTCCATAGGCACATCCTTCTCCTCTTTCTCCTGCTTCCTCCGCTTCTCTTCCTCGCGTCTCCCCTCCTCAAGAACAGCAGCGCGCTCCTCGCGCAACTTCCGCTGATTCTTCACGAATGCGCCCAAGGGTGTTGCTTCCCAGCTAATATCCCTGAGGAAAGTCTCGACCTCCGCGCGATTCCGGGGTGTATAAGTAACGTTCAATCGACGCTCCTCGACCCACCGCGCGTTCGCCTCGACCTTCTGCACAAGAAGCAGCACCATCTGGTTGATCTTCGAGTTCTTGTTACCGCCTTGCCGCGCCGAGGCCTGTTTCAGCCAGCGTTTGAGCATGACGACGACAGGGACGGAGAGTTCTGGGAACGCGATGTGTTTGGTCCACAGGACGAAGAACTCCGATAGTAGTTCGGCGAGTTGCTCGCCGACACCGTCTTGGTAGGTGCGCGTGCGGAGGTAGGATTTCGGGGCGCGGATGGTGGTGTTGAAATCGAGGGGTTTGAGAGTGCTTGATTTCGGGGGTTTACGCATCTCGGCGAGGTTGAGGACTTCCAAAAGGGAGGGGGCGAGGGGGATGTAGGTGCCCGTGGAGCGGGAGAGGCGGAGGAGGGCGCGGGTGAGTTGGAAGCGAAGGGGGAAGTACTGGGCTGTTGGGATGAGACGCATTGCTCCGATGGTGATTTGGACAACGGGGTAGATGAGGGGGCGGAGGGCGGATTGTTTGCCGACTTGGGCTTCGACGAGGCCGTCACAATGTTGAGAGAGGACGCGGGACCAGAAGTCAAGGGAGTGGATGTATTGCCAGTTGTAGACTGCTTTGTAGGATTCCTTGGTTGTGTTGGTGATGCTGCTGCGGAGGTGGATGGCGAGTTGGCGGATGAAGTTGAAGCCCGTTGTGTAGGAGACGTTTTGATCGATGCCCCAGAGTTCGGTTGCCGAGTTCTTCATCAGGTTAATGCCCGCGAGGGTGTGGATGGTTGTGTTGCGGCTGCCCTTGACCACGCCTTCGTACGACGCCTTGAGAACTGTCTCCTTAATCCCTGCATCTCCGATGACCATTAACCGACGCAGCAGGAGGAATGCGACAATACGGGTTGCTTCCGTGGTGGAGACATCGGCCCAGATCCCGACAACGATCTTGATTAGGGTCTTGAGCAGCTTTCTGAACTGGAGAAGGTATGGAAGCATTGGCTCGATGGACGAAAGTGTCAACTTCAACGTCTGCGGATCGGACAAGTTGGTAAGCAGCTGATGAACGGACGCCGTGTGCGATTTTATGAGAGGTGTGAGCGTCTTGAACTTCTTGGTTTCAAGAGACAGCTTGATTTTCCCGGAACCAGTCTCCTTGATTGGGAGATGATGAGCTAAGACCCGGGGAACCATGTTAAGCGCAGTAACGAGAACCTGGTGATACACATTCGAGTCGCGGATCGAGTACTTCATCTCCTCTTGGTCCGCTTCGTTGAGGTATGCTGCACACCGGAAAGCGAGCACGGCCTGCCGCATGGCTCTGATCGAATGTTGCTCTTCCATCAATTTCTGCCACTTCTTCACAGCTGCAATGTTAAGTGTATTGTCCACCATCTCCTCATCTTTATCCTCGTCCTTCTTGCCCTTCTTTTTCTTCTTGGCCGGCCCTTCCTCTTCTTCTCCCTCGCTTAGCGCGTCAACTTCAGACAGGTCGTCGTGGTCACCAAAGTCGAGCAATTCTGCGTCATTCTCCTTTAGGTATTTATAGAATTCCGGGTCCTTTTCCTTCAATGCTTCCAATTGGTCCTTGTGTTCTCCGAAGCCGTCTGGGCCGCTAGCCTGCGAGGCATTGTCGTCGCTCTGCGCATCTTCCTCTTCACCCGAGCCCTCGGAAGCCTCGTCGGCCTGCTCTTGGCCTTCAGATCGCTTGCGCTTCCCAATCTTCGGCGAAACACCCTTCTTGCTAGGCTTCGACTGATCCGCATCGGCATTCGCGATATCGAAACCGCCCGAAAAGAAGTCATCAACGTTCATTTCCGCAAAGGCATTTGCCTTCTTGGCCTGCTCTGGCTCATCCTCGGCGGCATTTTCGTTTTCGGCACGTTGTTTGGCATTATCGGCCTTGCGTTTATCATTCTGGTGGTGTCGCTGCTTGATTTTCGCGGACGACTTGCGCCGTTCGAGAGTATCCTTGAGATGCTTCTTCTCGAACCTCTTCGTGGCCTTTTTCTGAACCATTGTGACAAAATTCCTTCAACCAAAAAGCAAACTTGCAATTTGGAAAATCGATGGAGGAATGGGATTCGTCGCCGGAAAGAAAAAAGAGAAAAGAAAAAAAATTCGGAGAGCATTTCGCGGCAGAAAATCCCAATCGGGTTACCGCCTTCCCCCCTCCGCTCGGGCCATACAATGACACTCGACAGTAGCATGTCGGGGTACAACAGCTTCTCGATCTTCTCCCTTGTGGCCATGTATGCTCAACGGCCTCTCGCCTATGCGCCTACGCCATACAGTTATACCCCCAATCCATCGTTGACAGCTTCCATCAATCTCGATGAGGTATTCCGTTCTGGTAGTTTGCTTTGCGGCATCGCGGGCTAACTGCCACGCCAGGAAGTAAAACTAGCTACTAGCTCGGCGGAGCGAGATCTCTACGAGTCGTTGGCGGAGATTTACAGCATTATCGTGACCTTGGATGGCTTGGAAAAGGCTTACATCAAAGATGCGGTCACTGAGACGGAGTATACCGAGACGTGTACCCGGTTATTGAAGCAGTACAAGTCCAGTCTCAGCGATGATGCTGTCGCAAGGGAGTTTGTCGATCTTGAGACTTTCAAGCGCATGTGGGAGGTAATATTCAAGTTCTTATTGAAAAAATGCGTTTGGCTGACATCCATCTAGTTAGAATGCCCGCGTGCCACTGAACGCCTCCGAATCGGTCTCCCCGCGACAGTCGAGCAAGCCACCCACACTGCCCCTACGGCACCCATTGGCGCTGCCATGTCTGGTCCTGTAGGCGGCGCATCTGGCAGCCTGATCTTGACTGCAACGGAGAACTTTATCACCTTCCTAGACGCATTGAAGCTGAACATGGTCTCGAAAGACGCACTCCACCCGCTGCTCTCCGAAGTCATCCAATCAGTGAACAAAGTGACGGATGCAGACTTTGAGAATCGGGGCAAGATAATCCAGTGGCTAATTACACTGAACCAAATGCGGGCGACAGAGGAACTCGGTGAGGAACAGGCGAGAGAGCTGTCGTTTGACATTGAATCGGCATATCAAGGCTTCAAGGCAACGTTGGGCTAAACGAAGCACACGAATCATACTAGTTCATATCTGTAAACTGGAGTCTTGGGCATGGCGTTGGTGTTGGCTGCTTTTCTGCTATTATTCTCACGGTATCGGGCCGGAGCAATTCCCGAACCAGCTTTTCCTCTTTTGGCAGATGCGATTTTTTCTCGGCGGCATCGCGAGATTTCCGATTTTCTTTGCCACATTCGCGATTTTGTCTGAATACCGACAGACTTTTATCCATTAATTGTATAGCGCATATCGATCCCAATCTTCAACACAGAAACACAAAATGATTAGCAGGGACCCCGAGGAGCCACTTCACGGTAGGATCTCTACCCACTTTTATGTGTATCGGAGCGGCGATGCGGAGTAGTGAGCTGATAAACCTCCCGAATCTAGTGCTCGACCTGCCTCAAATCTATACCCAACCGTCAGGAACTGAGTTGATGAAAGCCATTGACCTTCTAGCGATAAAACCACGATCTTTCAGCACAGACGCCGAAACGACAAAGACTCCGTCTGTCCAGCCGACCGGAGTAACGCGCTATCTGACCTCGATTATCTCCAGTTCACTCTCATGGCTTGAAACCGACGCACTCCGAGATGCTGTATGGGATGCCGCCTCCGCTCGTCTTAGCGAGCGTTGCGGTCGGACTGGTACGTGAATTTCCCGGGTTTGGGTGACCTAGGGGGGTTCTGACTTCGGATATCTCCAGCCATGCCAGCTATGTCTCGAGTCTTCACAGTGCCTACGGCAGGAGGCGATCACTTCACGCTGACCCTCCACGAGCCATCACTCACCGCTGACAACCTGGGCATGAAGACCTGGGTTTCCTCCTATCTCCTATCCCACCGCCTCCTCACAGTCCTCGACACCGCGCCTCAGCTTGTACCATCTACAACGACAACTCCACACACCGAAGGCAAGCTTCGAGCGCTAGAACTGGGGGCAGGGACCGGGCTTGTAGGTCTTTCATTTGCAGCCCTCCGGGGAAATTCGGCGACAATCCACTTGACAGACCTCCCACCAATTGTTCCCAACCTCGCACACAATGCCGCTCTGAACGTGGAACTGCTCAATAGCACAGGAGCAACAGTGACAACGGGTATCCTGGACTGGTCTATCGTCCCCGATCCATACCCCACCCCAGAGGAACAGTATGATATTATCCTGGCTGCCGACTCGCTATACTCGCCGAGTCATCCGAAACTGCTTGTTAATGCTATTACGCACTGGTTGAGTCGTGGTTCTAACGCGCGTGTGGTACTCGAGATGCCATTCCGTGACGCGTACTTGCCGCAAGTAGAGGAACTCCGGCACCGATTGGGAAAGCTTGGTCTGATAGTGGTAGAGGAAGGAGAGGAGATTGGTTATGATGACTGGGAGACGGCAGATGGGTCAGCAGTTGCGGTCCGGTGTTGGTGGTCTGTTTGGGGATGGGCTTAGCAGTCCTTGACGTTCAGACCAACGAAGTGACGAAAATAGATGATAGACGATTTGTATAGATAACAAAGCTTTAATTTCAAGCTCTTTAGATTTATCAACAAGACCAGAAGGATCGAAATATGTATAGAAAAGAAAACACTCAATTCATGCGCGGCCAGCCGCCTATGACGACATTGGTCCTTTCGCATCCATGAAATGCCTCCATCTGGTTCCAGTAACTGTCAAATTCTTTCCTATATCAATCTCATTGTCCATTCAATAGATATACCATAACACCATACCATACGATCTTCCACGTGATACCCTAACCTTACATCCCAACGCCATCGTCACCATAACCTACACACCCTACGAATACCCAATCTAACAATTGATCTCTCCAACGCATACATATACAACAAAATGGTCTTAGGCCTCCTATCCATAGCCTCCATACCAACGGTAACAGGCACAGCAATTGCCGTCAGCGAACAGCGCAAAGCCAACGAGCGCAAAAATGACGCGCGCCGCATGGCTAAGTTCCATGTCGATGCTGAATGTACGGGTGACACACAAGAGGATTGTGAGGTTAATGGGAGAATTGCTGTATTACGGGATAATAAGGTAGTGTTGAGTTATGTGTAATATAGGGAATTGAGGGGTTAGCTAATAGATATGAGCAGGTTTATTTAGATGATGTACAATCTTCGACATCGCAGTCGCAGTCGCATACGGCAGAATGCTTCTACATCGAATACCCGGAGACCGAAGAAACGAAGCATCGAAAACGAGGGCTAGGCCTTGTCACTACCATCTCCAGCAATCCTCCCGCATTGGGCTGGATCTACGTTGACCAGGACACACATGAACTCAAATATGGGAACCGCTCGCAGAGTATCGAGCATGTTGTTGGGCCGTGGGATTGGGTAGATGATGAGAAGACTGTGATGTTAGAGAATAAGAAGGGCGCATTTGTGGCTGTGGAGGAGGAGGATGGATCTGGGTGGGGAGTGTATTTTGATAGAGATGGGGATGAGTTGGAGGGAGTTCTAGAAGAGCAGGAGAAGTTGGACAATGCGTTTACGCCGGTAGTATTAAGGAGGAGGTTAATGGAATAGGTTTTGTTATTGTACAGAGAATTTTGTCTATATCCAATGACTATTGAACAAACGGGGAATCTAAGTAAATTAATCTTCATCGCTTCCAGCATCCTTAGCGGCGTTAGCTTTCCTGTTGCGGCTGGCATTGACAATGTCCCTCTTCTTATTCTCCTGTCGCCTTTCGAAACCGCTCTTGGTACTGATTCTCGTCCTCCGATGCTCCTTATCATCCTTAACAGCCTTCAGCGAGGACTGTCTCGCTTTGACACCGTGTTTCTTCAACTCTTGCTTATTCTTCTTGCTCAAGTCCGGAAGCGCGTCTAGCAGCCATTTCTGGACGGACTTCTCGCCTTCCTTTCCGCGAAGCTTCTCGCTGACGTCGATGATGTTGGCGATGCTCTTGACGTAAGGGATGTCTTCTTTCGTGTAGTAGGTTACTGCGATGCCGCCTTCTCTTCCTGCCCGGCCGGTCCGTCCGACGCGGTGGACATATACTGCTGCGGAGTTGGGGATATCGTAATTGACGACGCCGTTGATACCGCGGAAGTCGACGCCTCGGGCTAGAAGGTCGGTTGTGACTAAGATCCAGATCTCGCCTTTACGGAAGCCTTTCATAATTTCAGATCGTTGGCTGTCGGATAGGTCGGAGTGGAGGACGGCGATACGGGAGGAACCGCCGGCCTCGGTAGGGATATCGTATTGTAGTTCGGAGTGCAGTGCAACTGCTCGAGGAATGGTTTGTGTGAAAATCAGGAATGGAGGACGGAGGCGTACGTCCGAAACCGAGGCTGCGGCGGGATGCAGGAGCTGTCTTAGTCCCAGAAGCTTTCCTTGTTCTGTTGCAGCGTAGATAAGCTTATGGTGGATATTCGGGATAGCTGAGTCCTTCAAACCAACGACGAGACGAAGCAATGGCGATGGCTTAATGTTGCTGACAGACTCACGCCGTTCTTTGATTATCGATTTACTAAGATCTTCAACATTCGATCCCATAGTCGCTGACCACAAGCTCACTCGAAGCTCGGGATGTGTGCAGGCGCGCCAGATATTAAGGGTCTGCTCGCGGAACAAGGGATCCAGAAGGACATCCGCCTCGTCAAAAACGAGACTTCTCACCAAAGGCAAGGTAGCCAAGGGCTTCGTCCCATTGGCCGAAAGTGAATTAACGAACATCAATGGAGTGGTTACCAGAATGTCACTTTTGGTAACAGGAGCTTTTCGTTGGTTCTTGCTCTTCCTGAGCTTATCGTCATCTTCCGGCTCGGAAAATTCCGAGCTGTCTTCGTCCAAAAGGTTCTCATCATTCTCGTTGTCATCGCCTCCGTGTTCCACCACCTGCATTCCCTTCTTCATCATGGTGATCTTCACACCAGTACCCGCAACTAATTTCCTTCCTTCGTTCACAATTTGTCCCGCGAGCTCCTTTGTGGGTGCAATAACGAGTGACAATATCCCGCGCTCATCTTGCTGCTGGTGGTGGTGCAAAACGATCTTGTTGATTACCGGAATCAAGAACGCCAGGGTCTTTCCACTTCCTGTCGGCGCAACAACCAACAGATCAGGTTCAACCTTCTCTCCATTCGACTGCTCAGAAACCGTAGGCTCACCCAGCAACAACGGCAAACTCCCCAGCTGAACCTCGGTAGGAACAGTAAACCCCTGCTCCGCGATATTCTCTGCAAGCCTGCTCGAGATCTTATATCTCGAGCGCAATTCCTTGAACGAAACAAGAGGCTGCGGGAACAGCCTGCGGGCCTTTTTCTGTTCCTTCTTGCTCAGCGCAGCCGGAGCAGCTTCCTGCTCCTTCTTCGCCTTCTTTTTTTTCTTCTTCGGCTCCTCATTTTGCCTTTGTACCTGCGGTTGAAGTTCCTCAATGTCGCGCAGATCCGTGACCTTGATCTTATGCGCATTCAAAACAGTCCTCCGCTGCACCTCATCCATGCCATCATCCGCCTCCTCATCATTAGATCCATCATCCCCTTCCTTCTCAGAGTCCTCCTCAGCCTGCTCTTCCACAGTAGCAGCAGAAGCCTTTTTACTCCCCGCGCTGAAAAAGTCCAACTCCGCATCATCATCTTTCTCAGGCACCTGCTCCTGATTCCTCTTCCTCTTTTTCCCGTTCCTTGCTTCTTCCAGGACCTTCTCGGCCTCTGCGTTGCGGAAGAGCTGCGGGTTCTCTGCTTTGCCTGTTGATGGGAGGCGCGATAAAGACGGAGTTGCGCTGCCTCCGGTCTTTAGCTTGGTTGACCTAGTTAGGAGCTTGAATGCGTCCATTGTGACAGGCCGGGTCGTGTTAGATTGACCCTTTTTAATATATAAGGAGACTTTGGACAGTTAGTGGTGTCCTTGTCTGGAAGATAAGATACTTGCGTTGTCGGTAGGTCGGACATAAAAAAGTCAGCGCCGGTTCCGCGCACGGACCAATTAGAGTCGCCGGTTGTCAGTGTTGTATGAAGTCGGTTCCCAATGCAGTAAAAGATGTATAGAATTTTTATACTGATGGTATTCAGAAGCCATTTAGAATTGGACAATACTGACTGCCATTTATATACAGCATTGGTGGTAGAATATGGCCTTGTATAACGGCTGGCCCGTTAATAACGGTTGACAGTCCCATTAATTTAAGTGTGCTCAGTACCTATAGTCAAGATTGCTACTATGCATTGCGCTATGAAAGACTCGGACGAGAATAACGAGAAGAGATGCTTTTATTCATATTATGCGTATACAGAATCATATCCAAGTAAGATTCGTGCAAAGATGCGCTCGCCCGGAGAGCCTCCCCCACGTCCGGAAATCGCACAACCCCGGAAAAAGCCTGATTTAAAACCAGACTCCCAGACAGACACAAATCTTTACCTCAGACAACAGTTAAATTCCATCGTCTATCATACAATAATACAAGCACGCAAGGAAAACGGGGAAATATATGAAGTATGGTTCAGACATGACTTGGGGTGTAGTGTAGTGTTATAAACCTAGTGGTGCTCTCCGTGCGCAACCTCCCCCCGGTAGCCGACAATGTTCAATCTTCCGATGATCTCGCCGACGGTGAAGAAACCAAGAACCTCAGCGGCGGTGACACCGGCAAGTGCGATCTCCTTGGCGTTGGCGCTGCGGATGCGGTTCAGGATGTTCTGCGACGAGAGGGGGCTGGACGAAGGGTTGCGGGCGGCATTGAGGAGGTGCTGGAAGTAGGACTGGAAGGTAGCCACATTGCTGTTGGAGGAAACGGGTTAGCAGGGGGCCTTTGGTTTCACGACGTTCACTTGATAGACGGGGGTCCTTACGGAGGGGTCATGTTCTGGCCACGGAAAACCAGCTTGCCGAGCTCAAGTCCAACTCTCGAGTAGTAGAGCGTAGGGGGTATCATAGCTAAATCAACATCGCGTTCTGTCAGTCATGTACAACTGGAAATATTGTGGTATATAAGTGTAGAGCATGGGCCCATCAAGGAGGCAAATGGAGCGAGGGGCGACAAAAACAAACCCCCCCCGCGAGCCATTGCAACCATTGAAAGAACACATCAGATAGAAAAGCAAAGTCCGAATTTCGCGGGAGAAGGGCTTTCTCTTACACTCGACAAAAGAAATGACCTTTCCGGTTCTTCCACCAACTTTCTTCAGAGCACCACCGAGACCCTGAGCAGCGTTCGAGAGGGCAGGGCCAGCCGACGAGGAAACGCGAGAGAGGCCCTGAGAAGCCTTCGAGGCGGCCGATGAGGCCTTTTCACTAGCCTTGGAGGCAGCTTCGGAGGAAGAAGAGGCATGTCTGACCGCGGTCCTCCGGGTCAAGAACTGCGACTGCCGCAGAACGGCACGGGACGCTGTGGCGGGCATGACTGAAGCGACTTAGGGAAAGGAAGGACGGTGAAAAAGGAAGAGAAGACGAAAAAGAAGTCGCTGGTGGAGGACAATCGAGTCCAATGGGGTCTGGGTCAAGAGCGTCGCGCAGCAACTTCGAAGCCACAAATTGAGATTTGAGTTCGGAAGGTTCAGGGAAAAGGCCTCCGTTCACGTGATTTACTTCCGACATTCACCTTTCCGCAGTCAATCCTGAAGTTTTATTGAGCCATTTTTACCCAGGGGTACGGGCTTGTCCAATTAATTTTATTTATCTTACGCTGGATGCCTCTAATGTCTGTCATGCATTGGTGATATCATTCGTGGTGCACAGTCTGCCCGACTTGAAATTCATAACCGCCGCTAGGGAACTTGTCGGAAGACCTGGCATCCAAGATACCCAGACACTTAACCACTGACATTCATGTAGGATTTACTTATTGTAACCCAGTATAATTCCCACCTAGCATTAATTTACAAGCAGACAAGAACCAGAATACTACTCCCCATTACACATTCCGTCCGCGCATATGGAGAATCGGAGCAAGGCAGCCGGTTGAGAGGCACATGGATGAGATGCTTCATGGAAGTTGAACGCAACATTCCTCAACGCAGTGAGAACATATCAATCATATTTCCGATGGAGGGTTCTTCCGGATCTCTCAAGCATGGCATCTCGTTAGTTATTCCCGGAACATGGGCGCCGGCAAGTGATGAACCCAAACGTCAAGGTCCCCGAAACCAACATACAGGTTTTTTGGACGACGTTTGAATAAACTTTTCTGGAAAGATCTAAGAGGTGATATCTGGAGATGATGTCCAATCGGAAGAATTTGATATCATTCTGATTCCTGACACCACTTCCACTTCCACATCTACGTCGAGCTCGATCTGGCTCCGTTGAATGTTGCCTCTTTCCCTTCTGGGGTCAGGGATGCTTGTGCTCGTATGCTAGTTCTAGGTTCCATGAATATGCTACATTTATTTCCGGTTGATTTTCATTATCCACTAATGTGCGTACTTCATTTGGCCGTGAATTAACATTGATTCAGGATTATTTCTCTGTGGGATCGCCCAGTCAAGCCTGCTGCTTACCATAGGGATATGTCAGGGATAGCCAAGGGCCTGTGGCCTAGAACCTCCGGGATGTCTCATGTCAGACGACATGCTGTGTGATGTGCAGTGAGAGCTCTGTATTCTGTCGGGTACTTAACTGAAGTCACGAGATACATCTTGCGAGTACAAGATCCTTTTCCATTTCATCCCCAACCACAATACCACGTTGAGAGCGTACAAGTCAAGGAAGAAACATAGCACTATCATGCCGAATCGTAGCTTTGTATATGAATAGGTCTAGAATTTACCCGGCTTATTTTATAGCTGTGAAGCAAACTTGGCAAAAATACGCAGAATCTATACAGGGGCAGCTCGAGTAGATAGCTGCAATAGGCAGCTAATAACCCTATCAATCCTTTGGGACATTAACTGGATAATAGACAGGGATAAATGGCTACTTCGCCTCTTTGGGCCTTATCATTTAACCGAGCCAACCGGCATACTTCTGAATCTTGGCTATATCATTATGCTACCACTGAAGGAATTGAATTGCCCGTGTGTATTTTTACCAGTGTACCTTTGTAGAAGTGCTGCATATGCTTAGCAGTTACCGAGATATCTCGAATTCTCAGTAGTATTATTCCTTGCCACTCAACGTCCTTAATAATGCTGTTCAGCTAACTAACAGTCGCTGTCCTCCGCACTGGCCAATAACGCCCTCCAGGCCAACCCCACGTTCGCGGGGCAATGTGGTTCGGGTAAAAGCTGTACTCCATCCACTCCACCAGAGTCGAGATGCGGATGAGTGTTGTTGGATGGAGGGAGCGCTGATGGCCGTGTCACCCTCGTCTGCAGATTTTTTGTTCGTTTCTTTTTTGGGTTGACTATTTAAGCAGTACAACCCAGTCATTTCCTCTTCCTCTTCTTTCCTTCACCTCCATATCTTTTCTTTCGTTTTCATAGATCATTCGCTTTACGTCATCCGACCAGCATAATGGCTAGCGCTACCACTGTTACCGTCAACAAAGCCAACATCGGCGTCTTCACAAACACCAACCATGACCTCTGGGTCGCTGAAGCGCAGCCTTCTCTCCAGGATGTCCAGAGTGGAAAGGGATTGAACCCTGGAGAAGTTACTGTTGAGGTCCGCAGCACAGGAATTTGCGGGTATGCTTCATCTTCTTTCTTGAGCTTCGTGGCGATTACGATAACTAACTGTTGAACCGTTGGCTTGAACTAGATCCGACGTTCACTTCTGGCACGATGGTTGTATCGGACCTATGATCGTTACTGGCGACCACATCCTCGGTCATGAATCTGCTGGTCAGGTCATTGCCGTGGCTCCCGACGTGAAGCACCTCAAGCCGGGCGACCGTGTGGCAATCGAGCCCAACATTATTTGCAACTCTTGCGAACCTTGCCTTACTGGACGGTACAACGGCTGCGAGAACGTTGCCTTCCTGTCTACTCCTCCCGTCGACGGTCTCCTCCGTCGCTATGTCAACCACCCATCCGTCTGGTGCCACAAGATTGGAGACATGAGTTATGAAGATGGCGCGCTCTTGGAGCCACTCAGTGTGTCTCTGGCAGCCATTGAGCGCAGTGGACTTCGTTTGGGTGACCCCTGCTTGGTTACCGGAGCAGGTCCCATTGGTCTTATTACTCTCCTCAGCGCTCGCGCCGCAGGTGCATCGCCCATCGTGATTACCGATATCGACGAGGGACGATTGCAATTTGCCAAGTCGCTGGTACCCGACGTGCGCACCTACAAGGTTCAGACCAACCTTTCAGCGGAGGACAATGCTCAGGGCATCATCAACGTTATGAATGACGGCAATGGCTCCGCTCCGGACGCTCTGCGACCCCGTCTTGCTCTGGAGTGCACAGGCGTTGAGAGCAGTGTCGCCTCCGCCATCTGGAGTGTGAAATTTGGTGGCAAGGTCTTCGTGATTGGCGTTGGCAAGAATGAAATGAAGATCCCGTTCATGCGTCTGAGTACCCAGGAAATCGACCTCCAGTATCAGTACCGCTACTCCAACACCTGGCCCCGCGCCATTCGCCTGGTGAAGAACGGTGTGATAGACTTAAGGAAACTTGTCACCCACCGCTACGCGCTCGAAGACGCCCTTAAGGCTTTCGATACGGCTTCTGACCCTCGGACGGGTGCTATTAAGGTCCAGATCATGAGTTCGGAGGAAGATGTCAAGACCTCGTCGGCTGGTCAAAGTATCTAAGATAATGGCGTTTGTTTGTGGTTGTGGGATTGGTGTTGTTTTCATTTGCATTGTGATGACCCTGTTTATGTGATATTTCTTTTTCTAAATACCTATGCTAGAGACGCAATTTAAACCATAGAGAACCGGTAGCTTGATTCCTACCGGAGTATAATGTGCTCCTGTTTAAAACCGCATAACTTAACGTGCATAATTTTGTACAAGAATCAAGTCTTGGCACGTCTTCTTGTCTCCCTTCGTATCTCTTCATCTCTTGATCCCACGGATTCCCACAAAGACAGCCATCTTGTTCCCTCCGCTATTACACCGGAATGATGATGGCTGCGATGCAGGAGGGCCACAGAAACAGCGCTACATCCCGACGTAGATCGGTCTTGGAAGATACGCTACCGTCAAGTTCTCCGACAAATGGCCGATGCTGGTCCTCCCCCTCGGCCAACGACGCCCTCCCGTTGCACGGACTCTCCCCGCGGTCTGACCTCACAGACAAGAGTCTCCCCACATTTCTCCAGATTTAGCCTTTGGCCGGGTCCATCCACTCTACAAAGTCAATTGGACGCCGTGCAGTACCGAAGCCGACAAATTCCCGGTCTTGGAATGTGAGGTTCGGGTTTGTTGGGCGTCGGTTTGTTCAGTCAATCTCGTTGTGGCCAGGGATGCAAGAATTAAGGTGATTTGGCGGGTTAATACAATTTATCGGTTTCTTTTGCACCCCACATTGGATATCCGGAAAACAAATCCCTCGGTGCATGTCAGCAATATAAATACTAGGCTGTAGCCCGGGCTGAATACGACAGCTAGACTACCATCTCGTTCTAATTCTATTGAGCCCGCCATGCTGGGGAGTCTACTACTCCTTGCGCCCCTTGCAGGGGCGGCCGTTATTGGGTCTAGACAGAATAGTCAGCACTGTCCCGGATACAAGGCAACCAATGTCCAAGAAGGATCCAACTCTTTGGAGGCTGACTTGGTGTTGGCCGGCAAGCCCTGTAACACGTATGGTTCTGACTTGGAGAGCTTGAAGCTCCTCGTTGAATATCAAACTGGTAGGTCCTTGTTGTACAGTAGAACTGGTTAAGCTTATACTAACGTTTCTAGATGAACGTCTCCATGTGATGATATATGATGCCGATGAACAAGTTTACCAAGTGCCCGAGTCTGTCCTGGCCCGTCCAGGCAGTGATGGTGGCTCTCGTGAGAACTCGGAACTCAAGTTCGACTACAAAGCCGAGCCGTTCTCCTTTACCATCAGCAAAGGGGATGAGGTGCTGTTTGACACGTCTGCCTCGGAGCTTATCTTCCAGTCTCAGTACTTGGGACTTCGTACCTGGCTCCCTAAGGACCCGCATATCTACGGGTTGGGAGAACACAGCGACTCTCTCCGTCTGCCTACGACCAACTACACTCGAACTCTTTGGAACCGTGACTCCCCTGGTGCTCCCCCTGATAGCAACCTGTACGGTAGCCATCCGGTTTACTACGACCACCGTGGTGACAAGGGAACACACGGAGTGTTCCTTTTGAACTCCAACGGAATGGACGTTAAACTCGACAGAACTGGAGACGACAAGCAGTATCTTGAATACAACACCCTTGGCGGTGTCTTTGACTTCTATTTCTTTACTGGGTCGACTCCTAAGGATGTCAGCGCCCAATACTCTGAGATTGTTGGTCTTCCGGCCATGCAGAGCTACTGGACTTTTGGTGTATGTTATTACTTTGAGGAACTAGTGAAGGAAACCAGCTAACCACTAACAGTTCCACAACTGCAAATACGGCTACAGAGATATCTACGAGACCGCTGAAGTTGTTTACAACTACAGCAAGGCCGGCATCCCCTTGGAGACCATGTGGAACGACATCGACTACATGGACAGGAGAAGGGTGTTCACAAATGATCCTGAGAGATATCCTCTGGAGAAGGTCCGCGAATTGGTGAACTACCTCCATGACCACGATCAGCACTACATTGTTATGGTCGATCCGGCTGTTAGTGCCAGCAGTAAGTACTTGCCAACTAGTATTGATACGAGGATTCCGCTAACATACTCTAGACAATTCCGCGTACAAGAAGGGCCTTAATCAGGACATTTTCATCAAGAGGGAGAATGGGACACTTTACAAGGGTACGTTGTCAACCTTAGTTTTCCTGAAAATGGATGGTTGACCGTTGATTAGGTGCTGTATGGCCTGGTGCTACTGCTTTCCCTGACTGGTTCCACCCTGATATCCAAAAGTACTGGGATGGGGAATTCAATGATTTCTTCAACCCAGAGACCGGCGTTGACATTGATGGATTGTGGATCGACATGAATGAAGCTGCCAACATGTGCCCGTACCCATGCCCGAACCCGGAGCAGTATTCGAAGGAGAATGATCTCCCACCAAAACCACCCTCGGTCCGTGCGAGCAACCCGCGTCCATTGCCTGGATTCCCCTCCGACTTCCAGCCATCCTCATCGAAGCGTGGGTTGGGAAAGAGGGAACAGGGACAGAAGATTGGCCTGCCTGACCGCAACCTCATCAGCCCGCCATACAAGATTCGTAACGCTGCTGGAGGCCTGAGCCAGAAAACGATCGACACGGATCTCGTTCACTCAGGAGGATATGTCGAGTATGATACTCACAACATGTATGGTACAAGTAAGTACCCTCACACATTGGCTCGCGATCTTGCGTCTAACCGAAATAGTGATGGGCGCTGTCTCACGCAAATCCATGCTGCAGCGCCGCGAAGATGTGAGACCATTGGTCATTACTCGCAGCACCTTTGCAGGAGCTGGGACGCAAGTTGGACACTGGTAAGTTTGCAGATTCCATTGAATTTACTCTCAATACTAACGAATCAGGCTGGGCGACAACCTGAGCCAATGGAACCGATATAGGGCCTCCATCCAACAAATTCTCTCCTTTGGATCCTTGTTCCAAGTCCCAATGGTCGGAGCAGACGTCTGCGGATTCAGCGGCAACACCACCGAAGAACTCTGCGCACGCTGGGCAGCCCTAGGATCCTTCTATACCTTCTACCGTAATCACAACGATCTCGGCTACCGTCCACAGGAATTCTACCATTGGCCCACTGTCACCGAATCCGCCCGGAAGGCAATCCACACCCGCTACCGTCTCCTCGACTACATCTACACGGCCTTCCACCACCAGACTCAGACCGGTGAACCCTTCCTCCAACCCCTCTTCTACCTCTACCCAGAGGATAAGAAAACCTTTTCCAATGACCTCCAGTTCTTCTACGGTGACGCTATTCTCGTTTCCCCAGTTACACAGAAGGGCTCCCGCTCTGTTAAGGCCTATTTCCCCGACGATATCTTCTACGACTGGCACACTGGTGCGCCACTCCGCGGAAACGGCACGCACACAACCATTCAGAATGTCAATATCACTGAGATCCCCGTGCACATTCGCGGCGGCAATGTCATCCCCGCTCGTACCTCGGGTGCATCTACAACTATTGAGCTGCGCAAGAAGGGCTTTGAGCTGATCATCGCGCCTGGCCTCGATGGCACTGCGTCGGGTAGTCTGTACCTGGATGATGGCGACTCGATCGAGCAGCCTAAAACCTCTGAGATCGAGTTCGAGTATCGTGATGGTGAATTGAATATTGGTGGAAAGTTTGAGTTTGGTGGAGATGCGGTTGTGGAGGTTGTTACTTTGCTTGGGGAGAAGAGTGCAAAGAAGGGCGTGCATATTGAGTTGAATAAGGAGACGACTGTGAAGATCTAATTGCTCAGGGGGATATCCATAACAGACTAGCCCTATACAGAAGTTGCAGTGTCAGCCAAAATGAAAGCAATTCCACGTAAAAACCATCCATATCGTCGCATAAGTTGTAGATCACTAGTATGCATCCGATCCAACTATTGAATTATGATGAATACTTTGGCCAATGACATTTTGTTAGGAGCTGAAATGGAGATCGAGACGTGCTGGACCTATCAAAATCAAATCTCATCATAGATATGATCAAGCTGAGGATGATCATCCTCCTTCTACATCCATTGCAGACTCTCACGTCAATAGTCTGGGCTCGGGCCATACGATCTCGATGATGTGGCATTAACATCAACCGAACCACAAAAAAAAAAAAAAAAAAAAAAAAAAAAAGAAGAAGAAGAAGAAAAGAAACAAGAAAAATGAAATAAGCTATAAGACCGTTAGAATTGAAAAGTTGGAATCTGGCTGATTGATTATCTTGCGCGGGGATGTAGAAGGTAACGGTGAGTGTTGTTCTACTTGTATTGGATTGAATATGGGCTTAAATTGGTGCTACTTATGTGGAAAGAGGATCTATGTAATTCTCCAGATGATGAACGAGAGGGTTTTGTTTCTGGGAGGGGGGCTTGGTGCTAGGAAATGGGTATTAAGACCTCGATACTCCGTACAGAGTAGTCTATAGTCGAAACACGTGTGGATACAAAAGCTTGCAATCAACCCTAAAATGCTTTTATACTCAGTGACCAAGCCGAAAAATGGATGTCTGTCAACCAGCCATTAAAATCACATACATGGTACTTTTAGCTAGAGTGGTGGTTGTCTATAAATGCCATTTTTATACCTCTCACATACTTGTGTTGCTACTTCATTGTGCCATAAACATGAATTTTGTCACGTCTGGCTTGTATATTCTTACGGCATTGCGTACGGTTGAGGGCGGTCCTTGAGCGTAGACTGTCGAATGTAAGATGAGGTCATACCTCTACAAACATCTACCCTCGACCTTGCAATATCTATACCGATTCCATCCACCATTTCAACCATCATGACCCGCATTGACCTTCAAATAATTTCCGGTCTTCACCTCGAAACCCACCCCTCCTATGCTTCCTACACGTTCCCCCAAACAGCCCCCAACCTCGCCCTCCTCGGTGACATCGGCCATGTGGAAGACCCTCAACTCTTCACCTTCCTTGAAGACCAACTCAGCCGCTACTCAATCGTCTTCTACCTCCTTGGCAATCATGATCCATACCATATGTCGTTTCAGCTGGCGAGGAAGAAAATGCGGGTATTTCAAGCAAATGTGGATAAACGCAAGATCATGCTGGGGAAGTTTGTCTTTCTCGATCAGACGAGGTTCGACTTCAGCGATGGAATTACGATCCTAGGATGCACGCTATTCTCGCATGTCCCTCTGCACCAAGAGTTTGCTGTTGAAAGCCGGATGGTGGATTTCAGGGATATTCTACGGTGGAATGTGGGTGAGCATAATGCTGCACATGAGTCGGACCTCAATTGGCTTGATGATCAGGTTGGTCGAATGGCTGTGGACGAGCCGCATCGACGGATCGTGATTCTTTCACACCACAGCCCTAGCACGGATCCGAGTAGTAGGGATCCCAGACATGAAGGAAGTGAGGTCTCGAGTGGGTTTGCTACGGACCTGAGTGATAAGGAGTGCTGGAGGGCGTCTAATGTTGTGGCGTGGGCGTTTGGACATACGCATTACAACTGTGAGTTCAGAGATAAGGGTGGGAAGATTATCATGACGAATCAGAAGGGGTATTATGTGTACCCGAATAAGACGTTCAATGCTGGCCGTGTGTTCACGGTTGGCGAATAGATGCAGTCATTGTCAATAAGCTCTCCAGCTGCTTCCCAGCACTTCCTGGCTTTGTTAACCCTTTTTAGGCTCCTGGGGTATTGCGGCACAGCCTCGGATTTATCTGTAGTAGAAAATATATGAGGCTATTGATGTAAGTGAGTTAAAGCAGATTGATAATCGCCCCTTCCTATGCATTTTAGGATGTACGGAGTATATAACAATCGTTCGATGCCCTGGGGAAGCACTAGGTGCTACGCCTAATGGGGGAAATAAGAGGCAAGAGCAATGAACCGATAGATAATGATCCAGCTGACAACTATCTATTTGCACTGGGTCATCAGGCTGACTCCAAGCGTGGCGGTGCTCCCTCAAGCATTACACAACGTTAGCTCGATCCCTCTTTTCTGAAGACAAGCAGAAGATGCCAAAAATGGATCTCTTTCAGAATCTTCTTTTTTATGTTATCCTGAATATTGCAAAGTTTCTTGTTAACTTACCCTCAATTCCATATATAGCGAGATGTAAGATGTATAAACATACAAGACTAAGAGCATGGCCCCAATGCCCATTGACAGAAGGATTTTGAAATGGACTAGAAGAGTACTGAAGCCTACCAGAGAAAAATACAAAAAGAAGGGTCCTTGATTATAGCGAGTGAGTATTCATGATATGGCTTCCTAATTTGTATTTAATAACTTCCAACTAGATTTCTGGTAGAAGTACAAGGGAACTACAAGGCATGCCGGATATCTATGAGGTTAAAGAAAAGCACCCAGTACCTGAACTACCTGAACTAAAGTTCTTCTGCTGGTGGATTGGTTCTACAATGGGAAGAATCAAAGATAAACCCATTATAAGCACGACTTTACAGCAAGCTCAAGAACATGCCCCCAGGTCCTATTTCAAGACAGGAATTGAGATTCCCAAACGGGACACAAAAAATTCCTACTATGTATGTCCTTTGCAGCCGGTGTATCCTTCCACACTCGAAATATGTGGTTATAAATAGCTAAACCCTCTCGTGGATTAAATACATCCTAATAGGCGATAATATCATAAAAAACATCAGGAAGGAGGAATACGACTCTACAGCGACTGATTTCAAGCACGTCTTGATTACTTTATTGGATTGGTTATGGCCCCTTTTTCATTCATGAGACATATTGCATGCAATTCTCTTTCTCCTTCAGATTCGATATTTTCGTCGATGACTACAATAGTTTAGGTAGAAACTCAGTTCGTTCGTATCTGCTATTCCGAGCCCGTGACAATTTCATGCATGCGGACTACTTTCGAGGCTATAGCCAACTTCACGAGTTTGGCCTTGCTATTTGCCTGCAGAAGATCAGCGACAGATTTCACTTGACCTGGGTGTTATTGAATTGATGGCTCAAATAGAGAAAGCGAAAGCCATCAGCGATGAAAGCGCATCTACAGGCCTTCCCGGGGTCGCTCAGCTATTAATAAGTCGGCTGACCTCGGCGTAGACACTAACGGGGTTTATGGGTCTGTAGGGCTGAACCATTCACGAAATTCTGCAGCCTGGGGTGGGCGAACCGGTATGTTGTTATCTTTGACACTTAATTGGCCAATACGCACTGAGAACGATCCCATTGGCCAAATCTGCTGCATCTGTGCTTATTAGATACACATAGTCAATCCGTCTGGGCCCACTGACATAAGCGTAGAAGTGGAACTAAGCATTGGTGTTCCCACCGGCCCTACAGGGCTGAACTATTCATGGAACTCTGCAGCCTGGGATGGACCAACAATACGTACAGCAACATCCCGTAGTTTTGATTGTTAAGGAGAGCAAGAAAGTAAACAGACCGTGGAGGTCATGGGGAAGGTGAGGAATCGGGATGAAGACGAGAGGCATCATGGGCTGACATCTAACACTCGCAGACTCCCCTTCGTGTGAAGCTTTACTTGTCATTCCACCTTATGCAACATAGAGGTGTAATGTCAGAAGCCGAGTTTCAATGGAGCTGGAAACAGGGAGTTGGAGGAGAACTGAGAAGCTGCCATCACTTGGTTGACTGTTAAGCAGAGGCAGATTTCAAAACGGGATTTTTCGGTAGTGAGTCTGTCGCAACATGATTGATACTTGGTCCCTCGAGAAATACTTTCAGTCAAGAACAATGAAAGATCCAAACCACGAATTTCTTTTCTTTCTTTCTTTCTTTCTTTTTTTTTTTTTTTTTTCTTGAAAGTAATCAAGGGGACGATGGAAGAACTCTCAAATCACAGTAGTCCAATGTTTAGCCTTGACCGGGTGCCAGCACAATTGCAGGTTGGACTTTTGGGCACTTGGCGGGACTGGTCTAGTCAATCCAGGCAACAGTATTACTTGAGGTAGATGGCGTGATAATTAGCTACTCTTAATCTACTAACTATTGGAGGAGGTTGAGATGGGCGATTCAGCCCTATCCGTGCCATGCGGGAAGGGGCAGCTGTTCAGCCATTGACGTTTGATACCTCCTAGTGTGCTCCCACCAAGGTCGCGACTCGTAGCTAATTAACTGGCCTATATTGTAGGACTATTTGCACTGATGCTCTATAATCACGACATCGCGCTAAACGTACATTTGCTGCTCAGTTGGCCCTAAATGGCAAGAGGATGTACTTCGAGATTTTCAATGTTGGGATAAATATTGCGATGTTTTCATACCGTTTTTTTTTTTTTTTTGCCTTTCTCCTACTTGGTTTCTTTTCTTTTCTTTTTCTTTTTGACCAGGCCTCATAGTTCTAGATATTGAGGTCTCTCATCCTTGGGACTACTGACAGTTTGCTGCAGCTATGGTTGAAAGCATGTCAGCTAGAGTTGGCCGTGCTCTGGCCAGAGCCCTGGGCATCGACTTGACCCCAGACACTTACCCTGCCTTGAGCGATGAATTCAAATCCTATGCCTATATCGAGCCTGAGCCGACGGCAGCTGACTGGATTCGTGCCCATATGCCAACGAGCCCGCAAGTCCGTCGCTATCTATACGACCTCTTCCCTTTCCTCCACTGGATCATGTATTACAATCTACAGTGGTTTATCGGAGATCTGATTGCTGGTATGTGGAAGCCGAAGAGACCTATTGTCGGAACTAATATCGAGTCTTTTAGGGGTGACGGTCGGTGTAGTTGTCATTCCTCAGGGAATGGCATACGCTGAACTGGCCCAACTGCCGCCGGAGTATGGACTGTATTCATCCTTCATGGGTGTCCTGATCTACTGGTTTTTTGCAACTTCCAAAGACATCACAATTGGAGTAAGTTTGTAAATGTTACCCGTCCTGATCCCCTGGAGGCTAACGTCGCGCAGCCCGTGGCTGTCATGTCTACTCTAGTCGGCACGATCATCATCAACACCCGAGAGAAGCACCCCGAATTGGATGCCTCGATCATTGCCTCGGCCCTTGCAATTATTTGCGGCGCAATTGTGACGGTTCTCGGCTTCCTCCGCCTCGGATTCATTGTCGACTTCATTCCTCTCCCAGCGATCACGGCATTCATGACCGGATCGGCAATCAATGTGTGCGCTGGCCAAGTCAAGACGGTCCTCGGAGAAGCAGCAAATTTCTCGACTCGAGGCGCCACCTATCAGGTTATCATCGACACGCTGAAATATCTGCCAACATCACAGATGGATGCTGCAATGGGTCTTACGGCTCTCGCAATGTTATACGGGATTCGTTCAGCATGCAATTACGGAGCGAGGAAAATGCCTCATAAGGCAAAGCTTTTCTTTTTCCTTTCGACCTTACGCACTGCTTTTGTTATCTTATTCTACACCATGGTCAGCGCTGCAGTGAATCTCCACCGTCATGATAACCCTGCTTTCAAGATGCTTGGTGACGTCCCTCGGGGTTTCCAGCATGCAAAAGTCCCTAAGCTTAACGCGGAAATTATCAACTCATTTGCTAGCGAACTCCCTGCTGCAGTGATCGTTCTACTTATAGAGCATATTGCTATTTCCAAGTCATTTGGTCGAGTTAACAACTACATTATTAATTCGTCGCAGGAATTCATTGCCATTGGAATTTCCAATTTGTTGGGACCATTTCTAGGTGGATATCCTGCCACGGGCTCGTTCTCTCGCACTGCTATCAAAGCGAAATCGGGGGTGCGCACCCCTCTGGCTGGCGTCATCACTGCTGTTGTCGTTCTTCTGGCCATCTACGCGCTGCCGGCTCTGTTCTACTATATCCCCAAATCCTCCTTGGCTGCTGTGATTATCCATGCAGTGGGGGACCTTGTCACGCCACCCAGTACAACCTATCAATTTTGGCGTGTGTCTCCCATTGATGCAATTATCTTCCTTGTAGGTGTTATTGTCATCATGTTCTCGACCATCGAGATCGGAATCTACTGCACCATCTGCGTCTCTCTGGCAGTACTCTTGTTCCGAATTGCCAAGGCTCGCGGAAATTTTCTCGGTCATGTCCAGATTCATTCTGTCATTGGTGATCATCTGCTGAACGAAAGAATGGATATATCCAAGCTGCACTACGAAAGCACCTCGCCGCGGAGCATCTACCTGCCAAACACACATGCGGACGGTTCCAACCCCCACGTCAAGATCCAGCAGCTATCGCCGGGCATCTTCATTTACAGACTGTCGGACGGATTCAACTATCCGAATGCAAACCACTACACAGAAAACCTCGTCCAGTACATCTTCAAGACTACCCGTCAGACGAGTCCAAAGACATCGGGAAGTCCGGGCGATCGACCGTGGAATGACCCAGCCCCAACAAGCGTGCAATCCAAAGAACAAGAGGCCCTGTCTCCTTTGCCGACTCTCCGAGCTATCATCCTCGATTTCTCCTCAGTGAATAACGTCGATGTGACATGCGTGCAAAACCTGATCGATGTCCGCAACCAACTCGACCGCTACGCTGCTCCAGACCGCGTCCAATGGCATTTCGCCCACATCAACAATCGGTGGACGAAACGGGCTCTAGCGGCGGCAGGTTTCGGGCTCCCGGCACCAGGATCTCCGAGTGGAGTGCACAAGTGGAAGGCCATTTTTGACGTGGCGGAGATTGACGGTGACCCCACTGCCATCACGGATCAGCCTCTTCTTCAACCGGGGCCTGAAGATGCCGAGATTGGGCTGCAGACAAAGCAGTACCCGCAGGCTACAGAGAGCGATGTGCATCAGAGTGAGAATCTGTCGGACTGGAAGAGTCCCGAAGAGAATATTAAGGCAGGCCAGGGATTCGATAGCAAGGCATATCGCAGACGCAGTCCACATGGGGTGTCCGTGGTTGACGGGATCCGTCGGCCGTTCTTCCATGTTGACTTGACTAGCGCTCTTCGGAGTGCCATGTCTAATTCTGAGTCTAGTGGATAGCTGCAGGGGAATTATACTTGGTGTTATTTGGTTTCTGTGTCGGTTTATCAGTCAATGTCTGTTTAAGACGTAGAAATGGAATATGCGGCTATATCTACGGGAGGGCTTTTTGTTGGAAATAGGTTACGATCTTTCCTTTCTTGGTTTAGCTCTCGTTCTACCCTTCTGTGCTAATTCTGAAGACATTGGTGAAATTATTGGCCTGTTTGTTTAGTGATAATTTCAGAAAAAGAAAAAAAATTCCAAATGAAATGCCTGCTAACTATTTCTGTCAAAATCCTTAACTCCAGAATGTGAGTCTCTAGTATTCAGCAGGGAAGAGGTATCTCAATTGATTGATATTTAATGTTCAAATAGGGGTGTCCGATATACATTCTAATAATCCATATACTATCTAAAATGTGACGATCAGCGGCTGTCAACGCTGGAAAGCGCTGCCAATAGAGCAATGTGAGCAAATAACAAGTCCTAGCCCTTCCACATGTGATTGCACAATGGATAGATAGCTTTCCTTTGTCTTACCGGATGGCTACCTTTCTTCTTTTCCCTCTCTATATTCAATATTCTCATTGATAGGAAGCCTTGACTGTTATATATCAGTGCTAGGAGCGGGCGTGCCAATAGTCTACAGTTTCTTCTCGATCATGGAGCCAACGTTGATCAGTCTGGCGGCTTTTTTGGGAACCCACTGCGGGCAGTTGCATTTCATGGACATGAAGATGCTGTGCTTATTCCCATGAACGAATGCCGACCTTTTTGCCTCTGGGAAATTCACTAGCGCTCTCGACGCTGCACTGGCAGGAGGTAACGAGCAAGTAATCGAGCCTCTGCTTTAAGACCTCGAATGTCTCAGAAACCGGAGAGTTGGAGAAGGTCCTTTCGAGGGCATCGTATGATAAGCACTATGGAATATTTTGCCGCCTGCTTGAATTGGTCGGAATGACTGGGCATAACAGTAAGCCATCAATTTCAAAAGCATTATTCCATAGTAGCCAATGATCACATTAATTCTAGTCAACACGCGTCTTCATGATACTTTGCAATTGGCTCTATTCCAAGGCCGGACCAGAATCTCGGGGGAAAAAAAGATTTAATGACGTTGATAGTATCAACATACATACTGGTTACTTCGGCAATACACTTCAAGCAGCGACATTTGGCGGATATGCCATGATAATTACGATTATTTTAGAACGTGGAGCAGGTTCCAATTTCTAGGGTCGCTACGGAACAGCTCTACGAGCTGCTGTTTTGCATGGTCATGACACCGTTGTACGCCTGCTGATCAACAAAGGAGCGAGTGTCAAAGGCCAGCATGCAAACGCGATGCAGGCGGTGGTATTTAATGAGCATCTGTCAACAGTGGGACTTCTCTTGGATAGCTACATCCATGACTCTGGCGAGTATTCCTCTGAATTTGAGCCCAAACTTGTAGCAGCCTGTTTCAAAGGCCATGTTGGCGTCGCAGCACTCTTTTTACAAAGGTATAGTTCAAAGGCTTCATGGGCCGCTTTCTCTGTAGCGTTAAATGGCGGTCATGAAACTATTGCACGGCTTGCGCTTGAATATGAGCCACGAATCAGACACTGCTTTTAGTGTTGACGAGGTCGTGATCAATGGTATTCCTATGACCGATTGTCAGGATGATGACTTGGACGCTTCTAACCACCCTATCTACTTAAGGTCTGGCATACCTACACTTCCCTGGAACAAGGCTTACAAAGACATCAATGTCACCGGAAGCGATGAGGCTCAGGACATGTGATTGGCATTTAATGGGCGCTTCCCATGGCTAGAACTAGGTGGAAATGTCCTGGGACAAATATAGACGCCAAGAGAAATTACTGGGGACATTGATTCCCGATGAGGCACGGGGCGATATTCGAAACTTGCAGCTAAGAACGGTTTCGTGAGAATTCTCAAGCACCTGCTAAATAAGAGGGGATATTAATCTTGGCAATTTAACTCCAATTGAGGTTACCACCGCCGCAGAACAGACGTATGCTGTCGAATTCCTCCTAGGTAGAGGAGCCAAAGTTGGAAATGCTTTATCATACACTATAAGGAATGAAGATACAGAGCTAATTCGGCCATTATCCTCCCATCAGCGACAACATCGAATTATGCCAACTCACCCTTGATACCGGCTACGACTTCCACAAACAGTTCGGATTGATTGCTGGGTTGCGATGGTAGCCGGTATAAGTTAGTAGCATAACGCTACTCGCACGCCAATAGATTTGGTTTAAGTCAAGTTTGAAAATGTCGCACCAGGCATCATACGATCTGAATATGACGGAAATAGAGCGTCAATGGCCCACTCTCTCATCCAGAGATATTTTCTCGATGTCAACACAGTGTATCATCATTTTGCCGCTGAGACAGCCTTTTGCAACATGCATCCCGCAACGCAGATTTCGAAACGGTTGGGGTCCTATTGAAGGAGTGATATTCACGGGGTCTCCTTTATTTGACGTTAATTTATATCCTGAGAGCCTACCAATATACCGATGATAGCCAAAATCGCAACAATCTCGATGAAAAGCGATAGTTTTCTGCTAAAATTTGCTGGAGTAGTTGTCTGAGAAACTCGTTAGTTAGGAATGTTTTGTATTAAATCAGTTTCATTCTGCCCGAACTACCGGCACATATATCGGAAGCACCATACCAAGCAGATTGAATCCCTAGCATGAATATGAATACTACTCTATTAGTGTAGCATAGGCCATATGTTCACAATCGGCGAGTAATGCAGCTGCGCAGATACCCACGCACCGGCCCGGTCTGAGAGACAGCTAGGGCTACTGCTACAACCACAACTCATCTATTGGTCGGGATCATACTTCCCGCTACGACTCATCGGAATACCCAACCGATTTTAAATGTGTACATGCATGACATAAAGATAAGATCAAGCCGTCAATCTATTAGAGTATCGTTGCCGAAATATGGAAACTCGGCAAAACTCCCGATCTGATTACGGACCCATAAACCACGGAAAGTGTCCGAAATCAGTGTGGAAACGACAGATCTGAATGGATTTCACTGGCTGTCGGCCTTGTGAGGACCTTGAGAGCGATGCAAGTGTGCAAGAAATGCTGCTACGGTGATGTGTTCCGATTTTTAGCCGGTTGGTGGTTTGGGTAGTGGTAAGGTTAGATAACCCGTAGTGGTATTATGCTAATATATATACAATCGTTGAGGAATTTGAATCGCTAGTCATGATATCGTGTAATGCAAATGCAGACAGAAAGAAAAAAGTAATAGGAATCAACACAGCAACTCTTCCGTGTTCAAACGGAACACACGTTCAGCAAGTCCCGGCTGACTCGAACACCATCGTAAACACGACTCCGTAAAGGGTCTAATGTTCATTCCGTCAAAGCGTGTGTGCGGCCAATCTGAGGCATATATCACACGTTGAGGAGCCACGCGCAGTAATTCGATGGCAATAGCCTGGATATCCCGCATCTGCTTGTCCTTGCTGAGACGGTAAGGTGCCGAGATCTTGACGTACGTCTTTCCTGCAAGGAGCAAGGAGACCAGAGACGAAAAACCGGGAAGGGAGTAAGGATCGAAAGACAAGTCCACATCATCTTTCCAGGTGATCGAGGAGAGTTCAGGTCCTCCGAAATGGTCGATACAGATTTTGACGCCTAAACGTGGGACAATGCGTTCCAGCATAGGTAGCATATGCAGGGGAACCCAGAGTTGGATGATCCATCCCAGAGGACGGACTATCTCCGCATGCCTCAGCAAATTTTCCTCCAGTTCCTGCTCGTTCATTACTTTGCCAACGGACTTAAGGTTAACTCGGACTCCGCGGACACCGAGAGTGTGCCATTGCGCAAGTGTTGAGGGTTCGACGGCTTCCGGATCGATCACCACTATCCCTCGTCCGTGAGAGGGGCCCATTTTCTCTAGTGCTTCCAAAAGACACGAGTTGTCGGTTCCGTAGATTGATGGTTGTACGAGAACGATGTTTTCGACTCCGATGGATGATTCGAAGGCCATGGCATCCTTTAGCGTGTGCGAAGGTGGTTGATACATTGCGTCAGCGGCGATGGGATACCGCTGGGGTTCCACGACATGCATATGGCTATCCCATGAGCGCGGCGGGAGTCTGTGCTTGAATGGTAGCGGTGGCGCGGCCTTCTGGGTTTCGCAGACATAGTCTCGCGGTTCTCCTTTATGAGTCCCAAAGGAAAATGAAACCCGGGGTAGGCCCTCAAGGAAGCTAGTCTTGGGCTTGACAAATGTAAGTAAACCGGACACGGAGAAGATAGCCATGGTGCATTAAGCTATAGTAAGGAAAGGAGCATAACAAGATTGACAACGAAGAAATGACAGGAGAATAAAGTAGATGTCAAACAGGAAACCAAGGGCATGTTATACCCAATGCGCGATGCCAGCTTGGCCATCACTTACCAGTACATCTAGACGAGGTCGCCCGATGGCTCCTTGCAGACGACATAACCGCAGAGAAGCCATGATCCAGCGCGGACTCTGAGCGAAGGGAAGCACCCACACAACCAAGCCTGATATGACTAGTCCCGTTGGCTAAGCCGATCGTTTGTCGCAAATAGCACACCGGCGAGGGCTGCCACGAAACAGAAACCGGCTTCCCGGCGACTCTATACCGAGAAGACGTTTTAGCAGGAGATAAAAATGAAATGAAAAAAAAAGACCATATAAAACGGACATCATGAGCAACAGACCCACAGACAATTCGTCAGTCATAATTCCGTATTCTCTCCGGCGCAAAAACGCAAGCATAGTAACTACGGAAGTCGTCCGGACGGCGAAAGCGCAGAGATTTGAAGGCCCTCCAGGAACTCAACCGAGCGGTAGGGACCGATTTGTATGGAGATGGAAGGTCTCGTGCAATGATTCCGGAAGCTCAATGGCTATATGACAGCTGCTTCAACAGATCACTGTTAGCTATCCGTATGGAGCATTCTGTCGTGCTATTCTCGTTGAGCCGAAACAGCCGTGGGACCGGACATAATGTGAAGCAGTGGACTACGCGGGAGCCCATCCGGGTCGATCTGATGGAGCACATACCAATTGTAGTATATTAAGCCTGGAGAATTCTCTTAAATTACTCGCAAAAGCACCAATTTTTGTCTCGTTTCGAGGGTCTGGTGTTGATGTTCGCTGCAGCGAACAGACGCTGGGCGTGGGAGGAGGGAGGATGCGGAGGTTGCCCGACCAGGAAAGGAAAGGGGACTTTTGCCATCGCGAACTGAATAATGGCGACCCTCTTCAACCTCTCTTCGTCTTGAACCTTTCCCCAGATTTGTCGCTCTGGGGTCTGTATATATCTCGCGCGACTTTCTTCTGTCTTCTGTATATATACCCATAACGCTCGTTTTCTGTTTTCCATCGCAACATGGCGCAAGCGATGGACAGGTCACGATGGACCACCAACCCCTATTATGCCATAGTCATCCTCATTGTCGCGTGCGGCAGTATCCCTAAAGGTGCGCCATCAACCTCGTGTTCCTTTTTCCTTTCATGCAACAAAGAAAATGATTTGCATATACGGGAAAAAGCGGCGGTAAACTGATTCTTCATTGGGTGCAGGTTACGATGAGGGAGGATACAGCGCAAGCGTCAAGCTAGACTCGTTCACACACGATTACAACCTGATCTCCGCCAACTGGAAGGACGATCCGAATGGGCTGGCCAACCGCAAGGCTAATATCACCTCGTTTAACGTGCTAGGTGCAGCCTTTGGTGCGTTGTTCTCGCTGTATCTCAACGATCGTCTGGGTCGTCTCAACGCGTGGCGACTGGCTGTATTGGTTTGGATGTCGGGCACTTTCGTCCAGGTGTTCGCATCGGGGATTTATGGCTTGTTGCTGTTTGCGAGAATCTGGAGTGGTCTGGGAGCTGGCTTGCTGACGGTCGTAGTGCCGTTGTACCTGTCAGAAATTGGTAGGAATTGTCTTATAAGAATTTGAGTTTGAGTACTGACATGTACAGCTCCGACAAGGACGAGAGGTCTCGTGGTCAGCTGTTACATGGTGATTTTGTTGTTGATCCTCACAGTAGGTGAGTATTCTCTATCTCTCCACGTCCTTAAGGCTATACTAACATGTACTCCTACAGGTTTCTTCATCAACTATGGCGCCAAAATCCACATGGCCCCGACGCGCATGCAATACCGTCTCGTCCAAGCCATTCCCCTCATCCCCGTCGGAATCGCCTTCATAGCATCGTTCTACTGCCCCGAATCCCCCCGCTATCTGGCTTCCAAACAACGCCACGATGAAGGCCGCGCCGTGCTCGCTCGCCTCCGCGGCAAATCCATCGAAGATCCCACTGTCGACGAGGAATTCAAGACAATCAACAAACAAGTCCGCGAGAAAACCGCCGACCTATCCTCCATCTCGCACTGGCAAGCCTTCAAAGAAACCCAACTCAACCCCAACTACCGCCAACGCTTCTGGCTCCTCATGGCCATGCAGACGGTCGCTCAGTGGACGGGCGGTAACGGCATCACTTACTACATCTCCGACATCTTCCAGTACGCCGGTGTGTCCGACGACAGCTCCCTCATCTCCTCGGGCGCCTACGGCATCGTCAAATTCGTTTTCACCCTCGCCTTCACCTGGGGTTTAATCGATTACCTGGGCCGCCGGACCTGCGCACTCATGGGTCTCGCCTTCCAACTCGGTGCACACATCTACATGGGCGCCTACATGGGTCTCCAACCCGGCTCCTCGGACAACGAAAACGCCTCCAACGCTGCCATCGCCTCCGTCTTCATCTACGCATTCGGCTGGTCCATCGGTCTGTGCACAATCCCGTACCTCTACGGTACGGAGATCTTCCCCACGCGGATCCGCAACATCAGCTACGCGATGAGCATGTCGCTGCACTGGTTCTTCCAGTTCGCTGTTGTGCGGGTTACTCCTAACATGTTCGTTTCGTTGAACGTATGGGGCGCGTACCTGTTCTGGGCAATTATTTGTACATGCGGTCTTGTTGTCCTTGGTATATGGATGCCGGAGACGAAGGGCGTACCGATTGAGCGGATGGGTGATTTGTTTGATACGCCGTGGTATCTTAGGTGGAAGGCTAAGGCGAGGGAGGTTGAAGAGCCGCCTTCGTCGTCGTCGGATGCGGATGGTGTTGAGTACACTTATGAGAGGGGCCAGAAGAAGTAAGTGCTATATGGTGAAGTAAATGTTGCTTCATTGACTGGATATATTCTTGAAGTGCCTTTATATAATTTGTGTGTTATCACTTTGTTTGATTTGGTTTATTTATTCTATACCCATTTGTTGGACATTTGGTGCATTGGGTGCGAGTTAAAAAGTTGAAATACATGTTTTTTAATATCAGAAAGGGGATTGCCGTTCAACCCACGCCTGAGCTTACATCTAATGAAAAGAGAAAATCTAATCCAAAGCTATATCAGAGGTCAAAAGTACAGGAGAAAAAAAAAAAAAAAAAAAAAAAAAAACTAACTACTCCACTTCGCCTTTCCTCCCCTAGAACAAACAAAAAGAAAAACAAATATATATAAAATCTCAAAATCAACCACGTCTTGACACCTATCCAAAACCAGGCATATTCGTCGTAATAGGCTCAGCATACGAAAACGCCTCAAAAACCTCCGGCGTAATCTCATAAGTCCCCGTATTATCCAGCGACATTACAGCATTCGGCATCCCGCCCAGTAAGTGCGTTGCGCCCAGTGGCGGCAGTCCTCCTGTCGACGAATGATGGTGATGGTGATGGTGTGGTTGGTGTGATTGATGGTGAGAGGAGAGGTCGAAACCCGTCTGCTGCTGCGGGAAGCTATAACCCTGGAGCATAGAAGCGGACGCTGTGGATCCGGGTGTGCCCATGGATGAAGAAGGATGGCTTGAGTGGTGTGAGTGGTGCGGATGGTGGACTGGGGACACGTGACCCGGATCTGTGTCGCTGGGGTTTAAGATGTGACCCATCGCGGGGAGATGAGGACCTTGGGGTTGAGGGGAGTGGCTGTGATGCCGAGATTGGGATTGTGGGTCTGGGGTTGTTGGCGTCGGACCTGGGACCGGGACGTCGATCTGAAGTTTCTGGAGTTCTTGGTAGATGAGGCCAAGAGCCGTGTTGATCACTGTTGTTGTTAGCTGGTGTCTAGTTTAGGTCTCTTTCGTTGCTAAGCTCACCAGGATTGGCAGTCCGGACACGCTCTAGAGCGTTGATGCAGTACTTCAGTTTATCCAACGTGCCCGGTGCGGCGTATTTCAGTGCCTGGATTTCCAACAAAAATATCGATGCAGCCGTATAGACACTGTAGGCGAGCGAGAGAACCACATGCGCATCGCCAAAAGTACGACGATACAAATCGAACAGCGACAAAGTCGCGATCGCAGATGACATACACTGAATTAAATGGCTCTGGTCATAAGATTCTCTGGTCGTCTTGGAGCAAAGAACCGGACGGTGAAGTAAGATGTTAATTGTGTGATACAAACAGCTGTCGTAGTTAGCATTCAAATCCAAATTATGGGGAAGCCACGACATACTTGAGAATCACCATATGACTTGGAGGACTGTACGGTGGCAGATCAGATGGCATCAATTTCAGATAAGGAGGCAGGTCCTCCCACCAATCAGCTAGGTTCTTCGCTTGCTCCTGGATGCATTGATAGAACTCTGCCTCGGATATCTGGCGGATAGGATCGTAGATGTGGACCAGGATTTGGTTGAGGATTTCAGCCAGCCCGCACATTTTCATGAAACATGATGTCGAATGTGCCTGGGTTGGTGGATATTGCATGCCCTCGGGGAATATGACACCATGTGGTGTCCAAATTTCGATTTCCGAAGTGTCGTCCACTGTTCACTTGTTAGACAAAGCAAGACCACGAGCTCAGGTCATCGACTTACAGATCATTCTAGGCGGGCTAACACGTGAGTGTTGCATCGTTGGAGACCGACCGAAATACAGAGAAACCATTTTGTCCCAGAAATAACAACTCCAGAAAAGACGGTTCCGGATCTCAATGTCCTCGTCATTCAGCTGCGCAGAACCAGAGTACTTTCGACTGTCGATCGAGATTCCCAAATCGTCCAGTAATCGGAACGCCATGCCGCTATACAACCATGCCTGAGTTCTATTGCCCCGTCCACATTCTTGTGCACTCAGAAGCAGTAACGTCTGAATCGTTGGGATGCCCGCATATCCAACTTTCAGAGAGTCGTGGACGCCTGAGATGGCACGTTGGAAGAACTGTGCACCGCCATCGAATGACTCCAAAATCGGGCCGATCTTCGGTTCAGCCTTACACCATCGGACCGAGTGAGAGAGGAGGGCGTTCAATAGAATATCGGAGTAATAGGGCCCATTAATTTTCAGGTCACCTATATCGTGTCAGTTGTAAGCATTCACGGGGGATGGTGGATGAAGAACGCACGAGTAAAGGCAGGGCGATAGACGAAATTAAATAGAGGGTGGATCCAACACCAGTGGGAATCCAACAAATACTGGAAAGGTTCCTGGGCCGGTTTAGCACACGCTCAACACTTCATGGCAGAATGAACGCCTACCGGCATAGCAGCCAGCTGCTCAAATGCCCTCTCCCGCCACGCATTGTTAATCAACCGTTCCTTTCTGGCCCCCATCTCCATACCCAGAGGGAATACCGACGATGCTTCCGGGACGCCACTGGGCAGTTGGAACAAACTGGTCGGGCCATGGAAGGAGATACGGCCATCATTCTCAATTTTCAAGCCTTCAAAATCTTGAGATAGATCTTGTTCACTGCCTTCTTCTTCCTCCTTTATAGTCTGTTGACGCAAGCTAGGACTCGCACTAGAGCCACCAGTCGATGCAGGCGAGGTTGTTTTCCGCAGCTCAGTGTCGGACGGTTGCTGCGAGCGGATCTTGGCCAGAGCCTCTTCCAGCTGTGCGACTCGGGATTCCAATTGTTTCGTATAGGATAATGTAGGAGCTCTATGCAAATCCCACTATCAGTACTTTTTTTTTTTTTCATTATTTTATTTTATTTTTTTTTCCTTGTTGTGGTGCAGGAACATAATGAGGGGTTCTGTGGGTTCGCCTCACAAGCTATAGACGCAAGTTTCGCCTCGAGCGGCACATCGTGAACATGATGGACTAGCGCCATTGCATTTCACCTTCAAACAGACGAAGAAAAGCACATGTCAGCCTTATACCAATATAATCTCAAACAAGGAAGTAAACCCGGGTGGGAGAGCTCATAGGTGCTATGACCGATCTCAGCCTCCTCCATCGCTCGGACGGATTCCGCCCGACCACGCGACAGTAAGAATGGAGAAGGGGAAGAAAAGCGAAGGTCAAATCAGAAGGACACACGGAAAAATCTCACCTTACGCTTTCGACAGGCCTCACATGAAAAGGCACTTTTCCGGGGCAAATTAGCCTTCCCGGGGATCTCGGCCATGCCTGAGCCTGAACTGTTGCTAGATTCTACCACCATCAATGCGCAGATTAAGAGAGAGGAGCACGACCTAAAATGACCGCCACAGATCGATCAGGATGCGCTGCTCGCGCCATGGAAGAGAGAGACGAGCTTTTGGGAAAGAATGTGAAAGGAGGGATGGAAAGTGAGAAGGAGAAATTAAAGGATTTAATCAAAGGAGAAAAAGACGCGCTGGAGAGACAGAAAGAGCCCGTCCGTCTCTGGGGCACTTTGGCTGGGGCAGAGGGGAACCTTAGATAATAATTCCAGAAATTTTTCGTGGGGCTCGTTTTTGGGGGAGGCGGATCGCGGGGAAGACTAGCTGGCCTTATAGGGGGTCTCCTGTAGACAGATTTCAACTTGAGTTTGATAAGTCTATGACAGACCGTCGGGGAGCTATCTGGCTTGCTTAGGTACTTTTTATTCTACAGTTATAGTACATCGTGACATTCATGACTACAGTGTACATCATCCTTCAAGTATACCATCCCTCAAGTACATCATCCTTTAAAGAAAATGCTTCTCCAACTGAACCAGCAGATCATGCACCTGATCGACCTTCAACTTCACGGCCCGAGGATTCTGTAAAGACTCGCCCAGTTGCCGACCCGCCACTTCCTGGAATGTCTGTGCATTGCCCTCCGGTGGGCTCTGCAGCTGGCCAGTCATATCAACCGTGATGCTGGAATCCGCAATGTCTTTCAATCCCAAAATGAAGATGAGGTTGTATTTCATTTGTTTGGCTCGTTGGATCTTCTTCCCCAGCGTCTGAGGACTCGTGTCCACGTCGATCAGGAAGGTCGAATCCACGGACGATAGAGGCTTAGGTGGCGAAGCAGTAGAGGCATTGTCTGACAGCAAAGGCTGAAAACCAGAAATCTTCGCAGCAGCCTCGTGTGCCTGCTTGACAACTGCCTCGTCCTGGTTGACGGTTAAGATGATGCCTTGACGTGGCGACAACCAGAATGGCCAGCGACCGGCGTATTGCTCAATCAGCAAGGCCAAGAATCGCTCGATTGACCCAAAGTTGGCCCGATGAATAAGAACTGGAGTCGCCCTGCCCGGGGTTGCAGGGTTATAGTCCTCCTCGCCATCAGCAACCTGGTATTCCAACTCGAACCGCTGAGGCAGGTTCATATCCAGTTGGATGGTGGACAATTGGTGGTACTTGCCCGCCTGGTCCTGAAGCTGGATATCAATCTTAGGTCCGTAAAACGCACCATCCCCTTCATTCAGCGCCCACTCGCGACCACTGCTGTTCAGAGCCTCGCGCAGCTGATCCTCAGCGCTATTCCACAGATCCAAATTCCCAATAAAGTCCTTCTCTGGTCGTGTCGACAGCACGAGTCGATGTGGTCCCAGTCCAAACGTAGTCATAACCAAATCCACAAAGCCCAATGCAGACGCAATTTCCTGCTTGATCTGCTGCGGCCGGCAGAAGATATGACCATCATCTTGGTGGAAACGGCGCACGCGAGTAAGCCCACTCAACGAACCAGAAACCTCGTTGCGATGTAGCGGGCTAAAGTCGGCATAGCGCACAGGGAGTTCACGGTATGAATGGTTCTGCGACTTGAACATAAGGCAATGGCCTGGGCAGTTCATTGGCTTCAAACCATACGACTCATCCTCGCCTAGTTCGCCATCTGTTTCGCCAGTAGCCCCTCGCCCCCGTACCTCGTACATATCATCCTTGTAATTCTGCCAGTGACCCGAGATTTCCCACAATGAACGCTTGTAGATAGTCGGAGTGAGGACTTCGCGGAAGCCATACTGTTGGTATTGTGCGCGGAGGAAAGAGACGAGTTTATTGATGATGTGCGTGCCATTGGGAAGGAAAAGGGGCGAGCCCGGACTGTAGATGGAGGAAGTGAAGAGATCTGAACCTAGAGTTCTATAATCGGGGTTGGAGGATGCGGCGGGCTGGGAATGTGCTTTTGCGGCATGGTCACCGGACTGGGGATCGGAGCATGAACAGTTTCGCGTTGACGTCGAGGACAGCAATTGAACTCGTAATTGCGATGAAGTTGTATAGAGCACCTGTCGCCCCGATAATGGGCGTAATCGCGGGAGTGTGCTTAATCGACGCATTGTTGTTAGGGAAGAAAAGGACTTTTTGCGGCAGTCGAGAAATGAAGCTTTTGGTACGGGCCGACTTCCCCACCACCACTAACTACGGAGTCGGGGTACGGAGTACAACCATCATAACATTCAATCAATTTAATGGGATATACATTATCGTTAGGCTCTTTGAATTGGTTTGACAACAAGTACTGAAAATGAACGTGATTGGTTGTAGTCCGTACTCTTGCGCCTAACTATGAGCAAGCATTTCACTTCAACAAAGGCAGATAAAAGAGACTGGTACGGAGCAAGAAGAGCTATAAAAGCTTCTTGGATATTCTTGTTTAGCCACGATGTTCTGTTCGCAACTTGAGCAATATTTGGTCATCCAGTTTCTCGCCGCGCAATCAGTTGTTGACAATCTGTCCACCCAAGTCCTCAATTGCATTCTTGCGTGGCTGCTGTTCACTCTCTCCAGAAGCCCAAGGATCTCACATCCGCGAGTACGTTACAGGCTTCAACAACATGTGGGGACGCGGTTACAATGGTCCCCGAAGCGGTCTTCTAATCTATCCCATAAATTCCACGAAACGCAGCCTCCAATGCCTCCACGTTCTTCTCGCTTTCGTCAATTGAAGATGAGAGAAGTCAAGTATTGGGGGTAACGTTGCCCCCGTATACTGCTGCATCATGAAGAGCTCGTAGCTCATCATGCCTGATTCCTGCCCACTCGTACAACACACACCATCTGCCCTTTACTGGGCGAAGTTCCGGAGCTCGATCTCATATGCACTAGCTGTTTTGGAAATAGTGCTGGCTGTTGCGGGAAGAAATTTGGTTTGGCTTGCTCATGGCTCAACGGTCTTTTCCAGTTGCGTGAGTTGCTGGGTGAGTGCATGACTGTCGATATTTTCCAGGGTTTTCATGCTCATGTCTATGTCCCAACCTGGGGAAAAACACACACAAACCTGACCCCGTAAAAACCGTAAATCATAAACTGAATTCATCAGAATCATGGCACGATAAAATTAAATACTCTCACCATTTCAGGAGAACTTATCTAGTATAGAAGGATTATCGCGAAACTCACTGCCCTTGATGGTGCCCTGAACAAATGCCAGGTCGCGTTCAATGACACTTCCTGGAGTTCCTGGCTGTTTCTTTGTCCCGTCGAGGACTCTTGCTAAAAATCGCAGAAATGCAGATAATGCATTGATAACAGTTTTCTCATCCTTGCCACGGAAGCTTCGCAGGACTTCCGACATGAGTCCAGGGGCGTAGTATGGAAGAATAGCTTTTCCATCATCAATGCCATCCACATTTAACCCATTAACCATTTGTTCTCGTTGTTCTGCTGGCAGCTCATGAAATGCTTTCTTGAAAAAATTGGCTTGTGTCGGATTATCCACCCGTCCCATGCAGAATAGTCGAAGAAGCGCTCGTTGCTCATCATTGTCTGTAAACAATTTCTCATAACCCTTGGACTCCAGCGCTGTTGCGCGGTTGGAAAGAACCTGATCATAGCATGCTCGTTCAGAATTAATATCTCCATTGACCAATCCATTTAGTGCCCTCAAGGCCGACATATATCCCTGGTAAACAGACTCCACCATGACCAGACATCCATTCGCGTTATTATGCGCAGCCGCGCCAGCAACATCCAACAAAGTCACCATGGCACGCATATTCAGGCCCTCTCCTCCATTCTCCTTATCCTTGATCTCCGTGACGTTTGTTAAATTCGCGGGCACATTTTCCGCCTGCACCAGCTGCGAGATATTCAGACTTCCTTCAATCATCATGCTGCAGGTGATGATATTGCGCTTTCTCTCCGGAATCGTCTTCAATAAAGGAATCATTTCCTTTTTTGCAGCTTCGTATAAAATATCCGAATGGCTTTTCGATTTCAATTCCGCCATGGTTGAGTTGCCTTTGGCGAGATTGCGCGACTTTCCCAGGTCATCCAACACGATTGCGACCAGCAAGGTGTAAATATCAATATGATGATCCTGATCCTGCGGCTTTTTCTGTACTCGTTTCTTGAAGAATTCACGCAAATTATCGAACGAGCCCCTTGAAAGTCGCGCCTGTTCATTCTGATTTGCCGTAAACGCTTCGTAATCATCCGCCAGAATCCATTTCAAAGCCAACATATTGACGACGGTGCGATTGACCTCTACGAAATCAGCGCCATAAAGATATCGCGACGGTGTTTGTTCATGAATCAAGCTTCCTTTGGGGCTGTCTGATCCCGATTCAACTGTTGCTTCCGCATTTTGTAGTGCCTCAATTTCTTTTTTAAAATCCCTGCCAAAAAGTCGAACTGCCTGGGTGTCGGAAAGGTTTGTAAAGCCCCCTTGATTGATAGTCCTCTGCAGTTGGGTTGTCGACATGGAGAAGCAGAAAATAGACAGCAAACTGTCTAATAAATTTTTGATAAGATAGGCCATGAGAATCAGGCCATTTTTCCTGATTATCTTAATGTTATATGTGGTTATGGGGTTATGGAGCAGCGATGGGGGGTTTTGTCGGTGGGGAAAGAAGGGGAGCACAAAGATGGAAGTTGCCTTGCGACTGCGGAGGCTCACGTTGGCCGGGGCCTGACATTCCACAGCTGCAGAATCTGGGCCCATGCTTGATTTAATGCATAACATATTAGACGATCAGTTACTACGATATCTCTATATGATATATTAATGTCATATATTACTATTATTACATCACTGCGAAATACAAAAATCCATAGTGGAACAAAGCAACTATTCACCTAAAGCCTGTTAACTGAAATCATATGCATTACCAAATGCTCGGTCAATACTTAACTCACCATGGGCGAGAGGAAAAGGATAGGCCCTGTTACCCAGGCGCAAGACCGCCTACACTCTATGAAACCAAGAAAGAAAAGACTCAACCAGCGCAATGGGATGGAAGATGCCGACATGGAGGTCCATGAGACCCCGACCGCTCCCTCTGAGCCCACCAACCCCCAGCAACCATCAAAACAGCTTAGTTTGGAGACGGCAAAGCAAGCCCAACTCGCACCTTGCCCTCCCCAGAACCAAAATCTGTTCGTGCAGCCTGAACAGGACACCCCTCCTGCAATCCCAACCCATGACTCTCCGAAGCCAACTGGTGCTTGGTGATGAGATTAAGTCGAATTTACGTCGGGCTGATCACCGAGGCTGATGAAAGTCAAGATGGATTAATAGTTGATCCGATTACCGAGGCCGACAGCTCCCTTATATACGGACACACTCGTTTAGATAGCCAAGCACTCATTCTACCATCTATGATGTTTATAAATATCAATGTCACCCTCCATGTAATCTGAATTTCCTCTTCATATATAGCCTCGTGCAGTCCGAATAATCGACTCCCCGACTTCCCCGACTCGGAGTTTAACCGCCTTATTGGCTTATCCGTTTCAGTTTGCTTTATTGATAAATACGGCGTCACCTCTTTTCTTCCTTCCTCATGTTGATTATTCTCGTTGATAGCTACCTAGGTAGAACCCATGAGTTGGATGTTCCATTATCCTAGTAGAGCGCCGTGACATGTATTAGATGTACTCAAAGTCCGCTGTGGGTCCGCACTAGAAAAAATACTGGGGTCAACCTCGTATACAATGAAGGGTCCAGGGCGAAATGCGGAGGCTCAAGCAGCCGTATCCTATCATCTCCAGATGGTATCTCCGCCATTTGATGACCACCAACCGAGTGCCATAGGCCGACAACACCTTCATCTTGGCTCAAGTTATTACGTTGTCTTCTTGTTCTATCTATCATGTGCAACAGATCGACAAGGAAGCGAGTGAGATTTGTCGAACACGAAGTTCGTTTATTAGTGAATGACTCTTCAACTCCCCCAGCTTTCATCTTCTTTCTGCTTTTCTTTTTCTCACTTCTGTTGACCTTGAAAATCCAACATTTCCAAACGTTATCATTACTTTTTCTGTCCTATGTTTCCCCCGCTAACTAATATACATCGCGCACGTCTTCTGCTCTTGATTAGCTTTCGTTAACTTTCATTCTTTCTTCCCCTTCATGTCTGACCTTGGTCCACCGTATGGATTCGCACTACGCAGTAATAATCACTGCGCCGGATATCAAGTAAGCAGTGGTGAAACATTGAACGACGTCCACCGATGCTGTCCCAATGGCACCACCTTTGGAAATGCAAGGGCGTGTTGTCCGGATGAAGACGACTGTACAGAGGATATCACGAACCCACCACACTGCGCTGATAGAAGCTGGGATCTTTTCAATAACACTCGGGACGGCGGATTCTTCTGTTGTTTGTCGGGGACAAAGGGGTTTTATTACCGCAGCAAACAGGCGGTTGGTTGTATAGATGACTCCGATGCTCCTACAAACCCCGAATACCAGATTCTGTCGACATATTCTACTGGTAAGATTCATATCCCGCTTACTCGGTATGAGACCAGTTCTGATATAACTAGGCGTTGTCGCAACATCGACTACATTCTCGACAAGTGCATCCAGCACAGCCACAGCTACATCAGAACCAGATTACAATGAATCAACTAGCCCTTCTACTTCAAATACGGGCGCTATCGCAGGTGGCGTAGTTGGTGGCGTTGCTGGGTTAGCAATCATTCTCGCCTTGCTTTGGTGTTTCATGCGTCGCCGATCACAGAAGCAAGCATCTCAAGAGGAAACGCCCATCACAAAAGGACCAGACATACCGAGCGAGTTGCACGGTCAAAGTTATGTGGCAGAGCTGGACAGTTCCGCTCGACAAACTGTTCACGAGCTACCGGGATTTCCAATGGCTCATGAAAAGGGCTGACCTGCTTTTTTTTTTATCGTTTGGTAAAGCTCTATACCATGAATCTTTGTAGATAATATACCAAGTCAAGGCATTCCAGTGCCTATTTATTTCCACTGATCTCATCTCTCCCTCCTGCCTCACCGTCCTTCTGATGATCCCATCATCCATCATTCATCTTACAAAACAGTCAGTCAGTCATACATAGTGATAATCATTGCTTTCCATTCGTGTCTTCCTCAGTACCACTCTCCTAGAATTGTTAGCATGCTGACAAATGTTCTTGGTAAATGGTAGACTTCATATTGTTTCATAGAGTTCTTCACTATCTTTAACGCCTGTCTATCCTGACCTAGTCAATAACAGCGAAACTGGGGCAAAGGGTTTTAAAAGGAATAAACCAAGATGAAGTACTGATACCTGTGAGCAGTATAGTAAACACTCTATTCTAGCAAGATTAGTGAGGCACCCGAACCAAGTCTTTGACTTGAGGGCGTTGAGGCCACATGTTATCTGTAGTATAATCAAGTAGTTTGTCGGGCCGTTCTTGATATTATTGATAGAGAAAGGCCTGTGCGCTTTACAAAAGACTCCTTCACGGTCTCTTGCCTTCATTCCAATGGTCATTTCATGTCACAGAATCCGGTTCATAATATGACGTATAGCTGGGCTGAGATAACAGACCCTGCCTAACAAAACTCAACATCTGTCGAGCAGATCGCGATACCTACAGAAAGGAATAGGACTCTTGCTGTGGCGGCTCAACGGCTCAATGCCGCCTCAGTGGCTGTAGGATGCTTTTGGATTAGAAGGATTTCAAAAGGATTGAAATTGCGCGGCGCTGTGCGATGTTGGGTGATGGCTTACCCTATACCACCACCACTGAGACTCTGTGCCTCCATGGTGGTTTACAGGTGCCAGGAGGCCCCTATCGGTCGATTGACGCGTAAAAAAGACATGTTTTTCTTGGGTGCTGATTTGGATGTTCCAGGCGTTATCTGGGGCTTGACATCTAACCTAAAACTTAAATATAGACCTATTAGTATGCAGAAACTGAGACTACTGAGCCAACATTGCCTGCGTCTGAAGGAAACACTCAGGTACGTGCGTGCATCAGTGAGAGGCTGAGAGCTCGAAAGCGTACAAGACGCGACACACGACTCTCGAGGATTATGAGTATACATATTATTAGTGTTAGTTCCTCGTTTTTATTATACAACCTTCGTTATAAAACCGAAGGTCTGTCTTAATGTAGCATCGTAACCTAGTGAATTCAGAGAGATTCATTTAATCATAATTTTGCGGACAACCAGAACTCGGAAAATATGGACGTAATATAAAACCAAAACGACTTAAAAATACAGACCGAAGTATGCATAAATTATGCAGCCACGAGTTTGCTCGTCTTCGTATTCTTTGTACCTGATTTTGGGCTCCCAAAACCCACTTTGGAGCCCCAGCTCTGGGTTTGGGTCGAAGGTCTTAACCCAAACCCAGCGCTGGGTTGAAGATTTCGACCCAAACCTAACCTAAAATTAGGTTTGGATTTTTTCGAGTTTTGGCGATGTCTATCCCAGACAACAAATTCAAAACTCATTGGAGAAGAGCAACGCAGATCCACGAATCTGTCGTGGACCGCAGGAAATTCATATCCGCTATCTGAGCAAATGCGGCAACGGCCTGAGGTGAAGAGCAGGCTAATGCTGTTCTGGGCAATGAACCGGGTTTCAGCATACTTGCGGGAGTTCGGCTGGCTGTGAATAGAGAATTCTTCTGGGATGAGTTTGTCAGTAGGCTTAATCGTGTCTGATAGACTCAATTGCAGCTGGCTTGGGCTGATGTGCAAAAGGTCGTCAAGTTCAGTGGTGGCCTTTTCCCTGTGTCTTTTCGAATGTATTTATTACATTCTTTCAGTGAGCAAGTAGCAACATACTCAATAATTTGGCTCTGGAGGCAATCCAGAGGCGTCACACCTTTGCAGCTGTGCTGACATGTTAATTTCCCTCAATCATCACTTGGTAGTGAGATTTGGTTCCAGACTTTACAGAACCGCACTCCGCGGGAATGTAACCAGTGTTTGTAGCGAGAATAACCAACAGAACCACCGGTGAGATATTTATATCATTGGACTTGTTTCTTCCGGACGCTAATTCGTTGTCGCCTGGACGTTCCAACCGCATACGCAGAACATGGGATCGGCGTCATTAGGGCGAAAGTACGACGCAGGACGGGTGCCTGCGGAAAGGAGCAAGGAATGAGGTCAGTTGTAAGCTGTAATCAGCCTTTGAAGTCAATACCTTTCCTTTGATGAGGGAGTCGAAAAGGCGGATACCATTAATGAAGAGCGGCCGAAAAAGCAAGGCCTCATGTAAATTCATTTCTTAGTAAGAGACAGTGGAGCAGAGGATATGAATCAATCCACCGTATAAAAAATAGAGGAAGATAGCATTAGCTCGAACCGCTGGTCAACGTAAACGAGGCAAAGGAAACCGGAAGTGGAGGCGAGAGAGCGCAACCGCAATTTCCGAAAGAAAAGAAAAAAAAGAAAAAGAAAAAAGAAAGAGGGCGTGGCGGGATTCAAATGGCCGGGAATATGGATGAGTGCAGAATATGGAAGTTTGGCAAGAGAAGAAGATGTGGGAGGAGACGAGATCAGAACAGTGAGGGAGGGCTCTTTTATATTGGGAAGCCAGGCGGGCGGTGTTTACAGTACGACGTATCGGGAGGCTATACCAGAAACAGCAAAACTAGCTGGAACAGGAAATTCACAGGTCCTGGTTTTACAATAATAATGCCTTAAAATTGAAACAGAAAACGAATGAGATTGGGTGCCCTTGCGATAGTCGTGTTGGCTGTGGCGCGCCAGCACAGCACTTGGTATGTGCTCGGAGTATATATCATTTCACTTCACCCCCTCCCAACGCCGGTACGGTAACCGACCAACCCACTGACTTTCCTCAACGCAAAAGACAGAAACGTCCCGACCCATGTCCACAACCCTATCGCGTCCCCAGGAAAGCTCTGTCCTGGGTGAATCCTGGGTAGTGCCATCGTTACCATCGCTGCCTGAGAAGGAACGGCAAAATGACAGAACCGAGACAAACAACCCAGATCCGCGACAACAATCAGAGACAAACAAGGAGGATGGTTCAAACACAATGAATACATCTGGTTCGTTGATATCGGGGCCTGAGCTTATTATGCCGTCGATATGCGAGGAACCGATTCTGATGTCGCACGTACGGTCAAGACAATCTTCTCCGTCAAATTCGCAGACGTTGAAACAAAGGCGTACACCGTCGAAGAAGACAGTGGAAGATCGTGAGGATACACCATCTGAGTCGCCCATGAAGGAAAAAATGAGGAACCCAAAGAAGCAGGTCGATAATGGATCAAAATGGGCATCAGGCTGGACGTGGGAAAGGCCCATCCGCGCCATAACCAACCTGCTCCTCATCGCAGCCATCTCGCATCTGCTCGTAGTTCCCGAAGTGGTCTATCATTCCCGACACCTCTGCACGATTCCAACTATACCCGCTCTCTATCCTACAAGCTGTTCACAGCTATTCCATTCCGGTCACTACAACCACCGCCCACCACCAAACCGCTACGACTCTGTCCTTTCCCTTCAAACCCAACTCGAAATCCTCTTCAACTCGACACTCGAAGAAATAACACCCTACGCCAACAGCCTCCCCGAAACCGAATCCCTCCTCCGCGATATCCAAACCGCCATGAAACAAGTCCAGTCGGGGCCCCGGCACGAACTCTCACTTGAATACGACGGTTGTCGACAAGCACTTACCACGGCGACACGCAAACTCGATTCTCTCAAGGCGGACCTCCGCTCTGCGGTTGATAGTCTAATGGCGACGGGCGGGTTACCACAAGACAACCAGAATCACCACCGTGTCGCGAAGGATGTCCGGCTGTCGACTCAAATGGCCAGGAGGGAGAAATACCTCGATCAACTGGCGGCACGGATGCGGTTGAAGACGGACTCGCTGACGGGAGATTTTGCGATAGTGGCTGACCATCTGGAGTCGCTTAAGCGGATTGTCGCGCAGCAGGCTTCATTGCAGTCTCCGCATGGTGATGATGGGAATGGTGACCGCGATGAGTCGAACATGTACAAGAATGTCCGCTCGTTTGTCGATTTCATTGTCCCCGGATGGAATGTACTTCGGTGATCCTATCATGCCGCTGATTCCAGTAGAATAACTGGCCCCACCCCCAATTCCCCATGTCTCAGAATTCGCTCGTCCTTCGACTGTTTCACCGACATGAAATTGCATCCCTCTCATGACCCCCTATTGATGACGTCTTATACCCTCCTGTTAATCCTCTGTCTATACCCTTATGTAATGCCTATGCCTAGTTAACGCCTAGAATGTGGAAAATGATATCATGTTAATGAAAGCGCATATCAATTGCCCCTGATCTACCAGAAAGCTCCTATCAGAAGTACGGAGTGCAAAATGTATGTAAAGTCACGCAATGCCTCTATGTTATGGTAGCATAAGTGAGTCTTGTAAAAGAGGAAAAAGAAGCAGGAAAAAAAAAATGCTCGCACTCGGATTCGAACCGAGGATCTCATCATTACTAGTGATGCGCTTTACCAACTAAGCCATGCGAGCTGATTGGTTGAGTAAGAGTTGCCAGTGTATATATAAGTATTATAGAATTGTAGAAGAAAAACTGAAGCAGCCACCAGCCTACCAAAACCCATACAAATCAGAACAATATACAAACTCCCTTCCACGTACAGAGTATATAAAACAGTCTGATTAGAAATACATACCCCACCCTCAGCCCTACCCACCCCAATCACTCATTATCCACCATAAATCCGTAAGTACTTCATATTTGTAGGAAGAAAGCCGAGCCCAGTTCTAGAACTCGGATACCCGGGAGTCGAGGTTATGATCTTCAACGGAAGGTCTAGACCAGGTGTCCCGGCTACGTATATTCTCCTGTAAATCCATGGATGTGTCATTTTCCCTTTTATGCTTTTTGTTTTCTGCTTTTCTTCGTGGAGGGTGCTTTGGGAGGGAAGAGGACGAGAACATATCCTTGGACATGGTGTTCTGGGCTTTGGGAATCGGTATTGGTATAGGTCCAGGTCCGTGTGCGTTGCTGTACGGGGTATGAGCTTTTTTTTTTTAATGGGGGGGGGGGGAAAGGTGCATAGGCAAAAGGACCTGATAGGAATGATTCCGAGTCTGATCGATAGTTTTGTGCTCGTATGCATGTCTCAGCCGGGAAACTACTTCATCCACTGGTTCTTTGCGAAAGGTACCCCGTACTTTGGTCTCTGCACAATTACAAAGAATTAGAGATTAGAATATTGATTAGACCACCCATGTGAAGTAAGTGATGATAGAAGGTAGAATTTTGGATACAGTCATGTTAAAAATGACCAGAAATATGCACATAAAAAAGAAAATCATGAAGAGACAAAAAATTATAGCTGGAACATAGCCACGAACAACGCCAGCATCACAGCCGGGGCCACAAACGAGTTGGACAAAGTGCTGGCAGCACCGTCGAAAGTAGTGGGGCTCGCGCTTGCGCCAGCGCTGGTGCTATCGCCCGAAGCGGAAGCAGAGTCCGACTCCGAACCAGAACCAGTGCTAGTGCTGGAGCCGGAGCCAGCGCCGGAGCCAGTGGTGGAACCGGAAGTGCTGGTGGCGCTGGACGAGTCCGCAGTCGTGGATGTAGAGTCGGAGGCAGTGCTGGTGGAAGAACCGCCGGTGGTGGTCGACGAGGAATCACTGGAGGTGGATGAAGAGCTGCTGTCGGAGCTGGTTCCGTTGGAGGCCTCGATGCTCTCGTACGAACCGCTGGTGTCGGTCCACTTGTAGGAGTCGGCGGGGTTGTAGTTGGTGACAGTGACGGACTTCACGTACATCGAGAAGGGAGCCTGGGTGTAGTCGGTCTCACCGCCAGCCCACTCGATGGTTCCCTGGCCGTTGTCGGGGTCACCGCCAGCCCAGATACCGAGACGCAACTTCATGGGAGTTTGGGGGAAACGCGAGCCGCCCTTGGCCTCGTCGTACTTGACAGTACGAACCGAGTTGCCGTCAATGAGCCAGGTGATGGATTCTTTGGTCCAGTCGACAGTGTAGGTGTGGAAGGTCTCCTGGGGAGTGTCCAGGTTGACCCAGGTCTCGCGATCGTAGGTAGTGGTGTCACCCTTGCCGAAGTAGTTGGTTTCGATTCTGTCCGTGAAGCCACCAACGCCTTCCTGTTCGTTATTAGCATGCGTATCTCGCTAGTGGTGTTGCTGAGTGCATACCCAGTCAATCTCATCGAGGTCGTCCGACTCCATGACGATACTGCTGACAACACCGGTGCCAGGGGCAGCCTTCATCTCAACTTCGACACGACCAAAAAAGAAGTAGTCCTTGGTGTCAATGGTAGGCGCATCACCCTTCTCGTTGATGGTAAAGGCAGCACCGTTGTCGTCGAAAGTCACTTTGCCAGCAGCGGTCTCCCAACCGTCTAGAGAAGAGTCCTTGGTGAAGTCGGTGCTGAAAGTGTACTCCTTCTGGCCATCATCGGGGGAGCAGGATTCTATAGTCGTCAGATTCTGTTCGATTGAGCGTTGAATATGGTACACATACTCTCGGTAGGATTGCAGTCGGAGTAGGTCTGTGCAGTGACGAGAGGAAGCACTGCAGTCAATGCCGCAGCATAGCTCTTGATATACATGGTGACAGAGAACGAGAGTCAATCCGCGTAAAACAGAGGGTTAAAGAGAGACTCGAGCGAGCGCTGAACGGTTAAAGAGAGAACAGAACGAAAGAGTGGTATGAAGCGAGTAATAGATCAGTAATAATGAGGAAAGGGACTATTTTAAAGACCGACTAAAACTAGTGACAGACTCCTGACGCTCACGGCCCCCGTGCATCCCTTAGTTTTTGTCTCCAGGCACTTTGACCTCTGACTGGCTTGTCATCATGCGCTGAGGTGGCAACCCTCGGGCTGTGATTTGCCCGATCCGGAGAGTCCCGTCATAGACTCTGCAATCATATGGCGTTCCGCTTCCTTATCGTCCAATCAGATAAAAAGTGGATGCTGGAATTAACCGAGAACGAACACGGTGCAATTGCTAGCCAATCATGTATCCAGATGGACTGTTTCACTTGTAGTGGGCACTAGTCTCACGACCATGTGGGCCCCCCTCATGTATTTTAGAGTTTGCTCCAACTGCAAGGGGAGGCAGCAACAAAGATTAAAACAAAAAAAAAAAAAAACAAAAAACCAGAACAAAGAACAAAGGATTATATTTTGAGTCCACACGTGATCGCGTAGCCCTGTTTGTAGTACGTACTAAAGAAGACTAGTAGCTAATTCTGTATATTGCTCCATATATGTCATTACCGCTTACAGTAACCTGCAGCTGCCTAGTCATGGGCAATATCAAAGCTTATAGTGAAATGCGTTGTCATGGAAAAGCAAACGATTCAGCTGCGACCGTCTACAAAAAAGAGATGTCTGCCCAAGATTGTGATATTAAGCAATCGGAATGAGCTTATCAATGTGGACAACATTTCCGAGAAACATACATTAGACATACGTGACATTCAGAGAAAACTGTCGTCATCATCTCTAGCCTTGCATCGTATACAGGATTAAAGTGAGACTTCCAAATTAAACATATAGTACTTTGAGAAACCCCAAGTGGTATACAATGCGATCATACATGCACATTAGGTTGTCCATCTTGTCCAATGGGTTTATTGTCACTGTCCCATTGCTACTTTTAAAGCAAATGGACTTCTAATGCAACGTATCCGGCCCACGGCCGAAGTTGCAAAAACAACGCCATAAAGTGACTACCGTGCCGTCGGCTTGTAGTATGTGTAAGTTCCCTGCCGAAAACGGGAAGTGACAGAGATTAATAAATACAGCATACCATTACTTTCTCCAAACATTTGGCACCTCAACAGTGTCACTCAATCGTCGACAGTCGGCGTCCATGCCACCATCTTCGACGAGGGCACTACTGTTTACGACCTCGCACTCTGTGTACTGAACCGAGGACAGTCATGGCACATTGTCCATGCGAAGTGTTCTGACGGTAGATTTGACTACGGGTTGGAAGTACACAGCGCACAACATTGGAGTTATGTCCGCTGCATTCAGAAGGGTGGTTGGACCTGTCCAGTGAACAAATATCGAAACACCATTCGCAGACCACCGCGAGGACCATTGAAATCTCGCTGCGTTTACCATAATGGCTTCGGCTACATTGCAATTCATTAGAGATGGACCATCATGCCTCACTTGAGAGTCTAAGCAAAGAGAAGTAGATTACGGGTCTGCTTAGTTGGGCAATCGGAGTATCATACTGGACCTTGGCTGTCGAAACATGGCCGAAATTTCGACAGAACGACAGTATATCTACGAAAATTAACAAACAGGACCGACCATATTACATTGGAAATAAAGTAGAAAGACTACCTACCCCCCGGCAAAAATACCCTCGGTTCTCTACTCCGTTCACAATACCAAAATCCAGCAAGTTTGTAATGTTTGCACGTTTACACCATTTGCAATACTAACCCAATCCATCCAATCACATGCTTGTTGGGAGAACGTTGAGTGGCCCGTCCCGTGAGTCACGTGTTCGCCCCCCTCTACCCCATACCCTCAACGCTCAACATTCCATCTACACCATCCCATACACTCCTTCATCACCAACTCATCACATAATCAAACACAACAAGCAAGATGTCGAAGTCTTCAAAGGTCAACCCGAACACGCACACCTCCCGCACCAGCGTATCTTCGATCACCAGCACCGGATATAACGCCGTTGCAGCCGCAGCAGAGATGGATCGCAGGGTGTACATCCCATTGTGTTTCTGTCTGGTTTCGTTTGCAGTTATGGTTTATAACAACTAGGCAACAGCGACATGCTGTTGTTTTTTCTGCTGCTCTTGCTCTTGCTTTTCGGTTTCACGCTTGATATGCCTCCCATGCGAACTACGTCAGCCCGCTGGTTATCGTCGCTTTATCTGTTTATCGTATCGTCGACCGAGGATGATTGATAACGCCACCTACCCCTTTCCAACACATCAACACACTGCACAACAACATCGACATCGTTTTCGGTCACAGCCATATATAAATAATATCTCCCCGATCGCACCAGCACCGTTCCTGCTTTTACGATCAATATGTCTTGCTTGCGTCTGCGATACGGACATACCCTTCCTTCACACCTTACCTTGCATCTGGACTACATACGCCTACATACATCTACATCTACATAATTCAACAGCGGCCGGCTGACAGATACGTCCTTGATGGACGTATACATTTAATGCCAACGTCAACGTCTTTGTCATCCTGTTTCAACCAGGATGAACTGATTGCCTCAGCTTATCCCGCTTAGTACTCCGTACTGGCTAGGATGGGTTGAGGTACCTGCATGCGAGGATATGCATGTGTTGCTCTTTTCTTTCTTTTATTTACTTTGCTTCTTGGATGTCGCATCTCGCTTTGGATTTGATTTATACTGGACAACTGGACGGATGAATTGGAGTTTCTCGGTCGCTTTTTGATTTGATTTATCACGTTTGCATAGCCTAACACATTTATACCCCGGGATAGTTACACTCGCTTCTTTCGCAATTATCATATCATCATCATTTACTGCTACTCAAATTGAAATCGAACTAGTTTATGAATATAATCAACCATCATCGCATGTATACACAATATCTCTTCACCTAGATAAACAAATGCAACCCCCTAACAAAGGGGACATTTACCGCAACGTAACCAACTCCTCTGCACTGGTCGGATGAATAGCAACGCAACTATCGAAATCCTGCTTTGTAGCCCCCATCTTCACCGCAACCCCGAATCCCTGCAACATCTCCCCCACACCAAGACCCAAAATATGCAACCCAACAACCTTCTCCTCAGGCCCTGCACACACAATCTTCATCTGCGTGGGGTTCTTGGCCTTCTCCTCGTCGGGGAGTAAGGTGTAGAACATGGCGGTGAATTTGGTCTTATAGACCTTGACTTTGTCGTCGCCGAAGCGCGCGCGCGCTTCAGGTTCTGTGAGGCCGACGGTACCGACTTCGGGGTGGGAGAAGACGACTGAGGGGATGTTTTCGTAGGAGAGTTTGGAGGATTTGAGCTCGGGAGGGCCGAAGAGGCGAGAGCCGAGTTGGCGGCCGGCGGCGATGGCGACTGTTTTTATTAATATCTTACTTATACCGTTTGTTGTGGGGGTATGGGGGACTAACCAGGTGTCAACTCAGCTTGTCCGGTGACATCACCCAGAGCGTAGACACCCTCGGCCGAGGTGTTCTGGTACTCGTCGACAGTGACATAGCCAGTGTCGGTCAACTTCACACCAGGAATATCCAAGTTCAAGTCCTCGACCTCAGGTGCACGACCAACAGCCCAGAGCAGCTCGTTGACCTCGAGCACAGAGCCATCTAAGCACACCAGACGCAGCAACTTATCCTTGCCCTTTCCGTCCCGCACGAGCTGCACCTCCTTAAAGCCTTCGTGGTTACGGTGTACATTGATACCGGCAGCAACATACCGATCCGTCATGGTCTGCTGAATCATAGGGTCGAACTTGCGCAGGAAGTTCTCGCCTCGGATGAACATGTGGGTGTCCACACCCACAGCACCGAGGACACCAGCCAACTCGACGGCAATGTATCCAGCACCCACGACAGCGAACTTGGGAGGAAGGTCCTCAATCTCGAAGAATCCATCGCTGGTGATTCCGTGCTCCGCACCCTTGACCTTGGGGATGTTGGGACGACCACCTGTAGCGATGAGGATGTGCGGGGCAGTGTACTGCGCCTTGGAGCCGTCTTCGTTGACGACCTCGATGGTCTTGGGCTCGACGAAGCGGGCGCGGCCGTGCACGAGGTCGATGCCCTCGCGGTTCCAGTTGCGCTCGTACATGCCGTTCAGACGCTGGATTGAGGCATCGCGGGCGTGCTTGAAGTGGGTATAATCGATTTTGATGTCCTTGGGGATGTCATAGCCGTAGTGTCTGCCGACGTCCATAGTTTCATTGATCGAAGCAAAGTTCCAGCACATCTTCTTGGGGACGCATCTATTCACCACGAACACCCCGCATTAGCTCAATTCCCCCCAAATTACAAGGACAGTATGTACATACCCCACATTGACACAGGTCCCTCCAGCGCGACCACTCTCAATAATCAATGTCTTCTTACCATACCAGCCTGCAGCGCGACGGGCACTGCCACTGCCACCACTACCGCCTCCCAGAACAATATAATCATAGCTCAACTTCTCAATAGCACCCATTGTGTCCGACTTCGAGGTTGCACTGCTTCGTGTAGCCGGGGTCGAAGAGAAATGTCTAGAAAGCGAAGCCAAACGAGGTGCGGATGAAGTCGTCACTTTGGCGTTGGAAGCAGCCACGGTTTGAATTGTCCGTTTCCCGAGCGGTGACAGTGATGCTGATGAACGAGAACGAACCAGTTGGAAGAATCGAGTCTTTAATGGCTGGATAGGGAGGATAGGGGAGGAGCGAGAGAGCATGGGGGAAAGAGGGTGTCGTTTGACGGACAAAGGATTGATATAATAGAGAGAGGAAGTGAGGTGGGAGGGGCTGGCGGGGAAACCGGATGCAGGATGAAAGCTTCCAATGGCTCGGGTGAAGCACAACTGTTTCTTTATTGCTTGTTTCTACCGTGCCAATTGGCTAGAAATAGGCTGATCAATTTTGCAGGATCTGCAATGGTAATAATGCAATTGCTGCTGAGAATAACGAATTGCTTTCAAAGCAAAAAAAAAAAAAAAATATCAAACAAGAGTTGCCACACGTGATATGTGCTTTATAAGCAGCTTATCGATGAGACTATTCTAGACCTAGAGGTAGATATATGGTGGCGAGGAGATAGGGTGAATAGTACAGCTCTAAGCATAAGCATGTCTAGCTGGAATACATTGGATCTATTTACACGAGATAGCAACACAGGCGGAGATATAAGCAAAATCTCCCATTAATGTCCAAAAGAGCAAAACAGTGCAGAGGTAATAAAAGCAATGCCATATCACATTCATATACAGGATATTCATCACACATGAAAGAATGCAGCTTGAAAGATGCAGACCTTAGGAACTGTGGCTGTCAAGAAGCCAAACCACGGATATCATAGATCAGAGTAGGAAGAGAGAAGGATAAGAAAGCGAAATGCAAAAGCAAAGAAACCGAGGTCACAAATCATCGCCCAATATGTAGAACTCGCTTCAAATCACTAAAGAAACTCGACAAAGTAGTTAAACAAACCGGTACGGTCACCAAAATAAAAGGAGGATGTTCAGGGTGAGAATTGGAGAAGATCAGGCAGGTTGTTTCAATGTGGCATCTTCTAAAAGTGGGCTTCCAGGAACAGCATCCAGTGGGGCGGCGTGTAAAGCCGGCTTATCTGGAGGCGGTTCTTGCCCAGATGCTAAAACGGCGAGTCGCTCATTTACCCAATCAGCGACTTCTTTGTCTTCAGTTTCCGCCCCGGAGTCTTCAGGGGCCTTGGCGGCTTCGTCTTCGGTAGGAGGTTGCATGAGTGGCGAAAGCCAGGGGTGTCGCAAGAGCATCGTGTACGAAGGACGGTTATTAGGGTTCTTATCCAAGCATGCGCGAACAAACGCATGTGCATCCTCAGAATAGCCTGTTTCGGGAAGAGTTGGAGCTTCTCCATGGACGATGGCCTGTTAAAGATTAGAAACCATACATCAATTTGGGTCTCGACAGGGATCTTACGTGTAACTGACTGAAGATGTTGTTGAAAGTCTCGGGAGGATAAGGATAACGGCCAAGGGCACATTCAATTACCGATAACCCTAAGCTCCAGATGTCACTCTGGACGCTGTAGGTCCCGGTACTGGTCGCTCCTGACTGCTGCATACCACCACCGGCGATTCGTTCGGGGGCCATGTAACTTTGACACCCAATATTCGTCTTGGCAATACTCGACACCAGGTTACCGCTCACACCGAAATCGCAAATCTTGATTTGGCCGCGACTGTTGACAAGGATGTTGGTGGGCTTGACATCACGATGGATGATGTTATGGTCGTCTTTGAGGGTCTTTAACCCCATGATGGTGGAGAGCGTTACCTTGCGAAGGATGTTTTCCGGGACACCCTGTTTGTAGATTTTGTCGATTGAGCCACCGTCCATGAACTCGACACATATATAAACTGCGCCTTCTTGGAAAAACGCGCCGTAAAAGTCAATGATGAAAGGTGAGACGCAACGATGGAGAATGTCCAATTCCATGATGATCTGAGCGAATTTACTCTCATCCAGCTCGAGTCGAATTTCCTTCATCGCCATAACCACCCCAGAAAGGTTATCTTGGGGCTTCAGTGCCGGAATGCAATCAGAATTGGAGTCGTCGGGGCCTACGGGACGGCTGAGGATACCTCCAACGCCCGTTCCGGGCTTACGCATGTGCGGCCGGCTGTGTCGAACCTTGTATACCGTGCCGTAGTTTCCTTTGCCCAGTTCGTCTAAGCGATCGACCTCATCCAAAGAAATGTTGAAGCTATGCCCGGAAGAAAATTCCACGCCACCACCGTGGATGACCGCCTTGTTTTTGAAATTGAGCGTACCCGTCTTGGTATCAACAAACTCGGAGTATTTGCTGAATACCGACTCTCCACCTGGGGCAGGTCCATCGGAGGGTTTCCCTGGCGAAGACCCGTTGGGTCCCGCGGCATCCGAGAGCTTGAGGCCAGGCTTCATCCGTTTGGCAGCCAAGCTGCCTGCCGGCTTAGGAGCATTAGCAGCCGCAGAACCCGCGACAGTAGGAGACGAAACCCAGTTCTTTGCATTGGGACGGGCTTGCGGGGGCAGGCGACCAGGAAGCGGGCCAGCGATCGGCCCACCCGATGGAGGTGACTGCACGCCACCATTAGGGGCCCCGGGGCTGTTGAGAGACGGAATGGTAGGTGAAGAGGCAGCATGGGGTAAAGATGGAGGGGCACCCTGCCGAGAAAGGGAGAAGGCTTTCATTTTGGCGAGAATATCCTGATTTAGTCCCCCGGACGGCGCCGCACTCATGGACGCTTGGGGGCGCGGAGCGGGACCTCGTCGGGCAGCATTAATCTGACCCAAATGTGTTGAAGAGGCGGAGATACCGGCGGTCATATCCTTTGTTGGACGTAAAGATGGGATGGAAGGTTGTTGAGATTGAGGTGAAGTGGTCGAAGGGGTGGTAGCGGGCGAGGCATCATCGTCGGTGGCATCGGAGTGATCACCGTCGGGGAAGGCGACAGGGACGTCCCTGACTTGCTTTTCTTCGATTTGCATGGTGATTAGATAAATAAGAAGACGAAAATCGCTCGCGGAAAGGAAAAGGAATGCTGAATGTTTTTATCGAGCGTTTTAAGAGAATGGTCAGGGGGTATTGAATTAGGATTATTTGACGGAGAAGCCCCTTCTCAAACTCCTAGTGAAATCGACGTAAGTTCTAATGTTGTTTGTTTCGGTAATGCAAGAGTTAAATAGAGAATTGAAGGATTAAGGAGGGTTTCAAAGCAAGTCGAGGCCCTGGAGAAAGTCGTTCTGGCGGTAGGGAAATTTTAAGAGCGAGGCAGAAACGATTCGACGGGGGGAAGAGAGTCGGCGCGGGGCAAAGGCCATATAGCAAGCCGGCAAAGGTCAAGGATAGAACAAAACGACAAACAATGATGTATCTGTTGGAGCAGAGGGAGTGAATGCACCGGACAGAAAAAAAAAATAGACGAATAATGGGATTGTTGGGTCCTTCTTGAGTCCTGTCGAAGGTTGTCGTTGACCTCAGACAAAGTGATACCATTCTACGAAAAAGAACGAGACGGATGGCGCTTAGTCAGCGACAGACTGGTTTTTCTCGTGGCGGGACAGTACACCAGCCAATTGAACGGTGTAGATCGCACCCCGGAGGCGGGCGGAAGATCCGGTCGTTGATGTGGACGATTTCCACGGATGAGTTCATATCAATAAATACAATATCATGGAATCTTGAAGCCTGGGCTCAGGTTACACGAGTACCGAGGACCTACGGCTTCATTCTAGCGGTCTACTTTGACACCGCAGACTATCTACACAGGAGGCCGAAGCTGCTATCGGCCGTTGATACCCTATCTTCTACTTGAAACAACGTCCACCTACTTTGATAGTCATCGCAAATAGAGCGTTGGAGTACTATGAGGTGAGTACGTAGTCTTTGCCGATCCAAGGTTACTTTGCGGCAAGGATAGACAAATGTGCCATAATAAACTTACTATACATGAGGCCCGGTATGTACTCCGGAGTACCTTCTGTACCCTGATATTCGTCTTCCAAAGAATGGACTCAGCCACAGCCCGTTGTGGCTTGACGAATGAATCACCTGCTCCTATTGAGCTTCTGATTGGCTTATCGGCTACCTGAAATCACGATGATCTGGAGGGAACTAAACTGGATATAGCAATCATATTCTGTCCAGTGGCAAAAGCCAAGAAGACTATCCCCAAAGGAATCTGTGGAAGGTTTTTGGCTGCCATGTATCCCAATCAGAACTCCCATCTATGCTCTAAACTCAATGGTCTCGTATCAGGCTGTGCGCAGTGGCAAATGAGTAGAGATTGTTAGTCCGGGGATGTCAGAAACTCAACTCCGTCCAAGGATGCCGTGAAACCATGTCATGGCTATAGTTCCTCTTATTGGGTGCCTCTAGTCTGGAGTAAGCTAGACAAGTGGCCAGAGATATCAACTGCAAGGATCATGCTGGGCACTTCAAATACTTGTGTATGTATGGAGTACTTATATGGGCTGAGAACGGGTACTCTGTTGTACCTGTACTGGTTGGGCATACTAATTCCGTGTTTTGATTGTTTGCGGTATCCTCAAAGCATCACTTCAAGAAGCGGATCTTGGCTGTCGCCATCACAAGAAACACAGCCACCATCTCGCATCATGATTGCTTCAGTTGAGGTGTACAGCGCAGAGAACTGAGCACTGAAAAGTCGTACTTTTTAGCCTTTTTTAGAGTTTTATATGTATTTTAATGAACTGGAATCTTTATATTATAGAGTAGTATCTCGTAGAGTATATACTATTATACTGATTTGACTTCCGCTGCTATCACTGTTCCAGAAAATTTCATTATTCTCCGCTGTCGCGTCACCATTTCGACTACAGACCCGCCTCCCATCTTCATCATTATCTACTCATTTTCCATCTTCTCAACTATCTCCTATTCTTTTATCCCCAATTGCCTTTCCAACTACGCCGTGATTGATGGCCATTTTTACCGCACCGCGATCGTTCCAGTACGCCAACTCCTTGGTCTCCCGTCAGTTGGTATCCCAGTCCGATACAGGCCTCATCACCTCCAGCCAACTCATCGCCAATGGCCGCCATTCGGGTCATCCCTCTTTCTTTCATTTAGTCCTGCTGGTCTTCGAGGCCGTCCTTGAGGTAGTATGCGTCAGCTTACCGGGTTATTTCGCTGCCAGACAGGGCATGTTTGACGCGGATGCCCAAAAACTCGTCGCTAATCTCAACGTCACCTTGTTCACCCCTTGTCTGAGTATGTGCCCTATTTTCAGTGAGAGATGAGAAAAGAAGGGCAATAGCTGATGACTGAACCTCTTTAGTCTTTACGAAACTCGGATCCCAACTCACCGCGGAGAAGTTGACGGATCTAGCCATCATTCCCTTGATCTTCATCGTCCAAACCTTCGTATCGTACTTATGCGCCTTTGTCGTCTCAAGATGTTTTCGATTCAAAAAACGCCGGTCCAACTTTGTGACGGCTATGGCAGTGAGCGATGGAACCGATATATCTCATTGGGTCGTTGATGGTTAAGCTAACGGTTACTCCATATTTCTCTAGGTTTTCGGCAATTCCAACTCCCTTCCCATCTCCCTTGTGCTTTCGCTCTCCCAGACTTTGAAGGGCCTTCATTGGGATCGCATACCAAACGATAATGATGACGAAGTGGCCGCGCGAGGAATCCTCTACTTGTTGATCTTCCAACAACTGGGTCAGCTCGTTCGATGGAGTTGGGGCTACCACGTTTTGCTCGCTCCTCGTGAACGTTATCTCGAAGAAGCAGAAAGAGAAGCGGGCGCATCCAGAATCGAACAGGGTCAAGAGCGTTACACCGACAATCCCGAGCAGACTGATCCAGATGAGCCCTTGATTCGAAGCCGAAGTCGGAGCTGGAGTCGGAGCCGAAGCCGAAGCCGAAGTGGTCTTTCTCGCCGACCCACTAGCATCCATATCCATAACGACGAAGAGTTCCATTCTGGTGACCAAACCCCGGTGGGCTCGTACTCGTACTCCAAGACATCTGGTCACGATTCAGATCATGTTGAGGGGAGATTGTGTGAGGATGAACATCCGGATCATTTCCCTCCTCTCATCGCACAGCCACCCCAAGGCCTGTTCCTCCCTCGCCAGAATACCGAAGGTGATATGCTGTCCTTCCCCAATGTCGAACTCGCACACCGGGAAGCATGCCCCCAAAGGGGATGTCTGCAGCAATTCCGAGTTTCTCTCCGTCGGGTTGGCAAGGGTATCACGCACGCTTGGGAAAGACAAGCTGGGGCGACATTCAGGAAACTCCCGACTGGTCTACAGAAGGGGCTTTTCGGCGTCTGGAACGGGATTCGCAAGTTCGTGCATGGCGCGTGGGATTTCATGAACCCTCCCCTATGGGCAATGTTGGTTTCCATTGTAGTGGCTTCGGTCCCAACCCTACAGAAGCTCTTCTTCGAAGAAGGGTCATTTGTGAACAGCTCTGTGACGCGTGCCGTTAACCAGAATGGCCAGGTGGCCGTGCCCTTGATCCTGGTCGTGCTGGGCGCCAACCTGGCGCGGAACACACTACCGGAAGAAGCACTGAAAGACTTGGACCACCCCAAGGAGGAGCGCAAGTTGATCATTGCGTCGTTGCTTGCGCGCATGTTACTGCCCACCATCGTTATGGCGCCATTGCTGGCTCTGCTGGCTAAATATGTGCCTGTTAGCATCTTGGACGATCCGATTTTCATCATTGTCTGTTTCCTGCTCACAGGAGCGCCGTCGGCATTGCAACTGGCTCAGATTTGTCAGATCAACAATGTCTATGTCAGTGCAATGTCGAACTTGCTTTTCCAGAGCTATGTTGTCTGGTAAGTCTTCCTGAATCCTTTCTTCTTCAGATATACTAACAGCGGACAGGATCCTTCCATCGACTCTTGTTCTGGTCATGTGTGCTATGGAAGTTGTCGAGTGGGCGTCCGCTACTACATGAGTTATGTATTCTTTTGTCGTTCATGGTATGTTATGATGATATGGCGTTGGGGTTGGTGTCGGATTCTTTTCTTTCCTTCGCTTCTCTCTGGATGATCATGTATACATATTATTATCCGATAGTAATTTCCGGAGGTTGAATCTCGTACGCTTTGATGTCAACGAGAAATGGAGAAATGGTGATTTATTGCATTTGTGCACTGATACCCAGCGGAGTAAGGTGACTGCGTGATTATATAAACCCCACCTTCTCCTCACTTCGACTTCCACTTTCTGCTGTTCCTCAGTGACAGTTCTGTCAATACTTGCCGAACATTTCGGATCAAACCCAAAGCGACATTAGATTCAGATGATAATCGAAGAAGCCCTTACAACATGGCTCTATATAGGAAGAAGATATTGATGCCAGTGCACCATTCCCGAGCGACAAGTCAGTATGAGAGATGAGACAGACATCCATGAAGATGGTGTCCACCAGCCCGACAGCAGACGATGCTTTAACCTGAATTAGCACGTTGTATCAACTCCCATGCGACCTGTCTTATGGAGTATAATCCAAGTTTCAGTACGAGTATTCAACGTCAACTAGACATTGACGAGTCAGTTACGATGATCCAATCTCTGTTGCACTATCATGCTACTGTGCTTATCTGGAGTTGCTTCGTGTCTTATCTTGTCCCGATGCAACTTTTCGTATCTGTTTCTGGCTCTCTCGTTGGCCGAAAACGGATATCTCACACGCGACAAGACAAACAAGAAGCGGGAAAGCTGAACATGAGCAGCTGAACGGGCCATGTTCTGTTTCTTATTTCCACCATCACCACGCGCGAGCGCCTGACCTTTTTCTTGGTAAGGAAAAGCGTGCGGCTTGTTAAAGTGCGTGGTTTTTGTCGAGCTCAAACCAGTCCGTGGTCTTTGTCCATATACAGTCACGAGCAGGGTGTGATAAGCACCTGACTTGACTTGGCTAGGATTCACCTATTTTTGCCATCTCGAGACATCACTTTTTCTTCAATCATTCCTATGCTCTTCCATCACGCTATTTGGGCTTGATAATTGATGATTGATATCTCTATCGAAGAAGGACCCTGAATTGACTTACCCCAAAGCTCCCGACCGCTTTCTCTCCGACGTCCCATAGAAAAAAAAAAAAAAAAAAAAAAAAAAAAAAAAAAAAAAAAAAAAAAAAAAAAAAAAAAAAAAAAAAAAGGGAACCAGGTACCCCCACTTGGTCCTCTTCTTGTGATTTCTATCCTTTCCCTCATTCTGACCCTCTTCTCAGTCTACCTCTCTGTGTCCAAGAATCAGTACGATTGGGCATCATTTTCTTGCACGGGGAACTGGCGATCTGGTTACGCTGCTTTCGTCCGTGGTCCATTGATATTTGATCTCTGAATCGTTCCTCTGCCTTCTACCCTCATAATTAGACCCTCACTTTAGCGACTCCAGATCCCCGCTGTCATTCCTAGATCAAATCATGCCCTCGTTCACCGACCACAACGGGGGGGACTCCGGCTCTGAGCTGCCAGGTGGGTTATCCTCCCGCACTGTTCATTTGATCTATTCTACTTTTTAAATTTGGCTCCCCTTTTTGCCTTTTTTGTCTCTGGTTCGGCGGGGACTCTGTCTCGCGTGCTCTCCGTATTACAGTCCTTACTTACCCTTACCGTCCCCGCAAGAATTACGTTTTCGTCACTTTTTGTTTTCTTTTTTTTTTTTTTTCCCCTCCCTCTTTTGCTTTTTTCCCGCTTGAAATGAATTCTGACACAGGCCAAGGTATACAGCCTATCCTGGGTACTGGCCTTAACGTCCGCTCTCCGAAGATTACAATTGACGATGGAAATGGAAATACAACCATGACTCCACCGGATGGACACGTTCCCAGAAAACATCTTGCGTCGGTGGGAAAGAAGACCACCGCGCGACCACCGACATACAACGAATTCGCGCTAGATGATACGGAGCCGAACGGCGCGAATGATCCTCAAGATACTTTGTTCAGTCAAGTGTACGAGTGGCTTCAGCATGAGAAAGCGAAGCAACGGGGTCACAAACTGCGGATATCGGGCGATGGGAATGGGATGGATAGTGCGCTGGCGAGTGATGGAGATGATGACGACGAAGTTACCCACGCTCAACCGAGGACCGTGGCTTCCAAGAACAAGACCTTAGCACTTGAGGGATTGGAAAAAATCCTGCTCGAGTACACCACTTCTCGATACGATGGCAGCAACACCTCCGTTTCCTCCACGCGACGATTTGGCCGCCGGCGCCAGGGTAAAAAGGGTCTGCGCAGGGCCTCCGCCTCCGAATCTGATAACCTGGATGTCGAGTACGGTGTGCCCTATGTTGATGCGTCGCTGGATAACTCAAGAACACTGGGATACAGCGGTGGCGCTGCGGAGGACGAACAGGATGGGAGCACGACTGATTCGAAGCGCGCCAAGGAACGAGATGCTTGGTTGATTTTCAAGAATGAGATTGTCCGTTTGGCCCATACGATGGGGATCAAGGGATGGCGAAAGTTCCCTAAGGAGTGTGCCGGTGATATTGATGTGGTTCGACTTAGCGGTGCTCTGACCAATGCGGTCTATGTCGTGACACCACCGGCCAACCTTCCACCTCCTCCTAGAGCGGAAGATGGATCTTATACTCTGGTTCCTAGACGGTCTCCTCAGTAAGTTTCTGCACTTTTTCCTGGCGATTTTGTCTGACTTTTTTTTTTTTTTTTTTTTTTTTTTTTTTTTTTTTTTTTTTTTTTTTTTTCAGGAAACTTTTGCTTCGTATCTACGGTCCCCAGGTGGAACACCTGATCGACAGAGAAAAAGAGCTACAAATCCTCCGCCGCCTGGGTCGAAAGAACATTGGACCTAAAGTGCTGGGCACTTTCAACAATGGCCGATTCGAGCAATACTTTGAAGCCCGAACCCTCACCCCAGAGGATCTGCGGTACCCAGACACAATGAAGTCGATCGCCAAGCGGATGAGAGAACTGCACGATGGCATCGAGCTGGAGAAGGAGGAACGGGAAGGCGGCCCTATGGTTCTCAAGAACTGGGACAAATGGGTTGACCGGTGCGAACAAGTGATCAGCTGGTTGGACAAGGAGATCCAATCGGACCATAACGATGCGAAGGCCCAAAGCGAATCGTGGCGTCGCCGCGGTTTTGTCTGCGGGGTCCCGTGGCCGGTCTTTAGGAAAGCGGTTGACAATTACCGCAAGTGGCTTGAGGATACTTGTGGTGGTGCTGATGAAATTAAGCGGCAGCTTGTTTTCGCGCATAATGATGTGAGTCTCCTCTGCCTTATCGCATTAGGCATGTGCTAATGTCGCAGACACAATACGGCAACCTCCTCCGTCTAGAGCCCAAATCTGAATCGCCATTGCTCCTCCCTGCAAACGAGCACAAGCAACTAGTCGTCATCGACTTTGAATACGCATCAGCCAACACCCCCGGCTTCGAATTCGCCAACCATTTTGTGAGTCCCGTCTCCACTCCCCAAGATATTCAACCGCTAACCAACTAGTCCGAATGGTGTTACAACTACATGGACCCCGAATACTCCTACTACTTCGACATCACACAATACCCCACCCCCGAGCAACAACACAACTTCATCTCCGCCTACGTCTCCCACCGCCCCTTCAGCAGCCAGTCTTCGGTATCACCGTCAGGAACCCCGCAAATGCGCGCCGCAACATCCAACCCACCAACCTTCAACCTCGACGACCACGACCCCAACCAGACCCAGAAATATGCAGACGCCGAAAAGGCAGCAGAGGATCTCCACGAGGCTGAAGTGCAGTTCTTCATGAGACAGACTCGTCTGTGGCGTGTTATCAACTCCGCGCAATGGGTTGCTTGGGGTGTAGTACAGGCGAAGGTGCCGGGCATGGAAGAAGGAATCGCAGCAGCCGAGGCCGAAAAGGCACGGCAGCAGGGCCACGAAAATGGCAACGGCCACGGTAACTCGAACGGTTCCGCTGAACACCACCCAGAAGAGAATGGTGACGATGCAGATGACGATGACTTTGATTACCTTGCGTACGCGCAGGACCGGGCTATGATTTTCTGGGCTGATATGCTTGCATTTGGCCTTGTCAAGGAGGATGAGCTGCCGAGCCATGTGGTGGAGCATGTTAAGTCTCGGACTCTGGAGTATTAGTTGTTTAACTATTGTTGTTTTATCAAGTAATTATTGAAAGACATGACTGACGACTTTGTTGCTGGTCTGGCATTACGTTAATGTTATGTAAATAGCAATATCATTTATCGCTGACTTAGTTATATGCATATGCTTCCATAAACTACAACCCAAGTGTACCATGTACTGCACTCCACTCCGTTCCATGCTAATAGCTCTCCCAGAACTGCGCGTCAATCGCAACCAACCGATTAAATAACTGATTCCGCCCCTTCATCCCAGTCAAATGGTAGCACTGCCCAACCTCTCTCCCACAAACCACCAACCCATCCGCAACCTCCTTACTCTTCACCGTCAACTCCACAATCAACTTCCCTTTCCACCCGAGCCCCTCCGTCTTCTTCAACTCCCTAATCTCAGTAACAGGGATCTGAAAAAGCACCTTACTATCTTTCTGGTTCTCAATCCGCAGATCATCCAGCGCACCCGAGTTCTGCGTAGTGAAGTAAAGCAAAGGCGGTTCCTTGGAGGAGTCGATGACGACTGTTCCGCGCTTGCGTTCGAATTTCGCTTCGAATTTCAGCGGGCCCATGGGCGCTGTTATGAAGCCTTTGCGTTGCAGCATGCCGAGGAGGTTTTGGGTGTGTGCGGAGCCGGCGATAGCCATGGCGCGATCGAGAGCGATGTGGGATTGGATGGCCGTGGTGATTGTGCGGCGGAAGATTTTGAAGAGTTTGGTGAGCCAGCGGCGTTTGCTGGGTTTGGGGGGTTCGAGAGAGTCGGCGGAGGGTTGTTTTTGGAGGGTGGATGAGAGGTCTTGAGTACTGCCGTTGTTGTTGTTGTTGTCGCCGTTGGTGATGAGGTTGTTGGAGCTGTTGGATTTCTTGCGAGAGATGGGCCATGAGGGTTCGATGTTCGAGGAGCCTGGTGGAGGGGGGAGAGGGGAGGAGTTCATTTCGCCGATACGGAGGAGGGTCAAGGTGAGTTGGGCATTTGTAGGGACTCCTTTCAGAAGTGTTCTAGATTGGTTAGCAAGGTGAAACTATATCCAAACTAGGGTCCAAGCATACTTTTGCATATCCAAATGGTCCTTCCAGTTTGGAACTTTGCGGTTCAAGAAGTCCATTGTCCATTCGAAAACTGGGTCGCCAAAGAATCCGAAACCGATAGCGAAACCAATGCCCTTGACAATCATATAGCTTGACGTGACGTACGAGGCAAAGCAGATAGAGACCAATATTCCCACCAATTGCAAACGAGCTGATATAGCAAAGAATGGCGGTGTTGGCGAAAAGACACTGGATAACCATTAGCATTGTTGCTTAGTTTGTAAAGCAAGGACAACATACTTGGCAAATCTTTCATAAAGATCTGTAATATCACTGATAACCCGCATCGTCTGATTCGTAGCTTTGTATACCTTTTTCTTCATAGGCTTCTCAGTCTTGTCTTCAGCCGGGGCATTCTCACCCGGCGCCTCCGTTGTCACTGGCACCACTTCCGTCGAACCAGGCATGGACGGAGCCTCCGGGATTCCCTCTGCTAAAGTCTCAGTTGAACTCTCAGCCACACCCTGGCCATATTTCCCAGCAGCACCTTCGACAGCAACAGTAGCGACCATGTTGACTAAGTTGCTAGCCTCTTGCTCAGCCGCTTCACCTTTGTGTTCCTCCGAAACACCAGTGATACTATCGTGCGATTCATGCTGCCCGGGCTTTGCATCGGGTTCAGCCGGCTCAGGGAAAAGCGATGATCGGACTGGTGAGAATATAATTAAGGCAATAAGGACGCCGGAGAGGGCAGGAATGAGGAGATCGACGAGCCACGCGACGAAATAGAACTATGATTGTCAGCCATTATATTGAAAAACTCCGGGTATCTACATACTGCACAGAACTTTGCTGTCCGCCGAGGCTCCTTCCACGACCGCAACCTGCCAATATGATTGAAGAAACTAGAGAATCCGATGATTACGGAAGTATAGAATCGTTCCAGAGTTATCCGCAGCTTTTCAGGGGGATATTTTTCGTCTTCAGCGCGGTTAAGGTCGAGCGCCTTTTGGGGGGCTTCTTCTGCGGCTTTCACATAATAGATTTGCTGTGCACGTGCTATTTTAGCAATTGATTTGGGTCGCATTGACTCGACGTAGATAAAACAAACCTTGTTAAACCGCCGAATAAGCATCCATAAGTCCTCGTTCGACAATCCCTCTGCTAGAGTTTCCTCCAGCGTCCTGGAAGACGGCCGATATTTGATCTCGGGAGGGTTCGGATGGTTCCTGACATTGGTAGCCAGCGCGCTGTCGCCCGTCTCTGTCCTGACTAGATCATGACTGTCTGTATCATCTAATGACCCCGGTAAATGTTCCTGGCTCATAGTGACGGTAAAAGGTCTAAATAGAGGAGATGTTTGTTTTGTGTTGGGGATTCGAAAAGGGCCCAGTTTTCAATCATGGGTTATGCCGGTCGATGACATCATACCCAGGGGCATTGGGGCAGTGAAACAATATCTTTTACCCCGCGTTTTTGGCTGTCTACGCGTATCTCCTTTGGTTATTGTTGTACGAATGAGCAAGCATAGAGTATGGAATGCTTTGAGCAGGCATTGGGTGATATGTCAAGCTGAGTTATGCTGTACCTGGCCGGTCCGGGAAGCTTAACGTGGAGAAGCTGGACGCGGACCAATCCGACGGGTGCAATTATATCATTCCATTATCCAGCATTGTATCAAAGCGTGTGTCTTCACAAGTACCAAGCAACTATCCCAGAACTCAATACGATTGGACTCCAGCCCAGACACGTCCATGTCTCTGTGCTGGACTTGGGCATTCCCAGTATGCTCAAACCACGCTAGCACCGCAGCATAATGTCTAGGCCAGGAGAGCTACTATTTCTCTCGGTGGCGCCACGTATGGGTCGGTGATGGGAAGGACATTTTACTTTCCTTCTTCTGAATTTCTCGGCGACAGCAACGGCGATGGCCAGACCAAACTAAGGAGAGCGCAAAGATGTTTCGTTGGTCGCGTCGGTTGCGGTTACTTCCCAAGGGATGGCCTAGGCTGTATCGAGTACTCTGAGTTGTTCAAGTGTCATTGAGTTGAAGATGTCGAATGATTCGGCGAGGTAGATTCCATTCTCGGTGCGATTTGACTTCTGGACCGTGCGGGAACCAGCATGCATGATGGGGACTTTCGTAACCTTCTCATTCCTACTAGCGAGATTGTACTGGTGATCTGTAACGAAACCTTTGTTGGGTGTGTCATATCCGCTGGAAACAGGAATGACCTGGGCAGCTTTCCCAGCAGTGTTCTGGGAGATGTTCAGGCGACTATTAAGACCGGTAATAATCCCAATGATATTGCCGGTGCAGTCGTCGGCGTCATGAAAATTAACAGTATATTTGTCGTCATTGAAGTTGTCAACTTAGCCAACGCAGAATTGGAAATCCCCTCGTTCAATGCAGTGCAGGTACTTGGTTCAACGAGTCGGTCGATCCCAACTTGTGCGCCTATAATGCTGAATAGACCAGGAAGCGAAACATTTTTTTTACTGGTCTGGGTCCCGAAGGGAAATAGGTTCAAAACGAACTATTGCAAGGAACCTGGGTGTTGATATAACCAACCAGTTTCTTGCAGAAGTAAAGGTTCGTTTTGTGCTTCGGATGTCGGCCTCATGAGGCTCGCCGGAACTTGTCTCCAGAATCCATTAGCGTCTTGGATCAAATAGGACAATCTCCGCTACTCTGTTTACATGCCCCATTGTTCAAGCGAAACTAATATAAGTAGGCCGTGTGGAGTCTTGATATACAAGCCGTATCAGTGGCCAAGATTCAGATTAAACTCGCGGGAATCCATGGTCACAACCGTTACCAAATGGCCCACAGTGAATTTTTTTTTTTTTTTTGGCAACCTTGCCAGGCAGTATATTGAGCGATTTCCGAGACATTCGAAGCACAGTCCACTTCTTGCTTGATTCTGTCCGGAGTAGGACACCGTTGTCCCGAGAGGCCCCAGAGTAGGTTGTGGTTCGGCGTGGGCCGCGAATGAGTCAGGGCGTAGGTATCATTGCTTAGAACATTGAGTTTTAATGGGGCATCAGGGGCGATGTTCAGGATCAATAGTTTGATTAGAGAGTCTCCCTTTTTCCTTGTTGGAGGGAAATAAAAATTTTGTTATGGGATTTCCCACACAACCAATTTTTGGGATTTCGAGCTGTGAGCCCTATGCCTCTATTGCAAACCAGAGACACAGTGCACTAGCATCTGTATTCAGTTGTTAGCTGTAACCTCTTGAGTACATATATTCTGGCAGAAGGGAGGGTGAATGCTCCAGCGAAGCAGATTTTAGAACCGATAAGGAATCCGGTAAACTTGCATCCACCATGGATGGAAGTTGAAGAGAGAAGGGGAGTTCACCTTGACACTTTCCTATGTCAATGAAAGAAAGGCGACTATTGCGCCACTGAGTTAGGGCGCAACGAGTACGCGCGTGGGCCACGGCGAGTCCAAAGCCGGGTTCCGTTCTTTTCAAACGTGACGCCCATTCAGCACCCCCCGTCATCAAATTCCCTCACATGTCCCTCAAGCAAGCCCAGTACTCCAAATGCAGACATACTATTTATAGGAATATAAGAGAAAAATAAGATGAGCCTCATCATTAACAACTCATACACACCCCATAGGGCCAAACTTAAAACCGATATCCACAGCATTGCCCGGAAACCCACCTGAAACGAAGTGGGATATGTCTACACAGCCACAAGCCTCACCATCATCGTTTATCGATCTCCGTAGGGTAATTCGATATCATCTGTCAGAGCCGCAATGTAAGCCAATGCAGCGGAGCAGGGTTAGATGGTAATACAACGCAGGGCCATGTATGACCCCACGATGTATACAGTACAATGCGATGCAGTGCCACATAGTAGCGATCTGTCACGGAGGAGATGGTAAAAGGGGAGGCTACTCCGGATTATGTGCATTGTAGACCAATGGGTTAGCGCCAGCGCATAGGGGAATCTGCACTGTATGGCAATGGCAGTGGCGGGATTCATTCCATAAGGATTCCGGAACATAAAGAACCAATTGGATTGGCTAGAACTGACTGGGTTGGATTGATGCTAGGTATGCAGTATCACTGCTTACGCATATCAGATGTACTCTATACGGCGTAATACGGCAGGTAGATGTCAATGTAGCACAAGCTGAGCTTAGCATGTTTACTTGCTGCATTAATAATTTGCAGTGGATAATAATAGCGCATGCTGACCTCACTTGGAATCGCGAATTACCATGGATAAGGATGTTCTATGTATGGGGTTGAATCTCAAGGGTACCGCTACTTGATGCAAGCGTCATAATTATTAATATTCTGCATATGGTAGTACACCCGAGGACATAGAATGACAGCTGGATATCCATGGTTATCTTTCTCGTCTATCGCCGATTCCAGCTTTGCTACCCCAAGGGTACCGGATCTGGCTAACCCGAATCGGAATTCGGGAACGAGATACAATGGATCCATGTATTCTGCTCCCAACAGATTGCAGAAAAGATATAGATGCGTCTAGATTGTATTATATGGTAAATGGAGATAAGGTCTTTGTATAACCGTGTATGTTCTCAATTTAGCGAAGAGCAGTGACCACTCTACATTAGCACTCGATAAACCCAGTAGTATTGAATCAGGTGGTCGAATAATCGCACATAATCAGCTTGCCCAATGACTAGGATGCTCATAAATGGAAAAGCAGACGAATTCATAGTTTAGCCTATGTTAATAGCATCGTGTAGCTGCATGGATATTTATCAGCAAGGCTAAGGCGTTGTGCCAGCACGCTATTAGGCTCAATTCGCGCTAAATTGGCGTCATGGTACGGTCCTATTCAACGGATAACTAAGCATAACTAGTCCTAGTATCATAGACGCCCTATTGATCTCCTGATCGCTCTGACACACAAGTATGAAAACAAAAAGGGTCAATGATTGCCCGAGCTCGTCGGCTCCGATTATGCTGACGTAGGGTATCTGTAGGTCCCAATCATGTGATGGACATGTAATGTACTCTGTATGGGGCGAAGGATACGGCGTATCGAGAGCGACCAGATCAACAGGGTCGCCGGATAGCTGGATCGATCAATGCTCCATACACTTAGAACGGAAATTGTTCATCACTCTAATGTCACTAAGAACAGTAGCCCAGTTTCGAACAGGGGACTACTCTGTATGCATTGGAGATAAGGCCTCGCTTAGCGAGTCATGAAGACATGAAAATGGATATTGTCGAGATATCCGTATTCCGTACAGAGTACTGACAAGTGCGGAGAAAACAGCAACCATGGTTCTGATTGGGGGCTTTGGTCCGGGCTTTGAGCGGCGGGACGGCAATCTCCGATGCTACCGTTTTAGGATATAGGTCGATTTCCTATTTTCCTATAAACAGTTCGGAGTATCTACGACTAGTTAAGTCATGGACAATGATGCATTAGGTAGTGAATGGCCTGTTGTTCCCGTGGGTGGGAGATGTCATGAATGTTCTGGATATTGCTGCATGCGGCGAATTGTACCGTTTTCTGGCGCAACGTGGGTGAAAGGGAGGCGAGGTGTCAAAAGGGTGTGTGGTTCTTTTTTGTTGTTGAGGCTCAGTTTGAGTTGGGCGGGTCTTTGGGGGGGGGGATCATATCCTAACCAGGTGCAAGGCAGAACCCGGTGAGATACACCGATGTACTCCGTGCTCTGATTCAGTATGCTGTCCGCAAGGTTTTTTTTTTTTTTTTTGTGTCTCTGAGTGTCTCTGAAATTCTTATTTGCTTTCTTCTTTTCAAATGCTTGGTAATAATTATGCTGAGTTGGTTAGTGAGTGTTTATCATTGGATAGAAAGAGGAAAACCAGACGAAAAACGTGTCATCGTCCTTAGGCATTCGACAAGTTACTGTACGGGGCGTTTCGTACCGTACTGTATTTTGTAACAGCGATACTATGGGGTGCCCCCTACGGAGACATGTCACGGGGGATCTCGGTCATAATTGGCCCACTTTAGACCCCAGGATCTCTGCTAATATACGAGCGCACCAATAACAGACTCTAGTATCAGCCGCGATGGACCCGGCCCGCAGCTCCGGGCAGCGACCGAAAAAGAAGATGGGCAGCTTGACAGGAGCCAAACTTTGGGCAGTGTCCGTTTTGTCTTTGCGGTCAGTCCGTGCTTCTGATAACGATCAGAATTCATACATCTAAACGATCAGATCACGCGAAGTTTTACTGGATTCTATTATGACTATGTTATTTATTTATTTATTTTTTTTTTCGAAGAATATGATTCCCTGGTACAGAGTACTCCGTGGATGTACACCATGACCAGCGCCTGGGGAAAGTGGGGGGTGGTTGGCAAAAAAACAAGGGTCACGCTGGTCCGCGTTCACCATTAGAGTTGTTCCACTAACCAGTCGATGCACGGAACATGGTTGGATGTTCTCGATATTGTTATTATTGCCCAGAAGTCTGAAGTCACACATCATCATTGAGATCCTTGATCCATCGATGCCATGAGGAGGCAGATACAGTCTTACTACAGCATGCAGGATGTATGTGCTGTATTTGATGATATTTTTATTCTCACTGTATAAGAATATCATACTCATAACGGGGAAGCCGAGATTCGTCCACTTGACCAGTGAGCGGTCTGATCATCCCAACAGCAACTAACAAGTACATAGCACGGAGACCGGAGCACAGAGATCCCGACGACTGCGCTTGTAGGGAATGAGTATTATTTCCCGATATGGAATAGCACATGCGGCTCTTACCTCATTGATCGAGACCCGACCACGGTTCAATTGGGGCCGGTGGCTTGGCGCCAATCATGTGCCCATCGGACGGTATGGTACGGTAAATACGATTACAGAACACCCCAGGCTGGCAGCTGAACTGTGAATCATAACAGCAAGTTATGTTTGGATGTGCAATTGGAATGGGCATCAGGGGATAATTCTAGACGGTATTGTTTGCTTTTTTCCACGGAAATGAGATGAATAATAAAAATAAAAATAAAAAGTTGTGGTTCGACCATATTATCTTCACCACCTAACTCGATCAGCATCGCTAAAGAAGGACGAGGCTGTGGACTTGTTCCCACTGGCCCTTTTCCCTCATTGTCCTCTTAAAAGACTTCTTTTAAGCCGCGAGCCGCAACGGTTGGTGGTCCTCTTCTCTCTTTCTTTCTCTCTCTCTGTGCAGTCCCTCCTACTAACAAGTCTTTTTCTCTTTCATATTCTCTGCCCCTCTGCATCTTTTATTTTATTTTATTTTATTTCTCTTCGTAACTCACTTCTCTTCCCTGCTTCCTTTGTCTAGGAAGTATACTATCTTCGACAGGTCGTGTTACTCCACGTGCTTCCCTCGTCTAGGGTCTTCCATTACACTGGTACCGGTGCATCCTGGCATCTTCACATTATATATACTTCTTATATACCTATACTGCCGTCCTCTGAAGTTACTTGCTCCAACACCCTTACTTCTCCTCTTTTACATCTATCGAATCACAGAGAGCCTCTTGTCTGCAACCAACTTCAAAATGGTCGGTCCGCGTGGTGGCCCATCTCGCAAGAGCCACACCAAGTCTCGTAACGGCTGTAAAACCTGCAAAAGACGACACATCAGATGCGATGAGAGCTTTCCACAATGGTATGGTTCAGTCACCAGCTGAGGGATAGCAAACAAACACTAACGCCGAATTAGTCGCAATTGTACCAAGCACAACTGTCGTTGCGACTACATGGACTCGTCCGCTGCCAAAGACACTGCCTCCAACTCGCGCAAGGCCCCTGACCTTCTCATGTCGCCGGAGATTGAGAGTGAGATCGAGAACTGGCACATTACCGGCTTGCCTCCTTTCCCGGAACTGCTCCACTGTCCCCAAAATGGATGGCATGGGCTGTCGCGAACGGATTTGCGGTTGATTCATCACATTACGGGTCTTTCGATCGATCTTCACCGTCGTGGATTCAGTAACTGCACGACCTGGGCACGATTGATGCCCAAGTAAGTGTTTCAAATATATTGATTGAGGAACACTGGCTGACACACCGCAGTTTCCTTGTAGTTGCGTTGTCAAACGATTATGTGATGAGTTCTGTACTAGCCCTATCGGCGGCTCACCTTGCCTGGATTACCCGGAACAAAGATACCAAATATCTCGCACACCGTCATCGGGGAGCCGCGATCAAGGGACTACACAAAGCTATTGGTACATTTTCGAATGACAACAGTGAGCCAATCCTGGCAGCTTCGATTTTGCTGTCGTGGCAGACAACGGAATGGCAGAGCTGGGCATCTTTACAGAAGGGGATCACTACAGTATGTTACAAGCGTCTAACCAATTGTTCAGTGGCTAAATGGTATGCAGGTCTTGAGCACAATGCATCCAGCTTGGAAGCAAAAGTCAGAGATAGCCCAGTTCTTAGAGACCCAGAGGTACCTAGGATGCACCAACTCTCCGGCCATGACCGGATTCCAATTCCAGGAGAAAAACCTGGTCCACGTCGACCAGACCATCACGGCCCTCGAGAACGTACAAGAGCAAGTTGCGCACAGCCACCAAGAGCATTACTGTCGAATTGAGGAACTATTGGAGTTCCTGCGACACTTCCGTAAGGATATTCCCAAACAAACTCCCCAGGAAGCCTTTGAACGCGTTCAGCCCTTGCGACGATGGCTGTTCTGGCTGCCTCCTGCCATGCTCCGGGGTGGAGAAACCGATATCAGCGCGCTTGCCATTCTTTCCCAATTCTTCGCTACCGCAGTTACCTTGGATGCGGTCTTCCCTAATTTAGGCGGCGCGTATTTGGGTCCCCTCTCAATGGGACCCATTGAGGACATCTATCAGATCATTGCTGCCCGTAACGCAACAGATCCGTTTAACCCAGAATTACAATTAGCTCTCACTTTGATGGACCTCCCACAGCAAGCAGTCGCCCAATATAAGAAGCGCTTGTATTTGTCGCCGCGACCCTCCATCGACTATACCTCCCCACCGCCCCTCAGTCCTTATGCCCCGGTTCAAGACTTCCGGGCAGGTTCTTCGTCTTCTCCGTCCACCTCACCTTCATACACCCCATACACTCCTCCCCTCCACTCGCCCCCAGAAGTGGGCGCTGCGACCTCCCCATTCGAGTTTGTCGACTACATAACAGCGCCAACACAGGCATTATACCCACCGTCACCGGGCTTACTCTCGGACTCCTGCGAGGGCGTGTCTGATTTCCCATCAGCCTACCCCGATGACGTCCTCTGCAGCGGTGGTCTTTCCCGAACCAACGACGCTCTGGGAATGATTTTCGAATATTATCCTCCACAGAGTAATCGGGATCTGCTTGCGGCCCAGTCCAACTGGGCTTGAAGCGCAGTTCATGTTTCTCTTTCCGACATTATACTTACGAGCAACGCTTCACTTCTGATACCCTTTCTACTTATTATATTGATTTTACTACATACGATTTATTTATCTGCTTGGAGTGACTGGTGTTAATTTTGCATGCAACTAACTGGGACGGATTTGTGCTTATTCTTGTTGGGATATGATACCATGGGGCCAATTAATGAGGAAACATACCACTTATTCTGCTATAGGTGCATTGGAATTATGAAAATACTCTATTCTATACTTTTGTTATATTTATCTAGCCTTATATGGATTGGCTTTTTCATCTTGAGGCGCTGTACCATGGCCATAAGCTAAGTTTCTGGAACGCTATATATAGACATACCGAACTTCCGTCCCCATATCAAACGGCCAAACTCAAAGTCCACGTTTAATTGGGATAATCCTGACTGCCAAAAAAATCCATTCCAACCCTATTCGTATTCAACCTCATCGGCGCTATGTTTCATAGTTCGCACCCCACAATGACATAATAATGCACGTGATAGAAATCACCTTGTTTGCATCATTGCCAAACAATTATCGGCGGGCAACATCGTTTGTTTCTCTTTCTCTTTCCTGCCAGATTTTCAGGCTCTTTACACTGTGATATTTTTGTCATTAGCAGGCTTGGTTAAAGGATCTGGACTGCGGTATCACGAATTTTGCATTGCCTAGCAAAAAACAGAAACAGACAGAGACACCATGGCTGACGGTGGTGGATGGAGCACAATTGAGTCCGATGAGGTACTATCCTCCTTTCTTGGTTTGAAATGACCGAAGCTAATAGTCTCATCGCAGGGCGTCTTCACATCCCTCATAGAAAACCTAGGCGTCAAAGGCGCTCAATTCGAAGAACTCATCTCCCTGGATCCAGATACCATTCGTTCCTTGAGGTACCCTCCTCTCCCCTCAAGCTCTATCTGCTACGCTCCGTTCCGCAAACAAGCATACTAAAAAAAACAGCCCCGTCTACGGCGTAATCTTCCTTTTCAAATGGCTTCGCGAAACAACCAACCCCTCAACCCCCACAACTCCCCAAGACGGCACCTACACAACAAATCCACCCGATAACCTCTTCTTCGCCGCTCAAACCATTCAAAACGCCTGCGGCACCCAAGCCATTCTCTCCATTATCCTAAACCAAGACACCCCCGCCACCCACAACAACAACCAACCGATAAATATCGGCCCCGAACTCCAATCCTTTAAGGACTTTACGACTGGCTTCCCGTCTGATTTGCGCGGCGAAGCGCTCTCGAATTCGGAGGCCATTCGCACCGCGCATAATGCGTTTGCCAAGGCGTCGCCGTTTGTTGATGAGACGACCCGTCCGCAGGATGAAGAGGAAGGCGGGGATGCGTATCATTTCATTGCGTACACGCCTGTGGACGGGGTGTTGTATGAACTTGACGGGTTGCAGCCATATCCGATTAGCCACGGCGAGTGCGGTAATGATTCGTTCCCTGAAAAGGTGATTGAGGTATTGCAAAGGCGGATTGCGCGGTATCCCGAGGGCGAGACAAGGTTTAATCTTATGGCTGTTACGCGGGATTTGCGGATGCAGGCGCAGGAGACTGGGGATGCGGAATTGGTGGAGCGGGAAGAGAGGAAGAGGCGGGGGTGGGCTTGGGAGAATACATTGCGAAGGTCAAATTTTGTGGGGTTTATTGGGGAGGTGCTGAAGGGGGTTGCTGGGACGAAGGAGGCACAGGGGCCGGAGGCGTATGATGAGTGGGTTGAGAAGGCTAAGATTGATACGCAGAAGAAGCTGGCGAGGCGGTAGTTTATGTACAGTACAGTATCTGATATGCATACATACCCGGTTCATGTCATGTCTAGAGTAGTCACTTATATTGATATGCCACACGTTTGCTCAGAATGTCTTCAGATGTAGAACGGCTACTCTGCACACGGGATCTATCTAGTTATTAGCTAGTCTATCTAAGTACTAATTATGAACAACAAAGCAAAAATCGTACAATCCATTAACCCCCAATCCATAATTCACCAGTTTTACCAGGTTCCCTTGGCTATACAAAGTACAACCACTCTTTCTTCTTCCCCTTCGAGAATATACCCTAGGTGCATCCATCATTTATGCAGGCGCCATAGCAAAATGGCAATTAAGCAAGCAAGCTTTTTTTTTTTGCAGAAAGACATAATAAAAAAAAAAGAAAGAAAGAAAGGGAATAAAATCAATACACGCCAGGTTCATGAAGTAAAATAAAGAAAGGAATCATAACAAAAACATAGACAAGAATAGATTTTCAGATATTCACTCCATTCCCGACTGATTCCGGAAAGAAGGTCGGAATAAAAAACAGAAAAGAGAAATGCAATGAAGAAGCGCCTTTCGCCACGGAATGTTGGAAACCGATGCACATCTAAATCTGGTATACAGTACGAAGTTTTTGAACAGCAGGAGGCGAAAGTTGCGAGAGGAACGAGTCGAAGTTGGGTATCATGTTTTTATAGCCTTGCAAGACCTATACTCTGTTAGAAACAAGATTCTTGATAGCGTGGTGATGAGGTAAATTACCTGTTGGAACGAGGTCAAAATGTCACGGTAATCTTCCTGGTTAAGCGTCTTGGTGGGGAACGAGGCAATGGCCTGGAAATAATCCCCAAGACAAGACTCCATCGCCTGCGGGTTCTTCATAACCGCCTGGTTGAAACCCAAAAAGGCAGATGCCTTTTCGCGCGTAAAGTCGATCTTAGCCATAGATTTCAAGTACGGACTCGCGTACTCCCCGAGCCGCGGGGCAAGCTGGTCTGAGCAGCAGATTCCTAAACGTCCAAGGGCCATTGCGGCGTTCTCGTTGACCGAGTCAATGATCTCTTCGTTGGAGATGATTACGAGCAGTCCTTGGTACAGCTTATCGGCGTACGGCGACAAGGGTGCTTTTTCGTTGACTGCGATTTCACCGCAGGACCAGCAGGCGTTGTTCAGCACGCTGAAGCCAGTGTGGCGATCGTCATCTTTAATCAGGTCAAGGTCCAACTGCTTAATCAAGATAGGCATGATACTCGGGATGAACTGCTCGAGTTGTGGGAAGATATTGATTGCACAATCACCCAACAGTGCATACGACGACTGGCGAACCTCATAGTTGGGGTCCTCCATACAGAAGCAGAGGAGGTCGAAGAACCGCGGCTGCGAGTTGCCAACCAATTCGCTACTCTTCTGAGGATCGATAGCCTGGATAATGGCACTTAGGAGATCCAAGCTGGTGACCAAGAAGTCCTTGTCAGGCTCGTCAATGGCCTGGTTGTTGACAGACGCCACGTACTCCTGAAGGTTTTCGTAGATGATCTTGGTGCACCTCTGGAAAAGCGGGAGAGCAAATGGCGCAAAAGCGTCACCGTACGCGCCAGCAATGTACCCCAGGCACTCCAGCAATGGGAAGAGTTCTCGAGACAGATCCGAGACCTTGTTGTAGCGATCAATAAGGGCAGGCATGAGAATATCCACAAGGTTAGGCTTAGCCAACTCTCCCATTACACATTCCGCCAACGTCTGGACACAATCATAGAGAATGTACATGTTGCGGTACTTGTACTTTCCGAAACACTGCACGAACTGTCGGAGAATAGGCTCGCAATAGGGGACCAGATTGGCGTCCGACTTCTCTTCCAGACTAGCAAATGCAGAGGCAGCTGCCTCCTGCACCTTCTTGTTGTTGTCAAGCATCCTGCGCAGGATTCCTTCCATCATGGGCTCAAAGAATTGGGCCCTCTGCGAAGGATCTTCCAGGTGCGATGCCCACTCAGAGTACCGACCAAGACACCAACAAGTGATCTGTCGCACCACAGGCTGCGCGTCTTCCAGCAACGAAATGAGGTAGGGAACGAGTTCCGGGAGGTGTGGGGTGACTGCATCATTGCACCCATCTGCAACTGCACCGAGGGTCAGGACAGCAGCTTCCCGGTGGGGCCACTGGTCGTGACGGAGAGTCTCTTTCAGGTAAGGCAGAATAACTTCGAAGATAGGCTCGTGGTAGACGTTAGAGAAGACGTCCAGTGCAGCAGCAGAGCACTTTCTCAATGTCCACTCGTCTTCTGGGTCATCGCCATATTCCGACTCCTCGATCTCTCCATCGCTCAGGTCGTCATCGTCCTCCTCCTCGGGGGCATTGCCATTTTCCTGCCCGTCCAGTTGTTTCGAAGGGTCCAACCTGGAGGCTTTCGACTTAGCAAACTGAGGTCTAATTTCCTCCTCGCGGTCTTCAACATCAGCATCGTCTGCTTCACTCATCAACCGAATTACTTCATCATCGTCGTACACCATGCTCTCCAGGAGAACGGGGACAATTCTAGGCATATGCGGTGCTAGAGGTTGCTGTAGTCTCGCCTGCTCACCAGCGACTAGCCAGAACTCCGCCGCATCAAGGGCAAGCTCCGGGTCCTCCTGATTGCGCTGCTGCAAGATGATGTAACTGACCAAGCCTTCGATATGGGGAATCAATTTCTCCGGAGCAAAGTCCACAAGCTGCGCAAAAGTTTGGCACACAGTGCGCCGCACATCTGTGCTAGTGTCATTGGCCAGTTGGAAGAGCTGCGACAGGAAAAAGTCCATCGAAGAGATCAGGGCTTGAGGTCGGTGCGGAAGGAAAATGTGGATGGTACCCAGCGCCATGGCTCGGACCTTAGGGCTTTCATTCGACGTGAATTCCATCAGCTTGGGAATGATCACATCTAGCGGACGCTGTCCAGCATAGTCCCGGTCAAGAATCTTGTGGTTGTCCTCGCAAACCTTGGCGAGGGCTGACATGGCGGCCTCTTGGGTCACAATCGGAACGTCTCCCGAAGAATTGTCCATGAGTGCGATCAGCTCTTGCAGCACTTCTGGCCATGCGAGCAGTCCCGCCTGCTGGAGCAGCTCCGTGATGATGCTACCTGCTGAAGCGCGCACTTGTTGGTCGTTGTCGCGGAGCCCGATAAGAGTGGCGGAGCGGATATATGACATGCTTTGTTGAGAGATTGTGTGGTATGCCACCCGGATCTTCGTTTTGACGTTCATTGCAGCGGCAATCCGTATCGTGCTGCATGTCTTTTCATCCATGCCCAACGACGAAGGGTCTTGCGGGGTGGAGAACAGGAATGTAATGTAATTGACATAATCTGGCGAGGAAGTTGCTTGAACTAACATCTATAGACGAATGATAATACAGATTAGTCCACATTGCTCTTTGAGTGTTGAAAAGTCCAGGGAAAAGGTGGGGACGGAGAAGCAATGCGCGTGGACGGAGGTTGGAAAAAACTCACCTGTTCAGCCTGCTTCTGGGCAGTCTTATTATAGGGATTCAAAGAATCCCTCAGACAGCAGGCAAGCTGCCTCAATGGCTCGGGTTGTGGTTGCCACTCCATTGTTCAGCGTGTAGAGAGGGCGCTGAGTGGTCGACAAAAAAAAGCGTAAAAAGTTGAAATTGTGTGTAGGACAAGAAACCCCGCGGTCAACGGCTTCCAAGAGATAAGTGTCGCCAAAAAGTAAAGGTGTCAAATCGCGATAGAATAAAATAAAACCTGAGGATTCGAAGTATATAATCGCCCCCAGACCGCAGGTTCAGAGGACTTCGGGGTGGCTCGCGAAAGGAACGGATGAAACGTAGAGGGGAGGTTTAGAACGGATGGCCACAGATGCCAACAACGTCGGATTCGCCAGGATTGACGGCGGTAACCAGTGTAGAGGACAAACAATTAAAGAATAGGCGAATTGAATGGTAAAAGGGGGAGCTTCGGGAGAACCGACAGCAATACACCCTATAAAGAAAAGGAGATGAGAAGTGAAGGAAGACGAGGAGAGGGCGAACAGGAGGGAGTGCGAAGGAAGAGGAGCGAGTGAAGAGGAGAGCCACCACTAAAGATTACGGTGAGGGGTGTATGTACGGTAACTTGTACCAAGAAGTCATGAATTTGAGTCTCTTCAAGTCTTAGGGTTTACATTTTCCAAAAAAGAAAAGAAGAAGCAACGAAACTACAGTATTTTTGCCCTTCTGGGTCGACCCCATCAAGGATGCTCACCTTTGTTTGGGATGGCTGTTCTGTGGTGCGTAGGCTACCTGTATGCCCGATACACCGAGCATTAGCGGCGCATTACGCCCCTGGCAGCTCGACTTCTACAAATTGGTGCATCCTTTGTTTGTTATCATACTAGGGGTAGGGGATAGGGGGTTGAATATTCTGGCTTATTTTCTTTTCGCTACTCCATACTGTCTGGTCTCGTAGACGAGTTCTGCAAATGTAATTTTTTATAAAGAAGTTTATTATCCATAAATATATTACTAATCACAAGCACAGCGTTAGTGGTGTAGCGGTTAGCATTGGTGCCTTCCAAGCACTAGATCTGGGTTCGACTCCCAGCTAACGCATAATTATATTTTTGCCTTTTTTTTTTTTTTTCCCCGAGCCCGAACATAAGTCTGCTCCATAAACATGTGCAGGATTTGCAACTCTCATCGTGGTAAAGCTGCCCATGCCCAAACGTTCTTTATCTATGTCTGCACCAGGATTTATATCCAGAAAGGTAACCATGGTCTAAGCAGTTATGATATATTGTAAAGTAACATGCTCTGCTTTAACCTGACTGCTGTCACGGAGTACGGGCATTCACCAACAACGCAAGATGTTTGTATACTTTGGCCTGTTTGAATATAGGGCAGGAGCCCCCTTCGCATACTAGATAGCGCAGCGCTGGCAGGCCCAGCTTCTTTCTTTCCTTCTCCATGTTAGTATTTCGACAGAGTCTACCAATGAATTTATATTGTTCGAGACTGTCACAACTGCTATAGGACTGCCAGAGGTGCAACCACATGGAATGATTAATGACACAGCCAATATCCTTTGCACTAATTTTATTTGCTTGAGCCGTTATATTCTTTGCAGTAGTTGTCAGAACAACAAGCTTGAAGAGAAGGCAGCTATTTCCTCACTCTGACAGACAGCAGCCTGACCTCGTATCCACTTGATATTCATGCATTTTGTGACCCTCTTTACTGCTTCTTGTTCTACTTCTCAAGTCTTTATAAAACAGCATCAAGTTTCGCCTTATATCCATGTCCAGGTAGATAGATCCATAGTCCATAATCTGTACTTCTTCATATTATCTTGAGAATTTTCATTAGACGTAGCAGCTCAGCTTGGATAGTCCAATGTATCGGAGCGCTTTTGCTGTCTGTTTAACGAAAAGTGTGGACTGAAAGACATCTCGGAAGAAAAGCCGGTTTGTAGACTTGTCGAACAGTCCGGATTTTAGTTGGGCGTTGTTCGCATAGAATTGCGGTCCCGTCACCCTGTCCGAACAGATAATAGCATATTTGATAAACACGTGCATTGCATCGATATTCTTCAAAGACAAATCGGTGGCTGACATATAACCTGATCGTTCTCTATAGCGGAAATCCGCGCTCTGGGTCCTGCAGATGTATTCCCCGTTCCATTAAAGATTACACTGGTTGCGTTGGACTTGCAAATTCCACTGAGTTATTTGGCTGCGATTTCAAAGCGGACCGAGTCGTGGAAACGGAGAATGGGTTGCCTGTTAGCCCCATATCACGTAGCTGACTTATAACGTGGCTCGATATCTGGGGTGCGACGTTCTCGTATTGGTCGGACATGCTGTCGAGTTAGAGTAAAACGAGGTAGAAGAATATAGGGTTAAAGAACAAGTAGTGATACTAACACTAGTGTGCCTTGTCATGAATTAACTAGCTACATGACACTATATGAAGTTCTCCATCGATGCGACATTTGGTAAAGAAGCAAGCAGACCTAACATCTAGGTCGTGATTTATTCTCAGCCACGTTAGTCATTCTTTAAAACAATGCATTGTCGTTTGGCCTACTCAACCTCGACAGCAACGACATGCCGCGTACCACAGACAAGCATTAGCCCCGAATTTCTACTAACGCAAGGCACTAGCTGTCGATGTCGATTACTCACGACATACTAAGCAAGATGGGGATAAGCTATGCGAGCAACAGCTCTGTAAGCTATTGTGACCTGAAGGTTGACTACAATCCATGATCTAAGGTTGGCAGGCAACATGATATGGCGCGATATCCACGAAACATAAAACAAAGATGCTTGTGGTATCAAGTTCTCATAGGGATGTAGTACTTAACTGAAAGTTGAATGGAGAAGACCTAACTGGCCCAATATACTATAGAAAAGAGCAAGTACACTAGTTATTCACACAGCTTCCATTCACTCCTTGTCCATGAAGGTAATTTGACTTGTAGTTCAAGTGCAGCCCGGTCGAGTGAACCTATGACTGTCACAGGCTGCGCCTGTAGGATAAATGATATGTTATTCGGACGGATGATCAGAGTGGTTACTTGGCCACCTACCTCGCATAGCGTACTTCTGTATATAAAAAACTGTCTGATCGGACATCCGGCCTTCTCTTCTTCAATGAAAACTTTTGTGTGATAGCTAGTCATTAGCACTACGGGCTTAGCCCATAACAATGACCCCACGCCTATGCCTATATATGTGTGAAGTGCCAGGCTTCATCAAAGCAAGCATAATAACATAATGAGACTGTTTTTATTTTGTCAAGTTGACGAAAAAAAAGCAAAGCGGATACCATATGAATCCCCAGAGAAAGGGACAAAAGATAATAATGCGTTAGCTGGGAGTCGAACCCAGATCTAGTGCTTGGAAGGCACCAATGCTAGCCGCTACACCACTAACGCCTTGTGATGCCATTTCTACATATCAGAAGGATTATAAAGCTGCTTGATGCTCTACGTGCATGAAACACATCTACGAGTAAACCAAGAATCAAACAATAAAGAAAGCAATATTAAGCATTCAAGAAAACAAATGGTATATACAATTCCCTAACCAATTTCATTACCTAAGAAAACAAAAACATCAAAGCCAACGGGTCAAACAAACAATGTACCTAAGCCCAAACAAACTTCTTCAAGTCGTAAATCAAATGCTCCAGAATCCCCGTCCTCTTTTTCGCCTCTTCCAATGAGACGATATCTGTTTTCTCCACTAGCTGTCGCTCCTGTCCATCTTCATCACCTTCGTTATCCTGCTTCTGCTGTTGATCGCTAGGTTGTTTGGCTCGTGTGGCACGCTCGATTTCCTCACAGATACACCGTACCCAATCGGTCTCGGTAACAGTCGCAGATCCCCGCCTCGCGGCTATACTCTCTGTCACTGAGTTATGGAGCGGGAGGGCTTTGAATGCCAAAAACCGAGTGGCTGGTTGTTTGTTGCCCGTGAACCATGAAGCTATGTCCCATTCATCATTACCAGTAGCGGCGGCCGTGGGAGGAGGTGGCTCGACAATGCTGGGATCAACCTGAGTTTGAACGGTTCTAGTGTTCACGCGGCGGATATTCGCACTGTCGTCTCCCTCGCGATAAACAATTACCAGACCGACATTGCTGCGCTCGTCGACTTGGTTATCTGTTAGGACGGAGGTGATGTACGTGCCATAGTTGATGCGGGAGATGGTCTCTAGGTCGATTCGTTCGAAAGAAGTCACCTTGTCGGTGTCCCAGTCAAAGCGGCAGTTGTAGACCGCTGCATCTGTGAGAAGCATGACCGATTCCTCAAATGGTAACGTTCGTAGTGTATTCGGTTGCCGCGGACTGAGCATCGTCCATCCACCGAGGAACTCCTCGGATTGCTCACTGATGACGATCTTGCAGCTTGTATCGATGGCGTTCTGGCGCAGTTTCTGCATCGAGATACCTGGGTCTGCGGTTTGCATTTCCATGGCGAATTCAGGGAAAACCTGTGTCGAGACATTACCGAGGAGGTAGTCAATGCAAGCTTGAGAGAAGTAGTCGTTGACGATGTTGTTGAAATATCGGGATAGTGTCAGGCCGAGATCGTTGAGTGCACCACGGTAATCCCGCTTTCGGGTCCGCGTATAATCGCCTTTCAGGGCTGCGGTGGACGAGTATTGTTTCGAGATGGCATCTCCGTTATCTGCCCAGAGTGTATTGAACCATTGTGATGCTGAGTTACCGCCGAGGTCCACGTCGATGCCTTCTTTCTTCAATTGACGTTCCAAATTCCATTGGCCGAAGGCAGATTGGGAAACGCCCGTACGATCAAGACAATCCATGCAGTTCGTCCGGACGATACCTGCCTGGCCCTGACGGACTTGGTTATCTCGCACAACAGTATAACCGAACTCATTTAAAGTTGTATCCAGTCGTTGTACAAGACGGCTCACATTCTCAAACTTCATCCCGCGACATTCATTGTGGAAATCAAACCATTCCAGACCAAGGGGCGTACCATCAATTCCCCCAGACTCATTCAAAGACTGGACATATTTCTTATACTGTTCACCGACCTTCAACTCTCCAGCCTGCTTATCGATAAGTGAGACTGCTTGAACCTTCCCGTATCGCCGACTCATATCCCGGAAATGTCTCTCGAAAGCGACCTGATTAGTCTGCGTCGAGTGATGAAGGACAGGAACCGGCTTAAACGCATACGGCGACTGGGAGAAATACAGCGGAATAGACCCGCGTACTTGAAGATATGTATAGATATTCCTGGAAGTATCCCAGTCAGGCACAGAGAGGATCTGCTCTGTCTCCACGGTATTGGCGGTGTTTCCATCGTCGTCAACACCACGGCGTAAATACCGTAGACCAGGTCGTTTGATTGATCGTCGAGAGATCAAGGTAAGGAGAAAATCCCATTTATGAGCCTCAGGCTCTAGCTCTTTGACTTCCTCCTTGTTGCCTAAGATCTGACCTTCCGTGTGCTCATTTGTTCCTTTCTTTGTCTCTGGAGATGGAGATTCGGGGGCCGCTACCGTGAATTCTCTCTGACCAACGAACCCCTGCATCAATGGCAAAGCATAGTTATGAGCATCGATCTCGATAAATGGGGAGATGAGGTGTTTATTCCAAAAGTACTGTAGCCTAAGAGTTAGTCTTCGTAGCAATAAACAGGGAGCTCAAGTCAACACGACTGACCAATGGATCCACAACCGTATGCAATGGACGATGACCATTTCGTGGCTCCTGAGCACCAACATGCCGCGTGATATCATAATCATACGAGAAGAAGAAATTCTGCGAAGAAGCAAACAACAGCTTCACATAACGAAGCAACTTGGGCAGCAACTCCATCATATGGTCGGACGATTGCAAAACACCAGGTTCTGGCAATGGAGTCTGCTCCTTCTCATCCAGAGCTGTATCTTCCTCGACTTTCGCTTCCTTGCCGAGCACAGAGTGACTTTTCGGGGCATCCTTGACATGATGACTGTCTTTCCCCAGTAACATCTCCGTAGTATCCCGATCCACAGTCCCAAATCCGGGTAATCCCAAGGTTTTCCTAGACAACCAACTCGCCGCAAACCTCCCAAACCGCACGTTCTTCCCAAGCACATCTTCCGCAATACTAGTGATACTCCGACCTCGTGCATGCGATGATGGCCCTGTAGTATGATGAGAATCCAAGTCCGGCACCGTGGTGCTGATATCCTCGCCTGCATCCGTGTCCGTGTCTGCTATACTGCTGCCATCGTCGTCATCGTCCTCGGTCTCGAGGTCACTAGCCCCATCCTTCAAGAGATGTTCCTTGGCTTGTGCAATTGCGCGGACGGCATCTGCGTGTGACGACGTAGGAATCAGGGCGATGTTTTTAACAGTATAGATTGGGTTTCCTTGTATCTGAGCAACTTGTTGCCGTTGAGTGATCGGGATAAGGAACGAGTGCGGTGCAACGGATAAGAGACCTAAGCCAATCCCAGAGAGTTAGAGCCAATTTCAACCTTGCCAATCGGCTCATTTATATGTGTGAAGATCACCTACCAACTAATCCGTAAGCCTCCAACCCAGCATTCTGCTGTTTCTCCTCAATCTCATCCGACAACGCCGATGTCGGAAGTGAGGAAATCTTGCTCGTCTTGTACTCGATGCGGATCGATGAAGAGTCATTTTTGCCGCCGTTATGCCGTGAGCCATTCCCGTACGGCTGGAGAATGAGGCCGTCTACAGCCGCGAAGATGAGTAGTTTACGGATCAAGCTCGGCATATCGAATCCGGTGGAGGTGGAGGGGAGAGGCTTCGAGGTAGGGGATCTTGTTGCTTTCAGCCTTTTCTATTTCGCTAACCTGCACAGTTGAGAGAAGCCAATAGGATTTGCAGTAGCATGGACTGCATAGCTGTCGCGAACAGAAGTGTGTGGTGTGTTTGCAGCGACATGTCTGCTCCTGGTGCCTCCGTACGTAGACATCCCCGACATCATAGCTGGCGGGCCGAAAATTGCACCGCGCGGCGAACAACCGACAAGACCCCGTAAGGCTATTGAAGACTTGCTTGAAACAGACAAAAATGTGTACGCAACAAAAAAAAAAAAAAAAAAAAAAATCTATTCGAAGGTTTTGAGGTCTCTGGTACATATATACAAAGCGGATTTTTTGTCTCTCAGGCATTGCGCGTCGCAAATAGTTGCCACCTGGTCGAGGGTGCAACAATCGAATCGAAATCCAAACCACGCCTAAAATCAATCATGACATCTCTTGCTCCTATCCCATTCATTCCAAGTAGAAATACAGTTGCATCCAAAAAAAAAAAAAAAAAAAAAAAAAAAAAAAAAAAAAAAAAAAAAAAAAAGTCAAATGCGAAAGGGTGAAAAACAACAAACGGAATACCCCGAAGGAAAAGCGGGAGGAAGCATCAATAAACTGGATTTTATCGTAAGGCGGAAAGATAGAGGTGATGAATCATAGGAAACAACGATAAAAGAAAATTCGTATCGTGACTAGCTCTGGGCCAATTTGCCTGACCGTCCAGCATTCTGACTTTGCTTGTAGGTCGGGCCTGGCTCCCCGTCACTCTCCTCGGCCAAGTCGGCCAAATTATAGGCCTGATTCTCGACATCGTACGAGCTGATGAGACCTTCTCGGTCCCCATGGCCATTCACAAAGGCGGCGAGGCTGGACGAACTGCGACGATGAGGTTCGTTGCTGCGGCGGGATTGCATGGAGCGGCGGGTCTGGTAACTTGCGATTGCATCGGTGGGCACGGCTTCATCATCGACCTTGTTAAGCAACTGCCGTCCGTCAGGATCGTGCCGCGAAAGGTTCAGAAGGTAGACGCCGGAAAAGATGATTAGGAATCCACAGAGCAGAGAGATGGTGTTCACGGCATCTGTAGTGTTAAAGCCCTTGAATAGGATAAATGAGGCGCACAGTGTAGCGGTAGTAAACGTTACATAGTACAGAGGGTTGACGCTGTTGTGTCAAACGTTAGCATTGTGTTTCCTCCTTCCTACCGGCTTTTCTTCGTTTCGCTTACATCGAAGTAGAGAACTGGTTCAATGCCTTGTTGAAATAGTTCATCTGCGTCAAAATGCAGAACCCAGTGACAATGGCAAAAACATAGGTCGAGGGTTGAGTGAACTGGTTGTGGCCTCCCAATGTGAGCTTCAAAGCAATACCAAAAGCCTTGACAGACATGACCGAGACAGAGCCAACAGTCGAGCAGATCGAAATGTAAATGAGCGGGTTCTTCTTTCCGTATAACGGTCCTATCCGGTAGATCATGACGGTCGAGAAGATGGCCACCGCAAGGCAATAGGAAAGGAATCCTAGGGAAAATATGTTAACGGCATTTTTCTGCAATGCGCTAGCTAAAATGAAGGAGCATACCTGGCTGAAGAGCATAGTGAAGGATCTCGTCAATTCTCTCGACAGGTTTGTCCGGAGGTGCATGGAGAACGATCACGACTGATCCAAGCAAACACATTGCGCAACCCATCTTGCCTAATATACCCAACCTCTCCTGGAGGAAATACGACCCGAGGACGGCCCTATTGTACAAACGATGTTAGTAACCAAAATCTCAGCAGCGACACCCGCACTGTGTAGTTCTTACCCGATTAAAACACTCAGAGCGCCCAACGGTGTGACAAGAATCGCCGGGGCGAATGCATAAGCGGCGAAGTTTGCGACTTCTCCAATGGCCACTATAGACATCTGTCAGAATACTCTTTTGCGGCCACTGCCATAGCAAACAAATGTTTCCGTACGTGTGATGACACCACCCCACCAGACAGGGCTCTTTAGATATGAAAACCCTTCGCCTTCAAATCCATGTCGTTCGCTGGCTTGCATTAAACCCTAGACACCGTACACGATCAGCCTTGCTTATTGTAGAAAACATCGATGCGCCGAATCGGAAATTGTGGTCATTGTGATCAGGAGGGAATATTTGCGTGAACATCGAATGCGAAGCGACGAACCTTCTTCGTGATAACAAAGCTGGTGCCTATGATCCGGTCAACAGACGATTCGGAAGGATTAGAAACCTGCACAACATCACATACCTATAGCCATTGTTGATAAAATGGCTAATATTAGGCCGATGTACCTATAAACCGAAACGAACAAACACCGGTCAGTACATGGGACCGACAATGAGAGTGCTGGCAACGCAGGGCGGAATTGGCGGGATTTGGGGAGCACAATACTTTTCTGAAAGCATTTCCATTAATACGTAGGAGCTGACTGCTCCCTGTGTTGAAAACTCCAATAGTCCAGCAATGGTAGAGGGAGTGGTAGAAAGTAAAAGAAGTGAAAAGCGAGAAGATGGGAAACTCGATGAATGGATGGTTGGGAAGGCCGGCTGGGAATCTAGCCAAGCATCTGGGGAGCGAACGCGCGGAAGTCCGGACAGGCACAGGACAACAACACAACCGCAGCGATTATTATTGCAGATATTGGAACCCGTCCACGATTATTCTGCGGTCAATCAAATGCAGCTGGTCTATTTAAAGCATTAAAAGCACTGATAAAAGCAATAGAAAGAGCGTGGTGTTGTGCAAGGGGGAGTTGGTTATAGCGAGCGATAAAGCGAGGCCTGCCTGGAGGAGGGGAAAAGAAGAAAGAGAAAACAAGTCAAACAAGAATTGACAAAAAAAAAAAGTTTGCCAGACGTTGGTCGGATCAGTCAGTCACAGGATCGTGTCCACGTGCGCTACGGCCGAATTAGCAGTTGAAACGAGGCAAAACGAATAGACGAGGAGAAAAAGATGAGCAGCGATGGTGAGAGGTTGTGGCAGAACGCGTAAGTAAGGCACAACCAGGGACGGATTTGATCGCATCCGTATAAGTATGTATATGCCCGGACCCGGTAGGGGCAAGAACAGACAAAGAATACAAAGAATACAAAGAATACAACGGAATACTTGTAAAGGACAGAACAGGGCGAATGGCTGTCTCACTACTACTATGCTATCACCCCGTACTTGTATGTATCTGGCCATAGTTCCGCCATGTGTACTTAATTAAATTATGCTCTCATACATCATCAGCACACAACTTTCTGCATTGTTTCATCCACTATTTCATTTCGCTAACCCATTGCATATTTCCCTTCTTGTGGACGGACCCGAAAGTGCGCCCGCAAGTCTGTGATCGGCGTTTCATCGACAATTGCTAATAATAATTCCTCACCATCTGTTTCCGGTAGGACTCTTCAGCCACAACCGTTCAGCCACGTAGCCACGGCTCTATCAACCTATGGTATTTATGTGCTTGGCTCATTCATTAGTAGTATGATTCCTTGGTTGTAGTTCTTCGCCTGATTACCGGGTCATTACTACCAACAACTTAACGTAACACTCACTTGTAGAATTGTCGTTCGAGAATTTACAGACTGGTTGGAATGAAGGCCGCTTGACTTCGGGAACCAAACCAAGCTTTACTTGTTAGAAACAGTAACGAAACAAAACTATAGCACAAGAGACCCGATGAAACTTTTTATATTTCTCTAGGTCGTTCTAGCTATTAATCGACCTCGCAACTATTATAACCCGTTGTACTCCGGAAATGAGTAAACGACATCCCGTAACCACCTCAAAAGTGTACAAACAGAAAAACCGCCAACTATCAACAGTAAATAACTAACTAAACATGGGAGAACCTATTCCGGCTGCCAATAAGGACTCTTACAGCATAATATCCATCATGCCCTACGCCACGGATGCCGAAGGAAATTGACGACCATGAGCAAACCAGGACACAAGTGGGATACTATCCGAGGAAAGTCCAGAAAGAAAGAACAAAAAAAAAAAAAAAAAAAAGACCAGATGGGTTAAATAGAAATATGCACCATAGACGCATGAATGCCAGAACCCAAGCACAAGAAGGTATCACAAATGCCCAAGACATGAAATAACAGTGAGAGAGAAAAAAAAAATCTTCATATACAAACCTGGTTGGCATCCGCCTCTTTATGGCAGACGATAAGAGAGCGGGATAAATGTTGCCAAACACTTCCGCTCAGATGATGGGATAATACTAGAATGAATAAAAGGGATAGGGACCACGTACCGGACTCGACATTAAAATGCTTCGATATCGAACCGCTAAGCTGGGTTCACGGTCAGTACTGCTGGAGCGGGGAGATGTCTCCGTGCAGATGCAAACACCACTGATGGTGATTTAGTGACTCTTTTGGAATGCCGATCGAAAGACTATGGCATCGCTGAAATACATAAACGTCATATGCATAGATATGCAAGTTCATGAGGATCGCGTGCGTTTGGCATCCGGAGTAGTTTCGGTCAAATCAGTTTCATCCTCGGGATCGCGTGTACGTTTGGTGGAGACGTTGTGATCGGCCACTGCATCAGAAACATTCGTCTCCGGGCCTGCTTCATCGTCGAAATCCAGGTTGAAAAATTCATCATCGTTGCCATCAAAGGTGACTTCTTCGACACCTTCCCCGGCAGTTGCTGATGAGACATACTCAGCGTCATTATCCAAGACTTCACCAGAATCTGCGGTTTTGTCGTTGTCCATGGCATTTTTAGACGGACTGCCCATCACGCTTTCCGCAATCCCGAGCAGTTCATCCGCAGGCTCTGGAGTAGTCCGAGCGTCATTTTGTGCTGAACCTGAAACGCCATCCTCAGATTGACCATGCATAGCATCCTCATTACCTTGGAAGGCTTCGTCGGCGACGTCTTCTTGCGGAGTACGGTCTTGGTCTTCATCCCCATCACCTGCGTCATGAGTCTTTGACGAAGGCTCTTCGCGTTGCTCCCCGGCATTCTGTTCATCGTATGCACCATCGACATTGTTGTGTCCTGGCTCCTCGGAGTACTCGTCATGCTCTGGCGCATCTAGATTAGTGTTACCGTTGGGGTAATGCTCCTCCCCTGTGCCTTCGACTTCATCGTATTCACCAAGGTCACCATCTGCCTCAGCGGCATCAACAGACTGCTCAACGTCTTGCTGTCTGTCCGTTGCAGGCAAAGGAGCAATGGTGGCAGTAGACTCTGTCTTCTGCTCTTCCGAGTCATATGACCTGTCGTTAGAGGGGTGATCTTGATATTCGAGCTCAGGATCATGATGTCCCTGAACATCTTCCTCGTACTCCCCTTCATCAATTTCCTCATATTCATCATCCTCATCCTTTTCGAGGACAGCATTCTCAACTTCCTCGCCAGAATGATTGGGTGCGAGCTTGTCATCTTTTTGTTCCTGGACTTCTTGCTCGACATGAGCTCCTTCGTGTAGAGCGGCCTCGGCGTTGTTGGTAAGCTCAGGTTGGAGGTCGTGGTCATGAGCTTCCTCGTGCTCTGTGGCATTTTGCTTGGGAACTTGAGTAGCTTCATTTATCTGTTGTTCGTCTGATGTTTTAGTCTTTTCTTGTCCTTCAGCTACCCCAGGCTCTTCGCGCCCTTGGGCCTCAAGATCTGCGACGTGCTCTGCAGGTTCTTCATGTTCCTCATATTCTTGAGATCTCTGGGACTCTTGAGATTCTTCCGATGCTTGGTATTGAGATTTGGGATCATGTTGAGGCTCAGTATCAGGCTCAGCATCAGGCCCTGAGAGTGGCTCTACTTCATCATATTCATCCCAAGAGAAGATTTCGGAAAGCCCTTTGCCCTCATTTGCAGCAGTGGCAAGTTCGGATATAGCCGCGGAAGCGGTCAGCTTTGTGCTCAGCGTAATGTATAAGGATTCCGGTTCGCCAATGCTTCCATTGTCGCAAAGATGTAGATATACATTGATAATTTGGCGTAATGTCACCTTGGACGAGTGTAGGGAATCCTGCACAGGCAAGTTAGCATCGAGAACAGTCCAATTATGCATAAAATAGGGCCACATACTTCTGTTAGCTGAATGTTCAGAGCGTCAATATCTACGACTAGAACATCATCTTCTCCAATATGCTCCCGAAGTACTTCACGAAAAGATTCAAAAAGTTTCCCAAAGTTTTCGTAGGCAAGACTTTCATCCTCGAGGAAGAATGTTTCAGATAAATCACCTTCCCGGGGGGGAAATAGAGAGACCTCATTATCCTGATAATAGACTTTCACGGGGTGCAAAGCTATATGCCCGTTCATATCGGCTCCTTGTTCTTTCTCCTTGGGCTGCTCAGTATCTTGTATTATTGTTGGTTCCACCTCTTGCTCCTTAGGCTGATCAAGGAGTGGCTGGGCTTCGGTTGCTTCACCGGCACCTTCTTCAGATTGCCTTGAATCCGTCGGGCCATCTTTGCCAACATCAGGTTGCGCACTTTGCACAACATCCCGCTCTGTTTGGTTAGTCTCAGAAAGCTTATCATCCAAAGAATCCGAGCTGCCCGGCTGAGGTCCGGCCTCTTGAACGTGTTCAGATTCAGGATGATCGCGCTGTTCCTGTTCCGCGTGTGGTGTCTTGGTAGGTTCAATCACATGTTCCTCCGTGGATTCCACATGGGTTTCCAAGGCAGGTTTCTCGCTTTCTCCTTGAATAACATCGTTCGTTTGTGGGGATTCTGTTTCAAGCTCCGGTTTCTGGCCAATATCATTCTGGGCAGTTGTCGCGTCTTGCTCATCCGACTTGGGCATGGGAACGTCGATATCCTCATCGTAGTCATCCTCTAACATTTCTGCTTCGTATGTCTCGTCCGCTGAATACTGCATCTCGACGCTATCGTTCGTTTCCGGATATTGGTCGTCAGCATCGACCATGGCCGGTTCAGCGACATCGTCCATCATATCCGCATCGTTCGCTCCATCTCGGGTGTATTCTATTTCGATGGACTCATCCGGATAATCGTCCGCGCCCATCATGTCCTTATCCGCGTTCGAGGCTTGGTCTTCCATGACATCGAGGTCAATGTCGAAATCATCAGCGTGCCCTGGAAGAGGCGAAGCCATCTCCATTGTATCATCTGCCGTAGGGACTTCCATTGTGGGAAATGCTATTGAGGGAGCTGTTGTCATGGCAAAAAAGGCATCAATAGATAGGTGAGCGACAGGTACGCGTAAAAAGTTTTAGTGGCGCTCCCACACCGTGCCAGGGCGACAATAGTGGCAACGCGCAGAAGAGTAGAGTTAGAAAAGGGCAAAGCGATATAAAAAAAGGAAGAGAGATAATAAGGCCCTACTTTACCCGTGAAATTGATAGGAAACAGGTATGGTAGAGTAACGGAGGAGGTTGAGAGACCGACGGGCTCCTGCTTGTGCTGTGGTAAGCGAGGGGATAGCGCCGGTGCACGTGCACGTGCCAACGGAGACCGAAGAGAACAGCAAGCGACTCCGCGGGAGACCATCTGGCTTCGAGCAGACAACCTGACCACTCTCCCACGTCCGGAAGAGCGTGCTATTTTCTGCTCTAACCATTGATATCCGATCTTTAGCTATCCAGAGCCATGGTTTGTATCCTAATCTTGGTATCCCCCTGAATTTACGCTGACCACCACCCACAACAAACAGGTCGTTCTCGCAGCGTCGATATGCACCCGCGGGGGTAAGGCAGTACTTTCACGCCAATTCCGGGAAATCGCTCGTTCTAGAATTGAAGCCTTGCTCGCATCCTTCCCCAAATTGGCTGATTCGGGAACCCAACACACGATCGTCGAACAAGACAATGTGCGCTTCGTCTACCAGCCGCTCGATGAGCTGTACATCGTCCTTATCACCAACCGTCAATCGAATATCCTCCAAGACATTGACAGTCTTCATTTGTTTGCCCAAGTGACCACCAGCATTTGTAAAAGCCTGGACGAGAGGGAAATCTTGCGCAATGCCTTCGAGTTGCTCAGCGCGTTCGACGAATTGGTGACATTGGGCTACAGGGAGAACCTGACGCTATCTCAGATTAAGACCTTCCTGGAAATGGAAAGTCACGAGGAGAGAATACAAGAGATCATTGAGAGGGTATGTTGACGCATGAATGTTGGTCTTATTTTATCGTGAGGTAAGACTGACTTGCTTTACAGAACAAAGAGCTCGAGGCCAGCGAAGAACGCAAGAGAAAGGCAAAACAACTGGAGATGCAGCGGAAGGAAGCAGCGCGCACTGGTCGTACCGCCACACCAAGAACCCCATCTTATCCCGTCTACAGTCCCCCATCGCGCCCTACTGTGCCCGACACCTATGATTCCTACGAAGCAGAGAAGAAGAAAACGTTTGCCAAGTATGCACCCTTAGAGAGCGCTTCTTTTGGCCACCGCGACTAATATAGATCGAATCCAGACCCCTTCCCACCCGCGGAAAAGGAATGCAACTTGGCAAGAAAAACACAGATATCTACGAGAAGATTCGTGGTGACCTGGGCCCTGAAGCCGAAGAATCCAGCCCCTTGGTGACTCCGCAAGCCTCAACCCCTGTGGTCGACAAGGCACCATCCGCCCGTGCTTCCCTGTCTGCAGACCGAGAACCAGTCTCCGTTACCATTGCCGAGACCATTTCTGCCGCGCTTACTCGAGAAGGCGCATTGAGATCCTTTGAAGTCAAGGGTGATCTCCAACTCCGTATCACCGACCCATCTTTCACGAAGCTTAGACTCGACCTTCTCGCCACCCCTACACATGGTGCCCAATTCCGCACCCACCCGAATGTTGACAAGGCTGCCTTTACCAATTCATCCACGATCCAGTTAAAGGACACTTCCAAGCGGTTCCCCGCAAACAACGCGATCGGTGTCTTGCGCTGGCGTGTCGCCAGTTCCGGTTCGGACAATGCCGACATCCTTCCTATCACATTCACGGTCTGGGTGAACAAGGGTTCTGACTCAACCACCGTTACGGTTGAGTACGAACTTACTGGCTCCGATAGCTTGCGTGACGTTGCCGTCACGATCCCGTACGGCGCAGCCGAGCCCGCCGTGTCTAGCTTTGATGCGGTATATGAAGTTTCCGGGGATAGTTTGGACTGGAATATTGGCACTGTGGATGAGAACAATGCATCTGGCAGTTTCGAGTTCGAGTCCACTGACGGCGGTGATGAGACTGACTACTTTCCAATGAATGTGCGGTTCACCAAGGCTAATCCTTTTGTCGAGGTCGATGTTACAAACGTTGCTCTACTGGAAATGGAAGGTGAAAGCACCGGCTTCTCCAAGGAAGTTAAGAGTGTTGCGGAAGGCTACACGATCGAGTAATTATTCCTGAGCTGTATAGAATAACTAATGATGTTCGGACTTGCGATTTGTGGCTACTGTGATTCTCTTCTACTTCTTCTTTCCGGCCAGGGCCAACGTTTTGTTTTCTTAGGTGTTTTACTGAAGCTTTAGATATCATTCTTCTTATTTAAGATATTCTTTTCTGCAGTCCAGAGTGGCATATTTATCCGAGATAACCGAATGGAGCTGTCAAATAAACTCAGGCACATGGCAATATTGTACTTAGATCACCGCGGACCCGAAATCAACCAATAGGAATGACGCACTGTCACTGACAGCAATCCACCTCAAACTTCCCAACGCCTACTTCCTAATGCCTTTACTTCTCTCTCTCCACCTCTCTCATATTTGATGGCAGTATTGCCAAGATTTCACACATCCGAGTCGGACAACTCGTCCTGATCATTTGGGCGTAATGAAGGCACGTCAAGATTATCCTTCTGTCGCCTCCTCCCTATGTGGAAGAGAACCACGGACCTGAATAGCGGAGAGAGCTGGCTGACAGCAGCTAAGCTTGCCAGGCACTATGTCACCCTCATTCTAGACCTCCGTGCCTCTATTGCTCACCATGGCTCGTCTACGCACTGTCCAAGTGGTGGCTGGATAGCTAGGCCCGATAACGGAGCTGTACTTGTAGCTAAGGGAAGTCCGGGGTATGCATAGTAGGTTCAGCTTCAAACACCGCGCCACTCCGTCTCACGTCAATTTGATGAGTTGGTGGAGGCGTTATTGACGACGGAATTCATTACACGGCTCAGAGAGACTGACACCAAAACTGATCACAAATTCCCTTGGCAGAGGCTTGGATTACGCTCAATTCGCTAAGTTGCTACTGTATACACACGACTCTATATGCTCGAGCCCGGGAATGTACAAAGGGATCTGTGGATGCCTGCATAATTGCATAATGCCCCGGATAGATGTCAGGCATTCAACTAGGAGATTGCGAGTCCGGGGTATCCAGAGATGGGCCTTCGCTTGCGTTCTGGCCATACCCCCAAGACTTCTCCAGCTTGAAACTCCCACGGTAATGCACGAGGCCTCATCTTCTTGAATATCTACTAAAGCTATGAGCTCCTTCCTAAAATGTCGGGGATAACCGACAAAGTATAAGCACCGGAAGCGGTTAAGTCTGTCTAAGAGACTCTCTTAAGGACATCATCGTTTGCTATAGAGGCAAAATCCTTAGCATGATGGGTATATTAATACTTGCCACTAGAGCATATGGCCCCGGTGAATCTGAAGGGGAATTGTCAATCTTCGGGGTTAGCTGCAAATCGTCTGATCCACGATCCCCGAATTGCAATTCATTTGGTTCAGGTTCCCTAATTGAAGGTTCTTTTTCTCATAGGCTTGAGTGCCCATGGAAAGACTTCCGGGACGCTCATTCCCCACTCGCACTTGAGTTCCGGCCTTATACAATGCATAATCCTTGAGCTTCCCATTGATTCTCAACTCAGCTTATACTTTCTGTTTCTCCTCTTCACCATCAACTTTCCCCAGTCTTTTGCAGCTTTCAATCAATTAATATCCCCCCACAATTCCGGTATCTTGGGTTACTCAATTCATACTTCACTCACCATATATTATTGACTGCCTTTGTGGGGATGCAGCAGCATTTCCTCTATGAACGGTGAGACAAGCTCCATATTGCTCTGTGTTAGGTATATCTGACATAATGTTATCAGCTTGAAACCTCCCCATACAGTGCCGAGTCGTTGAGGTGAACACAGCTTCTCCACGGAGAAATTGTGCTGAGAAACGGCTAATACGTTGACAGTATCCTTTCTCTTCACAATTCGCAACATCTATCGACACAATGAGCAATTTGCCGTTCCCGTCCTGGGCAGAGCAACCAACGTTGTTCAAGTTGCCTTACACTGATACAGAGACCCCACGTCTGGTAAGCGAGCTTTCTGCTACACCCTCTTCCCATCAACAGAAGCTAATTGGAATTGCATGTGTAGGAAAATCCCTTACCACACCTGACAGGGAACGATGCAGACCGCTTGGGTACTGGAAAGATGGCCATACCAAGACTGGCTGAAGGTGCAGAGTCTGCTTTCACCTCGCCAGGCAGGTTCCATCGCCGTCATGTTCGTCGAGCGTGCGAATCGTGTAGACAAAGGAAAACAAAGTGCACTGGAGACAAGTCTGGCTGTCGAAATTGCCGAGAAGCGGGGATAATATGCTGCTATACAGATGGTAAACGGGAGAAATCTAAGAGGTGAGATTCCTCTATTGCCAGTTAGAGCAAGCGTGTCGGACTAACATATACGGCTATCTCCAAAGACAATTAGCTAGTCTATCAGCCAAAGTACAGGCCTATGAGGATGTGATCCGGAAACTGAGTTGCCGGTTTGGCGTCTCGGATGAGCAATTGATGAGTATCGCCTTGAACGTGGTATGCCATAAACCCCTTTCACACACTTGAGTATGCCTTTCCTAAGTGGGTACAGGAAGCATCCTCCGATATGAACATGCAGCCAGACGACGCTGCATCCGGAGATCTGAAGCTACTTCCATTGAACTCTGACTTTGAATCGCCTTCACAGCCCTCGTCTGTTGGGCCCTTCGAAGTCATGGCCCATACAGAGGAAGACTTCAACAGAGATGAGACCGCGCGTGCCACTGGATTCATTGGCAAGAGCTCCGAGATAAGCTGGCTACAAAAGCTGAACGGAGAAATCAGTCAAGAATACGACGCATGTAACCCCGGTATCGCTGATAGCACGGGATTGCCTTCCCCTACCTTGACGCCAAAGGCTGAGGGAAAGAATGACCAATGGGTAGCTTCGTCGAATTACTACATTGACGACCTTGACATACCAGCGACTGAGCAAGTTGATATGTACGAAGTTCCGTCGCGAGACATTGCGACGAAGCTCTTCAATGTCTACTTGACTTCAGTGCATCCTTCTTTTCCCATAATAGGCATTTCGACATTTGCCTCCCAGTTTCAGGTATTCTTCAATCGACCAGCTTTGAAACCAGGCAATAAGTGGCTTTCAATCTTGAACCTGGTTTTTGCAGTCGCGGCTAAATATGCCCATCTTACTGATGCAAGCTGGAAGGGAAATGAAGACGATCACCATATATATTTCTGCAGGGCAAGAGCGCTGAGCATGGAGGGCCAGCTGTTTCAACATCCGGACCTGCAGCAGTTGCAGGTCGAAGGACTGGCTGCTTTCTATTTATTGGCATCCGGTCATATCAATCGGTGTGTTCTGCGTATTTTTCACTCATTATCCGACGCTGACATACTTGGTTCAGATCTTGGAAGTTAACTGGGAGTGCTGTCCAAGGCGCTTTTGCTCTTGGATTACATCTACGGAACATAGGTGACTGCACTTCAGACACTTCTAAAGAAATAAGATATCGCGTTTGGTGGTCTTTGTACACCGTTGAGCACCTTCTTAGTGTTCTGACAGGGCGGCCTTCTTGCATCGTCGAGAGCACTTGCACGACGCCTCTGCCCGTTCCTTTCGACGAAACCGATTTTCAGAAAGAAGAAATTTCTCGCCTGATTAGCAGCCCTAACAGAGGAGGACCTAGCCAACTGGCCCGTATTGCTGTTAATTCCAGCACGTCTAGCCTAAAGGCTTCACTGGATTGCGATACCAACGACCCAGCAGCCACAGCTAACCCCAAGGACTTGGATAACAGCAGAAACGAGTATATAAAGAGTCTTCCACCTTGCATGTCGCTGTACTTCTTGCAGTTGACGACATTGACGTCTATTGCTAAGCGGATGACGAACAAGCTCTATAGCCCTGAAGCAGTGCGCGCACCTTGGGCTAGCACCGAGTTTGCCATCCAGAGTCTAATGCTTGAGATTGACTCATGGTTTATGAATTTGCCTACTCCGTATGATTTCACATCTACACAGACTTCGCAATGCCCTGCAAGTCAGAAGATGAGCCTCGCCTTTCTCTTTTACAGCACCAAAATCGGGATCACGCGGCCGTGCCTCTGCCGTCTGGATTCAATCCGCCCACAAGGCGACAAAGCATACGACTTCTGCAGCAAGACCGCCGCAGAATGTGTCGAATCAGCCTGTCACATGCTAACCCTCCTCCCCGAAACCTCCGACACATCCCTCCTCTACAAGATGTGCCCATGGTGGTGCATCCTCCACTTCCTAATGCAAGCAACAACAGTCCTCCTCCTCGAACTCTCCTTCCACTCGCAGCACATCCCAGAAAAATCCTCCACCGTCTCCAAAGCAGCCAGAAAAGCAGTCGAATGGCTTTCCACCATGTCCAAAACCAGCCTCGCCGCTGAACGAGCCTGGAAACTCTGTGACGGCTTCCTCCGCCGCCTCGCACCGCACATTGGTGTCGACATGAGCGATCTCCCCTGCTCCGGTGAGTCAACCGTAGAAGCATCGCCGGAGGCCAGCTTCGACGCTACCACTTCTGCGGCCAGTGCGGCAGCCGCAGAGAATCTAGCCGCGGAGCTAGATTCTATTACTTGTTCACCTATGGATCAGGATCAGTCGAGTAATAGTCCGCTTGCTACGCTGGTGTCGTATGGGCTGGAACCACCGGAGTTGCTGGGGTTTATGAAGCCGGAGAAGGGGACGGTGGCGGGACGGAATGGGTATGAAGATTATTTCCCGTATGATTCGGCTACGGGACAGATGACGGGGTCGCTTTTCCCGAATGGGACGAATGTCGATCTCGATTTGGGGTATTTCTGGGGTGATCCTATATGTTAAGGCTTTCATACTCTGCGCTGAATTGGGAATTGCCAAAACAGACTGAAGACCATATAGACAGGATAGGCACAGACTGCATTGCTGGATTTGCATGAGATTGTCACTTATCATCAGGATGTTCATTTTTATCTATTTATTCTTTCTTCGTTTCCTTGTTTTTTCTTTTTCTTTTTCTTTTTCATCCAATTTTTGTTTTATCTATATTGTACACATCGCCATTTCACATTTTATATAACAGACAAACAGGCATGACAAAAAATTTTTTTCCCCCAAAAGCTCGAACTGACATTATTTTTTTTCTAATTGGAAAAAAAAAGCAGAAAGGAAAACAAAAAGAATTGTTTATCTGTTTCGCTCTGCTTGCGATCCTGCGTTGGCTACTCTAATGTACAGAATGAAGCAAAACGAGTCTTATATGACCATCTACACGCGAATACATATATCGACACTTTTATATCTATCTGTCGGTGTGAATACAGACATCACACCAAGTTATCTCTATATATCTCCTATCTAATCCCGGGATATCCATCCCGTTCTATCTACTAAACCCAAAATGCAGGTATATATACTTCTTTCCATGTACATCATGCAGTGACTAGACTAGTACACCAGCCCGAATCTTGACCTTTACCTCGACACGGTCAATAAAAGCTCACTCCAATCCAACCAAGCCAAGAAGTCAAATCTGCTAAGGACGCGCAATGCCAAATGCAAAAGTGGCGGAACGAGCGGAAGCCTGGACCGTTATCAGACCATATCATCGTCATCGTGTCAACAATTGGAAAGGAAGAGGATCAAAGACGAGAGGATGCTCCAAAACGACAAAAGAGGAGAAGTAAGGTGACGTTAATCGAATGTAATCCAGAAGCTAACCCAGAAGCTCCGGGGGACCCTAAGCCTCCCAATGCCGTTTCTTTGCAGTGAAAAATAACCGTGCATCTTCTTCCTGAGAGGCAGTGCGCTCCGACGTCGGAGGCGAGTAATGTATCCCACTAATCTTCGAGAGACGTATATCGATTTGCTGCGCTCGTCTTAGGGATCGGTTCGTCCACGAACTCGCTGAAACCGGTGCTCTACTCCCATTATTCTCCTGACGTAGAGAAATACCTAGTAAGCCCCTGCCATCGCCAACGAACCGCTCAATGCAATCCAGGGCGGGAATGATACGGCGTCTGACACCGCAGCCCGTATGGTTGGGGTCGATTTGGTAGTCTGGGAATTGTTTTATGGAGGCGATGATTGCTGTTATGTCTGCTGGTGGTCCGGCTGGCATTGTAGTCTGAGGTACATCCTCATCATCGGAATCCGCCGTAAAATCCGGATCAAGCAGGCTCGATCCCAAGAAAATTGTCTTCGCGCGGAGTGCAAAAAAGCGGACCATCTGTCCTAGATGGAACGCATCGCAGGCATTCGAATTGCCCATTCCGCAACGACATTGAAATTCGCGAGGACGGATTGTTGTCGATGTTGCGGGTACTGTTACGGGATGATTCGTGGTGGATGGTTTGGGCCCGGTTGTTTCTTCGAGGGCGCCATAGGCGCGCAGGAAGTAAGCTTGGAGATCTGTGATTGTGTTGAGAACGTATTGGCGTCTGTGGAATAGTTCTTCTGCAGAGCTGTTAATACCAGTAGAAAAACAAGGTTTAGAGAATTGAGGATAGATACCTTCGAGACCATCTGCGAAGTACTGCCACCGGAAAGTACCGTCTTCAGGATCCGAAGGAGCCTCAACTCCATTAATCCAATACTTCGACCCAAGCACAACCAATGTATGCGTCGTAACCTGATAAGCAGTTTGTTCATCGAGAAAGTGCGCGATGTATATGATATGTCGAATACGATCCTCGCTCATTTTCAACAGCGACTGATTGAACTTTGTCACCGAAACCCTCCCCTTTCCATACGTATATCCGGATCTTTTTAGCGCTTCTCGGACAACCTGCGGTGAATTGAACATGTCCGCAAGGTAGATTAGTCTGGCGATGATGGATGGGGGGAATGATTTTAGTGCATTATTGAAAACGCGCTTTTGCATGTTTTCTAGAGATGAGTAGGATAGGACCCTGAGAAAGAGCTCAATGATGTTTATACCAAGACGCTGGGTGACTTCGTCCACTGGGAGGCTGAGAGTAGGGAGTGCCCTTAATGCGTCCGCATCAGAGGGCAATAATGGTGATAACACCGACAATGGATCTGTTACATCTCCATCATTATTCGTTCCTGAATTTGCAGCTGCAGCAATCAAGTTTTCCTTCTGCTTCATGAGATCTCTCCCCTCAGAGAATTTATTCGGATCAAGCAAAGCCCGAAAGTAAGGACTATTTTGTATCAAGTCCTCACTGGCGACTAGCCACCGAGATACAGATGCAGAACGGAGCCGATCCTGTTCCCGATCCGCATATTCAACTATCATATCCCCGTGGCTCGAGATAACCATCACATACTGTGGGGGCTCATTTTCCGAAGTAGACTCTCGTATTTGTACTTCTTCGGACGAGACAGACGGAACAGCGTTGGTGTTGGTGTTAGTGTCAGTGTTGGCCGCTTCGCGGAGAGGCAGAGTCTGAATGGAAGGAGATCCAGCCCCCAATTCAGGAAAAAGGCCCCTGGATGGCGGTAATGGAGGATAGTCAGAATTCATATCCGAATTGGAAGTCAGAGAAGACGGTTATCCTGTTTCCAGTGTATCTGTCTTGGGATCTTGGGAGTCCGATGTGCCAATATTGATGAGGTAACGGATGGCATTTGAACAAGATTAACCAGAGTTGCCGTTTTAGCGGGTTCGTGCGATATGTCGGATTCCCATGCGCAATTTGGCATCAACAAGCCATACTCCTAGAAGGTGGCGGCGTGGCGGGGATATGGCGTGCCTGTTCAAGGACGACGTTTAAATGGAAAAGGGATATTTGTCGGTCCTGATGTTGTCCAAATCTCATATAGAAGACAGTCGCGCAGATAAAACGGACAAGAACCACGAGCAGTACACATGGCCAGTTCATGAAGATTTGACGTCGATGTCAAAATCCACATTCAGTAATCATGTCATGTGACCTTCACGGTGGGTTCCAATTCGGGAATTATACCAGTGAACAACAGACTGTTATTACTGAGAATGGCTTTTCTGTTGAAATATTCGTATTTTGAGTGCAGTATATGCTACAGGTATCAATGACAATGCCACCCTCGATAATCCACCCAAGAAACCAGAGAACCAATCCAAAATATTTTTCATAAAACACAAATCGAAAGAGAAAAGACCAAACCCGAAAGCACAGAGAGCATCGTAATATGCTTTCCATATAAATGCCGAAGAAAAAAAAAATTATAAAGGATGGCTGAAAAATATGTATTTACTTTGACAGAAAATATCCAAAAAGAGAAAAAAGAGAATCAAGGTAATGACACAATAGGAATGTGCATAACCCTGGGTGATTTCCTTGTGTCGTTCGTTTGCTCATTTGTCAACTCGTCGTCATCGTGGATAGCATCTCGCAGTTTCAACGCTTGTCCAACGATCGATTCGAGTTTCGTTGACAACGGGTTGAACACGTCTGCAGACGAGGTATTGACAACAGGCGTAGTAGGGCTCCAAGGCTCGTTGTCCCCATCTTCGCTGTTGTAATCCTCAAAGTGCTTGCCATGCATTTGGTTGAGTCGGTGGGAGATGGTCGAGAACACAGCAAGGTGATAGGGCTTATCCTCATCCCAGTTATTGACCGGCTGCTGTTCTTGAATCAAGTCGTTGTTATATTCAGGCATGTCCATATCCAGAAGGTCCTCTTGTTGAGACACAAGATGCCATTGCCCTGCCGACAAAAATCCAATGACGAAATCTTGGTTGGCCCGAGCAGCAGCTATGCAACTTCTTCTGTAGTCTGGAGTAAAAGCATCGGTATATTCAGAAGGCAAGCACAGCACTAAGCCACGCGCCAAGAGTGGAGGGGGAGGAATCGCATCGTCATCTGGGGTGATGGATGGTCGCTTCTGCCCACCATTTACAGAAAGGTGGTCTCCCATATCAGACTTGTCGGACTTGAGCGAAGTAAAGTCTTCTGTCGAGTCTTCAGTGTGTTGTGTGATAGTCTGAGTAAGAGAGATTGTGGAGGCTTTCCGTGGTGGTAAGCCCAGGTTCTCGTCATCGACGACCACGTAATCGGAGGTGAGATGCTGCGGGTCATCCTCCGTGTTATCGTGGCCCGGACGGCCATTCGGCGAATTTTCAGCCGTAATTTCTGTCCGGATAGTTTGTGTAGTATTGGCAACAGTTTCCCGTGCGGCCGCTTTCAGGGCCGGAATCAAAATGTCGGCTTCCTGGTTGTCCTCGCCAACACCAGACGCCCAAGCGGTCGCAATCCCCGCCCAAGCAGCGGTCTTAACCACGCCCTTGGTGTATTTCCTCCGGACCAAATCCACCAATTCATTTCTCACTTCTTTCGACTCCGAAGTGCCAGTAACGTCGACAGTCGAGTTGAGAATGCGACCTCCTTCCCAGACTAGGAAGGCGTGCTGCTTGGCCAATGCGATCAATTGACGGACCGTGTCATCGGACCAGTCGTCAATAATGTCGGCAAAGACCTTCAAAATAGCAACGTGAGGACCAATGGACGATGCCAGCTGGACCAGGGCATTTGTGGTGGTGATAGTGTGAGAGGCACAGACACAGACAGGAATGCCATGGGGGAGGCCCTTCTTGGTTTCAGTCAAGGTCTGAAGGTAGGAGGTTAAGCGATTCCCGGGAAAGGTGAACGAGTCGGACAATGGTGATTCCATCGTGAGACAGGAGGGAGGAGAGAAGATTGAGGTCCGAGGGAGGAGGATATATAGTCGTAGCAGAGGTCAATCGTGGGAGTCAACGAGAGTAGAGAGGGAAGGACGGAGACAGGGAGAGGGTATAGTGAGAGGATATAGAGAGAAAAGATGAGGGAGAGAGAGGAAATGAGGCGGGAGGGTGTCGTGTATATTAAAGCGAGAAGGCCGGGGTCGAGACCGAAGGATTGACAGGTGGCCAAAGAGAGCTCCACTTGAGACTGCCAGCAGGGATATACTTGTTTGTATACAGGTACACAAGTAGGAGAGGAGGTTGAATATATATGAGCTTGCGCCCTGTAGCAATTATTGCCGCCGGATAGCAAGAAAATTCACAAAAATAGCCAGATGCAGACAAAGCGCCCAATGCGTGCAGCACAGCAAAACTCAAATGTTTCTTTTTGGGGCGACAGATCAAACGGTTGATTGATTGATTAAATAGATCGGGGGTCTATACAGTACTTGTAGAGAATACAAGTACTACTGCCCCCTGGTCTGTCAAGCTTCCCTTTCCCCTTTCCCCGATCACCCAAACAGCGTCTGCTACAAGTGTGTTCTGAGAGAATGATCGACCTGGGAGAATGAAAAGAGCAATTAACATGATTTTACTGTAATAACGGTGTATTACTCCCATTACAGGGGCAAAATGCACTGCACACCGAATCCGCCCGGTCGGAACGGGTATCTCCTGTGTACTTCCGGTATTGGAGTCTAGCTGGAAACAGTAACTTTAAAGTTCTCGCCCGACTCTTTGAGTCTCTCGGATAATAAATAACAAAGCAAAAAAATGCATACGGAGTGAAAAAAAAAAAAAAAAAACACTGCAAGGAATGGGTTGATTTTGGAGTCTGGATCTTTTTCTTCTTTTTTTTCTTTTGCCGTATTTGCCGTATAACACTAACGTTCTCTTGCTTTTTTGTCTGATTGTGCACAAGTACTACATACTAACTGGAGCTCTCGAGGAACTCTATCCCTGAGTCTCACTACTACAAGGTACTAACCACCGAGTGCGGCCCAACGGAAAAGCAAGAAGGCTACGAAGCTAATATCTATTCCTCCCAAAAAAAAAAAAAAAATATATATATATATATACAAAGAATAAGACCAGTCACACTCTGACCATCCAATATATCTTGACGTACACGCCATGACCCGATTACGGAGCTTCACTTCCGTTTCCAAAACAGACAAAAGTCCAGATGACGGCTCCAAATAAGTCGATTCCTACAGAGATCATGCTGTAGCTTCTGGTGCAGCTTGCAGACGGGATCACCAGTCCCGTCAATCGGAACTTTCTCGTTGGTCACCGGAATCGGATTCCTTGATAGCCTTGGATCTGACTTTCGGATGACCCCGATTTTTTTATGTACGAAGTTCAAGGCTGCATACGGGATCTCTATCCAGAGTTTCATGTGCATATACTTTCGTGCAGAGTGCACAAAACGGTAATCGGGATCGCGCAATGGTCGCGAAATTGCTAATATTGTAGCTGTGCATACAAAGGCTCATACATATGTGCGCGAGGAGTATGTATTTTGTACAGAGAATATGTACGGGTACAGAGTACTACTCGGTACTTTGAAGATTCGATCCAGAAAATGCTTTGCAGGAGGGAGAATCATCCGCTATTTCCGTCCATGTTCCGCCGATGTTCCGCCGTACTAATGGCACTTAAAAAAAAGGGAGTCTATACGAAAATTAATCTAATTAAAAATTAGCCTATGGACTCAGCTCAGCGCCTTGCACTCCGGCAACTCGGTTCATCCTAGCAGGAGCTTAGCTCTGAGTACTATCGGGTACGTACTTCCGTACTCCATACTACGCCTGTATCACCCAATCGAACTGAGTCAGTGTCAGATTATTGACGGCTCCGTTCCAATTGGGCAGTTCGAACCACCCGTGAACCAATTGACAGCTTTGGGATTGCAAGATTGCTAGCTCAGGGTCATCCTTTATAGAGCATTCTGCACACAAGCGAAACCAGACCAAATCCCTTAACGCGTACTCCCCGTAGGCACCGTTTGCTGGTCTGTTCTTTTTTTTTTGCATCCATCTAACTCCGTACCTTCTCCGAATTTTCAGTTGTCTGGATGACTCCATACGAGTACGGAGGCACTCCGCGGGCGCCTCCTTCAGCTACTTTGAATACTTGCTGCGCCTTGCTTTAATGTTTCAATGTGGCAATATGGATGCCTTCATACTTTGGAGTAGCTGTACTCTGCAGATCCCGAAATAAACCCGTTGCGCTTTGGTCGCTTGAACGGGGTCGGCTCTTGCAACGTCCCGGCCGTCTTAAGCTGACGGGAGTTGGCAGTGACAGACGTTCCAACAGTCATTGGTGTCAGTCTAAACTGTGTGCTGGGATGTTTAATTGAATGACATGCACCTATGCGGTCCCAGGGGGGCGTTGCACCAGTACCGCTTAGTGTGGTTTGCCCCAGACATCAAACAACCCCAAACAGGCGTAAGTTCATCCTGTCCTAGCCAGTGTTTCGAAATTGATTTTCTTACAACGGCTGCCTTGATTGTTTAGCATCTTCGTGGCATTTCCCCTGTCGCCGTTTTAAAGCGGCGGGCGCTGGGGAGATCTCCTAAACGGGTAAAGCGCAAATCTCTCTACAGTCTCATGTTGGAAAGCGCTTCCACCAGAACTTTAATACCAGGAAAATAACCATGGAATAACTATTCAAACGCCCGGTAGACTGATTTGAATGTACGCGGTATCAAGTTCAAACATCAGACAAAGAGGTCACTGGAATTCTGGAACCAGCTTGTTCGAGGGCCCCAAAACGTCTCCGATTATGATGTTTCTTCATGTCCACAGCATTTATAAAGCGATTAAACTACTACTTCATTTAACGATATGACGGTCAGCAGGCTGCCATTCTAGGAGTCCTGCTAACCAATTCCCGTCTTGGCATCAGGTGAGTGTATTCCTATGGCCACGGGTTTCATGCCTCTTGACGCTAGTCTTAAATGGGACTTTTATTGCTATTTATTTTGTTCGACACCATCTATCCAGGCGCTCTCGCTGCAGTCGCTGCAGAGGGAAGCCATTTTTTTTTTTTGGCTCTTCTTTCAAACACAATGCTCTCCCCAGTTATAAGTCCCATAGTGCCGACCGTGTCCTTCCCTGCTTCCATCCTTCCTATCATGAGCATTTCTCGCAGTGCTTCCGCCTAGTGTCCTACACCTTAATTCTTCCACCCCTCCTCGATCTATTACCCATCTGGCAAACAAAGTTCATGGTACCTGACAATGACATTTGCGAAATAGGTCAGAGACCTGATGGATATCGTCTTTCCGTTTGTACGACACTCCCCTTGTTACACAGTTGTAACTAATCGGTTGCTTTGGACCAAGGACAACAATCATCGGCTCACGGTTCCCCCCAGGTAACAGGAAGCCGGCTTTTATGTTCGCGGGCAATGAGGATCCTTCTGACTCCCACATTCTTAGACCAGTCTCATAATCTTGAAAAACGACAGCTTCGCCATGCTGATCTGTTGGGGTGCCAGTACACAGCACCAAGCCTGAGTAACCTTCCGCGCTGTCCACATTGTCCTTGGACCGCCACAGCATCGTAACAGCCTGATTACTCGCTTCATGATCCCAAACGTACTCACTTCCTAGCAGGACCGAATTCGCCACTGCGGGCGTTACCTTTGCCCCTTCAACCACTCTCCGGTTTTGTGCCTAAGAATTGAGGGTCACAGCATATAGCGGCGCTCCCGCGAGTGCTCAGTCCTGTCCATGATGTCTTTCGGGGAGATAATGCCGGTCGACCAGGATGGGAAATCGGTAGCGATCGGAGTCTTACCGTTGGAGAGAGAGATAAGGGAGTGGCATTATTTTTGGGAAAGGACTGTAAGCAGACAACGTTATTTCACCATGTCTCTGGGAAAGGTTTGTACGAGGCTACGGCTTGGAGGAGGGGGGATTGGCAGGTAGATGTGCAGTTTGAAGATATTAAGATATGGATTGAGGTGTGATAGTATGATATGGATATAATTTATGATTATGATTAACGTAAAAGGACGATTTTTCCATCCACTATATGTAACACCCTGGAGTATCTGACACAATCCTTGCTTCAACCATGAGTACAAATTTGCTATACAAGTCTGGTACCTTGGAAAATTCACAAGAGATCTGAGGATGAAAGCATAAACTTGAGAAGATCCTCTTTCTCAATATATCGGCACCCAAGCCCAAATGATTCAAGCAACGAATGTTTCCCCCATGTTGTAGTTACCTCTGAATATTGATGCGCCTTCCTGTTCCAGATCAATCAGATGTCGGAATCAGCGATAGTAGGAGCTGCTAATCTGGATCAGTGTCTTTTTTATGTTGGACTACTCCTATGCACTTGGCGACCCAAGCAGGTGAAGCCCCATGTGGAAGGTGCAGTCTAGTTATCATGGGTTCAGTGTCTCCAACGCATGTTGACCTTGAGAAATCAAAGTAAATTACTGCATTTTCCTTGGTTTTTCTCCAAATATATTCTTCAAAAATCAGTAAATACTATTCCCAACAAAGCACCAGAAAGCAGGTTCTAGACCTTGACAAATAGACTGCGGATTAACCGCAAATGTGGTTACTACTTTGCTAACCACAACCGAACTTATGGTTTTATATTGATCGATGGTATATTCGAATATACAAGATCCCGCATTGCGATAGATGTACATTTTGATATGATTTGAAAGATATAAGGCAACAGCAATCTACATGAAGGCCTTACTCTATTTGCTTTCTTCTTGGTCTTGTCCGTCAAGCAGGTGTACATCTATTCGTATACTGCTATACTGCATTTTATGTGCTGTTCTTGTAATCAGCATTCTGGCTTTGTGTATTATAAGAAGTAGCTCGCCGGCAATACCCAATCGATTCATTTTTTACTATCGCAAGGCCTGCATATCTCTCGCTGAGTTGGGGGAGCATTTCATTGACAAAGGAGCCAAAAGAGGACCCTCACACCAAAGTTCTTCCGTAGAATCCGAGCAACTGGGCGAACTTCCAGTAAATACCTCAGGCATTGGTAAAAATCCCGATTATATATATGTATACTAACAGGGATTGCTCTTGCAAGGTCCCAACAGTCACTGGTGTCAGTGTCTAACCTGTTACTGAGGACGTCAGGGGTTATGTTCCAGAAAGGGTTTAGCGTGCACTTTTCCAGGAGAATCAGATGATCTGTTGTTGAGTGATTACCAACCATACCGCATCAGGCCACAGTTTCTCCAAAAAGTTTGAGACCTCGTACGATCTACAGAATACATACTGTTCAGTACCGCTGTCTCTCGGTGGTTGGTAAATAGAAAAGAATAACCATTACCCTCATTGGCGGACGAGAAAGAACAGTCAACGCCGAAAATTTGCGGATCGGACGGACCCGTGAATTATCCATCGACCGCTCACGCCACTCCGTCTCCGATCTTTTATTTTTCCTTCCTGCGCTTCCTACCTCGCCTCATCGCATCCTGAATACTAATCCACCAACCTAACTTTTCGCTGCTGCATCGACGTGTCCTTCCGAACGTGTTCTAGCCAGCTCGTATTAACGTTCCGGGATTTGCTGTCTTGCCTCCTTTTAGCGACAATGCCGGGAAGGATCCTGCCAACGCTGACCCAAGCTGAGGTCGAGTCGCATAACAACGCCAAATCGTGCTATGTGACCATCGGTCCGAAAGTTTACGATATCACTTCGTTCGTTGACGACCACCCTGGTGGAGGCGATTTGATTCTCGAATACGCAGGCAAGGACGTGGGTGAGATTTTGGCCGATGTGGTATCTCACGAACATTCCGAGTCGGCCTACGAAATCTTGGAGGACAGTCTAGTCGGTTTTGTGGGCACCGCCTCTTCGACCAAGGCGAATGTGAATGGAGCTGCAAGTGCGGAGGAAACAGCACGGGCTGTCTATGAGAGCACGGGTATGGCGACTGAGGAAGACTTGTCCATCGAGACGGATATCACCAAAGATTACCAGCAGCACAAGTTCCTTGATCTCAACAAGCCCTTACTTATGCAGCTGTGGAATAGCGGCTTCAGCAAGCAGTTCTATCTCGAGCAGATCCATCGTCCCCGTCACTACAGGGGTGGTGACTCTGCACCGCTCTTTGGCAACTTTTTGGAACCTCTCAGCAAGACGGCGTGGTATGTCGTTCCGATAATGTGGCTTCCGTGTATCGCCTACGGTACTACCGTTGGCCTTTCGGGTATGTCTAGTGCATCCGCTGGTGCTGGCTACTGGGCTTTCGGGCTCTTCTTCTGGACTCTGATCGAATACGTGATGCACCGGTTCCTGTTTCACATTGATACGTATGGTTACCTTTCTCTTAATCTGTCTGCCCTTCTCTAACATGCTCTTACCAGGCTTCTTCCTGACAACCGAGTCGGTATTACTCTGCACTTTCTCCTTCACGGAATCCACCACTACCTGCCGATGGACAAGTACCGACTTGTAATGCCACCAACTCTGTTCGTTCTTCTCGCCGCGCCGTTCTGGAAATTTGCGCACTCTGTGATCTTCTATGACTGGTACGCCGCTGTGCTGGCGTACTGTGGTGGTGTCTTCGGATACGTTTGCTATGACATGACGCACTATTTCCTCCACCACCGAAAGTAAGTACCTCCCCAGCTTATTCCCCAGAATTCATGCTAACAAATTACTGTGCAGCCTCCCATCGTACTACAAGTCGCTCAAGAAGTATCATCTTCAGCACCACTTCGCCGATTTCGACAATGGCTTCGGTGTTACCAGCCGCTTCTGGGACAGAATCTTTGGCACAGAGCTTGAGACTCCAGCACCGTCCAAGATTGTCAAGACCCAATAAGCGCACACTCGGGGTTGATACATGACTTCTCTCGCGCTTTGAGCATCATGCAATCTTTACTCGTGCATACGACCTAATGATGGGTCTACAAATGATCCAGGCTTCGACTATTGTCATTGCTTTTCACTAATTGCTTCGCATTGCTAGTTTCTTTCTTGTACAGCAAGCCCTGTCTTTGCTGCCGTGGACAGTACATAGCCACGGTTGTTTTGTTTGGGTTTATTTTTTGACTATAACATCCCTACGAGTGTATATGACAACCTAATTTATAATAGATAACATTGCAACTCATTTTTGCTTGAATGCCAGTGCTATAAACGTTGTATACAGGGGAGAACCTGATCGGGGTAGAGAACGCCAAGAGTCATGTGACCTGGCTACATTTTCGCCTCCACGGAGTTGTCCTTTCCCTGAGACAACGTCCACACGTACCATCTTCGCCGTAAACCACCCTTAGTTACAACCTTTTTCGATAGACCGATATACAAGTGCAGTGACACTGCAAGGAAAAACAGAGAACAGAACTTGGTGATTTGAAATAGAAGGGTTCGCGCAAGTCACGTCCGATTCGCCGCCACTCTCTAACGCTTGAAAAAAGTGATCCAACCCTCTCCGCGCTATCTTCTCCTTCCCCAGCTTTACTCCGGAAAAGAGGAGTCATTCTTCTTAAAGAAAAACCACCAGTCAATATGTCAGGTCTTGACGTTGAAGCTCTTCTCGAGTCCACAGCCGCACCATCCCCTCAACAGGAACCCACTCAACCCCAAGACCGCGATGATGACCGCTCCAAATCCGAACGAAGCACCGATCGCCGCGATCGCGACCTCTCTCGAGAAAGGGAACGACGCCGCCGAGACCGCAGCCGTCGAGATGCCGATGGGGATGAAGAAATGAAAAGCCCGAGAAGCGAACATGGCAGTGCTAACGGAAGCCATAGAAGCAGCAACAGAAAGAGGAGCAGGAGCCGCGACAGCCGTCGGGGGTCTCGCAGAGACCGCGGCGACCGCTACGGTGACGATTACCGCTCCGGTGGTGGTGACTTTTACCGTGGTGGGGGCCGCGCGCGCACGCGTTCTCGCTCGCCTTTTGATGATCGATACTATCGCCCCTCGGGGGGTCGTCCGCGTCGGGACGATGATGAGAAACGCTACCGCCGCCGTGATAGCCGTAGACGCAGCCCGACCCCTAAAGGTCGTGACAAGACGCCCGAGCTTACTGAGGATGAGCGCGATAGGCGCACCATCTTTGTACAGCAGCTTGCCGCGCGACTGAGAACCAAGGAATTGATTGCGTTCTTCGAGAAGGTTGGGCCTGTTAAGGAGGCCCAGATTGTCAAGGACCGTGTCAGTGGAAGGTCTAAGGGGTGAGTTATATTTCTCCCATTTACGGTCAGAAGCTGTCGGACTAATATTCCCATCTAGTGTCGGTTATGTCGAATTCAAAAACGAGGAGTCAGTCCCGCAGGCTATTCAACTTACTGGGCAAAAGCTTCTAGGAATCCCAATCATTGCGCAGTTGACTGAAGCGGAAAAGAACCGTCAAGCTCGCAACCCCGAGGCTACTAGTAGCAACAATCACGGGGCACCCTTTCACAGGTTGTATGTGGGTAACATTCATTTCAGTATCACTGAGAGTGACCTCCAGAATGTTTTTGAGCCGTTTGGCGAACTTGAATTTGTTCAACTGCAAAAGGACGAAACCAACAGGAGCAGAGGTTATGGTTTTGTGCAGTAAGACCCCTATGTCCTATGATGACCTTGATCCCTGGTTTAACGTGTGTAGGTTCCGTGATCCCAATCAAGCCCGTGATGCGCTTGAAAAGATGAACGGCTTTGACCTTGCTGGTCGGGCAATTCGCGTCGGCCTTGGAAACGATAAGTTTACCCCTGAGGCGCATCGTAGCCATAGTGCAGCCCCACCGCCGATTTTCCAGGGTTCTTCATTCTCCGGCCAGGGAGGACGTGGTGTCCAGGCTGGTGGCTCCAACAACTTTGACCGTGCCGGCGGCCGGGAGAACGAAAAAGGAACCGGTGCTAGTGCTCTCGATGATACAGACGTTGCGGGTGTAAACTTCAACAACTTCAGTAGGGACGCATTGATGAGGAAGCTTGCAAGAACAGATGAACCTTCCGAGCCTGCTGCCGATGACAAGGCCAAAATCCTTCGGCCTAAAACTGAGACCAAGCCGTTGCCTGTTAATGTTAACATGGCAAGTCGTTGTGTCATGCTTCGTAACATGTTTGATCCTACAGAGTAAGTCGTAATTCCTCCCCGAGATTATGAGGATAAACTGCTAACAACCAACAGGGAAGAGGGCGAAGTCTGGATCAAAGAGCTGGAGGATGATGTCCGCGCTGAGTGCGAAAATAAATATGGTCATGTCGTTCACATTTCCCTAGATCCGAACTCGCAAGGCGATATCTATCTGAAATTCGACCGTGTCCAGGGTGGCGAGAACGCCATTAAAGGACTCAATGGTCGATTCTTCGGTGGTCGCCAGATCACTGCGCAGCCCGTCGTCGACGCTGTCTACAGCAGTCTTTTCTCCCGCACGAAGGCTATCTAATTTTCATCACCTTCTACCAAAGCCCTGGCTTTCCACTATGGTGGTAGGTATCTGATCTAATTGTTAATTAGGCGTTTTTACCTCTCTATAGTACCTCTGAATAGCTTGACATGCTGAGCGTCTTGCTCCGCTTACTTGGATGACTGTGCCCCTGGTAGGTGCCGAGTCCTTTTTATACTTCTGTTGTTGTCTACTTGTGTGAGGCATTTTGTGCAATGATACTTGTTTATAGGGGTTCGATTCTTATTCTTGCTATCTTGATTGGCGTATGTTTAGTTTAGTTGAATTATACCTATTCTGTTTACGATGCGCCAAATTAGCCCCAGGACTGCTGTCGTAAGTAATAAACATAGCCAGATGTCTCAGCTCCAACGTCTCGAGTATGTCCCGTAAGCCAAATGGTTGAGCATCGAACGTCCCGTTGTCTAATCTTGGTGATATTGACATCTCTCTCAATTGACAAAAAGACAGACCCAGCCAGGTGTTGTTCAACCTGACCATTCACTCACAATGGACTTTACTTCTTGGTTTCTTTATTCCAGGTCCCTCACTGTTTGCCCTCTTTTCTCTTCTATTTCATTCTTTTCCCTCTTATTGTCCACCTCCTCTTTTTGTAAATCTATCCTGAGATCTCACCAATACAGCTCTGCGTCTGACTGTTTACCTGTTAGTACAAAACACCTATCCATCTCTATCAAACTACTCTAACCAAAATACTCCCCACACCAGTCCAGTCCAGCCTCTGGCACCCAACCCCCATCATGCTCACAGTCTCGCACCTTTCCACTTCCAACGGCACCACCCCAAGCACAACCCCAAATCCCTCCATCAGCCACAGTAACCACTCCCGAACCTCCTCCTCAACACCCGCAACAAGCTTCAGCGCCTCCCAGCAGCACACCCACGACCTCACCCTCGAGAACGAATACCTCCGCACCCACCTGCAAAGCACGCAGGAGACGCTACAGGCTGTGTATATGAAGCTGGAAGATTCAAGGGCACATATTGCGCAGGATACGGTGCTGATTGGCGGATTGCAGGAGAAAGTTGTGGAGTTGCAGGCGCTGGTACAGAAGCAGAAGGTTACGATCAGTAATCAGAGCAAGACGATTTCGGATCCGAGGATTATTAGGAAGCAGTCGCAGCAACAGCAACAGCAGCAGCAGGTCCCTGGTTGTGGTAATGGGGCTGTTATGCCAATGACGCCCCAGCGGCATGGGCAGGGACAATGTCAGGGTTTGTCGCCGTTTGAGAGTCCGTATTCGACTAGGTCGGGGTTTTCTGGTGCGTCTGGTGCGTCTGGGGCTGGGGTTGAATATTCCCCTCCGCCTCCGATGTTCGATATTAACGGTAACGGTTTTGTTCCTCAGTTTCCGGGACAGTGCTGGGGTCAGCCGTTGCCTGGTGTTAACCCTCTTCCTCTACCTTCGATTTGGGATCCTCTCGCCTGGTCCAATGGCAATCCTTATGCCGTCGCGTATCTCGATCCTACTACTTGCATTTCAGAGTTCTCCTCCCGACTTCGCGAGCTGTGGACGAAGACGGAGCTTTTTGGTCAGGTTCATGCGAATGTTCCCAGCATCTACAAGGATAGTCATCTGGACAAACGGGTGAAGGAGTATATCATGTCTGTGTCGGATAGACAGGGGGCGTCTTCCCTGCTGGGCAGTCCTGCGACGCGATTCTTCCTTGTCGCCAAGGCGATTAATGCTTTTCTGGTTCGGGATGTGTTGAAAGTAACGGTTATCAAGGGCTTCGATGCACAGGCGGATATGGAGATTGGGGGTATCAAAAAGCAACTGTTCCCAGGTACCTCCCCTGGAAATATCATATACTAGTGCAAGTCTAACATAATCGTGTAGATACACCCACCCCCATCCGCCACATAATGGTAATAGCCATGACAACCAAAATCCAAACCCTCAAAACAAAGCCCAACTTCATCGAATTCTGCCAGCAAAAAACCCTCGACCACATGCAGAAGCTCTGGCACCTCATCGGGCCCCTAACTCACCCCCAATCCAACACCACCATCGATCCCCTCACCGGCAACAGCCAAGCCTGGACAGACCTCTCTGCCATCGTTTCAGAAGCCGAAATGCTCGCGCTGGATATGTACTCCATACCCTTTGAATACCGGTCTGAATTCCCCGCTGTGGATGAGGCGTTTGATCCGGCTACGATGGTTAACAGTGATGCGTTTGTCATGGGTGATCCGGCTGTTTTGGTGGGGAGTGATTGTCGGGTTAGGTTGGGGGTTACACCTGTTGTTAGGGCGAGGGATAATTCAGATTGTGAGGTGGGAGTTGTTAGGGTTGTTAGTATGGGGAATGTGTTGTTAAGGATGGGTGGGCATAAATGATTCTGTCTGGATAGGTTCGGGATCTTTGATTCTTTTGTTGATTTGGTTGGAAACATGCGTGGTTATTGGATTTTTATGCTGCCACTTCTCTTCTGATTGAACATTTCGTGGACTTGTGATCTGTTTCGTTCACTTTATCGTATTCTGGGATAGGGCTTATGAATCACGAATTTCAGGTTTTTACGATGTGATCTAGAAAATACATAAAGCATTTCCAGCTTTTTCCAAGCCCCAAAGATATCATTTACAATAGAATGTGCACAATTCATGCAAAATACACAACGCATGTATCATGTATCAAAATTCTACCTGTGTAAATCCAACCCACAAATCAAACCTTCTCAATATGCTCCTCCCCAGTACCACTCTTACAATCCTCGGCCGTTCCCATCTTCGCCTCCCCCCTATCCCTACCCATGATATTAACCCGCCCATGCTTCCGCCTCTCCTTAGCAATCTCCTTTGACAGCTTCACAGGCCCCTTTTTCGGGTTCGTAAAGAGATAGTCGATCTCTTCGAGGGTCATCTTGGCTGTCTCGGGGTAGAAGAAGTATATGAGTGGCACGAAGGCGAAGTTTGTGCACATGAAGATTAGATATGCTTTCCATTGCAGGCGGTTGATGATGACGGGGGTTATCATGACGACGAAGAAGTTCTGCTCCAGTTAGCGAATGATTTTCAGTAATATATGGGAAGAGGGGACAGGGACGTACCCAAATCCAATTCGACGATACCCCAATAGCAGTCCCCTTCGTCCTAGCATGCAACGGCAAAATCTCCGGAACATAGCACCACGGAATACAATTCACCGATGCCCCAAAAATCAGCATATACACAAAGAAAAACGCCACCGCCGCAGAAGAAGTAGCATGCTCATTCGCATGCCCTTTGAAACTAAGCAAGATAGCCACCATCATCATGCAGATACCCAACCCAAAGGATCCCCACATCATAGGCTGGCGGCGGCCGACGCGGTCGACGAAGATGGTGGGGAAGAGAGAGCCGAGGACGAACATGATCTGGACACAGCCGCCGATGATTTGAGATAGGTTTTTGGAGAGGCCGACATTTGTGTTTAGGACGGTGGGGATGAAGTAGACGACGAGGTTTATGCCGCCAACTTGGTTCATGAATTGCATGCCGTAGGCGAGGAGGCTGATATTATTAGTGATGTTTTATGGGAGTGGGGCTTAGGGGATGTACACTCTGTAGCCTGTTGAAACTTCATCGCGCTTGAGGATGTTTCTGCACGTAAGTGAGTCTGGTATTCCACCCAAGGATGTATTGTCAAACTCACCTCCACTGGAATCCCCCATTTTCTGTCTCCACTGCAATCGCGTCCAGAATCTCCGTCTGCTCAGACTGAATCTGTGGGTCGTCTTTCGGCTTACCATACACATCGCTGAGGATTTGCAGAGCCTCGTCGTTCCGTCCATGCTGGTAACAAAAACGCGGTGATTCAGGAAGCCCGAAGACAAGCACGATGACGATCTTCAACAATTAGACACAATGCTTCAGTTCTAGATAGACGAGACTCACAAAAGCCCAAATCATCTGACACGCAATTGGCAACCGCCACGCAATCTGCCCTCCAACGAAACTCATTCCGTAGTCGAAGAAGTAACTGATCACGATGCCCACTCCAACCAGCAAAGGCTCACTGCAGACAAGCTTTCCTCGCTTGCTGGCCTCACATAGTTCCGCTTGATACATTGGAACCGTGGACGTCTCAATCCCGGTGCCGATTCCGCACACGAACCGGCCGACCATCATGTGTGGGACGGAATATGCTGAACATTGAAGTGTAGCACCGATCTTTAATAGTTAGTCAGTACAGGCCTAGTGACATCTCAATGCGCACAGACTCACAATAACCCAAGTCATTGCAAACCACATGGCGCGTCGCCGTCCTAACCAGTCGCCCAGCAGGAAGTTCAGTATGCAGCCGGAAAAACACCCCAGATTGTATATTGAGACAATAATACCCGTTAAGCTGTCATTTGGATGGCCCATTGTTTCAAGGTAATTGTCGTTTTCCACGATTCCAGAGAAGACGCCTTGGTCGTAGCCTACATTTGGTTAGTTAGACTGGTTGAAACAGCGCCATCAATGAACATCACCGAAGAGAATAAATGCCATCCCACAAGCCACCCAAATGGCAGCTTGAAGGGCAAAACCCGTCCCAAATACATCAATCTTCACCATACTGACTCCTATCGTACCTATTCAAACTGTAAAATGATTCACCGCACATCCTCCGAGCATCAAAAAGGGCAACCCTTATATATACCCCCTTCCCAATCACCACCCCGTAGCACAACAACCGGGGGATATCCTCCCGAATACAGCCAGTCCTTGCATCAGGCAATTAGAAACGCCGTTGTCCCAATCCGGTAATCCGAACATGTTACCCCGGACTGCGGGCGTTACCCCGCACACCCGCTAAACCAAAACGGATACATTCTTTATGGGGGATCGACGATTATCCATGTGCTTTCGGTCTGTTCTCCGGTCCTCGTGTCGGGGGTGCAGACGTCATTTTACTATTCAGTGGTGTATGTTACGGGGGCTTGGCGGTGCCTGAGTTCACCCCGGCCAATGTGACATCAGAATTGCCGTGTGGTGTGACTAAACACCAGATGTTGCAGAATGACTTTATGCGCTTGGCTAACAGTAAAATTCTTATCGACTTGTGCTATGGGGGTTTATAGAGCGGCAGATGCTAAACACACTTGTAGCCGGTATTCAATAGTGATGCAGGACGCGGAAGGTGTCCAGAACCGGAAATTTTCCCGGATAGCCAGAGGAACAATGCGCATAACGGCTAAATTGCCTAGAATTGCTTGCAGCAAGTGACCGAGGAGGTCCTCGCAACTTAAATGACATATCGTTGGCCAATGCCACACCCAAGGTTGCTGCTATGCTAGCAATTCGTAGATAGATTGAATTCGACATCCCGTGTTCGACATGTTGACATTGAAACTTTGACTAGTTAAAGGATAAGAGAACGAGATTATCAAGACATACTGATACATAAACTCATCTAGATAAGAAGTGACCATTTGTGATAACTAGTAGAATACATACCTTTCAAGTGATTCCCATCCTGCATCACAGTTCTGTCAGGGATATACGACCATCAGAAACAGCATTCACAGCCAAGAGCTCATGCTTACCAAAGGCCAAGTATAAGGCTGAAGGCATTGCAAATACATACCAGTACCATTCCCGAGACCATCATGGAATAGACATCACTTTAGGGGCCCTGATGTGCCATGGGATAGTGGAAAGGGTCACAGATAAATAAGGGAATAAACAAATATAAATCGGATACTGAACAACAACAGTATCGACGCCGCGCCCAAATTTTGTGTGTAGGATTCCAAGCAAGCCCCAATACGTGAAAACCGCGATATATTATTCCCCAATGGGAACTGATGCCTCTTCAAACATCAAAGCCTGTGGAATAAAGATACTTAGGAGATTTCATACTCACACTTACAGCGTAGGGTCGGCAACTGATTTTGCTATTACCGAAATCCGATTCCCCAGCAAGCGATACTAGAAGGTCTTGGTCTCAGTAAAGCTGACAAATCTTGGTAATGGCACTGGAGGACCGGATGAGAGCGACTATCCAGATGATGAGACCCTCCACAATGACTGCAGGCCACCCGCGAACAGTTTTATATACGAATGCCAATTCAAATATATTTCAGCATGCAACTTGGCGCTGAAGATCGATGGTTTATCGTACGCCAGAAATACCCTATGGAATATTTCCACACAGGGAAACTTTAGCCCTAATGGTATAAAGATTTTTACGATCGTTTTTTCTGGGGTCTTCTCAAAAAAATCTAGAAATACTGGTTATCGAATGACAGGCTTCTCCTACTAACCAAGGGGTTGCAGCATCTGCTTGGGGCTTCACGAACAATGAAGATTTTTACCATGATCGTGGGGGTGGGCCACTTGAACCTCGAGGATAAGAAGACCATTCGGTCTTGAAATTGGCCACAGGATGCGTCGACTGATGGCTAGCATTTTGAGAACTACTGGATAGTCGTGACAAAGTCTGGATATGGCCATCATAGGCCTCAATGAGTACGATGAGGAAGGATGAACCATTTCCCCCTCTGGGGATGGGCCCGACTTTTACATGACTCCATATCCTCGACGGCATGGGAAACCCACAAGAGTAGATCACCATCACTACGAATTGAATTCTCCAGGAATATGGTAGAAAAAAACCATGCTTTCACCAGAATAAGTGAGACCGATAAGAGCCGGTTGGGAAGCCGGGTACGTCCATGGCGATCATTGTGGAGTGAAGACCCTAATGACCCTGATGATGAGCTTTGTGGTTGATCACATCGTAATCTTGCGTGACGAACGCCAAGTACTATTGAATATGAATTCAGTACTTGATGCAAGCTCTAACAAAGACAAAGGAATGAACTATAGCAGAGAATCGAGGAGGGTTAGAAAGTTTGAGGCACCCCATATGGGGTAACGTCCATACGAATCATTAGTTGAATGCACGTGCTATAGAAAGTGTCTCATACTTCAATAAGCTTAGTAGTAATTTGTACACTTTTCATAGCATCATATTACATCCGCCAACTGCCGTCGCAACACTCCGTCGTATGGAGGCTCGGGCCGCAAATTCATCCTCCCCGCCGCAAAGAATGGGAAAGTGAAGGCTCTCCTTTCTTCAACCACACTGCGTTCTTGCCACTAGCCTCTCATTTTGCTACCATAATTGATCTATTTCAATGTCTCGACATTAATGAGTCTGTCCTCTGCGAAGCGAGCGACTGTCCGGGTTCGCGCCTTGGCGGACAGTTCTTGTACGAGTCCTTCCCCGGCCCAATTACACCCTTTTCATGCGGTCAATCGTTGTCTAACGCGAATAACCCACAGGTTTCATATCAACTTCCAAGCGCAAATACAGTACACCCCAGGTTAAAAGACGGCCAGAGTTTCACGACTACTTCGTCACACATCTCCCCTCATCGTCGCTCCATCCCGATCCTCGAGGCCCGCTCGCGCCCTTTCATAAACTCCCTCGTTCGGAGTCAGTACCTCATACCGGAGAGATCTCGCATTCGCCTGCGTCGTTCCAGGCTCTGACAAACCGCGAAGCCACCGTTGTCCGAATTCCACTTCGCAGCGCGAAACATCATTTCGGCGCCTCGAGTTCTCGGGGTACTCGTCGGTCAAATGAAGACACACACCAGGCCGGTGTGATTGATTTGCCCGCGTTTGCGAATCGACCACCGGCGTCGCTTACAATCAGACGAGGGGCTGGTCCTGGGCCTCGTGAGAATCGCGCGGCAGACAGTGCCAGCGGTGATCCGCAGGTCTTCTACTTCGGAGTCTTTGACGGACACGGTGGGACGGAATGCAGTACGTTCCTTAAGGAGAATCTACATGAATACATCCAGAACACAGCTACAGAATTTGAATTGCGGTCGAGTCTGAGGGACAAGGGGGAGGAGGGATCGAAAGAGGAGCCCGAGACTCTGCCCATTGTCCAGGGAGCGAACCGGCAACTAATTGGCGAGCTAGAAAAGGAGCTCGTGAAGAATTGGCGGAGTCTTGTTGGGGGTTACTTCAAAAGATTTATCCCGCCTCACTTCTCCTATTTCGGACGAGATGATGTTGCAGAGCAGACTGACAGAAAGTCTCGCAAAGAGGGCGTCACCATCGAAGAAGTGATGGAATATGCCTTCCTACACGCGGACTACGACTTTGTGTCAGCACAAGCGGCGAGACGGGACAATGAACTAGTAAAGGCTGGCCAACCTCTACAGCAAGACGAGATCCTCTACGGTGCAGACCATCCGGCGACGAACAAGAAGATCTCAGGCAACACCCGCTTCAAGGGCGGAAGCACCGCCAGCGTCGTGCTCATCTCCACCCCGACCCCAGCACCGTTCTGGTACCCGACCACGTCGTCTAGCTTGTTGGTATCGCATGTAGGCGACACAAGGATGCTGTTATGTTCCACGGTCACCGGCGAATCTATCCCTCTGACTTCAAACCACCACCCATCCTCACCGCCCGAGGCGGCCAGACTCCGTCGCTACGCCACGACATTCGTGACCGACTCGTTCGGCGAGGAACGCATGAGCGGTCTAGCCAACACCCGTTCCTTCGGAGATGTCCAATCCAAACGTATCGGTGTCTCTGCAGAGCCCGAAATTTACCGCCTTGAGATGGCCCCCGCGGAATTCTCGTTCTTGGTCCTCATGACCGACGGTATCAGTGGATCTCTCGACGACCAGGAAATCGTCGACATCGTCAAGGAGGCTCGTACACCGGAAGAGGCGTCCAAGGACGTCGTCAGCTTTGCAACTGAAGTCACCAAAACCGGAGACAATGCCACCTGCCTCGTTGTCCGTTTAGGCGGATGGGAACGCCGGCTGGAAGGCGGGCTGGGAAGCATGGGGACGAAGGAGTCTCGCGAATGGCGTAGGCAGGAAGCTACTGATCCGCGCAGGTCACGGACATGATGATTGATATTTCTAAGGTATCTATGGTTTGCTTTTCTTTGCTTTGTTGTACATAGTTCCCTGGTGTCATCTTCGGTTCGGTCATTGGTCATTGGTCATCGGGTTTTGTTCTTTTCTTTTTATTTGTTGTACATATAAAACTGATATTCACAAGGCTTTGCTGGCTTTCTTTTGTTTGAATGTCGAGTGCCACCGGGTTTATGGAAGGAGATTAATATAACGGGAAGGCCAATATTTGCAAACAAAAACATATGTTCTTTTTCGTTTTTTGGGCTATTCTACGTTTTCTTCTGTGTACCAACAATGTACCACCTTCGACCCGGAAATTTTACAATGAGCTGTAGCGTACGTAACTGACAAACAGATTGAGTTGCGGAACTCATGTTTAATCTCCCCTGTTGGCAGAGGAATAAGTCCAATGTGGGAGTATGCGAAAGGCAATTAAATTGGTTACTATTCATAGTCTTCTAGAAAAAACTAGATTGCCCAATGTAGATCGTCGAGAGAGATTGCCAGATCGCAGGCATGGTTACGATGTTACGTCTCCTGTTCCCCTGAGCTTCCGCAAACAGTGTAATAGCCGTCTCGGTGCCTATGACAAAGATACCGGAAAGAGAACGAATTTCCAGGTAATAGCATCTTCATTATACTCTGTATACTGTGTAGAACAGACCAGTTTCTACTACTAAATTGACCAGCCGTTTGCTATTCCAGCTAAAGCGCACCGGCGGACGTCAGAGTTCAGACCCTGATCGTGTTATCGCCCTTATCGGCAACACGCACGCTTAGTTCGGATCTCCTGACTAACTTTCTCTTTCTCAACTCTTCGAGGTTTCTCTTTACCTCGAGTGCTTCTTCTTTCCCGTCACTGTCATTCCTTTCATCTTTACTCTGCACCATCCTTTCTGCTTCTCTAGAAGAATTCCTCGGTGACTCTGGAAGCGCGTTGATCTCGTGACGTGTAGGTTTACAAAAAAATCCCCGTCTAACAAAGCTTTGCTGGCCTTTTTTGCTCTTATCTCAGACCCCGCTGCACTGTGATGATGACTGGGTTCTTCTGTGAATGGTCTTGCTAAATATTCCACGACTCTTATAGATTCCACCTGTCCTCGTCCTCATTTTCGTTTCGCACCGATCGGTCTTTTCGTTCCCGGCCGGTTTCCGGAAAAGGCTCCTGCTCGTTATTTCCGCAGGGTCCTTTGATACCTAATACTTCGCCTTTCCTAATTCCTAAGCTTTACGAATATGAGCGCAAAGACGAGGAGACAAAAGGCCGCGCAGGCAGCGCAGTCCGACAGCGATGTGCCGTCGCCCGCCAGCAATGGGGCCGTGAAAACACCGAAGAGGAGCAAGAGCAAGTCTCCTTCTCCTCAACCGGAGGCGAGGGAGAATGTTTTCCTTTTTGCTCCTAATCTTATTGGTAGATGTCTCAGGACTATATTCTAATGGCGTGAAATCTAACCATTTGTCTGTCCAATAGGATATTCCCGAGTCGTCCTTACCATCGCCTCCCTCTACTACATGCCTCTTCATCCGCGTACCTGCTCCATTCTCTACAGTGTTTCATGTCTGCTGGATGCCTTGGATGGATACGCCGCGCGATATTTCAACCAGTCTACCACCTTTGGTGCCGTGCTTGATATGGTGACAGACCGTTGCACAACTGCTTGTTTGCTTGTTTTCTTGAGCTCTGCCTGGCCTCGGTGGGCCATTGTTTTCCAGGGCTTGATTTGCCTGGACATGGCCAGCCATTACATGCACATGTATGCTACTCTGAGCCGGGGTGGTGCCAGCCAGAGCCACAAGAAGGTTGATGCGACCAGAAGCTGGGTTCTGTACCAGTACTACCACAGCAAGGTGAGCCTCCCTAAAAAGTTACACAAACCAAACCATGGCAGCTGACCACCAATGTTTAGACTGTGCTTTTCATCTGCTGTGCCCTTAATGAGGTCTTCTTCATTGGTCTCTACCTGCTCTCTTTCTCCTCGCCTACTCTTTCTCCGTCTCTTCTGCAACCTACTGAGCAGCCCGCCTCCGCGCAGCCTGGAAACCCTGCTCACCCCGCCCCAAGCAGCCTTTTCGCTAGCCCATGGAGTGCTGGTGCTCTGGAGATGGCCAGAGCTAACAAGCTTGACAGCTTCTGGCCATGGGCGATTACTGCTGTCTCTGCTCCCGTCATGGCCTTCAAGCAGTTCGTCAATATTGTGCAATTGGTCAATGCCAGCAAATGGATGGCAGAGGGTGACCTCGCAAGCCGGAGGGAGGCGCGGAACGGCAAGAAGCGGTAAACTGCTGGCTCTTATCCAATATGAGCAGGCTGTCGACCAAGGAAGTTCTACTAATATCATGTTTTCTTTGTCTTCTGACGCATCCATTGGTCTTGTCATGAACAGGGTTCTCTCCAGCACTATTTTTCGCCGGGTTATCACTATCATTCGCATTACTTAGCTTTCACTTTCTTTTTTTCTCTTATTCCTTTAGTTTATATTTGCTCGTTTTTGCCTGTTTATTCCCGGCTATTCATCCGTCAGGTCTGAAATTTTTTTGGGAGGAAATCGGTCTGTTAAGACAGATCTTTGCAGCATTTGAACGGCCCTTGCTCGTTTCTTATTATCTTTTATTATTCTTTCTTTCTACACCCCTTTCTTTTCTTTTCTTTTCTTTTTTTCTTTTTTTTTTTTTCTTTTTTATTCATTGTTGCTTCTTGTTACCTACATTTTGCTTGACTTGCTTTTTATTCGCTATTTTAATGTGTGCTGGGGTATCTGTTATGGACATACACAGTTTGTATTAGTATCCTTGTTACTATTGCTGTTTTATTCATATTGCCTGAAAGAGATGAAAACAACCAATAATGATATACTGAGCTCTCTCGAGTTACTTTAGTGCTCCACAGTAGTAATTGTCCATCTCTCAGAGGCTGCTCTAAGCCGATACAATACAAACCGACTCCGACTGCGGCTCCGGTGTCGGCGCGGGGTGGACCAATTCCGCCCCGCCATCTCCAGCCGTAGTGACCATTATTCGATTATTCCCCTCGACTTTCCTCAGATATTCTAATAACGGCTTGAATCACTTCTTCAAGAACATACAATTACAATAATGGCTCCCCATAACATCGTTGTCTTCGCCGGAGACCACTGCGGTCCCGAGGTGAGCAGCTCCGAATCCGCTAGTCCGCAATTGACATATTGACTTCTGGTTTACAGGTTACCGCCGAGGCTCTCAAGGTGAGTAGTATATACGATGAGAGGCCGGCGAGATGGTATAGAGAACTAATTCGATTTCGTGGTTAGGTCTTGCGTGTCATTGAGAAGAACCGCGATGACTTTAGCGTCAACCTTCAGGACCACTTGCTTGGTGGTGTGAGTGCTTATTCCTAAGTATAATGGAAGAACTGAGGTGACTTTGCTAACAATGAATTGCTCATAGGCATCGATCGATGCGACTGGATCTCCCCTGACCGACGAGGCCCTGGAGGCTGCTAAGAACGCCGACGCCGTTCTGCTCGGTGCCATTGGAGGACCGGTATGCGACCATTCCCCAAAGCCATAAAGGACGTTATAACTAACAAAACAGAAATGGGGAACCGGTGCTGTCCGCCCCGAACAAGGCCTCCTCAAACTCCGCAAAGAAATGGGCACCTTCGGTAACCTCCGTCCCTGCAACTTCGCCGCCCCCTCTCTCGTCGAAGGCTCTCCCCTCCGCGCCGACGTCTGCCGCGGCGTCGACTTCAACATCATCCGCGAACTCACCGGCGGCATCTACTTCGGTGACCGCAAGGAAGACACCGGCGACGGCTACGCACTCGACACAGAGCCGTACTCGCGCGCTGAAATCGAGCGCATTACCCGTCTCGCAGCCAACATGGCCCTGCAGCACAACCCGCCTCTCCCCGTGTGGAGTCTGGATAAGGCCAACGTTCTCGCAACGAGTCGGTTGTGGCGTAAGGTTGTGACGGAGGTTTTCGAGAAGGAATTCCCGCAGGTGCAGATTGGGCACCAGCTTATTGACTCTGCGGCTATGATTATGGTGAAGGACCCAAGGAAGTTGAATGGTATTATTGTTACTAGCAACTTGTTTGGTGATATTATCAGTGATGAGGCGAGTGTTATTCCTGGTTCGTTGGGTTTGCTTCCTAGTGCTAGCTTGAGCGGCATTCCCGATGGAAAGAGTAAGGTCAACGGTATCTATGAGCCTATTCACGGTGCGTCCCCTCTTCCTCCCACCCCATCACAACTCCCATATAAGAAACAATACTGATAAATGCAGGCTCCGCCCCCGACATCGCCGGTAAGGGCATCGTCAACCCCGTCGCCGCCATTCTCTCCATTGCCATGATGATGCAGTACTCCTTCAACCGCATGGCCGAGGCCAAGGCAATCGAGACCGCTGTGCGAAACGTGATTGAGGCTGGTGTTCGCACGGGTGACATTGGCGGTAAGGCGACGACTGCGGAGGTTGGTGACGCCGTGGCTGCGGAGTTGGAGAAGTTGCTGTAGAGGGTGTTTGTATTAAATGATGTGATATAAATTGTTTTGCTCTGTGCGATGAAAATGAAACGTGATATGACTTCAATAATGGGTATTGCTTATAAGTGCAGGCCAGTGCTTTCCGCCATTTTCACTTGGAGCATGGCTTGTACGTTTTGATATATACTTTTCAAGAGAAAGAGGGAATCAAACCTCATATTAACACGAACTACTCCGTAGTCTTGGGTGACGGCGAATTACTAGAAGTGGTATAGCGTGCCTGTTTAGGTTTAGCGTATTATTGCCGCTTGGCATCACGGTGCGTGCTCTATAAAGTCGCCCTCCATCGCTGCTTCAACTTCAACCAAATTTTTGCTGTTTTCCCTTTCACCTTTCGCCTCTGCCGCCTATGATTTTGGTGAGGCATTATTGCTATTGATCCTCTGCCTAGGCCCCCTCATTGCGCCACCCCCTTTTCGCTGAATGCAGTCATAATCACCTTGAAGCTGCAGTCTTTTCACACCAGTATGGTCCCCCACTCATGTTGAAAAGGTCTGCTAATAGAAATGGTGTTTGAGATAAAATTTTGCCTTGCAAATTGAATGGTCCACCATAATCTTCATCACGTCATCCTCCAACCCTTCATCTCCTACTGGCTGAGCGTCCTATGATGGATCCGTTTTCTATGAATATCACCGCTATGTTCATGCCTATGTACACTTCTACAATTGGTTGCCTTGTTCGAATGAACAACCTGCTAACATAGCGGCATCCACTACCTCCTTTTTGACTTCATTCTTGACTCCTTTCATCAGAGTTCTGGATGCACAGACAACAACTCAGCCTTCCCTGACCCGCAAGTGAGGAAGAACTGGTTGGCGTAAAATGACAGGTTGAACTGCTGATGTTTCGCGCTCATGACTGGCATTCATTGTGTATCGGGAACAGTCGGCAGGAATAGCTATCCGGCTTCTCCTGGCCTGTGCCGAACAGGCAACAGGGAATCGATTGGCACACAAGTGTGGTTGAGAGCCCTCCATCCCCCAGCAATCAACAGAACAACTAAGACCAGAATACTAAAGCAAGCTCAATATGTACCTCGCCATTCCCCTGAGAACCAGTGTTCGCCCACACAGCCTGAACAGGATACTCCTGCAACCCCAAACCCCGAGTCTCCCCAAAGCCAATTGGGCTTGGAACTCCAAAGCCACATAGAAGCAGCAGTGGCATTGAAAACAGCACAAATAAAGACCATCGGAGATGAAGTTCTAGAGCTTGTCTCCATGATTATTCAGAAGAGCAGAGCCTACAGGGAGCCGCTTCCCTGGGCCGGGCTATCAGGACCCTGGCCCTCAACTTCAGCAAAAACCTAGCGACTGTACACCAGTTCAAAGAAAATGAAAGCCGCCAACCCCCTCACTTCGAGCACAATAGCTATGCTGGAGCTACAAGAACCTCTCTCAATGCCCCCAAGGTACAACCCAAACCACCCCTGTTCCCCACACCCTATGGTCATATGTAATAGCATTTTAGTAATGTGAGAATATATGGGGCAAGTCTGAGTGCACAACACAGAGGATGAGCCATCACCCCGCATCACGCGAGTTCAGCCAGCTGAAAACTCAATATCCACACGCTACCATATGAGACTTATCATTTGCTATTATGATTCAACGTCAGACATAAGCTGGTGGGTTCTATGGGACTTGCTATTAGCATGCTTTGTGTGACAGTCTCGAACAATATAAATTTATTGGTAGACTCTCTATCGAAATACTAACATGGAGAAGGAAAGAAGGAAGCTGGGCCTGCCAGCGCTGCGCTATCTAGTGTGCGAAGGGGGTTCCTGCCCTATATTCAAACAGGCCAAAGTTTACAAACATCTTGCGTTGTTGGTGAATGCCCGTACTCCGTGACACCTCGCTTGATCAGTGAGGTCAGTTCGACGCCTCCCTGGCCATTGGATGGTATACTGCCTCCGACCGAGTCTCACATATCGCCAATGAATACCAACCCAGGCACATCATGGAGTGGGGTCTCTCCCGTCAGCACGGTTGATCCAAGGCTCCAATTTACCGAACAGCAGCCACAGCAAAACTTGGTGAGTCAGCCACAATCCGAATCACCTGGCATTGCTGCCGCAAAGCTGCGATCCCCTTCAGCCATTAGATCACCAGTAGTGGTCAACAATAATATTCCTGTTGGCTTTGCTGACATTGTGCAGTGCATCGGTAACAATGCTGAGAAGATCAATCAGTCATGTTTGTGTTGTCTGTCTCACTTATCCTCATTTGCCACTGTTGTTCCCACCAGTATCCCTGCCCCCTTCCCTCACCTTGTGTGAAGCGAAAAAGGCTTTGGAGGTGGTTATACGCTATTTTGGACATCAACCGATCAGATTAAGCTCATCAGAACGTTTGCTACTCGAAACGCTTGCAGAGAATCTTGATCCGGCCAGCAATCAGATCAGTATGTTTTCTGGAGAGCACGCATTCCAATGATGAAATTTATGATGCGCCTTCCCATATCGCATACCGCCGTTGGTAAGGGCACCACCTCTGGGCTACGGTATTAGCTCTTGCGCAAAGCTGATGTAATATCATGTCCTGCGGCAAGTTCAAGGATCTGCAGTCCCTGTTTTTCGTGGGGCAATTGATCTCGAGAAGACCTACTTCCTCTATGAGGCTGGGGAAATTCGACATATATTGCTCATGGGTGGGGGTCTACCGGCAGTCTCGAACATATGCGGTATTGTATGCCATTGAGATTAAAGAAGAATATATTGGTACTATAGAAAAACATAACTGTTTGGAGAGTTACCGATAATTTCTTTTGGGGCTTCTGGACAGCGATGTAAGTTTAATACTTGATGATATACGTATCTCAGGCATTCTTTCAGAGCATCAGTAGTATGTTCGCATGAATGTCTGGAAGGGTTTCGATTTGCTGTAATATCACACGAGCCTAATGTGAGGTGCACTGACTTCCATTTTAATTTTCCGACTTATATCTCACATTATGATCTTGCCTTTCCATCCATCCTACGATTTCAGTGTCTCTCAATTCGTTCTCCCTACTGGTGAAGTCTTAAAGAGTTTAAAACTACAACTACCTGGATAGGAGCCATTGAGGTGGATGCTCCATTATCCTAGCTGAGCCTGCGGCAGCCCGCGGCCTTTATTCCACCAGACACCATCTGGTCTCTCACAAATGTTCTTATGTTATCGTCTGTCTCATCTTCTATGGTTGAACACAGCCTGCCGCCTTCTGAGAATACTATGAAAATGAACAAGCCCCTCATCGTCTGCGATCGGTATGTAATTTCCAATCTAAATATTTTCAGTGACTATTCCAATATTTGTACATCAGACGTATCAAAAATATAAATGACCAATATAATTCTTAGCGTTGCTATCCCAGCTGGATTATCAGGTGGTTGATTTCTTGCCTAGCCGAAGTCAAATCGACGGTTCGCGTTAGAAAGCAAACAAATGATGCAGCCCATCCTAACAGACAATATCTCCACTTTCCGAAAGTTCCGGGCGAATTGTCAAATACATATTTTAATCAGCTCAGTGGTTCGCAATGCTGGACTACCTGAAGTGTTGTGTCTGAAGAGAGTCAAGAGACCAAATGCGCGGCAATCCCTGCAAGATGTACAAATTACTCCATTGACAAGAATAATCAACATGAGGGTTAAAGAAAGGAGGAGAGCAATTATCGACAAGGCTAACAAGTCCGCTTCATGTGATAGCCAGCCAACGTAACCAGTTTGTCATAGGCAACTGATGCAGTCCAAAGAAGTCCTCTGTAACCTCTATTAGATTGATCTTGTAGGCTTTCAGGTAGACACTCAGATTCTTTGTGGGGCGCATAGTGGTTGTCGCATTCTCGAGTTGAGTCAAAGTCGATAAAAATGGCCTTTGAACTGCGAATGAGGAAGTTAAATTGATTTATGTCACCATGTTGGACCTCCAAGCAGTGCAGCTGAGACGTCTGTTGACAGGGCTTTACTACTGAGCCTCACTGAGCAACTCGGGCAATATTGTCTTCAAGTGCCAGAGCCGTATTGTGGCATCTTATCTTGTATTACATCGGTATTGATTATAAGCCTATATGACCCTTTCAAACTCAAGAACCAAAGTCATGATGCTACTGTATGACCTGTGTACTCCACGAACGCGACACCTTCACTTTACTTCGTCATTTATGCTTACTAATAAAGCTGCACCTCTAACTACTACCTCCGACCCCTACTACTCCTACTACTCCTACTACTCCTACTACTCCTACTACTCCTACTACTCCTACTACTCCTACTACTCCTACTACTCCTATCTCAGATTAAGCAGGATATGTTCTATAAGATGTCAGCCTCAGCCCAAATGCACCGCAGTTTGGCACAAACTAATTCAGATTTTGGTCCATCTTTAATCAATTTGGTATTATTGCTGTGCATTTCCTCTGACTATGCCTTGGTTTAGCGCCTTGCTCCGTTATTTGGGAAGGCGCAGAGAATCTGATGACTTGACTGCTTTCTCCGGCGAAATGCCTCCCTTCAAGACTAAATCAAAGACAAAGTTTGTAAGTACCAGAAACTAATTGACTAGCGCCGGTCTAATATCATGCTGCGAACAGACAACCTTTGTCAACCGCGACAATGAGGAAAACTTCATTGCTGAAAACTGCATTGTCATGGACACCAAGCGCATTGACGACCAGGGGGGTCATGGTTCTGATCAGAATACAAATGGGAAGACAAAGGGCATGCCCGCGTACAGTGAGAGTATGTCTGACCAAAGCACTCTCATCCGAAAGACTGATAGAGAGACTCAGGACCTTGAGCCCTCCTGTGGGTCCGATCAGGGTGCTGTCACCGAAAGATATACTGATATAGAGGCCTTCATGGCCAAAAACGATGGGATGGCTGCCTGTACACCATTTGTCAAAGATTCGACCGGTGAATGTATGGTCCATTTGATCCAAGTCACTACCATATGCCTTGACCGTTGTCAAATCACTGGAGTTGGATCCTATATACCGAATTCTGATAAAGATGAGATCGAGGTGCTTTTCAACTACAGACGCAAAGATTTTTGGGTGTATGTCCGGTATGGCTATGTTAAGGACCGAGATGACTTCAACTTAGTTGTACGGGGTGATATGGCTATGTGTGTGCCAAACTAGCTGCTTCCTTTTCCATTATTTCTCGTATTATGTATAAATGGAAAGCCATCATGCTCTTTTAACTTGGCCTTGACAACAATAGTGATATTCTGGGCCGTTAGAACCTCAGCTTGAAAATGTGGCATCCAACATCCATCCGTCTTGTATATTGGTATACTTCTGTCGGAGTTGCGGCTTAGTCAGGGTTGAAAGTACGTATCAAGCGTATATGGTCGAGGTCTCTGATTCTTGCAAAAGTGTGCTATCTAGGATCCTATATAAGACCGTTAACTACCTTATAGAGTATGCTAAGCGATTGTGCGGTTTCAAAAGCGGTAATAGCAGAGTAAATACGCTGCTTGCGCCATATGATATCAGCGAGGCAGCAATCAGGCATCAATTGGTATTGTTTGGTAAGGAACCTCTATATTCCGACAACTTCCTTCATATCACGTGAAACGCGTGATCTGATGAAAGTCGAGGTGGATCAATAGTTTGTCCGATTACCGAGGCCGACAGATCCCTCATATACGGACACACACACTCGTTTAGATAGCCAAGCACTCATTCTACCATCTACGGTGTCTATAGATATCATTGATGGTAGAATGAGTGCTTAGCCACATGTGCCACAGCTTTTGCATGAATGCGTCTGCATTTGCGTAAAAAGACAGACTAATTATACTACAATGATGGGTATCATATCAACCATCTGAACCTCTTCACAAGTATTGATAATCATCGAATAACAGGCTCTCCCATCCAATCTGGTTCTTCCAACCCAATTACCTTACTTCCATCATCCTCAGCATCACGTCCCTCGCCATCCTTGACACTCGACTGCCGTAAGCTCCGTCTCTTTGCACGTCCATTCGCAGAAGCAGAAGGGGCATTGCATGCCCGGCGACGGTCATCGTCCCGTGCATACACCTGAAACCCCCGTACGTGTGTATCTTTGCCATTTTGGTGGTTTTCCATTATTTTCATTTGAATGACCATTGCTTTCAGCACATTCCCTGCGTATGGGTCATCTTCATCGTCCTCATCAGCCGTCTCGTCGTTGTCGTCTTCGTAAGCGCCCTCGTCGTATTCCGGGTGTTCAGAGTCGGAGAATATATAATCGTAGTCCAGCTTTGCCTCAGAAGCAGCCTTTGCCTTTGATTTTCCTGATACGGAGGCACGTTTATCGTTCGTACGGGTAACACGCTTTCGTCTCTTCTTCCTAACCCAGCCGCCACTTCGACCTCCCACGTTTTCCAGTGGTATGTTCACCCAGCCACACGGCGTTTCTCCTTCCCAGGTTGCAAACTCAACGAGATCGTTACCGCCCATACCAGCCAGGAAGACCATTTTTGTGGGCGTGTAACTTTCGTCCATCTCAAAATCGAGGTACACGCGGATCCGGACAACAGCGACAAGTTTGAAGAAATGAAGACTCAGCGTATGCGGTTGAGGGCCGTCAGATTGCCAGTACTCCGTTGGGTTCGAGCTACGAAGAGCAGCGACACCACAGCCTGGTTTATGTGTCGTGACGGTCCACGAGGCTAGTGACGAGATCTCGCGGAGGTTAGGTGGGAGGGGTGTCGGGGATCTGTCTGAACAATCGGTGTCAGAATCACCATTTAAAACCGAAGGAGTATGTTGGCGCAAACCTCGTTCCTGCATTAGCTCATCCTCCTCCTCCTCCTCCTCCTCCTCCCCACCTTCCATCTCCTCATCGAACATTCCTGCGGCCTCTTCATCCGACAGAGTAACCTCATTCCCCTCCGCGTCAATGGTAATCCGTCTCGGATCTTCCTGCGCAAATGTATCGTTCAACCCATCATCCGATTCCTCGTCATCCTCATCCATCATCTGTGGACGCTGTCGACCACCTCGACTAAAGAGGCCGAAAATGGCTGCTTGTGTCGCAGCTGCTGGGTGCATAGATTCCACGCTCTGAACGGGGCCCGATGAGGGATGTATCTGTGGTGTGGCATGCGACGGAGGGGTATGGAATTGTGGTTGGGGGACTGCATGGCCGGGTCGTGGTCTGCTTGGTTGTCGATGTCGGTGCGGAGAGTCTGGAGTTGGAGCGGCGGGTCTTCGGAGGTTTGGTTGGGGTGGCATTGCGTTGAATTCTGATTATTTGGTGCTGTAATAATAGTATAGCATTGTAGGATTATGAATTTCAATTTAGTTGAAGGGAGAAACTCTGGACGGAGTGCGATGTGCTTTGTTTACTCCAGCACCTTTAGATTTCCGGAAGGTGAAGCTCCAAGGAATCTCGCGACAAACTCCGCATCGGCCAATCACGTGCGATATCTACGATAACCATTTCAAATGCAATGTAAAGAAACAAAACCAGGATTTTAATAGACTCTATTGAAGTGAAGGAAAGTGCTAGTCTATCCAACAAATATACGCGAAGATAATGGTATACTACAAAACCAAATGCAACAAGATCCACACACCGTAACTCCTGGGCAGCAAGATGTTAAAACGAAGAACGAAGAGCGCGCGTCAGTATGGTGGAGATATGTTGAACATCTCCCTCTGCCCAGGGGAGAAGGGAAGGGGAACGAATATTTTTAATAAGAAATTCGTTCACTCATCAACGTCCACATATCCCAACTTCTGGCCAACCTTGATCGTTTGGCCCTTTTCAATGCACCAATTAAATCCATCTTGTCGTTCGCCTTCTTTCCAGCCGGCGTCGAAGGACAGCCGGCGACCCACGGGAGCTTCAAAAACAAGAACAATGGAGCTACCCAGTTGGAACCCGCCCATTTCCTCTCCTCGCTTGAGGGGATGCCCAGCAAGCGTTCTGCTCGCATGGCGGTAGGTGGCTTCGACAAAACCAGGAAACTGTTCGCCCCGTCTGGCTGCAAGAGCAGCGGCCAGGTCGGCTGCGGTATCAGTGGTGAGGCTGTTGGTGCGTAACTCGGCGTCAAAGTTAACCTTGATGGAGCCCACATTAGTGGCACCCACCGGAGTATAGCTGAAGAATCCCCAGCGCCAGCGACCTAGGAAAGCGACTCGCTCATTAAGGGTAAAGAGACCAGGAAGGTGGCGTTGCAAGTAAGGGGATACCGAATAGAGTTCTCCCGCGAAGTGACGACGACTCTCAACCACCCATGGAACGGGAGAGTGGAAGCGGTGGTAGTCACCGGGCGCAAGGTAGATGACCACATAAAACAGGGCGTTGTTTGAAGTAGGCTTGGGAGAATACCACGAAGAACCATCGCCGAGTGCCAGGTCAGCTTTAACCTGGGCCTCGGAAGTGGGCTTGGACGATGTGGACGCATCCAAGGATGCGGTCCGTTTATTGGCCCCTCCTTGGTCACCTGCCAGAAGGGTAGGAAGCGTGTAGGAGATACCATTGACTCTTGCAAATTCCTCGTGGGAAGCCATATCAGCTGTGTCTTTCGGGGAGGGTTCCGACTGGTGGTCGGTGAACTTCTTCGAATGGTCAGCGTGCGATGGAGTGGCCGCACCCAAGAGTGCATCCAAACTGTATGTGACACCCTTAACCTGCTCAACCTCACCACGCTCAATCAAACCGTACTGTAAAATGCGGCCGTCAGACGGGGCAAGAATAGCCCGAGGGTCAGGGTCGAGAGGTCGACACCCAGGCTTCAATTTGCGATAGAAGAAAGCAGCCAAGTTCGGATACGTCCGAAGATCCGGCTCCGCAACCTCGTCCAAATTGACACCGAACGCCCATGAGTAGAGCTTGAATCCTGGAGCACGAAGCCAAAAAGGGAGCTCCAGCTCATTGAAACGACCCCATAACCGAGAGATGGCCTTCAATGGCAGTGTCGACATGATTTGAACCTGCCATGGACCACTAGGCCTGATCCTAGGGCGGGGTGGAGGCTTCCCAAATTCCCATGCTTCCCCAGACTCTTCTCGTTCAATCCGTAACCGTTCCGTCCGTTGTGATTTGTAGAATTGAAGCAGCCCTAGAAGACCGATACCCAATCCGACGGGAATCGGATACCATTCCACCTTGGTTTTCCGTAATGCTGACCGGAGACGAGACCCGAAACCGCGATTGGCCGATTCGTTGTAGTTGTGGCTTTCGTGGTGATAATGGCGGTATTGCCGCCAATTCTTAGACGAGGATGAGTACTGTTTTGTGCCTTGCCGGCGTTGGCCAGTGGCCCTGAAAGTGACGATGTCCATCACCGCAGTCCTACCCTCATGGGGGAATGTAGCAAAGAGCGCTCTAGCAGACTTTTGACGACAGATCGTAGAGCAAGGGATTAGGCACACGGCCATTACACTGTCTTACACGGAGGACGCCATCCCTGACGGGGCGGACAAGGGCTGACAAGGGTACTGACTGGCTTGAGGAGGTATCATTCTTCCGTCTCAACGAAGTCGAAAAGCGGAGATGTCACGAGACAGGAACGTCACGGTCTTCACCGCCCGGCAATTCGGAGATGGAGAAGGTGTCGGGCCGATTCATGCGTATTCCGTGGATGGCGGTGGTCAATTTAGAGGGGAAGAAGAGGAAAGAAGAAAACAAAAGAAACAGTAGTGAATGTGGACTGTGGACTGTGGACTGTGTTGTTGCATACTGACATATATAGAACAAGTGCAATTCGCCGCGTCGTGGTGTGGTGAACGAATCTTGGGTGGTCAGCGACAGGGGACATGGTCACTTGTCCTCATCTCTCAATCTGTCTCCAATTTGTCTCCTCATTCAACCTCCCTCTTTTCTATCTACACGATAGCTCCCAGGATAGAGCTCAATCTGTACTATATTGTCATTCCTTCGCTTAGTCTGCCTTTTGGAAAGCCCAAAGATACTCATACTAGTGGCCACCACTTGCCCATGGTGACGCATATTGTTATTATTATGAACCTGTGATTGCAATTGCTCTCCATTCAACTCGTTATAGATCAACTTCAACTTCTAAAATGGCTTCCAGTGCGTTTGCAGAAGGGACGCCTCCACCATCAGAGGAATCTGGGAGCGCTCCGGCCAATATTGCCCTTCATGTCCTCAGCCCTTCGTTGCCTCCTCCCAGTCGCTTTACCCTCAGCGATATACCTCGATCGACGACAGTGACCGACTTGAAGACTCGTATTTCGCAATCGATACAGAGTCAGCCACCCCCAGGGAGTCAGCGCTTGATTTTTCGGGGAAAGCCTCTCATGAATCAAAATGAGACGTTACAGACTATCCTTGAACCGCCAGACGTGAGTAGCTCTTCGGATATCGTTGATTGGATCATTGCATGCTGATTTTATTTGAATGTGATTTCAGGAATCGGAATACTCAATACATCTGGTCCTTCCTCCCGCTCCTGCACCCTCTGCTCCTTCCTCTGCGGACTCGCTATCGGCCGCGCCTGCCTCAACCCAAGAGGCAAACCCCATCAATTCTATGCCCAATCTCTTCGCGACCAATGCCACTCGAATTGTTGCACCGGATCCTCCTCATGCTCAAGGAATCAGATTTCGAGGGAATGCGCCAACTCTCCCTAGAGCAAATGATGCGGATTTGGCACAGTTGAGGCCTACAATTGAGGCGATCCGCCGGCAGGTAGAACAGTTAGAAAGAAACGGAAACCAGCAGGCACGACCAGTGTCGCAGGCAACCGCGACCAACCCGTTTGGTTCTCACGTGCATTCACCATCTTTTCCTCAGCAGGCTGCCTGGCAGCGAATGTCTCACGGCTTCTCAAACCCGTCGATTTCCGCTATACCGCAGCATCCTTCATCAATTACCACCACTACCTCTTCGTTACAATTCAACATGCCATCAACTATGCCTTCGACCACATCGTCAACTGCGAGATCGTCAGTCGCGGAAAGTGACCTTACGGACTTTACCGATAACCAGCAACTCCAGCTGCAGATTTTACGCCATCAGATCGCACTAGGCGAGGACCAGCTTAGCCGAGGGATCGCACCTCCGTTTGACCATATCGTACGGTTACGTACCCAATTATTCCAGATCCTTGATGATCAGTATCGCAATCCACTTGCTCGACGTGATGGATCTGTGGAGTCGTTGCTCACCCGCGTCTCTAACATGTACAACCGAGCGGACCAGCTCCGTATCCTGCAAGCGCGATCGACCATCAGTTTGCAAAATAATCTTGGAAGTTCTATCATAAACTCCGATCCCTCGACAGCACCTCTATACCTACTTTCCTCACCAGATGGCCACCAAAGCCTTATAACCTCACCAGGTGGAACGGGGACAATCCAGGCAGCTCTCCGCGCAGCACATATGCCTACAACAACTTCACCTACCCATACTACTGGACCAGTACCCGAAGCGCACGCGCAGCCAAATCCGGCTGTTATGGAGAACGTTGTCCGTCAAGCTGTCCTTAACCACCAACTCCACAACCAAGATCACCAATTTGGACTTGCCCGTACCATTCGGCGAATGTGGCTGTTCATCCGGTTATACTTCTTCTGCTATATGTTTAGCGAACCTGGTACTTGGACGCGAATCTTATTTGTCTGTTTAGCTGCCATGGTTTCGCTGTTGTCAGATACGGGGATTCCGCAGCAGTTGCATAGCATTTTTGTCGCCCCTGTTCAACGCCATATGGAAGGAGTGATCCAGATCCCCCGACTTCGACGATCTTCTACCAGTCAGAACACCGCGGACTCTGCAAGACAATCTACCAGAGACAACCACCGCGAAGCTCAACCTACCGGGCTGCGACACAACGTCAGACGAGCAGAACGCTCTCTTCTGTTTTTCATGGCTAGTTTGATCCCCGGCGTCAGCGAGCGATATGTCGAGGTCAACAACGCAGTCGAGGCGGAAAATGCTCAACGTGAACGTGAAGAGGAGGATAACCGTCGTCGACAGGAAGAAGCCGACCAGGCTGGTGCGGGTGCTGACAATACGGATCAAGAGACGGCCACTCCTCATGCTCATCCGGAAAGAACCGTGAGTAATGCGAATGAATGATACACTGCGATATCCCGTGGAGAAAGATAGATAAGTAGAATATGGAGTTTTTTTTTTTTTTTTTTTTTTTTTTTTTTTTTTTTTTTTTTTTTCTCTTAAATTTTTTCTTCTTAAGCCTTTTTTGTTCTCAGCATTAGCGTGTTGTCGTTTTCTTATACTCGTTTGTGTCTTAGCGTTGCGGCATAGGGAATGAATATTTCGATCTCATAAAATGAATATGGTAATATATCCATTGTAGATACATACATACGTCCCAATCTATTTTACTATACTGGTTGTGATGCCCTGTACATGTCAATGAGGCTATCATAACTTCGTAGCAGGCATTCCATCCGAGACGAGCATCCCAGGCGCAGGATCGAACGACTCGTCACCATTGAAATGCCTACGCAAGTCAGCATAAATCATTCAACCAACCAACAAGGAACGATAAACTCACCATCCCCTCTCAGCACCACCACTCAAAAAACTACAATCCCCATTCCCAACACAATCCCATCCACCCGCAATCCCCCTTCCTCCCTCCCACTCTGGAACCCTCCTCATCCGAGGCCTCAGCGTCTCTGTCCCAGGCGCCACCAACTTTTTGGTCGCCCGCTCATCATCTTCGTCAACATGTTCCGTAGCATCAAAAGCCCCAGTTAATGGAACACCAGGACCCCTTCGCTTAAACGTACTCAGTCCCGCCGTGAATACCTTAAAATCCTCCTCCCCGCTATCATCAGGCATGTTTCCCGTTAATACCCGTCCCATTGCAATCAGCGATGCTGCATGAGAGCATATCAGGACTGCTTTACTTGTTCTTTCGCTTTCGGGTTGGGATTTTTCGTCGATTGAGATATGGCGGTCTAAGTCTGCGATTATGGCGGTCAGGGCTAGGGCGAGGCGGTTGTGCAGTTGGGTGATTGTCTCGCCGCGGGTGGAGGGGATGAGGACGGGTTTGTAGGTTGCGCCGTTTATGTTTTCGTACAGGAGTTTTGGGAAGTGTCTTGAGAGGACGCTGGGGGACTCGGGGCTGGGATGGTGGAACCAGGATGTTGGACCAAACCATTCGCTGTTCTTGTTAGGTACATCCTTTAAGCTTCATAGCGAATGTAAACTACGGGTATGGAGTATAACTGTACTCACCCAACTCCATTCTCAACTTTCACACGCAACAGCCCATCCTTCCAATCATCCGCTACCTTCCCGTCCACTCGCTCCGGTTCCGGCAGCACTTGTAAGTCCCGCAACTTCTCCACAGTCGGCTTTATCGTCTGCAAGCATCGATAGTACGGGCTCGAGTAGATTCGGAAAGGCTTCGGGTTGAATCCCGGGCTGGAGATGTGCGCGGCGAGTTCGTGCGATTGCTGCACGCCATGGGAGGTTAGGATTGGGTCTGCTGGGTTATCGGTTGGGGTTGGGAATTGGGAGCGGTATTCGCCGGTTTTGGGGTCGACGGTGAAGGTCAGACGGTGCTGTTGTTGGTGTTAGTACTGCATTTAGCGTTGAATTGATGGATGGATCGATGAGGGGGGTTCGGGGACGAGGGATGGGATATATACCTACGCCATGACGAGTTAGATATATTGTGTCCAGCGGCATTTTGACTCTGGATAGGGATTATACAGCAATTGAAGGGCGAAATAGAAGTACCCTCGGGGTTGGAGACTTGGGGTGTGTTCAGATGAGCCCAAACTGCGGAGTCGGCACGGCAGAATGCAGGCGGTGACGATGAGCCGAGGTTGATATTGGAGAAAGATGAGTCTAAGAACAGTTTACAGAATGGAGTAGTGCTACAGCGAAGAAAAGCGATTGCTTGAATAATCGGAACGTCCGACTGACTTTATATTGACTCGGCAACTATCTATAGCGCATCTGCCAGGGTATATCCTCAAATGTCCGCCACGAATTTTACCTCGAGCGTCCTCATCGGTATGATAGTCACCCTAGCACATCCCGATTCATCACAAGACACAACTTTTGTTGGTTTCGTCTAGTAGAAGAAGCCGAGGAGCTTACCAGCAACGTGCTTGCGGCGGGCCTCCTCGTGGTCCATGATACCAGCAGATGTGGTCAGGACGAGGAAACCGAACTGACGAGAGGGCAGGAGCTGGGTGGTCCAGGTTTCGAGGTCACGGAGCTGAACGGGGTAGCGGGGGTTGATGACACCACACTTGTTGAGACGGCCGTTCAGCTGGATGACGATCTTGCCGGAGCGGTGGTCGTCAACCTCCTCGAACTCGCCAATGTAGCCTGAAAGAATGTCAGCAAGAATGTCGCGAAGACTTAAAAGTTAACCAAACACAGAAAACACGAATGCAGTTTCGGAAACTTGTAAGGCCTCCGCCATGTGTAAACACAGTCCTCAATATATCGGACACTTAAAAGACAAACGTCGTGGATTGATTGAAACGTTCATCCAGTTATCAGTCCGAATTCTCCTCCCTCCTCCATTTTCACAAGTTTCCGAAACATCATATCCATGTCTGTGTAAAAAGATAAACGTACCGTGCTTCTGCATGACGTGCAGGAACTTGATGATGACCTTAGAAGAAGGGCGGATGAGCACCTGACGGCGACCCGCCTTCTCGGCGTTGTTCATGGCGTTGAGCGCATCGTTGAGGACGGAGGTGCGGACCATTTTGGCGGTATTGAGGAATCGAGATTCTCAAATCGTTCAAAGAAATGGAAATGAGGTATCTGAGAGCAAAAAAAGGTAACGAAAAATTTCCCCTAGTGATACTCCACTACCTATTACCGGTAGTGGGTATGGGAAAAATTCGAAACCGAAAAAAAAGTCAGCCACCAGTAGTCTTCGAGCGCAAAGAGTGCCCCCACTCCAAAGAAAAAATTTTTCTTCAATCAAGGGTTCTTCAGCCCGGGCTGTGATGAGAGAAGCGTATCATTTTGCGACTTGCGTCCTTGACAAAGGTCCAAAACGATTGCTCCTCTCAGACTAGCTGAGAGGCTGTAGAATGGGAGAATAACAACAATAATACATACCTCGAGGGATGTCGATTGACGATGCGTGGAGTGTCCGAGCTGAAAGGGAAGAAATCCGGCGAGGAGAAAAGAGAAAAATATGGATCAAATTGGACCCGCGCCGATCGCTAGTGTGCGTTCCTAGGGTTTACCGAGTGTACCCTTATCAGTCACGTGCTGATAGTATATAATCGCCTCAGACAGGAACATCCACCATTGCCCTAGGCAGATAGATGTATGGAAAGAACAGTCATAATATAAGGACATTAATATGTCAGCCTCCCACCATAGTCCAGTGAGCTGTATAATGTGTCAGTAGTCTATTCGTGTAGTCGGAGGGACTTACCAATGTCCCAGGCCTATTTTCAAAGCCGGGATGGGGGAGTGGAGATCTGATCTAGTATGATAGATTCAGTAGAAGTGTATCAGAGTAATAAAACAGAATAGAACCACAGTGAGAACGATACTGTAAGGCCAAGCTATGAATTATTCAAAAAAAGAATAAAGAGAAGAAAAGACGAAATGCAGCAAAGCAACGAAGGCAGCAGGCAGAACTCAAATCGAGGCAATAAGACATAAGCGACACTCCCAAATTCCAAAACGAACAAGAACGTAGAAAATGAAAGGTAGATTCAACTGATACTTAGCTATTGGCTTCTATTATCGCTGCAATATATAAGATAGCAATATAATGCAATGGCCTGTCCGGTGCGTATTACGGTTCGTGTAGTTTGGAGACTTACCGGTGAGGTACAGGCCCACCACTACCATATTTTCAAGGCTGGGTCATGAAAGCAGAATATTGAAATGTAAAGTGAAGGTAGAGGAGAAAGTGCAAAGTAAAAAGAAGAATCAAACGAAGAATGGAGAAATGAAGACGAAAAGAGGGAAAGAAGATCAGTTGAAGATAAAGAGGGAGAAAAGGAGAAGAATATGAAATAAAATAATTACGAAGAGAGAAAATTAAATAAAGAAAAGCAGAATAGACGGAGAAGAATAGACGAAAGGAAGAAAGATGAGAAAGGAAGAGGAAGAGAGAACGGCATATATAGGTGATGGTGAAAGGCAGCAGTGAGTGCGAATGCAGCCATAGAATGGACTATAACAGACCCTTCTCAGTCTATTATGGAAAACAATCATCAAGGATTGAGGAGAAACTGTGGATAGCACTATGGTATTATTCTAGAACGTACAGTTTACTGCTCCGAAGTGCGGTAAATAATAGCCCTATCCTCATCATTCCCCTTGGACATAGAACGGAATACCATTAGCAGCTTTACCACCTCCAGCTCGAGATAATTCGGTGCTTTTCAAAATATTCTTATTAACATATTCCTAAAGCAGACAGCCAAAGCGAAGGCTCAGAAGCATGTACAAAATATTATGAATAGGTGGGTATTTCAGATCCGGCACAGAATTTATAACAACGCTAAAACTCAATGCATCGAGCTCACTAAGCTTGGCCTTAGATCTGCTAAGCTTTTTGGTCGTTTATAAATTCGTACGTTATTAACACATGGTTGGTTCGAAAAGAAACAGTACATATCATGGATTTCATGAGCATATTCTTCGTAAGCTTCTTCGCTCAGGTACTCGATGGTCAGTTTCTGTAAGATAATATAATCATTTAGATGTTCCAATTTTAATCAAGCTGGAAGGGTGAAAAGGAAGCTCAATGAACAATTTGATAACGGATTTTGCGAGAGATTGATTCCTTTCGACAAACAGAATTCAAATTGTGGGCAATAAGATACGGAGTAATCGAGAACAGATTCATTATTTCCGGAAATTTAGAAAAGTTGTACTGCTCATTTATACTTTTCAGATTAATGAAAGACTAAACTGAGGGTATATATTTCCTTCCAGTCCGGTTGACAATGGGTATGCATACAGGCGTTGGTCCTGCATGATGATTGCATAACATATACTCAGCTGCAGAGGTGCTATTTCCCTGCTTGCCATGCCTTGCGAGGTCTTTACCAAATGCCGCAGATCTATGCATCTTTTGGCCTTCTACCGATTGTGGTAGTAGCTAATTCAACCAAGTCCGTATAAGTATGAAATTCAGACATTAATACTTTTCCTGCGTCCCCACTACAAATCAAAGATCAAAGTGTGAAAAAGAAAAGGAAGGAGAGCGAAAGATAATACTGGTGTGGTCAGATTCGCGCATGAAAGAAAGCAAAGAAAGGCCGAGAAGGTCAAGTCTAGAAAATAAGATATGAAAAACCGTCCGCTTGACACAGAATCTATGATGGTTTTAATAAAGAAGTCTTTCAGTGGTACCAATTCCCTGGGCTTTGTTGTACAGCTTTATATGCTAAGGACATGGTAGCATTGGCCTGACCTGATGTGCATATCTATATTCCCCCAGGATGGAGCGATCTCCTGATCCTGGCCTACCCTTGCACCCACATTCTATTTTACCTATCAGTCCTAGTTATAAATATTCTCGTCTTAATGTGCAGTAGAGAAAAGATAGTAATAAAGCCCAATTTTCTAAGAGTTATATGCTACCTTTATATTCACTGGATGCATACATTGACTTGCTTGACATTAACTACAATGCATGTAAGCACCTCCAGCATATGGTACATAACGGCCACATATTTCCCTTATTGAGACTAAAACAAGGCAATGCAGGGAAAGTCCCTGGGCATGTAGATAGCAAGCTATCTTTTCGGCATCAATAAATTGACGAGCAATCAATCACGTATATCCTTTCACATAATTCCCAAGATCTCTCGGTCTACGAGAACACAATGGAGGACTACAAAGACTATGAAAAATTCGTTCGTTTATCTATATTGAAATCCTAAATCAGCTCTATTAATACATCTAGGACCTCACAATCGTGTACGAAAGCTTCGAAGTCTTAGACAAATATTCCAAGGACATTGAGAAAATGTATGTACTGTCTACTTTGCCTTCTCGTCCCTCTTTGACCGCCTACCTGCCTATGTCTTAATGTAAGTCTAATTCCGATGACCAGAGTCGCAACCAAGTACAGCGAACTAGGGGCTAGAAACTTTTACTTCTATCCAATAGGTGTTCTAGTTCAGTGTGTTGAGTATGTTTGGCGTTCTGCCTCAAAGTGTTTTCTTTTATTCCATTATACAAAAGACTAATAAAAACCAGATTTGAGGCAATTGAGAGGGATCTGGAAGTCATGGATCTGGGAGATGGCATTTCTACCACCATTGGGAGATTTTCAAATTGGCTTCCAGAGGTAGCGGTTGAAAGAGATGATGAATGGTAACATGGTAGGCTTAGTATTCAGTTTGATGATGTAAAATTAGCATTGATTACCACGAGACCTTGTACATAATAATGCGCAATAGCCCTATAATCCATGTATTCTACATCAACTAACGAGAATAACAATATCAAAAAAAGAACTCGAACTTTACGCTACGTAGCCGTCTTTATAAGCTAAATTACGTGATCGAAACCGAATTGAAGTAGTAAAGTGTGAACTGTTTGTTAAATGTGCTGCTCCGGGCACTTCGAACTCTAGGGCGCTGACTAGTCCGGATAACGTCTTGGCCGGATTTTTTTTTCCCGCATGTTTGTCCTTATATAATTGCTGCTCTTGCTCTCTATAGTACGTCTAATTGGATACCTGGTGAAGACCAGTAAGAGTGGTCATTTAGTCAACCACCATCGAAGCTACGTTACAATGAATTAATTGCCATCCAAGGATAAGTGTAGCCCAGGGCTAAGCAAGCACATATACGCGCCAGTACAGGCGAGCGAATATGCTTACTGTTAAACAATTATCCCTTGATGTAGTTTGGCTTGATATGTTATTAGGCCGTCATTACCAATAACAACTGGTGGTTAGCAAACAGCGCCTATAGCTCCCCACACACGATAATTGGATGTATGCATCTCTCTATAGTCCAAGTAAACTGGTTAGAAGGTATATAGGACGCCTACATGGTACAATATACAGCCGCTTTAGTGTGTCCTCACCGGAATCGAAATTCTATTGAGGTACATAAATATAGTGTCTAGCATCATCCAGTCAACGTTTTCCTCAACGCAGGTCCCAATTGGCTCATATCGTTCCGCCAGCTCATCCTCAATTTGCTTTTGAAGGTCCGGATCTTGCGTAATTGCATATCTCTCCCTTAAAGGTTTCCACCACCCATCCACAAATTTCACATAGCCCCATCGCTCCTGCCCCGGTAGCCCCCGAGACCTCTCTAGATTATAAAAAAATGCTGCGTAGCACGTCTCCATCCATCTGGATAAAGTATTGATATCTTGGAGGAGGCGCCATATCCGGATCGAACTTCCTAATAGCACGCGGATTCTCAACAGAAAATGCATCCGCAACCCATTTCCGAAAATGCGCTCAAAGTTGATTCTTCGATGCGCCACCAAATGTGTTTCAGTTTTCAATAAACCTCATCTTCAGATTATCACCGAGGAAGCGATCAATACCTGGCGTGTTGGAGTTTGTAATATCGTTGCGTATTTCTCGGGTAATCATCCGCTTGGAGTAATTCCATCCTTCATCATTATTGCACGTGCAGCGATAGAAAACCCAGCCCAATTTTCTCAAAGTCTCCCTTCTTGTTGAATTCATTGATATATCGCGCTGCTGGATCCATGGGGCCGAGTATTGGTCAGGATGTGAAGTCCCGAGAACGAATTCCAAATTTGCTTTGTAGCAAAAAAGGGAATAAACTCTGACAAGAGACAAAGAGATAAATAGCGACAACCAATACGATAAGTGTCTGCTATTCGATATATCTAAGCCGAAGTATAGAAATTTCTCGTTATGGCGATACGATGAGTAAGTATGACCCTTGTTGTACCCGTTTCGTATATATTCTCGGGTATCGCAACCCTAAATTTTTTTTTCCAGGCCGGATAATACTAATCCTCTATACATTAAGAGCGCGGACTTACTTCCATAGCAAACAGATCGATCAAGCTCTGGTGTAAGTAACATCCTCTGATCCAGGTTGTACAGACCTTGACAAATTAACGCAGCGGCAAACTTAACACAAACACCGGATTCACACTTATACTTGTCGTTTGTCTTGCCACCAAGACATTCGGACTACTACATGACATGTACACGCCCTCTGCGGTCCATAGTCGTCTCAGTTTCCGCTCGGTTAAAACTGAAATGATGTCGCAGACCAGAAGCTCAAGATATATCAAGAATAAAATACCTCTGCTTCTACAGAAATAATAAACTCGTTCTTTGCCATAGAAATCTCCTTCCGCACCTAGTTATCAAAAAAAATCCTACGTCCAGTGTCCACCAACAATGCATGATAATCAAATGAAAGACTATGTTCGTTGAGCTCCCTTCCTAGTCACAAGCTAACGATAAATGGTGACAGTCTAACTTACCCCTATTTAGACACTCAGGCTTTACTACGGTAGCCCCGAAATATATCAGAAATACGATGACAACATTGCGAGCTTGTATGTATCCCACTATCGGATCTCTATCTGTCTGCTCGTGTCTAACCAACTACGACCCAGGGTAAAAACTAAGTACGGTGAAGTCGGTGCTACAAATTTTATTGAACCACCCGACTATGAACAACAAACCCATCTTTTCGTGTATGTTTCACATTTCCAGAACTTCCCCCTCTAATTCGATTGCATGCTGATGGTCGGTGGAATTCAGATTTGAAGCGCCAATTGATGCAAGTGATAAAGTGCATGCTGTAAAGCTGGAAAATGACATTATTGTTGTGTTAGAAACGCTCCTGCCTGACGAATAGGGCAACCCCAATATTAATTTCTGGGACGAGGCAAACGGCCAAGCTTACTAGCAAACAAATCAACCATTTCCAATTGTACTTTTACGTCCGGTGCACGTTAAACAAGCAAATCTCTGACATAATATAGACCCCTGCATTTATGCATACTATGTCCAACCGGACTGAATGGAAATGGGGACACAATACGTGAGTGTAAAGAGTCTGACTATTACATTGTACGCACTACATACATAGTCAGCTCAGCTTAGCTTCCCCTCAGCTGACGGTATAAATATAAATCTACTCTCTATAGTCTAGAACAAACAAGCCTCCTCACAGCCCACAGACCCAAAACATCATTCGAAATGCGAAAATACGTTCGTTGGATCCGCCCTTCTATACATTCAATACAGCACTAACGATCGGTATACATCCAGAGACTCTACATAGAATTCGACACCAATACTGACCCTGCCGAACAACGCTACTATTATGTTAGAAACCTGTACACTCACACCACTCTGTCTACTTGCTTGTATTACCAGCTAATCTGACAACACCAGGGTAAAAGCCAAATTCGGTGCTGTGGGCGCCATGAACTTCGGCCAGATTTTCGAAAACTTACACGACTGGCCCCTTGTTCAGGTTATTTAGTACGTTTGGTCTTAGTATCCCCAGATCCTTAGGTTGCTTGGGTTTTGGATTCTGATGAATAGTAGTTTCGGAGCACCCGAGGATATCCCGCTGGAGGTTCTGCAGGGCGTGAAGTTGGGAGATGATATCTCGACTATTATACAGCAAGTTGAATAGAGGAGTTGTCTGTCTTAATGTTCTCATGCTTTCATATGATCAAACCCACCGAGTGGGCATACAGAAGTTGAAGGATCGAGTTCATAGCAAACAGTCTTACCACCATCAAGATAGGTCCATAAGAGTAAGGGCATTGAGGTATATGGTAAACTTTCAAGGCCGACGAGCCAGGTGGTCTTAAATTTTATAGGCCTACGAAACCTAACATTCCTTCCTTTCCATACATGACAGCACGTATACTTAAGCCCTAAAATGTTTTCCCGCGTGTCTTCTATGAACCTCACCCTCTACCTTCTCCAGGCAAAACAACCAACCAATCCCATTCCAACCCAGTCCACCAGGTACTCTGATCGACTTGTAAACTCCGCTTGACAGGAGTAATCCGGATCATGCGCATACAGACAACTATCCAACAAAATCCAGTCCCAGTCCAGCAAACACGCCTTCTGCATTGCCACGTAGCCACGCCTAACTCAAATGGTGTCATTCGTATGCCCAAGAACAAGATATATAGAGTTGTATACAGCGCGTCTGTCACAAGTGACTTGCAAGTCGCTTATCTTCATTCCCCAGAAGCATCGAAGCCACCAGCAAAGCACCGAAAAAGCAAAAACAAGATGCCAACATACGTATGTCCCCTTCCTTCCGCTCTGATCTAATTAGGCCAGGTCCACTTCATTCACACTCATGCCTATCCTCAACCAGATCCTCACGGCCGAATTCGAAGACTTCGGCTTCGCAGAGCACTACTATCACATTGACAACCTGTACCGTTCACCCTCTCTTCCCCTTGCCTCTACTGTTCCATTCCTTATTGCCTTTTAGCATTTCTGTTTTTCTGATATCGTACTACCTTAAACACCAGAGCATCAATAAAACTTCACGAAAAGGGTGCCGTTTCTTGCAGACCGCTTGGGAGGAGTCGGTTTATAAGTTTAGCAAAGGATTATAGGTATTTCATATCTTACGTTGAGCTTGATGCGTGTTTCGTTTGTATTACCCTGTGATATTAGACGCATACTAATGACAGACAGCTTCGAAGCACCAGAACACATATCTCTGGACGATCTGAGAACCATAAAGCTGGGCTGTGGTATCTCCATCACCATCAACCCACGGAACGACGGCGATGCATCCGTTTATTTAAATACACCCCATACGAAAAACCAATGCCATACATAGAAATGAGTATCATTCATTCTCTCTTCAATTCAAAGTTTACATGACTTCTTGGGGCATACATGACTATCTTTACCATCGCAATGCTATCACAAAACAAAACCGTCTAAATTAACCGACGTAAAAAAGAAAAGCAGAAAGGATACGGGCCGAACAGGTGAAGAAAAAAAATCCGAATAGTAATAATAAGAATGAGAAAAGAAACCAAATGAAGAAAAAAATAAACTTCCTTGGGAAAATGCGAAAGGGGAGGTTCGACTAGGGAAACGGTTCCTAGAAGGTACCTGAAGGTGGATGGGGGAAGGAAGAGGGGGGCGACATGTGACGGGGGAGAGAGGGGATACGTATGGGGTGGGGAATTGCAGTGCTAAGATCGAGGGTAGGCGATAAGGCGGAAGGGTGATTTCGACTGGGGCAGTGTTGGGGTGGCGTGCCGAAATTCAATGCTGCAAAGGCGGCATGACAATCTGCTGCAATCAACCGGTGACACCACGTCCAAGTGTCCGGATGTCACCTGCAGGCGAATGGAGCTGTCCAACAACGGCCTCGCTTCCTTCCGGAACATTCGATGCACGTGGCGTGTTGCACGGGGAGCTGGCTTAGGAACAGCAATCAATCACGGAAAAGTCGATTGAAATGCTTTTATGACATGGCAGCAGTGGCAATGTTGACCTGGCGCTTGACTTGCTCACGAGCCCACCGAGCAGTGTCGATGGTGCGAGGACCATACTCGCGGCTTGTCCTGGTCTCCCGAACAAGGGCGGTAACCCAGTCCTGGCGGAAGAAGCCAGCAAACTCGCCGTTGGGGAAAGCATCAACGAGGTCACCAACAACACCCATGGATGCTCTCATCAATCCCTCACTCCGGCTGCCAGGGTCTTGCGAGATGATGTGAAGAAGCTGGAAGATCGACTCAACGAAGGGTTGCAATTGGACCGCTTGAGGAGTGCCCTTGTAGGACAGGAGGATACCACCCCAGGCATCCATGATACCCTCACGGAGAGAGATGATGTAGTCGAGCATTTCAATAGTGATATCAGCGCTGGTGGTAACGGTAGAGGCCTGCTGGAGAACCTGAGCAACGACAGGTAGATAGGTGTCGAACTGAGTTCCGATAGCCTGGGCAATGTCACCAAAAGTTTCGAGGATGGCAGGCTTGAGCTGGTTGGCGGTGCTCCGGAGGTTGTTGAGCAAGTGGTTCATGAAGGTGTCACAGAAAGGCTGGACCTTCTCGTTCAATGCGCGTGCAATGTCGCTAACCAAGCCAATGGCCATGGAGCAGAGACCGAGCTCTTCCTGGTTGCCAAGAGCATTGTACAGGAAGGGGCTGAAAGGCTCCATGTACTTGACGAAGTCTTCTTCGAGAGCGCCAGCAATAGCACCAACAGTAGCGAACACAACATCAGGCACACTCGACTTGGGAGGAACAGTAGTGAGAACCTGAAGCATGGTGTGCATGATGCGATCGGCCTGGGGCTTAATCTCGGTTTCGAGACGCTGAACAATGGCAAGAACAACGCTGATCAAGCTGGTCTGCATCTCTTCCAGGGTGATACGGTCCTCGACGCTGACAACCTGGGCCTGCATGGGGACGGTCTGCTCGAGACGCTGGAGCATGACATCCGACAGAGTGGCAACCATGGGCAGGCTGTCGTTGGCAGCATTGGTGACGAAAGAGTTGAGAACTTCATATCCAGCAGTGCGGAGCTGGTTGTCAGCATCCTGTCTCTCAGTGAGAGTCAGGAGAGACTTGACACTCTCCTGGAAGTGCCTCGAAAGAGGGTTGGTCTGTGCGCCAATTTCACCAGCGAAGCGATCGGCAACGTTCATCAAAGCCCAGCAGCAAGAGCTGGCGATCTTGGGAGTGCTGGCAAGACCGTTGAAGAGGCAAGAGATCAGGGGCTGGAGGTGAACCTCGGGGTCGAGAGTCTCGGAGCAGAAGTCGCACACACGACCCAAGGCAAAAGCAGCCGAGTCGCGAACCTGGACGGAGCTGTCCTCCATCATACCAATGAGAACACCCAGAGCCTGCTTGATCAAGGGCTCCAGGATCTTGGGGTCGGGACCGTCCATGATGGCACCGAAGGCGGCAACGGCGGCATCACGACGGCGCCAATCCTCGTTGCGAATATTTTCCTCGACGAACTGCAAAACGGGCTGCATCACCTCACCCTGAACGCACTGAGCGTAGAGCTGTAGAGCCTGGTAGGCGGCGCGAGCAATGTTGTACTCGTCCTCGCCAGCGTCCTCATCCTGCTTGCACATGTCCTGCAAGAGAACGGGAATAACCTCTCTGCATGCGACACGAGCAAAGCCAAACAAGGGGCGCATCTCCGTAACACCTTCGGCCTGAGCCGCAGCATTGTCATCTTCGATCGCAATTTCCTCTTCGCAGACTGTGCACCAGAATTCGATGGCAAGCTTGGCAACATCCTCCTCCTCGCTCTTCATACCCATAATGCTGAGACCAAACAGAGCCTTCTCCATGTAGAAGCGCATCTTCTCATAGTACGACCCCATGATACGGTTGAGACAGCCAAAGGCACCGGCCTGGACACGGAGATCATCGGCCTGGGTGGCCTCGCAGACGACCTGCATGATGTAATTCCGCTCACCCTCATTGTCCATGTTGGTCCGAACAAAGTCGATAGAATCACCAAGAGCAGTGATTGCGGCATTCCGCACGTCCATGTTGGGCTCCTCGCGACGGGCACCCTGGACGACAGCGGTGAGGATGGCATTGGACTGGGCAGCAAGGCTTTCCCGGAGCTCGGGGTCCTGAGACTCGCAGACATACCCAATAGTGATCAAGGAAGCCTGTTTGAGTTGATCGGAACCGGTAGCGACGTTTTGAACGAGGGTGTTCATGAGTTCCGGCCACTCATTGCGGGGCAGTTCGATGGCAGCGACGGAGACGATGAACTGAGCGGAGGAGGTGGCGGCACGGGCATCCTTGGAAGTCAATGTCTTAAGAGCAAGTTCCTTAACCTGAGTCTTGATTTCGGGGGTGATTTGTTGAATCCATCTCCCTTGCACTTCGCGTAGTGTGGCCAAATCTCTAGAGGTGAAAGTGTTTTTAAGCGCAAGACCGGCGGCGGTTCTGATGTGCGGTTGGGAGGCTTCGTTTGCCAATTCTTGGCCCAGGGTGGTGAGGTAGCCGGCCTAAGCGAAGCAGATATCAGCACTCGCATTTTTTTATCCATATTGTATTGTTCAAAGGAGATAGGAAACATACAAAGTCAACCTCCGCAGCGTGGGCGAGCTGCTGTTCGGCATTCGTACGTGTCGCCGCATCTGGAAAAAGCACCCGATCAGTAACCGCAAGACAAGCCACCAACCAAGTGAGCCAAGCGAAGATAGAAAAAGAACATACCTGGCGACAGGGTACTCGCCAACACCTGAGTAACATCCATATTGGTTTATGCGAACAGAAGAAAAAAAAAAAAAAAGAAAAGAAAAGAGGTCGCCCAACTGGTCTGAACAGATCGGAGAAAAGTAAATCAAGCCAGGCAGGAAAAATCAACCGCCCAAGCGAGGTCAAAGAGACAAACAGTCAAGAGAAAGAACAAAAAGAGTGGTTGAGGCAACAAGAGGGGAGGAAGGGAGGGAAGACGGGAATTATTCGTGGAGGGAAACCCGCGGGTTGTTTTTGTGGATTATTATTATGACGCCCTCTTCGATTTTTTCTCCGGAGTTAAGGCGGAGGAGAGAGACCGGTAGTGGCAGAAAGTAACGGTGACCGTCGACACGGCAATTCTCAGAGCAGGGTTATAGAAGTTGTGTAGAAAATGCGAAGAAGCAGTAGAGAAGAGGGAGAGAAAAGAAAAGGAAGAAAGAGAGAGAGGGGAGATTCTGAGAGAGACAGAGAGAGGAATCCATGATGCTGTTCTTTTGCCCGTCCAATCAACGCCCACTGCCTACTACCATATACGGCCAGTGATTGGTCGGGGGGGACCGTGCCGCCCCGCGATCCTGCTTAGTCATCACACGTGATATCCCTTGCGAGAATGATACATCAGACTGCATCTGTACAGGAGTAAACACGGTGAGCAAGTACTGTTATGGAGACAGAAATACGTTAGAAACCTGATGAGTTACCCGTACACATATGAATAGCAGCTGCAGCTGTACTGTCATGCATACAACAGGCACAGTGTGAGGCTGTCAGCCCCTCTGCTTATTTTGGTTTTTCTCCTTCAGTCCACTCAGGTGCCTAGGCAACTGCCCACAGAGAATTCCACTGCTTTCTGTCAACAATTTATTTGCAAAATGACTCTAAAGTGGAGGATGGAAATAACTGATATTACTATACGAGAACAATATTGTGTGTGTAAGTAGAGAACTGGATTTAGTGTCAATCCTCTTTGTCTGAGTTTATTGTGGGCTGGTAGATCCTTTGGCAGGGATTACCCCTCCATACCTATACATAGCTCTATAATGCTCATATCATACCATGTTTCATAACTTCACTGAACACTCTCATCTTCTTCAACAACCTCCGCATCCATATCAAAAACCTCATACCTCCCTCCATCCCCAAACAGCGCGCAAACCGCTCTCCTCCCCTTTCTCCCATTAACATCAATCCGTCCTACCCGACCCTTAGCCCCAGCACTCGCCGAGAAAGTATGTCTAATCAGGCTCGCGTGTGGCGAATCATCCGCTAGCACATCTAACAGCACGGCTGTGATGGGCGCATTGCAGTCTTCGTATTCCACGGTAAGGTCGGAGGGGGTTTTGGCTTCGGCGCCCGAACTCGTTGCGGAAAAGGGCTGAAACGGGAATCTGAGGAGGTAGGAGGATCCATCTGTTATTGTTAGTGCTAGCTTGCTAGAGGAAAATATGGTAGGCGTACTAGGGTGAGACCAGAGGATCATGAGGGTTTCATCTTCGACAAACTGGAGTTGGCGGATGTCGCCCTCTTGGAGGTCGAGGGCTGCGACGGATGTACTTCGCGTCGAACTGACTCCATTCACAGAATCCAGGACCACACGGTAGATGTAGACTGCTAGTGTTAGCGCGCATATAGCAGAAGATCAGAAGACACGGTCATACATAGATGCTTCGACTTGATCGATCTCGTGGCAATGTAGACCGAACCAAAGCTCCCTTCTTGCGTGTCCTCATAACGCATAGCCATATCAACAACCTCCCCATCACAATCCCCATGCAGCACAAGCGGCGACCGATGCAAAATCCCCCTCCTCTGAGTCAATGCAATCTGCCCAAACACCTTCTCAAACTGCAACCCCAACCTCTTCGTCAAATCATTCAACTTTGGCACCTCCACCTCACCCCCATCCAAGCCCTGGTGCTGCTGCTGTTGCTGCTGCAGCAATCCCTTAAACATCTCATAAAACGACCGACCATGCCCCGTCGGAGCCCACTTATCAGCAGCTGACGCAGGTGGAGGAGGCGGTCTGGGGACACCCAGCATGGGAAGTTGCTGAATGAAGCGGCGAAGGGCACTTTTGGCGAGCGGGCCTTGGATGTATTTTAATGTTTTGGGGTATTCCATGATGTTTGTTCGTTCCATTAGCTCTTCGAGGGTTTGGGACATGGGTTCTGCGCTCTGGATGTCGATTTCGTGGCGGAGCCATTTGGAGAAGGAGATGAACTGGGAGAGTTCTTCGTTGGTGTTGATTAGGATGTGGTGGGATAGGAGGTGCAGGCAGTCGAGGGTTTCGACGATGGCGTTTAGGTCGGATGTTTCTAGGCCCAGGACATCGCTCAGTTTGGTGAATTTTGATAGACCGACGAGACGGCTGAGGAGGACTTCGCAGCGTTCCAGGGCTGGGAGGAGACATTCGTGTGTTAGGCGTCGAATATTCTCGTATCCACTGCAGACAGCCTTGTCCCATCTCTTGTGGCCCTGTGACTTAAGGATATCCACCAGAAACTCCTTCAATGGCGCAAAGCAATTTCCAGTAACCACCAAATGATACGTAGCAGTGACAAAATCACAATGACACTTCTCCTGCAAATCAACCTCAGCACTGCGCATAAATCTCATCGGCTGTTCCTGGGCGTTCTTCCATTCGATCTCGATCTGCTTCTGCACTTGGTTGATATACCGCAGTAGATTCTGCAGCTGTGTTGTCTTGTATGCGAGAAGCGACAAGTATCGACCAGACTTTGTGATAAACCGCAGATCGACGGTAAGTAGTTGCAGGGCGTTTGTAGACTGATCCGACGGCGTAGACGCCAACAAGGCATGAGTCGAGCTTAACGGATGTGACGCATGCTGAAGCAAGCTGCACAGATTGACATTTCCCACAGAAGCACCAATCTGGAACGACCCGATCTCGAAGCAATCAAAGATCCGTAAATGCACCGTACCGTCATCAAATCCCACTGCAAGCACATCTACCGAGTCACTGGTATTCTTCGCCGCAGAATGGAAGATAGCATCCAGCGATGCCCTGGAACTGAACACGTCATCGCTGCAAGCCGTCAACACCAACACCAATACCCATCAAAGATGACAAAAATGGGAAAACTCACTCACTCCCCGTCGCCGGCAACGTACTCAACTTCGGCAACGAACTCTCCACATCCAACAACGCCAGCTCCCTCGGTAAGTCCGCCTTCAGCAAAGCAGCCGCCTTCGCCGGATGCACATCAGGCGCTAACAGATCCTGCACGGAGATCTGACCTGCAGCCTCCTGGAGATATCGTTGTGCGCCTTTGCTGTCGGTGAAGTTGGTGCCCCAGCCTAAACAGGTTACTTTGGGCTGTGGCGTGGTAGTAGTTTCATATTCATCGTGATCATCATTCTGAGACTGACGCTGATATGCCGGGTAATGATGGACAGTCTTCCCACTGTACGAACTGATAACCCGAATCGTATTATCTGCACAAGCAACCGCCAGAAGATGTCCTTGCCAATCCAATTAGCACCGATTCCCAAGCAAGCAAAAGAAAAGAAACTCACCAGTATTCTTCCACCTAACCCCCCTGATTTCCCCCTTCCTCTTCTCCTCCTCGTCCTCCTCGTCCTCCTCGTCCAACATATACCCATGCCCATGTGCATCACCCCTAAACGACCCCCCAAACACCCTCTGCCCATTCAACCGGTAAACAGATAGTTGCTCGTCCTGTGCAGACACCAGGGCAATTAGGTCCATTGTCGGACAGTAGGTTAGGAGGTTGGGCTTGCATTTTGTGGAGAGAGATTTCTCCGCGACAAGGGAGAGCAGGGGGGTTTCTTCTGCTGCCATATTTCCTTTAGGTTTTAGGGAGATTTTATTGTTTGGTTAGGGGATCATGAAGTTGTAATTTATGCCATTTTGATACTTGTGGTTGGGAGTGAAGTGATTGGGCGTTGGTTGGTTGGTTGATTGGTTGGATGGTTGCTTGCTTGAACGGGTAGAAAGCGGTTCTTGGCGCGCGTCGCGTACAGAATAACGAACTGTCTACATTACTACTACTAACTGGCTTTTGGTCTTCAATTGTTGAAATAAAAGTAGAAATCATTGCTCTAGTTCGTTCTATAATCTGTCTAAATGCCAGCAAATAGCGATCCAAGTTCTATATAAAATCTAAATCATCCCCTGAGGTGTCTCATTTTGCCCGTTTTGCCCATTTTGTATCATGTTCTTTAAGTAGCACAATTCATCCATCATCTCCTGCATGGTCGCATTCTGTCCTGCAGACCGACCACTGTCCAGGTTCCTGTGACCCGTACCCCTCGAGCCAACACTTGTGTGGGGAGTGGCCGCTAAATCGCGCTCAACTGCGTCTCTGAAAAGCATGGCAGAATTCGCTGGACTGGACGACAAGCCAAGCCCCTTGACTTCCAGTTCGCCAAAGAACGCGGCGCGGCGTTTGGGGTTGGATTCGACGTATTCGGGGTGCTCGGTGTGCTCGTGGTCGCCGTCTTCGTCGTTGATGGAGAGGTCCGCCATGTTCAGTAACGGGGATCCTGAGACGGCTACGCGGGGGGTGGGAAGAGGAATTCCAGGAGAATTGTCGCCTGCAGAAATAGCGGGTGATGGTTGGGAGTCCACGGTCAAATGGGGCGTATCGGGGTCACCGCATTCTCCAGCATGGGACGGCTGCAAAAGACCCGGTGTCTTTGCATCATCGGTGATGGCTGATAATGGCCGCTCTTCATTGAAAGTCGAGGCGGAGACCATTGATTCAGGAGAGATCTGCTCATTGTCGGTACTCCATTCGGAGAAGCGGCTCTTCTCCAGGACAGGAGAGTGGCCTCCCGTGGATTCGTCGGTCGCTGAGAAGTCCGAGAAGTGACTGCCGAGGTTTTCGGCATCCAGCGCCTTCTCTCTGTCGTCCAGGTCCCGCAAGGCTTCGTCCATGACGGACGAAGGGGTGTTCGGTAAGGTGGGCAGTCGCTTGTCCTGGAAGTTAGGCGGCCTAGGAGTCACAGAGGTGTCTCCGGAAACCGCGATTTCCTGCACAAGCTCACGGAGAGTTGGCATGTCATTCTGATGAGAGGACTCGAATCGATCAGAACGGGTGTCCACGGTAAGAGGGCTCCGGAAGGGAGATGGATCCCGGTATTTCGACCTCATTGCGCGACGGTCCTGGATGGATAATGAATCGTGGTTGTTGGCGGACGAAGGACGCCGGAATGGCAACTCGGATTCTCTGACAGGGCTGCTGTCACGCTGGGGACTATAGAGAGGCTGGGGACCGTACGCAGCTGACGGTCTCGTCACAACGTCTTCATCCTTGGAATTGTTGATGGCCGTTAGCTCGGGCGTCGACGTGTTTAAGGACTTGAGGGCCGCGCGTAGACCCCTGGATCTGGGGGGTGACACGGAGCGGGAGATCCTGGAGTCGAAGCTGCTACCAGAGCTATGACCACGAGATTTGCCGGCTGCGCTAGTAGGCTGGGAGGTTGTCCGGTTCGTGATGAAGCTCAAAGGAGAGGAGTTGAAAGACCAGGAAGGAGCAGGCTGTTGTAGGGACGTGCGGAGGCGCGGCAGCTTGGGCTTAGGGGGCTGACGCGGGTTCACATAACGGTCCTCGGGATTCATGGTGCGGATGTCGAGGGTGTTGTTGAAGGACTGCGAGTCGTGCGTGTGAATTGGTTCGCTATCGGGGAGCAGGATCGGAACTTGAAGAACGTTGACCGGCTGGCCGGGGAGAAAGGGGCAGTGCGTTGTTGCGGGTTCGGTATCGTTGTAGTGTTCGATATCGTCGTCTAATAAGTACTAGTACTTTCTGTCAGCCCGTTGCCACCGATCAATTGCTGCATGAAGATCACAATATGGGACGCACGTAATACCAGTAGGTACCGCCGCTCTTCAGTCCGCCAGAACGAGGTGAAGAAGACCGCATCGAAGAGCCATCACAAATAATATCGGTGAATGTATAGCACCCTTTCCACAGTCCAGGGCACACTCGTCCATCCTTTCCCAGGGAGTACGGCTTGGAGAAGTTGTCCCAAGAGCCGAACAATTTGACGGATCGGACGTTAGAATCGGTACGACTGACTCGTTAGCCTTTTTCTTCCCCCTTCCCCTCACTCCAAGAATAACTCACAGGAAAAAGGTCATTAATGTCGTCGAATTCATGGTAATTGTGGTAAAAATAAGGGGAAATAAGGAGTGTGGCTTGCAATCGCTCCGAAAATCAAGATAGAATGCTCCGAGATCAATGCGTAATGAAGCGTCGTCCGCAGACCAGCCAGGACAGACAATAAGACAGGCAATAGATAGAGAAAAGACAGACAAGAGACAGTCAAATAAAAAGACTGAGTGCAATAGAATGCAAACTTTTTCGAAATTCGAGTCAGGCGCAGTGGCTAGTGATATACTGGTAATAGTCCGCGGTTCAGTGCCAAAACACCAACGCCATCGCCAGTTAAAAAAAAAAAAAAAAAAAGGAATGTACACAAGACGTCAACGAAGATCAAACGACCGCAGCGGCTACAGGAACAACAGTCAGTCCAGATACAAAGCTGTCTGCTGCCACGGAAGACGAGAGTTGTGTTATAGGCGCCGGGAGTACAGCAGATATATGGGACGGGACAGGGTCGGCGCTTGTTGAAACAGAGATTGAGCGTGTAGGAAGAACGGCGAGAGAGAATCAAAGCAGTTTGAAGAGAGAAGAGCGAGAAAGATCAGAGAGAAAGATCAGAGAGATATCAGAAATATCAGAAATATCAGAGGTTCGCAGGAACAGTGTGGCTTAAGCGATCCACGAGGCGACGGGGCAGAAAAGAGCACGTCAGAGGCTCTGTGCTGGAGAAAATTTTTGAAGAAAAAAAAAAAAAAAAAAAGGAAAATAAGAACAATAAATTAAAGATCGGACGAGATTACGGAGTAGATTCGATGATGCGCATCCTCAGTGAATTACCGATCAGGACGTGGCTGGGATCGTCGGGGACTCGTATACTACTTGCTATACCCCAGGTGCCATCGGTACACTGCCCTATTGCTTCTGTGTATTGCTTTTTGAATTTCCTTTTTTTTCTTTTTTTTTTTTTTTTTTTTTTTTTTCCATTCTCTTCTATTACAGCTCTATAGCATTCTTCCACTACAATTGTTTGTGTTGGTCATCTCGCCGTCCCTGACGATCCATGCCCCATCCAGCCACGTGAACCATGTGGCCCATTAATTTCCTTCAGGAACCACCCTTTTAGCACGGGTTAGTGTACATACAGAGTACACGCATAGACCACGACGCCATTTATTGAAACAAGCTGACAGACACTAACACAGCTAAGCTTGAACATAATTGACATGGTGCATTTCAGCTGCCCGAGTCCCCGTGCGCGGAGAAGCCCGAGAGTTGACTAGTTACTCGTAGGTACAAAGTGCGAGGCTTGCTGCCGGCCCAGCACTGCCACCATCTCCCGACAAACAGGTTGATGATCGTTCTCCGAGTTCGCCCCGAGTACTTGGTCCGCACTAGTGCACTACTGTGTGCTTTGTTGCAGTCACCGACATTCTGTTGTTCTGCCTGCTCATCCCCGTTCATCCCTGTCATATTGATCTCGACATGTTTGTAGCCTGCAGCTGTGCCTTGTGTACACTCCGTATTTCCGTACTCTAGGCGAGATATCCGCCCAGCAACGTGAATCCGCCGAACTTTATCGTCCCGCGTCCCCTCCAGTGGCAACCATAACCGACCCGCACGTCTTGTTTGCGGCCTGGGCCAATTTATTGTGGGGTTGTTGGTACATAATTACCAGTGTACAGAGTCTTCGGAAAAGAGGGCAACGATAAAAGAAGAGGACCGTCCGCTGTCAATCAATGCGATCTTCGATCTGTATTCGATGCTTTATCGAGTATCGATTGCGACGTGCTCAATCCCGTCCTGCCGCTTGTTCCGCGCTGCTCTATGGACCCGAAGGGATTGTTGCTGCCGTGTCACAACGCTCCCAATGCATACAGGAGAATAACAATGTGGTTAACTCGGATACCAAACATGCAACCCAGCTGAATAATTCCTTTCGGCCCGAAGGTATTGTCATACTCAGTTAAAGTCATCAACCCGTTGGCATTCGTCGTCCTCATGACCTTTGCAGAGACCTCGTTGAGCAAGACATGGATTATCTAGCCAATTCCTTCTGGCGTATTCGTCCAATAACCTTTCGTCTGAAAAGAATGCCTCGAAGGCCGCTTCAAAGTGGGCTTGTCGGATGACTACTTCGGTGACCGCTGGTGCGAACCCAGTGTACATAAAAGCATCATTCACGCAGGTGCGCGTGGCCCATCTCCAGATCTCCACTGTCGCTACCGGACAGTTCAAAAAGACCTCACCCCAAGAACATCACTTGCACCCAATGGCTTGACTCGCTTGTTAAAACTCGCTGTCTTCTCAATCGCCCTCATAGGTCCTTTCTGGAAAGACCTCGCTGAAGAAACATAGATTATCGACCCAATTGCTGCGGGCGTACTCATTGCCGTCGCTCTTCGCGCAAGGGTGCTTCAAAGACCGGCTCGAGACGTATTATCCTTCAGTCCAACAAGGATCGTCTGTCCATAGGCCTATACGTATATCTCACATCATGGGTGATAATTGACTGCGCGTTCGTATAACGAAGTTCACAGAAAGTTGATGTGCTCTTCCCAAAAACCTCTGTTGTGTTTGAGAAGTCGGTGACATTATACGTCCTATTGGCCCTATATAGTCAGTTAGACGAAGTCCTAGGTCTAGAGATACTTTAACAGAGTATCAATTATACAGTTCGTGTGGTCTTTGCTACGTCTTCGATTGTGACGTCTGTGTCTACAGGACATTCTTCAAATCCTGAATTTATATGTTCTTTTTACAACTGTGCATCGTGGGATACTTGCTTTTATTGGCAAATATGTACACATAATAGTACCGATGTCGTAAAGTTGGACCAGGATAGCCCCGTCGACTGCATAGATGCTTGGCTGTTCTGCTTGGTGACTGGTGGCATGATAGCTCGAAGGCTGGAGAGCTAGATAAAAACAGTCGAGAGAGGGTGATGGATGGAAAAAAAAGAATTCTCACCGTAAGTAAAAAACAAACGCTGATATCATGCGACAGATGAAGTGAATCTCGACAGTCTTTGTTCTACTCTACTACGCCAAGGGTCCGACACTAAAACAGGCTTCTACTTCTTGATTGCCTGGGTGTATCTTTTGCCTGCTGTAATTCATATGCGTTGATGGAAGACTCACAGTCACAATTTAGGCAACATGTCGGTATCTACGTTTCACCTATGCTGCCTACCCATCTTCCAACGGCCTAATTTTCTAATCCCAATTATACAGAGGCCTGTTGTCAGCAATGCAGCTCATACTTGCAACCCTCTTGCTCCTCCTCTCGCAGGCACTCCCTGTCCTTGTCCCTGTCGTGGCAGAAGAAGGAGTCGCACCAGCCCATGCATGCTCTGAAACCTGCCCAAAGGCTCATCCCCCAGTATGTGCAAAGAATGCAGCGGAAGCCTTTGAAATCTTCGACAACTCCTGCATGTTCGACAAGGCAAATTGCGAGGGACTTGATATTGTCCAGGTGGGCCTTTTTGAGTGTCGCAGCCTGGTATTCTTAACATGAACCACAATCTTATATAAGACTCGCTAACGAATAGTACCAGACCACTGATGCCGATGGCGCTCCAATCGAAGCCAATGGTATATTCCATGACATCTGGGCTTTAGTGCTCAATTGGCTGCCCGAGAGGAACCGGTGGTGGCGCTGCAAGACGAAGAGGATTGGTTGTGACCGTGACTGAGGGATTAATACCTACGGTTGCTTTGCTTCTGGCTCTGGTTATCCATGGCTTGTTTGGATTCGTTTGTCTAGAAGTAATTTACAGTTAATTCAAGGAGAGTGTTTTTCGGAAGTAGAAGAGGCATCTTGTAATAGTCCGTCCGTATAATCTCAACAGCTGAGCAGGTAGGGCAGAAACACGTTAGAAAGCTTCGAGATACTGAATGGACAGCCACTCAATCGCCCGGGGGTAATTTCCACTACACTGCAATTTACTCCGTAAGCAGACGACCAACTAATCCCTGTCAATTCCAAATCGCCTCACAGCGCTAAAGCACTGACCACCCAATAGTTTCATACTTTGATGGTTCCCAATGATCGTTATCTCGGAGTTCCCGACACTATTGATTTGACATGTCGTATCAAACAGCACTAAAATTATAGTATTAAAGCAAGATCCTGTAGACTGTGTACTGAAACAATCAATCAAACCCAACTACTAACAGCCTTGACAACACCCATCAACACTCCCTCTGCACTCAAACCCCCATACCTGTAACTAGATTCCATCCCCTTGCCCGGAAACACAACCATCTCCCTCCCCATCCCCTCCCGTTCGCGCTCCCGCTTCAAATCACCCTCCAATACCTCCAGAAACACCCTCGCGCCCTCATCTTGCCCAACCTGCAGGAACTGCACGTACAGCTGCCACGGCACAGCACGGCATCTATCCAGTCTCTTACCTGCACGGACGAGCTCCTTGACTGCATCATCCGTAAACGCACCATCGGTTATGGCGATGACGTAGAGTGGTTTAACGTAGAACCGTCGTTCAGTCTCATTGTACTCATCAGGGCTGTGAGCAGAGCTAGAGCCAGCATTACTATTTTGGTAATTATAATAGGCAATTCTCATGTTCTCCACCAGCCGCAGATACGGCTGCAAGAGCTGGTTCAAGCGAGCCCCAAACGGCGTCGGGCCACGCGGCTCAATGGAGCTGAATATCTCCCTGACCTGCGTGCTTGTCTGCAGGTTCGTGTACCCGCCTTTATTTATTTTGTTGGTAGAGAAACCCAGCTCCGAAGTATCAGAGACAGCGTGGTGGTTTAGGAAGTAGATATCGATTCCGGTGTTATCGGGGCTGTGGTTCGCGCAGATGGGGGCGATGGAAGCAAGGACGTCGGTGACTTCTTGCCAACGGCCGTTGTCTTGCATGCTTGTGCTGTCGTCGACTACGAAGACGAAGTTGTATTCCTGAAGGAAGCTTGTGAGAGTGGAGTGGTAGTCGTCTTCTGCGAGGGTTCGCTTGCTGTTTCTTTTTGATAGAATTAGGCTTTGGCGTCGACAAGGGGTTTGGTGGCTGGTTGTTGTGAAGGGATTGAGGAGGGCTGGGGATAGTGGCTTTAGGGTGAGGAGGGAGGGTGGGGAGGGGATGAGTTTTGTTTCGATTTGGACTTCTTTTTTGTCGGTTTCTGGGGTGTATTGGCGGGTGTTGGATGGGTAGGTTTGCATCTGGAATGCGCCGCTGGTGCGGTCGTGTTTGGAGGGGCGTTGACCCATTATTGTGCTGTGTATTCTTTCAGTTTTTGAGGAAGACAGAAAATTGAATTGATGTCAGGTATATTGTGCCCAACTCAATGGTGCATTATGCAATGATGAGGCGTATATCCAGCATCATTGATTCCCAATTTGGAGAAAGACAACCCCAATCATAGTACAATAAATACAAGAAACGATCCCAACGCCCGCCAAAATGCAAGAATTACGAATATACAAGTTCAGCGTCATACATGATCATTCCCAAGATCCCCCATTTCTTCCACCCGATATACGATCCCGTCTTTTCGGTCGATATCTTCGAAGAATCCAGGCTCCACGCCTAGAATCTCGATCAATGCCAGCGCCTGATCGATTCCCATTGTATGGCCAATCAGCTTGAAACAGTTTTCGGTCCATTTTCGGAGCGCATGGGTCTTATTCTCTGTTGCGCCTGCGAGAAACAGCGGCCACAGGAGCACAATCCCTCCAATATGGCTTCGGTTACTGGTAGCTGGTTCCCCAACCAATCCCAAATGGTCGGGAACACTAGCGCAGATATCAATAGCTAGCTGGCGAGCCGTCGCACGAAGCCCATTGCAATGAATCTCCAGATCCTTAGATGAATACCCGTTGGCCGAATCCGTTGATAGTCGCCGAAGACAGCTCATGATGATCTGTGTAACAATGATCTTGGAACAGCGATACTGGTTCCAAGTATGCCCTAACCATAGTTCACTGTAGATATGGTATTGATCGCTGAACAGCACGAATCCACGAGAACGGCGGACGAACTCTGCATCAATCACGGGGTTCTTGACCGTCGTGTACATGAAGTTCGGAGGCAGTCCAGCGAGCCATGTCATTAGCTCTGCTTCAATAGCGTACGCAGTCGCGAGAATCTGGCGACCGTCCGTGTTCGCCTTTGAGGCGATATCTGCACGCAAGTTTGACAGTTTCCCGGTGATTGATACCAATCGGTCACCGTAGGCTTCCCTTTGAGGCCGTAGGAACATAGCAATCCTAGAGCAGTCGAGGACCGACTGAGGGACTCGCGCCGCTCTTTGCAAACAGCTTACGATCTGTGCATACACATTAGTCTTTAGAAATGCCGCGAAAGGATGGGGCTTCGCTTACAATCTGGTAGCGTAATTGAACAAATAATCGAAGTCCATCTTCGTCTTGGAGTTGTTGTATCCCTCGTAACTCAAGCAATGCTGCAGCACCGTGGATATGATTTATCCAATTCTCGATACTCTTTGGGGCTCTACTCGTAACACACTAAACATCGTCAGTCGAGATAAAAGTCATAAAAAAAAAATAAATGCAAAACTTACCTCAAACATAGCCAGTAGAAGAACGGCAGCAAGGGTCGGATTTGCGCGCGCCTCATTTACATCTGTCACCGCTGCGCCCATTAATCTCAGCGCATTGCCGTATTCATTTTCTGCAGCTAGTTTCAAAGACGGACATCTTCGAATGCGCGCAAGCATCGCCGTACCCACCGAGACGACACCAGCCTTCATGGCCTGCAGACTAGAAGACTTATTATTCTGCAGAAACGCATCGGGCGTCGCATTCAACATCCAAAAAGCACCCGGCCATGCGTTATACCGAAGAAAGTAACAAACCGCTTCATCCTGAGTGGGTTGATAAGACGGTTGGATATGGATCGCTTTGCGGTTGATTTGCTGCACCGGACTGCTGTCGTTGCTGCCACTGCCACTGCTACCCCCACTATCAGAAGGCGTCAAAACATCAACGGTGACGCTAGGCGTCCTCTGCAGCTGCACCTCGCCCCCACTCGCTTTCTTCTCACTAGGAGTAGGACTGGGAGTACTAATCGCACGCACAGTGACCGCGCGCTTAGAAGTCTTAGTGGCTCTTCTAGTCGTCGATGCACTGTTCTTCGCTTTCCGAACCACCTGCTGGCTCTCATCCCGGAACATTAGCGACAGCTGATCCCGGTATCCCGGACATTCACGGTGGGCTTTGGTACATTGCGAACAAGCGGGTTTGGCCTGGTCACAACGTATTTTCCTGGATCGGCATTCACCGCAGCCTTTGCTCGGCTTCCCGCAATAGACCATAGGGGGCAAGGCAATTCAATTAAACAGATGAAACGTCGGATTGTGGGGTTTAACGATCTACTTTGACGTGCAGTATCAAAGCGTTCTGACCGTTGTAGGGATAAAGTAATGTAATGGGGATTATTGCGTTTGAGCTGATGACTCGAATGGGTAATCAGTGCGAACACTTGTATGTTTGTTCAGCCGCTTGGGGACCCAGTCCGTGTTTGATATCACTGTTTAGCTCACTAAATGCCCAGTGCTGTTACCGGCAACTGAATATAGCTCGATTAAGACAATGTCCATACAATAAACAAAGAAAATAATATGGGGGATATTCATAACCACCCGACGTGGAAGAGGGGAAGTTCAGATGAGGCTAAGTCTGTGCGCTAACCTAATGGGGTATGCTTGATGTAGAGCTTCATTTTACCCGATCGGGCCATCTACGTCGCGGACGTACATGATTTCTGCATAATCCACTGCATGTTACAGAGTTGCCAATTTGCTTGCTCTTGAATTTGCTGCTACCATGAAATGCACAAATGAGGTTCCACTATGCGACTGGAACAGACAATTCACCAGAGAAAATGAATGCGGACAATTATCCTAGATAAGACTCTCAAGCTCTTCTACAATGGCCAAAGGTTGACTAATGTTTATATACTTCAGTTTCTCCAGCATAATGGATTTATTTGTAACTAGGACTGCGCATCATGAGGCGTGCCCTATAGTGCCCTTGCAATTATCGCTCCCAACGCCACGGGGATAAATCCCACAGCAGTGATTAGCATATTTGACACAGCACCAGGATTTGAGTCACCACAATTTCCATTCACAATTATGAATCTCAGACAGTGGCCAGTGTGTTCTTCATGGTTCCTAAATGCCACCAGGAGATAAGAAACAAACCCCTGTCCTAATCGAATACTGAGAGCCACCCTAAGAAACAATCCTATCGCTTTCTTCACGGTGCATCTTGCGGGCCCTGACAAATTCTGAGTTACACTATCGTTAGATTTCCGGTTTAATTAACGCTGGGCGAAGGGGTTATTGACATTTTACTGCCCATGAGAAGATCCGGGTGGCTGCAATAAGCATCTAAACTACCGGCCAAACTGAGACCGAGACCAAAAAGTTAAAAAACTGCAGAAAATGAGGATGGAAAGCAGCTTCACAATATTTCTCAGATCAACGCTCTGAAGGACAGGACACCTCCAGATCCTAAGCAATGGACGCGCAAAGCTTTGTCCAAGGCTGCCCAGCATCTGGGGCCCTCCAAAGACATCGCAAAGTACGATCAGGAAAACGTACTACACGAAAGTGGACGAACATGCTCCATACAATTTATCAGAAGCCACGCATGCGAGATGAAGTAGTGTAATTGGAAAACCAGCATCACTGAAACGAACGGTGAATGGAAGGGAGTACAAGCAAATCGAAACTTGTGGCTATAATTATTATACCATAAGCTCTTTGTTAAGCCATAGGACACCTATTCTGTGCGGTCAAGGTGAAGCCTCAGTGATGGGGTTGCAGTAAGTCACTGTTCCTTCTTATTGGGCCCTTGAGTGGACTAATAGACAAATTTATCAAGAACTACTAAGTTCTTTACGACATCCACATGCTAGAAAGCCGATTGAAAGATCAGTCAGTGCGTGGATTGCTGCAGCATATCTGGCAATTAAAAGCCTACTATACTGGTTCAACCCTGGAGTGAAATACTTCAAAGGGGCAAGTAGCCGGCACGTGGGTAAGCATCAATCAATTACCGCCCAAAAATAACCACACCAAGAACCACGGCCCAAACTAAACAACGCTTATTATGGCAGGATATTATTAGATGCCAGTTCTGAGCCCAAATGTCGGAAAGAACTTGTGCCAGCTCAGGGTCAAATACGTCGATTCATGATTCGGATTCCCGTCCATAGCTAAATGCTATATATGGAGTACCGGCACATGAAGGCGTGTCTTTTACAGCCTCCGGTGGTTCTGGAGCCTGTGTCTAAGTCATGGCCGGGACTTTTTGTTCCTCTGAGAGTTCATGCTGGCTCCCTTAACCGCAATGTCCGGTGCAGAGATAGAGAGATAAAATCATTTCATTCTTGCCATTCATATTTGCAAAGCAAGATCCCCAGATTCTTATATTAAAAAAAAAAAAAAAAAGGGGGGGGGGAGCAGACCAATTTTGCAAACTTGGCGATTTAGATCCCGTGCTAATTGGCCGTTTCAGCCATATTTGCGGATTCATATATGGCTCTGCCTATAGGTATTAGGGTCTCCGATTAGCAGTGATAATTTCAGATATTGTGGAAGCTACACAAAACAACTATGCTAAGAGCCCGAAATATGCAACTATGGAACCTTTGTGGAGACAGCCAAACCTTTCCGTGTCAAGTACTGATCGTTCGGGGAGCTACGGGAAACGGACACACACGAACATACGGTGTGGTAGAGCCAGAATAGCACGAAGTCGTGGGGATTGATGGAGTGCTTCTCGTTCTTACAGAAATTTACAACCTCGTGAGATCAATCCTGCTAATCAAGCCATTGTCAGACAGCTTAGTGACTATACTTGAAGCAAAGTTGATGTAGTTGGTAGCGCTAGGGATTCTGTTCTATGTCTTGCCAGGAATAAACAATAAGATATCATTTAACACTTTTTCTCATCTCATCATACAGTAACAACCCAAGAATCACGTAAAACCCACGCCCTTAGCAATCCTCTTCCTGTACACGGCAAAATCAACCCAGACAATCTAGTACCAGCTAGTGACAATAGTCACAGAATCCTGACGTTTTCTGCCCTGGGATTTCTTGTTCATTGGAACAAACTCGGGGGCATCACCACGAAGCTTGAAACCCGCACCCTTGCTAGCAGTATTACCACCACGACCAGTCTCTGACACAATGCCGTAGGCAGATTCAACGCTGTTTCCATTGCCAGTATTTAGAGGTTTGCTCTCCGGTTCAATCTCCGGTTCATCTGGGGTCGGTTCGAACTCGTCAGCGTCGACGTGAGGAGGTTCATACTGCTAAACAGCCATACCCGTCAGTAAAATAACCATGTAGGAAAGTAATTAGCCATAAATATGGAAGGAGCATACCGTCTGCCGTCCTACATAGCGATATTCCTCCAAAAACAACCTTTTTTCCTGATCCTTCAGCTCCTCCTCACGCGCCACCATATCAAGCATCTGAGCCTCCGCCTGCTCAAGCGCAAAAGGTCTTTCCGAAGTCCAGACATTACCACCAGGGCCGTAGTACGGCTGGTAGGGAGCGGGGCCGGGGTGACCAGGAGGGCCGAACGCGTTGTCTGGGTGTCCGCCTGGGTGGCCAGGGGAGGGGAATTGCATTGCGTGAGAGCTTGAGTTATTTGGGTAATAAAAATCTCCTGTGGCCATATCGTTGGGGCCGGGGAGGCGGTTGTTGGAGCTGTTTTCGCGTCTGCGCCAGTGTTTCTTGTCAGGGCTGGGGTGGGCGTTGATGAAGAGATTGTTTCCCTGGTTAATTCACTGCTGGTTAGCTTATGGCTGTTAGGATTAAAGGTAGTAGGTCATGCTGGAGTTAGAGGACACGACGTGCAGTCCTGTCAAGAGCAGAAGAAAGAAACTGACCTGACTTCTCTGATTCTTACGCCTGGGTGGCATGGCGTCTGGTCAGACTAGACGTCTTCTGGTCCACAAAAAAGGGAAGAATAAAAGAGCCTAGATTGGGTAAGAAGAGCTGGTTGCCAGAAAGATACCCGCAAACACAAAATAGGTGATGGGAAGGACCGCTCTAAGCAACGGGGGAAAGGTTGTAAACAACGAAAGACGCGCGTGTGCCCTAGTTAGATATCCCAGCTTCTGCCGGTCTTTGTGTGAATGGTTTGCACTGTTTATACTGGTGTTTTTACAGCGCACAAATCT